GTACTGGGCTCAGTTTGGCTTCGATTGGCACTTGATTAGTTCCATTACAGTTAATGCGATTGGTATTATTGATGATTAAGTTGACATTTGTATAGGAAGTTGCGGGCGTATTCATATAATAGTCAAGCTGTTGTTGTTGCTGTTGGTGATGATGATGTACGTCCCATGGCATCGGTTGCAGTTGGTGTTCGTTTTTTACCATTATTTAATCAAGGTAAAGAAAAAAGAGCAGAATTCAAAATAAAGATATACGTAGTTTGCTTCTTCTAAATATCGCTAATCGTAATTATGAATTTGACAAATAACTTGTTCGATAGTAATTGAAATAATAGTAATTTAAGTGTATCTATCGAAATTTCGTTAATGGAATGTAATGTCGGCAATTAATTATGAATAGGAGAAGAAACGATTTTTTCCCTTTTGCAATAAAAAGAATATATATTCGATCTAATGGACGAGTAACTTTCTTTTTCTCCTCTCTCTCTCTTTCTCTCTTTCTTATATTTCTGCGCATAATCGATTCTCATTCGAGAAAAATAGAAGACATTTTCTGACCAATCAGGGTCGAGAGAACATCAAAAGAAAAAGAAGCGCGAGGTGATATGTCGGCCCATTTTTTTCTCCTTTTTTTCAACGATCAACTTTCAAGTTTGTTTGTATCAATCGACCAAGAAGGAAAGAGAGAAAGAAAAAAGTAATCATATATGAAAAAAAAATCTGTAAATGACACAATTATATAAAAAATACATTTTTTGAAAAATCTTTTTCGTTTTATTTTTTGTCTACCTTGTTCTCACGGTCTAGAGGTGATATTGATTGACGAGGAGGGTGTTTCTAACTTGCCAGATTTGATTTATGGCATTTAAAAGCCTATTGCTTGCTTTTTTTTGTACATTACCTGTTCGCAAAGAAAGATATAATTACCTTCTCTCGTTTTCACCCAGCAAAGGCTACGCATGATCAAAATGCATTTATTATCGTTGACAGAAGTTATTATTGCCGTTTTCTCGATATCATACTGTGCGCAAGACAAGAAAGAAGGGAAGTTTTATAAAGACAATAGTAAACGCCTTCGCTCGATTTCAATCCGCACTCTTGCGACGCAAGAAGTGATGTGTTCATTTTGATTGTAATGCAAATTAACAATAGCAATTGAGTTGATTGAATTATTTAGTTTTGATCTTTTCACACGATTGAAAAAGGATATTAAAATGCGAAACATCTTTTTTTCTTGCTCTTATATTGGTTAATATAATGATGACAAGATGGAAGTGATGAAAGATTTTGATAGACGCATATAGACAGATATTCTCAGTAAGAACAAGGTGGTACACATTATTCATTTGTCAGAAGAAGATGAATGATACTGAGCTTGTTAGAGATAAATCAGATAAAACTTTCTTGCTATGACTTCTGTCTTTGTTTATCCAGGTTCATGTCGTTCTATGTTTGGACGTGACGGACATCCGGGTGATGTCATTTGGAGATGAATTCCCAAAGTTGAAGATTGAGTTCACCTTTAAGCTTCATTTGCATTCGATTGGTCATCAGATGTATCGTCTAGTAGATGTAAAACTACAAAACAATGATCTCTTTACAAGAGTGATCGAGCGGCACATGAATGCAGTAAAAGAATCTTGCAATGTTTGCTTGTTGAATATGATCACTATTCTTGTCAATTGTGTCGGCATAGGGGTCCCGCCTTTGCTCAATGAGCCATACGATGTTGTGAAGTCAACTTTTTCACGAACAAATAATAACACCTGAAGAAGAAGAAGAAGAGAAAGATCACATCTTCTCTGCAAGTAGACACATACTTGACTCACTTTCTTTCTCTCTTCTGACAATTGCGAGCGGTGTAATCTTGACGTAACACAATTATATACATATATATACGTGCACACACATCCCGCTAAGAATAAACTTAGAGGAAATGCCGCCTGTCAATCGATCACCGAGTAGGAGAAAATCGAAATCGCCAGTAGGCAATTATTTGATCTCGAAGAGTAACTGATCAAATCGAAAGATTTTTCTTTTTTTTTAGTTGGCAACTCTTAATCATCACTATCTTTAACACCGATGCAACACACAACTCTTCTGTTTGTGTCGGCAATCAATGCAATGTTTTCTTTTCTACGAAAATATGTAAAATTAAATTAAATCGAATTAACATTATTGATGTTCGTTCTTTTTAACTCAATGTGTTACATTTCGACTCAATTGAGTGTAAGATTGAACAAGGTGTATGTGTGTATGCTTCTGTGCATCTGGTTGTCGGTCGACAGTCGAGAATAGACAAAATGAAAAATGATCTTTTAATGAGGCGAACATACAATTCTTGAATTCTTATTTTGAATGAATTGAGAAAGAAGGAAAAATTCCGATAGATATACGCACGCGTATAAATATTTATCGAGACTTCGACGATGACAACGTAAGTCATTATCATTTTCTCACTTATGTTCGGAAGCAGCATGCTCATCGATCATTTTCTTGGTATCTGTCGGTTCGAACAGCAGTATCTCTTCTTTTCGCGAAACCGATTAAAAGAACATCAGATGAATCCAGTTCGAAATGAAAATATGTGAAGTCAAAGGCAAGGTGTGTACATGTGAAGACTATTAGAAAACGAGAAGGAAAAAAGATAAAAGGCAAAGGTGATCTCAAGAGAGGCTATTAATCAAATCGACCTGTATATTGTATGGTTGGAAGGCGTTGTCATTCAACGAAATGTATTGGCGGGACGTATGTAAAAGAGACATCAAATAAATGAATAGATATATCGATAAGTACTCAATTATGAATGTATTTTGAAGAGGAAATTGTACAATGTAAAGAGAAAACATGAGTGTTTCAGTAACATGAAAGACTTTCCAAATGAAATTTCATTCATCATCCAGACATTTACATGGCAAGTCAAGGTGCAGACATATTTACATAAATCCAGATATTAAAAGTCATTCAGACCTGGATAAAAGAATATAAACATTAGCATCGAAAAACGAACTATCATATTTCTTCATTATTTGCCTATAAAACCCTTTTTTTCATCCATTAATGTATTCTATTGAATGAAGTAAGTCATCAAGTATGTACTTTTGACTGGTGTAACTCAATTTCGCGAATGGAAAATGGAATATTATGTTTTATTATTTAAAATTCATTAGATATTTCCTGTAGGAATACGCTTGTCCGATTTCCAGACATTGGCATCAGGACTATTAGTCTGCCTAATGAAAAATTCACTGTTATTTCAGTTGATCAACATAGGTAATTGTCCAATAATGATACCATTCATCATAGATGGGAATCCAACCGCAGAAAAATCGACCGAGTTCTACAGAGGTCTTCAACAAGAACTTTCCCCCAAAAAGAACCACATTATTTTACCATATTTGCATTTAGAAAAAGTCACACTCGGTTTTTTTTCTCCCTTTCTGTATTTTAATAAACAGTAAATATTAATAGCAATTTCTCTTTTCATGTTTTCTTTTTTTTTAATTAATATTTTATTCTAAAGAAAAAGATAAGGCATTGCACGAGAAACCTACGGCTCGTTCAACAACAAAAGCAAAATTAACAATGAACTGCCTACTTTCTACTCTTTTCAAATACTATTTAACGAATGAATAACTTTTCGATGGAATTCGTACATGAAAAGAACTATAACATGACACTTTTGCCTCCATTAGCGATGATGTGATGACATAAATCATTTTGAGCTTATTAGCTGGTCTTATAAACATCAGGCATGGACAGAAGCGTCATTGGTATCATTGATCTATGTTTTGCTTGAAAACATCATTCAAAATCATTAACTTCCTTTGATCAATGCTGGAAATAAATATGCAGCAGATTGTAAAATTGACTCGAGATCAAAACGAGCGAGAAAAAGGAGCACAATGCAATAATGTTGGCGTTATTTGCATGAGTATCGTTGTGCAAGCTGCCACGATAGAATTGGACGTTCTGACAAAGCGTGTCAAGGCCAGTTGTTAGGAAAGCGGTTACATAAACTATGCAACGCGTACTTTTCCAGGAAAGAAAAAGAAATAATAATCAAAAGTATAATAATATCTGAATAGTGTTTATTTGTATGGGGGCAAGATACTAGTTTCGAAGATATCGTGCAGAAGTGTGGAATTCTTTCGTTCTTCTTTACACATCTCTTGAGATAATTAATAATTCATCGGATTATCTAGAACCAATATCGTCTGCGAATAAAAGAAAACACCATGTTACAATTATTCATGTAGAACAGATAGTATAACGTAACTATTGATGAGAAAAGATTGAGTAACGCGGTTCGGGGTATACTACTTTATGCATGGAGAAAAGCATTTAGTTATGTGAGTGTTACTGGAAGGAAGTAATCGTTCGATAATGAAGAACGAGCAGCTGCAGCAGTGATTTTCGAATTAATAAATTCCAAAATTCTTGTTTTGTTAGTTTAATCTTCGTCGAATAGCGAAGGAGGTAAATGAAATCTTGAAAAATATTTCTATTTATACGCGGTAAAAATAATACATCGATTGCTTCTTCTATGTTCAGAATGGAGGATTGCAATGTCATCAAAAAAGAGTTTATTTACTGTTCTATTCAAACAGAAAACTATTATTAAATAAATTAAGATTCTATGTTTGAAACAATGCCATTTTTTTCCGTTCTTTCTGTTTTTTTTTGGGGAGGAGGGTACTTGAACATGCTGGTAGAATATGCTTATATACAAAGTTTTCTTTATATCGTGTTCTCAGCAAGTAGGAGAGAACCGACAAATTGCACAAGAATACATCATGGATTCTTTTTGCTTTTTTCCCCTCCGTTCTGTAATTTGCTGCATTCTACCACGATTCTTTTCCCCTTTGTGTATGCGTGTATGTATATGAAGAAAAACTCGGTGTAATCGCTGAGTTTAGCTAGTCAAGTGACTTTCTCAGGTATGAGACAGAAGAGGATCGAGAGAACATTATCTGCTTGTTTCTTTGCTATTTGAATATAAGATGATTTTCTCGATAGAGTAAATATCATCGAAAAAGCTCGTCGTGAGATGTTCTGTCTATTGATGACATTGAGAACGCGCATGGAGTATTTGCATGAGTTGTTAAAGTTTGATGAGATAGATATTCCTTTTGCAATTCTTTCCTTTATTCTAACAACTTTTCGATTACAATCGTCATCAGAGTAAAAACGAGAGAGAGAGAAGCTATTTTCTCGTTTTTCATTAGCACTTCTCTATTTAAGGCAAGCAGAATGCAAGTCACAGATATGGCATAAGACGTACACGCGCATCATTTTTCTCCATGAGTACTTTTTTATTATCTCGAAAGGTAATTTACTTCTGTCGATGTCTAAATCTTTTTCCATTCACACTGTGCCACATTAGTTTGAGGAAACTGTCTTGCTAATCGAATCGACTCGTCCTCTCTGTCGATTGTCATTGCTTGGATTTGAAATCGAATCAATTCACTTGATTATTGGATTAATTAGCCAGACTGATGAGTTTTTTTGTTCTCTCGTACAAGATCTTTTGTTTGTTTGTTCGCGATTGAATGACTGTATTTCAAAGACAAACTATCTTGTTTTACCATTTCATTCGACAATCTTGCGTTGCGTTTGTCTGTGTAGTCAAGTGAAATAAGCAGACATTTTCAATTTTACATATGGAATCAGTTGTGTTCGTTTGTTTTAGATTATCATACTAAAAAAGACCAGACGCAGAACAAAATCAAATTGAAAGTAAGAAAAAAAAAAGAGAAAGAAATGTTTTCTTTCCTCAGACAAATAGTATTAATAATCATGACTACCCGCTGATCTTCGACTATTTCATGGACTGCATACTAATTTGTAGATGCTTGCCAAAATAGTATATATATCACGTTAGCAACGAAGAAGAGAAGAAACCCCGGATTCTATTCTTTTCTCTTATTGAATAGCTAGAGAAGCAAATTATTTGATCTGACTTGCCAAATAAATAAGAGAATGTGCTAATTTTCATCTGTTGTTTTGCTAATGCAATAGGATTAGATGTCATCTGACGACTAATTCTATCCTCTTTTCTTCGTTTTAGATGATTACAAACCACTAACCATGTCCGATGCAAATCATTTTCAAAATGAGATTACGACAAGTACAAATAGTAACGATGCAAATGCGGGAATGGGTCGATCAGTTAGTAGTGCACGTTTTCAAATAGCGAAAGTATCGGATAACGACACAAATGGTCAGGAATCTTTAGGAAAAGCGACTAGTATTCCAAATAGTACGTTTCGAAAAACATTCTGACATTGCATGTGTCATTCTTCTTTCTGTTTTGACAGGTTTATCGTCAGCTGCCCAACCGTCGGCAATTCCAAGTCATAAGAAAATCAAAATTTTAATTGGTGCTGATGATGATAGTGAACATAGTAGCACAACGTCTGGTTTACTTCAACCACAGATTAACATTACTTTCAGTCCTCCGCCAATTGACGATCACCAGAAAGAGCCATGTGCTTATGATACTATTGATGCATTACCTCACATTGATCATTATCGTAATCTATTTTCGATCACATCACCTGAGTCAAAAACTCGACCAACGCTCGAAGCTTTACATGAAACAACGAATAATTCATCAAAACTTCGACTAGGATCGACGATTGATCTGAATAGTGAGATGGTGAGTACACTGATGCCACAAATGGATCAACCATCACAAATGGATACTAAACCGAAAATTGAAGTTGTTAAATTTGGTTGGATCGTTGGGGTTCTTGTAAGTCCTCATCGATTTCAAAGCACATGATGAATGAAGTTTCTCTTGTAGATTCGCTGTGTATTGAATATATTTGGTGTTATGCTCTTTCTTCGTTTATCATGGGTTACTGGCCAGGCTGGTATCGGATTAGCGTGTGTTATTGTTATTGTTTCTACAGCAGTTACAGTTATAACAGCTATTTCAATGAGTGCTATTTGCACAAATGGCGAAGTGAAAGGCGGTGGAACGTATTATCTCATATCGCGTAGTCTTGGACCTGAATTTGGTGGTGCTATTGGTTTAATCTTTTCATTTGCTAGTAAGGAAGATAGATGATTAGTCACTTTCGAGAGAAATATTCTTTCTAGATGCAGTGGCTGCTGCAATGTATACAATTGGGTTTGCAGAAACTGTTCGTGATATTCTCAGAGTAAGATAGACATCGAAAAAACTAAAGCTTCGAGTAAGATTGAATGCTTTTTCCTAGGAAAACAATGTGAAAATTTTCGGTATTATTATCGAAGGTGATTCTGTTAATGTCGTTCGAATCATTGGTAGGAAAAGTTTCTTTGATCAAGTAGTTTTTCAGACATATTCACATCGACATTTAGGTGTTATTACAATGACAGTTGTACTATGCATTGCGTTAATCGGTATGCGGGGTGAAACGGTGGTACAAATCACATTATTAATAACACTATCAGCATCTTTAATCAACTTCTTCATCGGATCTATTTTACCGCCGACAGCTTATAAACGACGACATGGCTTTGAAGGATATTCATGTAGGTGATTTGAAAAGCTCAGGGAGAAAGGCAAGTTCACTCGAATGTTTCTAGGGAAAATCGTGAAAGAAAATTTTGGACCTAACTTTACAAATGGTGAAACATTCCAAAATGTTTTTGGAGTCTTTTTTCCTTCAGTTACTGGCATTCTCGCTGGAGCAAATATATCTGGCAATTTAAAAGTAAATGACGCAGTTTTACAAAATATGTATTCTAATTTTTATTAATCTTAGAATCCATCCAAAGCCATTCCACTCGGGACAAATGTTGCCATAGCTTTTACTTCGATCGTTTATCTCACTTTTTGTATTGTCTCGGGTTGTACAACCAGACGAGATGTTGATTGTAAGATATTCAGATTTATTCGAAAGGCATGCAAACGAATTGAATCGTTTTAGTACCTTTCTATGAACGAAAAAATGGTAGTATCATACAAATAGTCAACTGTAGTTTAGTTTCTGATGATAAAAACTGTAAATCAGGCTTAATTTACAATTATCAAACAATGAGGATGATCTCAGCCTATGGTCCAATCATCATCGGTAAGTAACAATGTCTTAATTGTATAGAAATGTTGGAGTTCTTCTTCCAGCTGGCATCTTCGCTGCGACATTATCAAGTGCGTTAGGTAAGGTTCTAATTGCTTGTCTTCGATCGTTTGGATACGAAATTGTTTGTTCTCTAGCGAGTCTTGTTGGTGCTCCGAAGGTATTTCAAGCTGTATGTCGTGATATGATCTTTCCTCGATTGAAATATTTCTCTGTTGGGAATGGTAAAACAGATGAACCACATCGCGCTTATTTCTTAACATATTTCATCGCTCTTCTATTTACGGCTATTGGTAAGTGAAGAGTTGAAATGAAATGGGGCTTTTCTACTTTGTTGTTGATTTGATTTCAGGTGAATTGAATGTTATTGCACCGATTATCTCTAATTTCTTTCTCATGACGTATGCACTTGTTAACTACTCGTGCTTTGATGCATCGTTGGCTACAGCGAGCGGTTGGAGACCTGCTTTTCGATATTATAACAAGTGGCTAGCGTTGACTGGTGCATTGTTATGTGTTGCGGTAATGTTTATCATCAACTGGTAAGAAAAGAGAGGAGAATGGAAAAAGTTTCCATGTTTAATTTCATGTAGGTGGGCAGCGTTGATAACATTAGTGATTAGCAGTGGCATATTTCTCTATGTTCGAACAACGAAACCAGGTGAGTGAGGCAAAGTTTGATGTCCACCTGAATAGTCGATATAAAAATGTGTTCTGTTAGAAATTAATTGGGGCTCCTCGGTACAAGCTCATACTTATCGTCGGGCGTTGGATGCGACATTGAAATTGAGAAGTGTCCAAGAACATGTGAAGAATTTTCGACCACAGATATTAGTATTAACCGGAAATCCTATTTGTCGACCGGCATTAGTTGATCTAGGAACATCAGTAACTCACGGCCATAGCTTAATGATTTGTGGAAATGTTGTTTTGGTAAGGAAAAGAATCAAACTTAGTATTTCGTTCTTCAACGTATTTTTGTGAGTGTTTAGAATGATCCATCAGTGAATATTAAACTGTATGATCAAAGAGAACATGGAGAAGCTTGGTTAAAAAAACGAAATTCCAAAGCTTTCTATCAACCAGTTGTTGCCTCGACTCTCCGACAAGGAACCATGGCATTATTACAGGTCAGATTCTAAAAATATTCCTATATTTATGTTTACATCCTGGCATAAGCTACATAAACGTCATTATTTCTCACACTGCTAAATATGAACTTCATTTACACTTAGAAATTCTAAATTGTTCTAGGATAATAAGTATCTCAATTAGAAAACCTCTAAAGATTTTCCCTGGAGCATGGAAGTAGTTAATAATTAATTCCTTTTTCTCCATCATCTAGTGCGTCGGTGTAGGCAAGATGCGACCCAATGTCGTTTTCCTTGGTTTTAAAAATGATTGGACTACAATACCTGAAGCAACTATCGACTATTTCAATATCATTCATGATGCACTGGATCTGAAATATGCTGTAGGAATTCTTCGTCTTCAAACAGGACTTGATTTTAGTGATTTTTTTGGGCCTGGTAACTACGAAACATTCGATCAAACTTCGATTGTCTTTTCCTTCTTCGTAGATCTACCCGGAGATCCCGATGACGATGAAGCTAGTGACGATGAAGATAAAAACGACGACATCATCTCATCGAGTGCGTTACGGAGTGGTGCACGTTCAGCAACGCCGCATCAAACCGACGTGTTGATGTTAAAAAATACAATCTTAAACAAAGGTGCTCTAGTAACTATGAATGTATTCCATCCTAAACATTCATCTACAACGATTATCGATGTTTGGTGGCTATTCGATGATGGCGGTTTAACATTATTGTTACCTTATCTATTACGACGACGAAAGCGTTGGCGTAATTGTCGATTTCGTATATTTTCGTGCATTTCAGGTGAAAAAACTGAAGCTGAAAAACAACATCTATCGATGGCATCATTATTAGCTAAATTTCGAATCAATTACTCGGATTTGCACGTTCTCCATGGATTGAATAAGTCACCCAGTGAAGCTGAATGCGAGAGATTCCAACAAACTTTGAAAACTTGGAATCAAAACAATGAGAATCATCTCATCACTGATCGAGAATACGAAGCTAACAAAGATAAAATCAAACGTGGTCTGAAATTACACGAATATCTCTTAGAACATAGTTCCAAATCGACTCTCATCGTTGTGTAAGTTATCGGAAGTTCGTCGAATGAAATGAACCTTGACTTTTTTAGCACATTGCCGATTCCGCGTAAACAATCGATCTCTGCTGGACTGTATCTTGCTTATCTAGATGCAATTAGTTATAACATGCCACCCATCTTGTTCTTACGTGGTAACCAAAAGAATGTTCTTACGTATTATTCATAGTTTGTATTCGAACTGATAAAAATCATTTTGTCGCTTCTTCTCTTCTTCGAAGTCTCCGGTGATTTTCGTCTTTTTTTTTGTCCATTTTAATTTTTTATAGAAAAGCATACGTAGAAATATGCTTAGATATTTGATTGATGAACAGAAAATAGAAATGATAACAGACGATTGACTTATCATTCAGATTAGGTTTTCCATTTTCAAATAAATTTACATCTGATGATGATGGAAAATCTGCTTTTTGTTTACTGAGCTTTTGCAAACAAGTCCTCGCGCTTAATAGATTAGATTATTGATAAGTTTATACAAAAATAAGGATTTATTATTAATTTCAAGGAAATATACATGAACCACTAATACGATACTATTGATCACATTTGTTTGATGATAATTGAAGACGACGATCACGTTCAAGATATTGTCTAAATTGTTAAATTCAAGATAATTTTACGGACAAACTATGGTTTTACCGTCGCATATGTGAGATCAGCAGTTGCTTGCGATGTTCAAATGGTAAACTAGGATCTAATGGCCATACAAAATTATCCGCATTGTCTTCGGTTGTCTCCAATGAATTTAATCTTAAATACATGAATAAATGGAGAAATAGATCAAGAGAATTCTACTTACAATAGATTACGATAAGTTGATTCTGTAGTTTCAAAAGGAATTCCAGATGAGACATCGAGTTCCGACGTTGGCTCATTTTCATCTTCACTTTCTTCATCGTCATCTTCTTGTTCTTGCTGTGGTTCGAACTGAATACGTTGTTCGACGATATTATCAATAGTTGCATCCATTGATTGCGTTTGTTGTAGATTGGCAAGAATAACTTCAAATGGCATTTGCGGAAAGACATGTTGAATACTTTGAGCCATACTTGTCAGCTGAACGCCAGTCAAACGGGCGCGACCAAACCGAAATGGGAAGTTGTGATTGATCATAATTGAAAAACTTGGCAACCATGACGAATATCGATGACCATCAAAACGAAACAGATGATTGCGTCCTCGACGCTGATCAGTCGTGATCGGTAAATCATGATTAATCGAGCCTGTTCGTGAAGCTACCGCATTTGTGTCTTCCTGCAATGATAATCGACATATTGGACATGATGCATCTTGTTCCAACCAACTGCGAAGACAGTTCTGATGAAATAAATGACCACCTGAAAATAATTAAAGAAATAGAAAAAAAAAACGATCAATGAAGTCGGAGGGGTCTTACATGGTAAGCAACGAGCTTTATCAAATTGTTCCCAACAAATAGCACAGATTTCTTCGGAGCTTGACAAACAATTTTGTTTTCGAGCTTTTTCTTCTAAATCGTGTTTAGTTAATAACGGATACTTCTTTTCCATTCGCGTCATCGCCAATCGATACGATCGATGCCGTTTCAACCGCTGTGTTAATTCATTAAACAATGGTTTCAATTGCATAAAAAAGATCAGTGACGACATTGACATGAACGTATGATGATAAAACAACATTTGTAAATGATAACAAATATCAATAACCAAGGCGGATATATCGAAACTAAATTCTAAATAGTAAAGAATATGCGAACGATATTCATTGGTTCGTTGCTGAAGCAAAGCGTATTTAAGTATCAGATAACTTGTATCAAGTGTCAATAAGAGAGTTTCAGCTAACATAAACAGAAAGATTGATAGTCCACCGTGTTTGAACCCGACGAGGTAGCAAAGACTGAATAAACCAGAACATAAACATAGTAAACAGATCAATAGACAAAGTATACGATTCAATGATTGTCGAGAAACGGTGATCGAGGTTGAAAACTAAAACAAAACAGAAAGAACATCTACATCCTTCTCAAAGATTCCCGAAAAATTTCATATAGGTCAAAGGTCAAAACAAGAATTTGGATTCTTTGTCTGAGTGGGTGAGGGTGTATAGTCAGGTGTGGCATAATCACATAAAAAAGGAGATAACGGGTGTGCGAATGAGTTGGTTGTAATGAAGAAACTTACCAGTTCGAAACGATCTTTAATTAATTGACAAAAAAGAAAAGCGAAAGCCAGTATGAAAAACCAGGATATCCAAATTATGAGTTCATGTAAATTTTCGAGGCCAAGTACGCCAAAAAGAAAACAAAACTTATAAAATGTATAATTCCAAAATTTATCTTTTATTCTTTGCAATTCTACCGAACGTAATTCACCAAAGACAAATCTTTGTAATTGTCGTGCTAATAATGCTGTGAAGCAATAGATCGCATTTACAAATATCTAAATGGTGGAAGACTTTCAACAAGAAAATTCAGACATTCGTCGCTCTTACCAGGAGTGAAAGTGATTGCGAGAAGAGAGTTGTCATGAATGTTCGAATATAATTCCAGGAGAATGGTTTCGAGTCGGTAGCGACGATTGTTTGATTAGCATTTAATATACTATGATTTGTGATATTCGTATCAGCTAAAGAATTGCTCACGTTCGATTGGATCGACTGGTGAAGATAAAAAACATGGCCAACTAATAATGTACTACTAATTAGCGTATAATACGGAAGCGAGGGTAATGGAATTCGATTGAACGAATGTCGAAGATTGATAGGCATTATCGAGTGAATTCTTGTGTACAAAGAACTTATTAAGATATTTTCAACATAATATTAGTCTTATGCGCGTAATTCGACGTTAATTACGCTGTTATAACAAGCATGACGTAGCTACGGTTTGGTACAGGAAAAGGTGTGTGATAATAAACATAGTGTTCCTTCGTTAGACATCGATAGATTGCAATGGTGCAATAAAAATCAAAACAACATTGACCGTCGAAAGATGTCTTACTCGGTCGGCAGATGTCTGATAAAAGCAATCGCTATTAACAAGGGAACTTTTCTTCGTATAATATATCGTGTGAATATTTATGATCATGCGTGCTTAATATTAATAATGGTATTTAATCTTTTATCGAGATATGAATTATGTAAGGAGCTCTTCTCTTTTCTTTTCAAGGATGTGTCCACGCGCAATTGGATGGTTTTTCTCTCATTCAGCTGAAACCACATATGAGTTGATAAAATAGAGAATCGAGGTGAAACTGTAGACTTTGCACTGATAAAGATCGCGCCACTCGTTCTTTCGACCGCAACATAATCATTGTATAGATAGAAAGCTTTGTTTTTCTTTATTTTTCACTTTTGAGCACTCTGGAATAATCATAAAACAGAACAAAGAGAGAAAAAGAGGAAAAGATGAACGCACATACAGAGTTACAGTAGACAAATAAGAGGAAAAGAGTGACACCTAGTTGAAAAAAGAAAAGAAAGGACTAAAGATTAAGAAGCTTATCTCTGTATGTCCTTCGAATTGCCAAGTGCTCATCTAAATGTGTACTTGATATAGGGAACATCTTCTACATCATTTCCTTCGAGGTCATCGCATAACATGTCTAATGTAAGTGAACAAACATGGGCAGGTATCTTGCTTCTGGTCACCGTTTCAAACAGTTCTGAAATTCTGAAGAAAAAAAAACATACGAAAATGTGAAAAGAGCATTCTGAAGGCAAAGAAATACGCACTTTCGTTTCATATCTTGTGCTTTGCTTTCCTTGCGCATAAAATGTGGACTATAAATAACGGACATTCCTGCTGAAATCATGTTTGGTACGAGTTTATGTTCGCGCTAGATAACAACAAATGAGAATGTAGTTTTCCTGTAAGAAGTTTTCATTTACTTTGAAGTATTCAATCAGTTCTTCCAATGTCATATCGCCCTTGACGTCAAATCGATCCCACAAAGTGAAATCTTTGCCGAGATACTAGAAATCAGAACAGAAGAATGGTTATGAATTTGACAACAGGTTTTCTCACTTTTTGACGTTTTGGTGGAACTGGTTCGGAAAAGCCAAAGAATGGTAAAGCCAAATTGACGAAAGCATTTCGAAATGATTCGATTCTCTTATGCTTTTGAATGAATTTGTAAACTTCAAGACAAACTAAACCTGTAACCATCGCAGTTGTCGTTGCAATAGCTGGAATGATATTTCCAGCAATACGTTTAATTTTGCTACGATCAGCTGTTTGAATTTCATAATTTTCAGCGCGTAGATTCGCTGTTGCGGCAATGTAATCCATATGAAAGTTGGTATCATCATCTTTTTCAAATTCATGTGCTCGAATTTTAATATGATTGATATCATCGCGATTGGGTAACCGTGCAAGGATTAAATCAGCTTCTGATTCACTTGCACCTGGAACTCCTTTACGCATAGCATTCATATTCTTCTGTCGTTCATTTTCAGCTTTTAATTGTTCATCATTTTCATGAATGGTAACACCAGATTTGGGCTGAAACTCGGGAACATGAACTTTCGCCACTTCTTGAGCAATAGCTTGTCGATCACGCGATCCTTCGATGTGATACATATGTGCTAATAGGTTTGATGCAGCGACAATGAAGTCCAAATGAAGTTTATTGTTGACATCGAACTTCAGCACATGTGGGCAACGCTTGTTTCCACTCCAGAAACGGTCACCTTTGCTGGTGATGTGTTCACGTGGAAAATTGTAAAGTAATTGGGCGATTGTATTGTGAAATTGTTGTTCAAATAGATTTCGTGACTAGAAAACAGATGTGATGAATTAGTTTTGTGATGGGTAGACAAACGATGAGGATCTTACCCATTTTATGCAATCGGTAAAAGCTTTTGGACGTTCGGAGCCGAGAATACGTTTGACGTTGTCAATAATTTCATTTTTATCATATTCTGAATGATTTTTAGATGTTCGCTCGGCGAATTCTTTTCCTGAACGAATGAATTCTTCAGCTTGTTGAGCAGGAATGGTAAAAAGACCAGCGAAATTATCACGCGCCCATTCAATTGTATGTTCAATCAAATTAGGGAAATTACGTAATGTACACATTGGTACTGACGGATCAGGTGGATCATTTGTTGATGAATATGATTCCGTGAGGAATGGAACAACAACTTGAACACTGGCCTTTGTACCTAATGTGCCACTGTCAACCAATGGTTTTTGATAATAAACACAACGACGGTCGACATATTGACCTGAAAGATAAAAGTCAAATTAATGTGAGTGAACATCAATACTCATTTCTATTCATATGCTAATTGACACTTACGGGCTTTGACATTGTCAAGTGCATTGACAACACCGTCTAATCGTTCAAAGAAGTGATCATTATAGATGTTTTCGGTTTCAGGTAAAACACCGTCGACATATGCGCGAATATTCATACTTGGATTCATGTGTTTGACCGCTTCGCTTGCCACTTGAGACTTCATTTTCTGTGAAAGTCAAACATATATATTAAACTTATGTTTTCTGAATGTGTACTTACTCCGATGTCCCATGAACGGAAGAGAAATTGTCGATTCAAATTTGATTTCTCAATCGAGTCCATGTCTGTAACATAGATATGACCGCCTTCTCCACATCCCAAGCCCATCATAGCAAAGTTCTTTAACATTTCACAACCGATGGCACCCGAACCAACCTATGTTGACCGAAGAGAAATATTTTGATATGTAATCAGAAGATAAATCAGTTTTCTCACCACGAAATATTTCGTTTCGCCTAATGCTTTTTGAAAATCTTCACCAAAGACAATCTCTTGCGAGTAATAGCGCGATTTCTTCGTTGGGAATCTTAGAGATCCTTTGTTCTCGGTTGTTGTTACTGCTTCGGTTGGTGATTGAAAGACATCTTCTGGTAAACATTCGATCGCATCAAAATAGAAGAATTGTCGGATTGGCATGAATTTTCCTGTCACTGCCTAAACATCAATTGTTTTCATTGAGCGAATCAACCGAAATAAATATCGTGTTCTTACTTTCATGGCTTCTTGAGCAGCAATTCCACCAATGACAGCTTGCATTGGACATAAATCACCTGTGCACGTCTTGGCGAATAATTTTATCCAATGTTTATTCAATTCATCGGTTAATGGATTTTCTCGATTTTCTTTGTTCAATGCTTCGGCTAATTCGTAGAATTTCTCAGCGTCAGCCTAAATGAAATCAATGGATGAATAAGAAAAGGCTCGACATTAGATAACATACATCATTCCATGGTTTTGGTAAGGAATTGTACTGCTTTTGGTAACGCGGTAAAACTTGAAATGCTAAATGGAGATTGACGGGCATGGACATTTTGGAAAAATCACAAATTAACATTTCAGGCTCTTGTAAAGATTCCGAAAATGATCTCTAGAATAAATAGTTGGAATATGAGCAGAAGTCGTTTCAGCAAATCGATCTTACAAAATTCACAGATTCTGGTTTTTTCACTTCAGTTACTGTTCCACCACTTTCATAGACGCCAAAGTTTCTTGTATCTCCAATAGTGAATGTGAATGGGCCTGAAAAACAAAGATTTAGCTTTCAAATCAAATGATATCTGTTCAGATGACATACTTGGCACGGCAATTTTGAATTCTCGATCATTGACTTCAGTCATTCCTTTGACACCATGGAAGGTAACATATGAACCATCTTCAAACCCATGTCGTGTATCCGTGGACATAAAAACAGCACCTGATTCATCCTAAATAATCAAACCAGAATTGCAAATATTCTTCTTAAAGTTCATATTCTATACGATATCGCATCGCTACTTCAAGATCAGTATGTTTTTGACAAGCGGAAGAAGAAAACTACTGAATTTTAATATGCATCAGAGCACAGAATGAAAAAGAAAACCTAACCGTCTGTAAATATATCTAGTTCGTCTGAGGGATATTTTGTGGCTGCGTCAAGTATTATGAATCTCAATTTACATCGGTAACTGTTTGATAAACGATCGAGATCATTTCGAATAGAAGTATACGTACATGGCTTATTTCGGTGACAATTTGCGTTAATGGATTTTCGCCGTTGGTATCGAGAACATTAAAATTCTTACCGAAATCGCAGAAAATTTGACTAAAATAGCGCACGAATGATAAATATTGACTTGAATGAATCTGATTTCAATCTCACCCAAATAAGCCTTTCGTATTGGCTACGATGAATTTTATTCCATTGCTGTGACAATAATCACCCAGGCTGACTTGTTCAGCAAAATCGGCATCAGTTAGAACGAAAACCTAAGAAACATAAGTATGCGTTTGCATAAGGAAAATCCTCGAGACTATCCTTTGACTTACATTGATTTTATTTTCTTGAAGAAAAGTTCCATCAAGTGGTGCTGACGAGCATGATACGTTGACATAACTATTCAATTCTGATAATTGTTTATTCGCCACACTAGCGCGATTTTGACCAATATCCTTTTCCGAAAAGTAATACTAAAAAAATAATCAATCGATCATGACAGACACTTCCATACACTCTCGATATTCTATTTACTTGTGACGAAAGATCAGCGTAATCGACTTTATCACAATCGTGAATGATGACTGCTTTAGCACCGCCAAGAATGATGTTTTTCGCTATTTCAACACCAAGACCACGCATGCCAGATATAAGAACATGAGCGTTGGCCAATTGGTGCATGGCTTCCTTGCCCATGACGTACAATTGTCGAGAATAGAGACCTTCATCGATTTCGGGCGTCTTCGACGATGTTGTTGACGTTTGGTGTTGTAAACCGTCCGCCATTTGATTTGATGTTGCTGCTGTTTGTTGTGTTGCTTGTGAATTATTATTTTCACTGTTCTAAATGGAGAAAGAGAACGTATTGAAGTAGATATTAGATCAATTCAATGGCGTAAAAAATCCAATAACGAGCGTCACTCGATGTTTGACCTCCATCTCATATGCATACTTGAGCACGTCAAAGCGCACCAGATGGATAAAGAAAAAAATGGGGAGAAAAGTGACTGTCTGTGTTTACCTTCTACATTCATAATCAACTACTCATTCTACTCTGTGCAAAAAAACAGAAATGATGTTGAAAAAGGAATCCCAACGCATGTAAGCAAATATTCTTCTAATGTTTTGAGTGAGTCAGTTATAAAAAGGACAGGCCGTCAAATGAAAGCTTTACTTAGGCATTTTCTTTTTCTCTCTTTCTTCTATCGTAGAGAGGACAGTATTTGTGGTTCGAAGAAGAAAAAGCCCAGAGTGACGTTGTCGTCTTTTTTTGCCGTTCTCTTTTCTTTTTCTTTCTGTCTTTCTATCACCTGTTACTAGTAAAGCTATGTAAAGAATGGAAAGAAGAAGAATGGAGGGAGAAAGACGACAACAACAACACAGTAAGGCATTTTCTTTCTTCTCAAAAACAGATGTCAGTCAATGTGAGTGAAAGTGTTCGACAGGAGTTAAATATATTCCACTTACATGAGAACGTGCGTTGCTAGTATCTATTGTCGATTTAAAACAAAAGTTTGTTCGGAAATAAACCATCTTCTCTGACAAATAGTTATTTTTAGCGCAAAATATTCGAATCTTCTAGTAGAAGACTATGATTCATAGAAGGGCTATTACTCTGAAATGAATTGACCGACAGTATAACTTACCCCATTACAATTCATGCTTCCATTAGTATGTTCCATAGCTTCACCGAGATTTGCATTATTACCATTTGATGACATATTGATTGTTTCGCTGCCGTTACTAATCAATGATGTTGATGATCTGAATTTCTTTGATTTAGGCAGATCAAATGCCTCGCTGCGTCGACAATCGGTATTGTCGTCAGTCAGAAGGTAGTCTTGATCAGGCACTGTATTTGTCGTTGAAGTTAAGGGTGTTTCGTTTTGAGTCGTTGTAGAGCCTTGTGGCGTGGTAGACATCAGCAAATGATGATCAACATGAGACTGTATCGAACTGTATGTATGCGCGTCTATAAGTGTGTATATATAGGTATTTTTTTCACCGAGAAGATATCTCTATGTAAATAGAATGATCTAAATGAAATAGAAGAACAAAGAACTCTTTTGATCGAAATCTATAGACAAATATATATATATATATATATATATCTAATCAAATGAATTTAATAAACGGTCTGTCCGAAAGCTCTTTATACTAGTATCTCCATAGCCAGCACGTCCATTCGAACAGCAGAGCATATAATACAGAATATGTATTATCTTCGCTCGTTTCTTCCTCTCTCTCGAATGTTGGAATGAGGACGACTGGTCGAGTTAATTTTTGTACTCTCCCGTCCGTCCGTCCGTTTCGTATGTTTTTGTGATGACGCCAAAAAAGATGTGAGCATGTATATATACCCTCAATAGATATGGATTGGTAAAAACTAACTAACGGGTAGTAAAGAAACAGAAGAGAAAATAGGACTACCCAATCGGATGAAAGTCGATGTCCACGAGAAAGGCGTCGTATAAACAAATTTGCTTCAGTAGAATTGAAGTTTTCCAGCACTCGCATGAAATCCATCGAAAAGAGGCGTGGTATTTTCGATCTAATTAAATTTTTCTGTTCGACTATGGTTCGAACATTGACAGTGATTGTGGCGCTCGGAGTTTTCCAGCAAATAAACAATTTTGTTTTGTTTTATTTAGAAATTGTTATGTTATTCATCGATTCTCATGCAACTTCGTTTGATTTTCTAGATTTTACTAGAAAACAAGTGTCCAGTTAATAAGTCGAATTATGACGGGTCACTCTTCGTGGGAGGAACAACGCTATTTGTATCCTCATGATATTCGAGATAAATTTCCAGTATGGGAACGTGAGTTTAGTATTCAACCATTTAAATATGAACGTGCACGTTTACCATTTCGAATGAGCAACGAAGAACGTTTATGGCGTAAGCAATGGCTTCAAGATCAACTTTTAGCAGCTGATGAGCCGAAAAACGTTCCGAATTTAAATAAGCTCCACAAAAATCCCATTCGCTATAGATGGATGGTTTTTTGGGATAGTGTTTTCAACCGATTACGTCCAGTTGTGGTATGTATACATTGACACAGTACTCTTTGAGGACTAAATCTTTCTATTTCTACACAGGGTAATAATACTGCATCCATCCTTCGCCAAGTCGTTCCTAAGCTCCTTGTCATTCATTTGGGTGTTTGCAGTTGGATATACATGGCTCTTTATCACAAACAAGTGCGTGTCTTCATACATATATATATCCGATCTGAAAAAATTCGTTTGTGTAGGACTGGGAAAAATGGGGTGGAGTTCAAATTTATGGTTACAAAGGTTATAATGCTGCTGTAAGTTTGACCTATTATGCTTCTTTTCATTCATCGATCTGATGATTTGCCTAGACTGTCCAACCATGGAAATCACTCGAGTCAAACGATTATGTCGATCGTGGTTTCAAAGCACGTACAAGCAACCGTTGGTCTGAACACAAATACTAGACATTTTAATCCTACTACTCTTCAGTTTTTCTTTTTTGTGATCCCTGATCTTTTTTCGGTTGTATATTAGATCGTTTCCCAAGATTTCCTTTCTCCACAAATTAGAGGAAAAAAACAACATGCTCATGTCTATTGTAGATTTGTCTTTCGAATAAAAAGAATACTTCCGACAAGTTCATGGATTTTCAACGGGATTCAATTCGTCCGCTGTCGAATTATGAAGTCTATCTTGTGGTAAAGCAAATTCATGATACAAATACTGAACGCGAAAATGGCAAACGAGGAAAGAAAGGACAAAATCGGACACTTGAACATTGTAATTTTGGTTTGAATACCGTTACTTACGAAACACTAAAATATCTCGAACAAACGCCGTGTGTCGAACAAAATCCAACGATAATCAGGCAGTTTTATGACGAAGTGAAAAAATTTGATTTGAAAAAGTCGGAAATACTACAGTTATTTAATTTACGTCCAACAACACCTGTTGAATTACAGTTAATCATTGAAGATTCGGAAACTCGTTTAACTGAAACGCAAAGTAATGAGTTAGTCGATCTGATACGAACACTCCTCCCGCCTCTCGGAGGCTCGAATTCTTCTAATGAAATCATGGAATCTTAACCATCTGTTTGTTTGTCTGTCTTCAGATTTTGTTTTCCTTTAATAAATACACAAATGTCGACTAAACACGAATTGCAATTAATGATGAAAACGTATGGTTATGACCTGAATACGTTCACTTCGAAAGAAACACTGATGAATCTGTTACATCTCCATTCAAAAGTAATTTCTCACATACGAATGTCAAAGATCTATTTACTTCCTTTAGGCTCTAGACAAAGGAATTGATGTTCCGAAAATGAATGATCATGAACTTCGTCGTAGCTTAAACGAACACAATATTGTCGCTGGTCCTGTCATAGGTAAACAATTTCTTCTGAATCAAACGTATACTAATATACTTAAAATAGGTCATACACGTGCGATCTATCAACGCAAACTTCTGGAAGCTATAACAAACGAAAATAGTGAAGGTAAGTTGAATGAAAGAGAAGAATTGTGAAAGAAAATCTTGATTTATACAGGTGCGGATGATGATACCGAAGATGCCGATGATGATTTTCATACACCACCGATTCCTGAAGATGGGATTGTTACGCGAAGTGGTAAAACACTGTTTCCTAGTGCCCAATAAATCTTTCTTGATTGTCTCGTCGAATTTCTGACTTCTCTCTCACGTGGAACCGACGTTTTCTGAACAGATATTTTGTTTACGTCAATCTTTTCATCGATATTTTGCTAATAAACAATAACAGTAAAATATTCTTCAAATTTTTCGTTATTTTATTCTTCAAGTACAAAAAATAACCCACGTAGACATTATGAAATACAAGAGAGAAAATAAAGAGTGCACATAGGATCTCAAATGATCAGATAATTACATCGAAAGGATTGTCTGATAAACGAAGTAAAGATATTCTTATAAAAAAATAATCAGCTCCTTGTTCCTACATAATAGTTGCATTTATTTTTCGAAGAAGAGATAAAGCACAAAGACAACCAATGCGACGCCAACTGTAATACCAGCATAAAGGTATGATCCACCATCTGAAAGAAAAGAATAAATAACGAAGAAGGCTTCGACTAAGATTTAAATTACTTTTGACTGCCACATCAACTTTTCCATTGACTGTTGGCTTCTTAATTTCTGGATCGTGTGTAAACGAAGGCTTTTTGGTTGTGATATCTGGATTACTTTTGAGTTCTTTTTGTTCATTGGCATTTGGAAAAATTCTCGAGCGAATTTCATTAAAATCATTACGTGCAATTGCTTGAATATCCGATGATTTAGAGAATCGGCTGGTACTCGTTGGAAATGTTTCGCTTGGAGAAACATTTGATGTTCGAAATGGTGTTGCTTTGTGTTCGTGACGAATGATCATTGGTTCATCGTTTTGGAAATCATAAGGATTACGTAAACCGTAAGAAACGTTGCTATTTCGTGGTTCGGGTTTGGTCGATGAACGTTGCGAGGAATAAGAATTAGTGATTGTCTCTTCAACTTTTGATTTCGTTGTTGAGATGTTTGGATAATACGATGAGATGTTGCGAACATTGTTGTCATCGATCTCCACACGATTTAGTGGAATGCGTGGTTCTTGAAATTCATGCAAATGTAATCGATCAGGTGAAGATGGTGGATGGCCATTTTCTTCGCTATGAAGAAATTCACAAAAGAACATTGTTTGAGAGAGAAATGAAAAATAGTTACCGAATTATCGAATTACGAGTTGAGCGTGGTGGCGGTGGTGGTGTTGTTGAACTGGGTAATTCGATTTCGGTAACATCTTCTTGGCCTAGAAGTAAAACCAAATGTTGTGTATCTGTTTGTACGCTTGAAAAACATTTAATCTTACCTTCGGTTGTTTCATTAGTCAAAACTTCAAGTAATTTCCGTTGATAGATTGATCGTGTATGACCTGAATTTTTTCGTTATGCAAAAAAAAGTAACTCTCAGCAAGAAATGTTTCTTACTTGTCACCGGCCCAACTGCAAGACCATTCTCAACTAAACTCTTGCGAAGTTCATGATCACTTAGTTTGGCTACATTGACTCCTTTGTCTTCTTCAGCCTAAAAGACAATGAACTGGATCAAATAATTTCGTATGAAGCTTAATATGCTCTTACCAATTGATGAAGGCGTATTACATTGGATAGAGTATCCTTCGAAGCAAATGCTCCAATTTCATAGCCAATGTCTTTTAATTTACGATGTAAATCGACTTTATTCGACATGTTTAATGTTAGAAATGATTTCGACGAACAAAGAGTTCAATCTTTCTTTGGGTTTTTCTTTTTATATGAACCAACGAATAAAAATTTTACCGCACAACTGCATGACTCATCCGTCTGTCTTCCAATCAGAAGAGAATTCACATGTCAGTCCGACAGTCATTTCATATGTGTCACTGATTCGATTCTTCGAGAAAAAAAGACGTCATTCATCGACGACTAGATAGTTATCTCAGTTTCATGACCATATTGTCTATTCTTCCCGTTTATTACCTTCTTCTTATTCCATCAACAATTATCATTGCTCTAACACTTTACGGACTCGGTTGGATTGGTTTTCAATTGTTTATTCACAATTAAAATATGAATTTAGTACAAATTAAACGTACATCTACAATCGAACATTTCCTAGAAAAGACTTTGCAAACTCTCGACGATCAAAACTCCAACAGTTACAAGCAAATCGATAATGTTCTTCAATCGAAAACAACAGAGTACATTCCAGCATCCGTTATTGTCGACGCCCACAACTTATCTGATAAGAAAATGTATTTACATGAAATTCTAGCTGATTGCGATTTATTTGTTCCAGCCTATGTTGAACCTGAAAGAAATCCGGAATTAAACGAACGTGTCGAACGACTCAAAGCTGAACAAGCTAATCGAGAATACGATGAAATGACAAAAAATGTCAGTTGTAATCGATTGTATACAGAACAATCAGCAGGTTCGCTCCTACCTGATATGAAATCCGTACAAGGACAATTGATAACTGTTGCCAACGTGTTTCTAACGATCGGTGGAGCGTTTGTTTTTGGTTATAAAGCAGTGGAATACTCTATGGGCATAAAACATTTCGTGTTACAAATAATATGTGGATTATTTTGTGCATTTATCGTGGCAATTGCTGATTTGTATTTTCTTTTTAAACGCTTAAATAAACTCGACTGAGGTAAGGATTTTAAACGAAGGCTTTCTGTATTAGTTCATTTTATTACAAACTTGTCAAATAAGAACATTCGTCTCATTTTAATCCATCGAAAGAAAAAGAATCAAATGTATTTATGGACATGAACCCGTGCACGTCAAGTTTCCATTGATATTAGCCAGATCACATCCATTATTGACACCTGTTAGTAAACCTATGGATGTTGTAAAATTTCCACCACTGTATGCACAATCACATGTTACTGTGCACATGTTGTTTGATATAATACAGTTGTAACAAGATAAACTATATGATGATCCACTGCACATATGACAATTGACTAGTAAAGAATAATAAAGAAAGATTAATTATTTCTGTGATAGAACATGTTATGAAACAGAACGTACCGGTAGTACAATCTGCTCCAGTCCATTGTGATGTACATGTACAAGTATTTGGAGCAGTGCAAGTACCCGAGTTTTGGCATGGAGATGCACATACAGGTGTTTGACACTGACTGCCAGTCCATTTCGTAGTGTCGCAAGTGCACACACCAGGAGAAGTACAGTTACCCGAATTTTGACATGTTGGTGTACAAACAGGTGTTTCGCAGCGACTTCCACTCCATAGTGTCGTATCGCAAGTACATACACCTGGAGAAGTGCAATTTCCAGAATTTTGGCAAGTCGGTGTGCATACTGGTACGTCACAACGACTACCGCTCCATTGTGTTGTGTCGCAAGTGCATACACCCGGAGAAGTACAGTTGCCTGAATTTTGACATGTTGGTGTACAAACGGGTGTTTCACATATTACACCGGTCCAAAGTGTTGTATCACAGGTACACGTATTCGGAGCAGTGCAGTTGCCATTATTTAGACAAGCTGCTGTACAAACAGGGAGTTGACAGTATGTTCCACTCCACGATGAAGTACACTGCAAGCAAACAACAACAGTTTTGAACTAAATAATATCTTTACTAACTGCACATTGATTCGGTGATATACATGTTCCACCATTTTGACAAGTAGCATTTGATTCTTGATATCCAAAAAGATCATGATTGTTTACTGGTACGCACATAGCTATAAAGGAAATGTTAAAACGAACAACAACTAAAGAACACGAATATGCGTATTTTGATCCCTACGGTATTGACAAAGAGAGCCCGTATAACCAGTAGCACCTATAAATGAATGATAAATAAATCCGTTGTATCATCGTGTTAAATCTCACATTGGCAAGTATTTGGTGCTATGCACTGGCCACCATTTTGACAGGGACTCGAACAGATTGCTAGAAGAGAAAACGAATTACTTGAGTAAACTATTGCTTCGTTGATGATCAGCATACGTGTTTGACAGTAAGAGCCAGTCCAAGTCGAATTATTACAAAGACATGTACTTGGAGCTACACATACTCCTGAAAATAAAACAAAAAAGAATAATTCTGCAGATTTAAGATGAAAACACATTACTCCTTACCATCATTTTCACATATCGGATTACATCGTGGTATGTCGCATAAAAAACCTGACCACGAGCTTGTACAATTACATTGACCGGGCGCAATACAGATACCGCCATTATTACACGGCTGATCACAGATAGCTATTGAAAGAACAGTACATTTTATCTGAATGTCTTTCGTATTGAATAGGTACGTACGATATTGACAAACGCTACCATTGTATCCTATTTGACAGGAACAAATATCTGGCGCTATAACAAAGTACTATCTTCGGTAAAGAAAAGGAAAAAAGAACGAATGATTGAATCATTCCTACATACATGTGCACACGCCTTGGTTTTCACATGGTATCGTACAAACAGCTTTAAAAAAGATAACAAAACATAATAGTGTATTTTCTCATCGGATGTACGAACTTACGACTAGTACAAAATGTACCTGTCCATTGCGCAGTGCAATTACTATTTCGGATGATGGATAGAAATAATATTACAAATATGTATGAAAACTACACCTACCATATATGAGGAGTCGGTCCACATGTACCACCGTTGCTACAGTTACTACTGCAAACCGCTGCGATGGATAGATTAATAGTTGAAAGTAAAGAGAATCTTTGAAATGAAATTGTCACTCACGTATTTCACATATAGATCCAACCCAATTCGCTGTTTTACAAGAACAATTCTGTGGTGAAATCTAGTTGGAAACGAACCAATATAATCAGATCGTAGGGTAGCTAGTCGGTTTCACTCACGCAAGTGCCTCCATTTATACAAGATGGTGAACAAATAGCTAAAGGAGGGTTTGCTCTTTACGAAATCATCTTATAGCTCTATTAATTACTTACGTGTTTCACAAAGACTACCATTCCATCCTGAAACACAAGTACACGTATCCGGTGCTATAAAAAGATTGATCAAGTAATTGACACGATTTCGTTCGATTCAAACGAATCTTACCAGTACAATTTCCACCGTTCAGGCATGCATTTTTGCATACAGCTAAACAATTAAACTGTCATTAGAACAACATCATATTCAGAGTAATAAAATTTACGAGTTTCACAGATTGCGCCAGTATATGTCGATGGGCAAGTGCAATTGGATGGTGCCGTCTAGTATGGAATCGATCCTATCGACTGCGATTCATATTCTAATAGTACTTACGCAGTTGCCAGAATTTAAACAAGCCACAGGACAAATGGCTGATGATGAAGAAAAAAAGTGAGTGATTGATAACGATTACTTCAAGAACTTACGACTTTGACAAATGCTACCATTGTAACCGGCTGAACAAGCACACGTGTTTGGAGCTGTACAGTTCGAATTATGTAAGCAAGCAGGCGAACAAATAGCTGGTAAATATATTTCATGTTTACATATAGACAAACTTTGATTAGAGAAATACTTACGAGTATCGCATATACTACCCTTCCAACCTGTGCTACAATTGCATACGTTGGGATATGTACAATTCCCATTAACGCACGCTGGTGAACATATTGCTACAAGAAGAAAGAGTACTCATTGTAGTTTTCTACAACTAAATACACAAAGAACACTGACGTTCGTCACAAATGGTACCATTCCATCCAGTATTACATCTAAATAAACAGTAGTTTATGCTATTTAACTCTTAAATTATCGACAAAACAACTAACGTGCAGGTGTTCGGTGCTGTACAAAATCCGTGTACACATGATGGCGAACAGACAGCTAAAATAAAGATCTAGATGAGTTGATGAACCGACTGATAGAATGTGCTTACGCGTCAAACATAAATAACCGGAATATCCAGCAATGCAGCTAAAGAAACGAAAACAATGGATACTATGTAATATGGAAGAAACAAATCATTCGAAAAGTTACCTGCAATAGTTGGGTAAAGTACAATTTCCGTTGACACAAGCAGTAGTGCAAACAGCTGAAAAATTATAATCAAGAATAGACTACTCGTCATTGACGTCGGATTTCAAACATACGTTGGTCACAATACGTCCCATTCCAACCTGCTTGACATTGGCAATGATAAGGACTTGTGCAAAGTCCATGGATACAACTTTGATTACATATAGCTACAATTGCATCTTCCGATCTAGAGTCCATACTTATTTAATAGGAAAGACTTACGTGATTGACAACGATCTCCTTGGAAGCCTGTTAAACAAGTACAGACGTTTTTAGCTGAACAACTGCCACCGTTCCAACAGCCAGGAATACAATATATGTCTATAACCAAAGAAAGATTTGAAAAAAAGCACTAAGAACTACTTGAGCAACCTTTGTATGTTTGTATTGATAAAGCCACGGGTGGTATAATGATCGCGGCTGCACCAAGCACAAGCACAAGTAGTGCTAGAGCTACCAGAGGAAATAGTGGCGAAATACCGGAGCTTGCTTCCACTGGTGGTAGGACTGTAGATGTTACTCGCACGGTAGTCTTCTTTCTAAAAACAGAATCATATTCTGATTCGCAGACAAATACATTCAAGCAGTTCACTCACAGTATTGATGTTACGGTATAAGCTGATTGCGTATTTGCTGGCGGTAATTCATTTATGACTTTTTGCGGTGATAATGTTGCTGTTTTCATTGCGCTCGCATGCCTAGAGCATAACGGTAACTCGTTGATAGGAGCACTTGTAATTGGAAGACGACCGACGATCACTGGTGCTGATCCTATTGTAATAATTTGTCGTCTAGGCGATGGATGTTGATTAATCGGTGTGCTTGTAGATAAGGGTTCTTGAATACTAGTATTCCTACTTGGTACATCCTCAACAAAAGTAACAACTGTTTTCGAACGCGGTGTAATTGGAGCTGGTTCTCTTTTTAATGCGAGGTTAATCAGAGCTTGTCGTTTAGCTTGATACGCTGACAAGCCAAGCTTAGATGTCATGTCTAAAATATACTTTACTGTCAGAATTACTTATTGAATTTGTTACAACGATTCAACCTGTAATCGATGAAGCTTTAGAAAAAATGGCATGATGATTTTGTGTTTTTCTATTTCTTTTCGCATGAAAGTTTTTTCATTTAAGTACACTTGATAGTCATTTTTAAAATATTCCACGGAGATTTTTTGAAATATGTTATTATTTACACAAAACGCACGCAGAGAAGAAATCATTACAGTGAAATATTCCGCTTGACAAAGGTGCATCCAATGTAAACAGTACCAATTCAATTGATGTGAAATCATCAACGGTGTCCTCTCAACTGCATGTACCTATATCTTCAACAGCATAACAGTACGAATTGAAATATCGAAAAGCACTTCAATATTTTTGTTGTGCTTTTTGCATTTCCATATTCAAATTTTTTAAAAGTTGTTGTCACATCTTTTTTTGAAATCGACATTTGAATGAAATGACTTTCCCCTATCGAAAACGCGGGTCTCCAATGACTGACATCTATTTTCATAGTTGATATATATTTGGTTGGTGTTGCTTTTGCAAAGAAAGAGAAGAGATAGAATGACTCATCTCATCTAACAATTTGCTGCAAAAGAAAGTTTTCACTTCTTTGAGTCAAGATAAACAACCGGCAGTTCTGTGTAGTTTTCGGATAAGTGTGAAATCTAATTAAACATCCGATATAATATCGTTAACAACTTCGTCATTATCCAATAATGGTCCGTGCAAAATTTCTTCCATTTATATGTGCATGTGAACATTTCTCGTTGTTTAGCTTGTACTTGTCTTAGGTGATCTACACATTCCTTATCGTGTTAGTGGTTTGCCACATGAATTCCGCAAATTATTAACTCCTGGTCGTATTCAACACATCTTGTGTACGGGCAATTTATGTACCAAAGAAACAGTTGATTATTTGAAAACCTTAACAGCTGATGTTCATATTGTTCGGGGAGATTTTGATGATGTCAGTATTACTTTCTTGATATGGCGTATAGAACTCATTATTTATTATTTAGAATCCGAATTTTGTCGATCAAAAGGTTGTCACTGTTGGCCAATTTCGTATTGGTCTTTGTCACGGCCATCAAATCGTTCCATGGGGTAATCATCGAATCGGTCAACTCCGACATTTTCAAACTTGTCTGTTTATCCTTCAGGAGACATTGAAAGTTTGCGTATGCTTCAACGTCAAATGGATGTTGACATTCTTATAACCGGTCATACACATAAATTCGAAGCATTCGAACGTGACAACAAATTTTTCATCAATCCTGGTTCAGCAACTGGAGCATATAATGCATTGAATAGGTTTGCTTGAAATTTTCATTGTTCTTTCATGATTATCATTGAATATTTTCTTCTAGTTCAACTACACCTTCGTTTGTTTTAATGGACATTCAACAAGCATCACTTACACTCTATGTTTATCAATTAATCAATGAGAAATTTACTGTTGAACGACTGGAATATCGCAAAGCTTAATAGTGCGTGTTTTTCTGTTCTCTTACTTTGCTTGTCTTGATTATCATGTGATTTATTCTTTATTTTGCCTAGTCGGTCTTGAAATATGTTTGCATTCATGTTGTATCCGTAATTTATTTTTGTCTTTTATCGATAGAAATCACATTTAAACATTGATCTACATTCTTCTTTTCGCTCTGTCTCTATTCTTTTTTTACTTTCTAATAGATAAGAATAGCATATGATGTTAAAAGATTCGAAATTTTCGTCCCACCTTCTTCATCTTTCACAACTACAAACAATTAATCATAAAACATTGGATGAATACCGAGATCGTTTGAAAACTTACGAAGTAGATCTATCTTTCGTCTTATACTTATCTATTTTCTTTCGTATATAAGGATTATCTTTGGTTTGGCAAACCTGACCGTATCTCAGCAATTGAATGTGCACGTCGCGGATGGACATGTCAAAACAATGATTTAATTAAATGCGCGAATTGCCATGCAGAAATCATCGCACAATTGCCAAGTGTTTTAAATATTCACGAATGTAAGATATTTGTAGGAAGAGAAAAAGAGTTTTCATAATCGAATATAGATACGGAACGTGTCGAGAACATCGCTCAAGCATTGGTCGATGCTCATCATCGGTACTGTGTTTGGAAATTTATGATTATTCCAGAGTCGGTGATACAACTAACGGATATCTATTCCAATGAAACAATAAATAAGTTTGTAAAAGAAGCAGAAGAATTTTTGCTGCAAATTCAACAGATTGATCTCGTTGGACAACTAAAAACAGTTTGTACTTTTTATTAAAAAACAACATTCAGAAAGAAATTTTCTCCTTGTTTAGACTTTTCAAATTGAAGCGACAGATTTTGACCTCTTATCAAGTTCATATTTGAATGATCCACGTTTACTATCAGCTTTTAAAATTCTTGTTTTCTATTGGAAACTGAAAGGTTCTTCGTTAAGTTGTGAAAAATGTTGCCGAGAAATTTCAATTAATCGGAATCATCTAATACTTGATCCAATTGCATCTCATCGAACTTGGTGTCCTATTCTCAAAAACGAGCAATGGAAAAAACGAATTGAACAAATTGAAACCATCCTACACGCAAAATCTCGTCATAAACTTGGAGAAATTCAGTCGATCAATGATGTAACTAGATTTTTCGTTAAACTTAAATACTTATTCCGATTTCTTCTTCAGCATACCGAACGGATTCTTCCCGATATTATATCCACGCAGAATCTTTTCCATGAACTAATATCGAGCAAAGAATATTATCGTTCGTGTGTACAAAGTACCTATGTGGATAATACTCCATCATCGGAGTTGGAGCACTCAACCAACAATTCCAAGTCAACATAATGACTTTTTCTTTGTTTCTCTGTTGAAATTCATCGATCAGATATATTTATAAATAATAAATAGGAAATCTATAGATCTTTTTCAATTTCTAGATAGAAACGAGACGAATGAGTGACATACGACATTTTCAGCATACGTTACATTATTTTCCAAGTGTGGAAAATGATGCATCGCGTATTACATGGGCACATGCGGTTAATAGTCGAGAGAAGCTCGAAGAAGCACTCAAAAGTAAATAGAAAATAAGGATCAGATAGATAAGAATTTGTCTTTGTAGGTTCATTATTATTTATCGAAGCAGATATTCTAATGGGTTCGTCACCAATAGGTCCAATCATGGCACATCCACCGCATACCACAAGTGATTTAACCTTTTCAGACTTTCTTCAAGCAGTCAAATCAACCAGTAAAGGCTTGAAGCTTGATTTCAAAGATATCAATGCACTACAGCCATGTCTCGATGAGCTCGAAGCGAACAAAGATTCAGTGCGTTGAAAATTTTCTTCTGCTCTTTGCATTAGAATCTATTTTTTGTAGATCAATGGTCCAATTATTCTCAATGCTGATATCGTTCGTGCCAATTCTCAATGTGTTCAACCCATCGATGCCCAACGTTTTCTCAACGCTTGTCTCTCTTTTTCCTTTCGTGTTATTCCAATTCTAATGGTCTCATTTTCTCTTGGATGGACAACCATTTACGATAAAACAACAACATCTTATACATGGTCAAGTGTTATCAATATGTATCGAACGATAACCAAAGACGATAACTATTCTCTGTTTAACTTTGAAATTACGTTTCCTGTTCGTCTGTCGTTGGCATTGAATTCATTCGATCAACTTCATTGGCTGGCGACAGTGACGAAATCCGGTTTGACGTTTTGGTCGCCACCTAATGAAGTGGAAAATACAAGTGAAAATTTCCATAAGTTATGCAAATTCCGAGAGCATTTTAATCGTTCGTTGATCTACTATGATTTACCACCGCCGTTTGATCAATTAATCAACGAGAATTTTTCCAAACGAAATGAACAGGAAGATGAAGAAGAAAATTTTCCTTCAATGAAAGATAATTGGCATACATCTGTCGGACAAGAAGATAATGTCTTAGTAGCAGATTTTAGTGCTGTTTTATTAAAATCAAATGTGTTCTTACGAACGAAACAAACGTTTGACTCAACAGTAGCTTGTACTTGGTCAGGCATTATCGAATTTCTTTCCGATGCATCGTCACAATCACAGGCTGTTCTGTGTTATTTAGCCGAAACTGAACATACGTCGAAAGCAGGAATGACGATTACTATTTCTCGCACAGGTTCAATTGAAGTTGCCTATGAAAATTCTCGAGGTTCATCTCAAGTCGATGAGAATCTAGTTTTTCCAAGTTACGCATATGCATTTCGAATCAAAGATTCGATCTCTACAGTTCATATTGAAATTTCTTCACTTTATCTTGAAAATTATTCGTCATCAACAGAACCCTTGCCATCCACACCCACATCTGTACAATTAACAGTTTTCCTCGATACAGATCGTCGTCGTCGTCATCCGACATCAACTGACGAAAATAAACACTTTCATGCAGCAGTGATGGGACAAAATATCGAACCAAATCCATCAAATGCTAATATTCCCACAGGTGGAATCGTCTTCTCTCGTTTACGTCTAACACAAGAAACTCTATCACGAGCTGAACTGTGAATACTTCTCTAGTCAACACGTACTTTTCACGCTTTATTCCACTATTAAATATGTCTTCTAACAGTATATGTGTAATTTTTGCGAATTAAATATATTACCCTTAACTAATCAACGCGCGAACTTTTATTTTCGGTCCTAGACATCGCTTAGCTGAAGTGTATGAATAGAAATTTTGTTTATTGATCAAATAAATGATTTTGTACATCGCATTCTCTGTAAGTGCCCAGAAATTCTAATGAATAAAAAGAAATGTCAGTTAGTCAGCAATAGCAGTCTTCTTTTTCTCTGCTTTCTTCCGAATTGGTTCATGATGATCGGTAAAATAGTAATAGTTTCCTTCGGAAGCTTTGTTTCCCAAACAAAATTTCAATCTCAAACGCCAGCCACCTTGGGGCCACGATATCCCATGTAAAGTCAAGGTATCTAGATTAGCTGAAATCTTTTCGTGTGGCTGAAGAATAGTAGGTTCGACATCGTGTGCGTGTCCATGTGCTGGAAAGAAATGATTCCCGGAATCGGTAATGACAAAGATACTTTCTTCCCAAAGGATTTTTTTCGAGCGACTGTCACGTAATAGTGCAGGAACTTCTACAGGTTGGTTATTATTGTTGCTTACGGTTAATTTAAATACACCTTGAAATAAATCGAGGAAAATTTTAGTGAAAAATAAGACAAATGTTTCTTTGACATACCATCACCATCAGGATTTTGATATTGTTTTGTATGAGTAGATTTGACTGGCTCGCATGAAAGTGAAATATCATCTGTGGTGCTGAGTAGTGGTCGACCAGATTTTGAGCATTTTTCAATAGTAGCAAAGCGTTCATTATTGTACCATTCAACATGTTTTGCATGAGAATATTGCCACGGACTCTCTAATTGTCCACTTGAATCTCTATACCATCCCAATGGTAATTTAGATAACTGAAGTAAGTATTCAATAGTATTGTTATCTAATTCAACGAGTGCTTTCACTTGAGTTCCATCATTAGTACATGCAAGATAAGTCGAACCAGACAGTGGTTCTCGAACTTCTTCTTCGCCTCCTATTGCGTCTAATCCATCAACATTTTGAATAATTCGTAGTAGGCAACTTCCTGTACGGCCACGCTGTTGATAATCGAACTCTGTCCCTACAATAGATCCGCGCAATGTTCGAATATTTTGAAATCGTAGTTTATAAGAATCTATTGGCGGTATTGAACGAGTGGATGAGTCCCGAAAAACATCAGAGATAGTGCCAATAAATGCAACAGGAGTCTTAGCCAGCCATTCGCCTGCGTGTTCTTTGCCGAATACCATTACTATGCTGCAAGGAGAGCACGATTCAGAGACGGGTATTTATATGGGTCTATGAATCAGAGGAGAAAAATGTTTCTTTTTGTCAAAGTTAATATGAAACCGAAAATATTCGAACTATGGTTATAATACAAACGACATTCCTGATTCTGTCGTATCAATATAGAAATACATAAATATGAATCATTCAGTAACAATTTTAGAGGTATAGTATAAGTAATAAATGGCCGACAAAGTAATTTCTTTTCAATTTCTCTATACTTATATCACAATTACTGATGATATTAAAAACGCATTTCGAGATTATTCATACAGTAAATTTATTATTCATCAATATGAAATTTGCTATTACTGATCTATCTCTTCAGTAATCTCTATACCTAAAGAAATACAATTTCTCAAATTTGACATGTTTTTTCACAAGCAGCAATGGATCGAAAATTATTTTTATTCCCACGACAACCAGTGTATATGAAAGGTCGACATTTACAGGCTATTGAATTGTAGTAAAACCGTAGTTTGGATTGTCGACACAAACCAACGTTTTTCGGTAATTTACACAATGCAGCTTTCATTGATAGAAACAAGATTATGCATACGAAATAACAAGCGAATATTTCACTTACAGTTTGATTTCGTTTTCGATGGTTTCAATAGGTACTTCTTCACCATTGAGTGATCTCTTGGTGTGCCCATAGGTACAAGTTTGTAACTGTATTTACGTGGTTGATACATGTCTGAATATGAAAAAGCAATTAAGTTAGAGTTCAAAAATTCAGATACTCTCTGTACCAAACAGAGCGCATAGCACTAATGATATAAATATCATTCGGTAAGTCATCATGATGATATGTGTCGTCGTTGATGATTATCGTGTATTTGTGGAGGTTTTCAGAATACAATTTAGTTAGCGCCTACCGGGAGATCATGTGTTATCACTTGTTTTCTCGCTAATACGATGTTGATGTTTACCAACTTCACAATGAGATAGATTGTGGTAATAATAACGCCGATAGCGTGATGGTACCGGTGAGTGTGTTGTCTTCTCTACCATCTGCACTATCAAGATAGTTTCAGTGATTTGGCTGATCTAATATCAGAGTCACTTTCTGTAACGAACTTGAGAAGAGAAGTATCTTTGGCATAATGATACACATTTTTATAGATCACAGAAAACAGTAAAATATCTCATCACAGTTATTGTATACTCAACTTGATGATGAAAACATATTGTTTTCTTTCGTTGATCAATATGGATAATAGAAATTCCATTAATTTACACTTTCCTCATGTTCGAATCGCTTGAAGATTTTTCTCGTATGTAATATAGCTTCGGGAAGCTTCGAGTTACGGCAGCAAGATTGTCAAGTACATGTAAAAACAATTATGAACGAACTTGTATAGTTATTAAAGAAGCAGTAAAACGTCAACTTAAATTATTCGAACCATCTAGGTCTACTAAACGCCACAATTTCAGTCGGAACACTCTTCTCTTACGAGTCGCTTGCTGCATCGTTCGTCATGACTATTGGTCAGTGATACGAAAACGCGCATTCATCTCAGTAGACAAACAACTATCAGATGAAGATTAACCATAACTGAACCTCAGTAGAAGAACAAAATAATGCACAAAAAAAGTGAATAAGCAGGACACTGATATGCTCTCAAGATATCAAATTGAAGAAAATATCATCTTAAACATCAGATATCGAGCAATAGGGTTGGTGTTGGCATTCACCATCGCAGCGTTGGTCAGGGTGCTCTTCACGATATTTGCATCGATTAGAAAGTATATGTGACAATTGAATAGTTTTAAAGTAGCTGAGATTTTTCTATATGTGTAAAATGAAATTACTTTGTGGAATAACGAAGTATCCAATTCAAGTTTACTCTTCATTTGTTGAATCAGCCGGTTACTTAATTCGTTAATCAAACTATAATGGTACCTTTTCTAAACGTGGTCCGTTTGGCTATTCAATCTTGACTTCTTTCAATCACTATATTTGAAGCGAGTTTCAATATCATTATATGTATATCCCGCATTCTCTTACACAGAATACTTTTTGTGTTAGAAGTTGAATATAATCCTAGAAAAGCAATGGATAAGATAGTTTTATTCACCCAGCTTAGTAACCAATCATCATTTCAAATTCTAGTCTCTCTTGGAATAGAAAAACACACAATAATAAAAAATCAGAGGAAAATAAAATGAAAGGTTCTTTTAATCATTTGTTTTTGTTTATTTTGATGTTGACTTCTCATTAAGAAAGGCTTCCATATATCGGTTAACTTCATCGGGCTCGTCTTGTTGTACCCAGTGCGATGCATTTCGAATTTTCTTCAATTGAACATCTGAACAATACTTGATACTACCATCAGCAAGTTCTTCACCTAGTGCTCCATCTTGACAACCCCATATGATTAGCACTGGCATAGTAACTGGTTTTGATAATTCAGCTTTTTGATTTCGAAATAAAGCACGATAATAATTGATTGCTGCCCGCGGTGTTCCTATATGCAAAACAAATAGTGAACAAAAACGACTGAATGTAATAATGAACCTTTTTGAGCAAATGTATATTTGAATACTTCCAGATCCTCAGAATTTATATTGCCTTTATTGATTAAGCCCATTGGTTTCGTGTAAAATACTCCATTGAAAATATTCATATCGTTCGCTTGAAAGAACAATTCAGGAATGAATGGTGTTTGATAGAAAAAAATGTACCTAAAATGAAGTATATGTTGTTAAAAAACTATCGATTAATCGACCATTGTACAAACCATGATTTACGAAGTTGTGCAAGCGATAGATTTGCTTGATAAGCAGCTGGATGCGGCACATTCAGTATGATCAATTTGTCAACCACAGCCGGATAACTGATACATAACAGGTAAAATAGAAAAACAAATTCAAGAATATATAAACGTACAGCATGGCAACTGTCCATGAAACGATCGCACCCCAATCATGACCAACCAAAACACATGATTGGTGGCCTAAAACTAGAAATTTTTCAAGAGGATAATTATTTCTCAATCTAACCAAGTTGTTCAACGACATCGGCGACATCGCGAGCTAATAATTCCACTTTATAGTCTCCAATACTTGAGGGTTTCGAACTAAGACCGTATCCACGTTGATCAATAGCAACAACTCTTTCAAAAACAAAAAAAAAAGTAATGATGGAATGTCTGAGCGTCATGAAATCAAACCGATAATTTTTTGAGAAATATTTCATTTGATATCGCCATGCATACCAACATTCAGGGAATCCATGAACAAATAACATTAATGGTTGATCAGATGTACCTTTCGAAACATAATGAAGTGTCACATTCGACGACTAGAATAATCTCCGTATGTACATGTACTGGCTAATTTGAAGAAGAATAGAATAGCTCACTTTTAATTTCAACATTTTATGTTCCCCATAAATTGGATCAAGTGCTACTTGTGGTGGTGTTGGTCGTTCAACTCTTCGGAAGAATTTCTCGCGGCCACTTCGAAGAAGATGAAGCAAAGTAAAGACGGTTCCTAAAGTTCCATAAAACAATGCAAGAACAATTTGTCCAACTGCTAGTAATATCTTCACATAGGCTGGTGCTGGTGCCATCTTAGTATTAATCTAAAATAAATGATAGATACCTACTTCATGAACTTTGCACTTCAAGAATGATTAAAACAATAAAAATATTCTTCGTAGTCATAAATAGGTTAAAGATCGCATAAAACTATCTAAATAAATATACACAGTGTTGTTGTAAGGCAAGACACAAGCACGCGGAGGTATGTTTAAAATATTTCAATATATGGGCTTTAAACGACATCTTTCGGTAACCATCATGACGATTTTATTCTATCAACGTGTGGTTCGCTCGCAGTAGAACGAAGAAAAAGTGGGTATACACACAAATAGATACAAAAATCAAATTGAGCTTACTATTCATCTGAAAAAATAATCGAAATGCGTCGTAGTCGACCGCGTTTTCCGCCTTGGCGACAGAATCGACCTCCATATCAACAATCATATCGGTAGATCAACAGTTCGTTCATTTCAAAACTGAATTTTTCTTTATTTTAGCCCTTCATCTGCCTCACAATCACAGCAGCAATTTCAACAAAGACAATTACATGATGTTTTTGACTTTGTCAATGTATGTTCTGCCATTCGATCCGCACTTCTATCTAATCGATTCGATTTTTCTTAGTTACCCGAGGCATTTCCTTCGATAAAACAAGCCATCGAAGATCCAACACTGACACCAGTATGCTCTTTGATTGATTGTTGGAAATCACGTGTCAACTTTCATTTAGAGTATTATGGAACGAAATCAACAAGTCACTCCAGCACCCGCTGATTTGTTTACACTAATGAATTTCGCATCACGTATTCGACAAAAGATTGATACACTGGTTCTTGCACCAAATTCATTCACTGCTTGCGTATGTTCATTCATAAATCAATTTTCAACTATATCACTGTTCACTTCCTTTTTTTTGCTCTAGCAAGTTAATGAAGTTCGTGAAGTTGGCTCATACAAACATAACACAATTATCAAACCACCTGTCGGCTCACAAATTCCTCTATCATATGATTTAGTTGTTGTTTTGAAAACATTACCCACAAGTATATTTTTGCTGAGTAAAATTCAGATCATTTTATTCTTTTTTCGATCCAGGAGAAGCAGTAGATCAATTAGGTAATCGCATAAAACAAGATCTTCTCAGTGAAAATCAACCAAACGAAGCAGAAGGTAACTTTTCATTATCGTACAATAACGATGACTGTATTTAGTATTCTTTGTGTATAGTACTCTCGGTATGCAGCACAGATTATGGCCTTTCGATTGAAAATGGACAAATGGCAGTACATATCTTAGTGACAACTATACCAATGAACTTGAATTCTCTTGACCCATCTATTCATTTGAGTCGGCAAATCTGCAAACGTAATCTGAACGCAATAAAACATGCGAAATGGGTTGATGAAGCTTGTAGTCACCCGTCAACTAAACTTCTTGTACGTTTATTAAAAGACTTACGACAACGATTCAACGGTCTTGAACCTCTTAATACCTGGCTAATTAACTTACTTGCACATCATTGTGTAACAAATAATAATAATTCTTCAGAACAATTACCACCAAGTTATGCATTAAAGTATTTCGTATTGACAGTGTTTGCACAATGTTATTGATTCCTTTTTAGACGAGCATTGCAGTTATTATCAAGTGGACTGTTTTTACCAGGCTCTAGTGGTTTATATGATCCGTTTAATGATTCACACACCAATTCTCGATCGCAGCCAATCATGACGCTAGAAGAACAAGATCGCCTATGTTCAACAAGTCAGACATTACTACGCGCACTTGCAATACACCCAAGATATGTTCTCGGTCTTGAAGATGGTCCTGATATATTTGCTGGACCGTGTCAACTGAATGGCATCGCGTTCGTACCTAACGAACCTGTTATTAGTAAAGATGAATCCAACAGTCACATGAGTAGTGACACTCAGCAACAAGCTACTTGCGTCGAAGTCAATAGCTGATGCTTTGCTTCGAGTTGATCAATAAAGTCTAGATTTGTTCGTTTCCTATCAATCTCGCTTTTCATTGGGAATTCATTTGTGATATTTTGTTGTTCAGTTTCTTCTGATCATGTTTCAGATTCCGATGAGTGAGAACGAGAATGTCATTTCTTCGTCTATTGGGGAATATCGGTTTCAGCCAATAGACAAGCAATTCGAAAGCATCGATGGGAAACAGAATCGAGATCTTTGGGTAAAATGGTGAGCTGGAATTTTTTGTTTAATTTGATATGATCAATATGAAATTTTGCAGGGGCATGCGTGGCAAAATTCGAGCGAATATGTACATATTTGATCAACCATTCCAAGAATACAATGTTCGAAAATTCATCTTCGTAAATTATATTTGATATGATATTTCAGTTATATTGTTTGAAAATCATTTTAGGATTTCTTCCAAGATCCAAATGTTCTCAATACACTAAAAATGTTTAGCAAAGCAGGCGAATGGCAAATACTCAATCAATCAGTTCATGATGTTCGAATTGAACAATTACAAACGAACGTCCTCTCTTTGGAGTTCTTCGATCGATTATTTAATAATCAAATCGTACGTGAACAGAGCGGACATATCAAGAAATGTATTGAAGAATATAAAGATGAGTTTATTGTTGATGACGAACTTCGAAAAGTTAGAAGAAAACCTGAATTCGTTTATGTATTCATTCGTTGATCTTCTGTTCTTAGGCTTTGCTTATGGACGAATTTGAAACATATGATATATTTTCTGATAATGATCGTAAAGAATTCATATTTCAGTACGAATATATAGAAACCATCTATCAAATACGTGTTGTTGTTCTTTTAATTGTAGTTTATTCAAACATTTTTGTCTTGGCGGGCAAGTTTGCCGTAAGTAAAACGAATGAAATCAGATGTAATCGTACGCTTTGCACTTTAGAATACGAAGATGCAGTTCAACCTTATCTCGATGTCACGAAATCTGTTTACAAAGATCTCATTAGTGTTCAGAAGGATGCTGAAACTCAAACAATTCACGTTGTTTCACCTGTATTTAAAATTGAAGCATTAGTAAATACTTTCCTGTCATACATACATCAGCAAATTTCCTTTTTCTTCTAATTTCAGAATGACAAGGGAAAAAAGTTCTATCCGTCACGTACAGCTTTCGAACAAGATTTTGCTTATATGATCATTGATCCAATCAAGCGACATGTTATTATTTTATCGAATTTCTACGAAGGACCGTCATTTTTCGAATAGGCAAAAAAAATGAACAATTAGTCGTCTTTTTTTCCGTCCATACACATGTTTTACTGATTTTGTTTTTCAATACACGAATGAATCTGTTGAAGTAATTTTTTTGGTCGTTGAGGCAATGTATCAAAATCGCATGAAGATAAAAATTGGGTACTTTGTAACATTGTTCGTACCAAACGTTCAATTATCCAGAGATCAAATTTTGCATGTTTTGATCTCTGATCTTCTTCCAGTCGTTTTTGAGCAATTGTGTGTAAAAGTTTATAAAGCGAAATAAAATTCATACCTTCGTTAGCTTGAAGTATCAACTGACAATGTTCGTACCATGTATCACTCATGATTGCACGACAATCTTCAATTCGTTGTTCAATGTCACCCAGCGTAGAGCACAAATGTTTCCAGATACGAAATATGTTAAAAGCATTGAACCAATTGTGATTAATTGATATTGTATGACCGATATTCGTGACGTCGTGATACCATTCAGATGGTACGAATAGAATCTCACCAGGTTCCTGAATAAATTCGATGGAATAAGGTTTACTGAATCGCCATCGTTTTTGCCCACAGATATTTGCTGACCAGGAATATGTTCCAAGAACGTCCATGTGTAAAGGTGTATTTGTGCCATCACCACCCATGTAAACGAAACGAAAATCATCTTCGTTATTTACTAAACATTTTTCATTCAACCAATCGGATTGAAAATAAACGGGAATCGAGTAAAATAATGGTTTTGTTTCATCGGACATTTTCTGCAAAAGCCAATCTTTACAGTAGTATTCTGCAGCGGTAGTCGTATCACGCCAAAGTTGTACGAATTCATCGAAACGCATTGTTGATTTATTTTCATCGGAACCGTATTCGGTTAAATTCGATGCACATTTTGTTACGGGTACGATCATGGATCCGTACAGTTGTACGAGACGATCGAAATTCGGCCTTGTTCGGTCTTCAGTTAGCCATTCGGTAAGACATGGCCAGTCGTTCATAAGACCACACTTTGCCGTGAAAAGTGCTGGTCGATTCTTTAAAAAACATTCTCGAATGAATGTTTCGTAGCTCGGCGGTTGATCGTATCGAACGAGACCATCTCCACTCTCAGCTCGACTGTGATTCCAATCGTTGGACATAAGTTCATCGTATATATCAAACTGATTATCATTATTATTCATCTTGCAACAAAAACTGATTGCACATTGTCAATATCAAGTATTAAAGAACAAGAAGGCACACACGACAAGAAGAAGAATGTATATGTAGAAATATTACAGAAAGAAATATAAACAATGAGATTCAAATTGACATTCATTCACTATCATCCCAACGAGATGATTCATCATCATTTTCAGATTCTGATTGAGGACGTATTTTATCACGGCGATATTTTGCAGCTTGTTCCATGATAGCCATAACGTTCAAGGAAGTTGTTTTCGTTGTCACAGCTGCTTTCTTTTCCTCTTCTTTCTTGCGATTATTCAATTGGATACCTAGATCAAACATTGAATTCGTTTTTCCTGAAAAAAAGCCCATTGATCGAATTACCTTTTTTGATTTCATCCAAAAGATCGGAATGAAGATCACGCATGATATAAGGACGTTGATCCTGAATCGAGGTTTCTGATGTCATGGACACATCGTCTCGATGCAATGACGAATGGTTTTGATGATTATTTGAGCCATTGTTGAGTCTGGCTGACGTATCTGTCGTTGAAGGGCGCATAACAAGTGATTGTATTGCGGAATTTGGAAGAGGTGGTGCTGGTGGTATATTCGATGGTAATGGAGGTGCAGGCGGAGGTGGGAGTGTGGGTGGTGGCGAAGGCGATTGTTCGATAAAATCAGCAGGCGGTGGAGGCAAACTATCGATCTCAGAAATCGTTGCAAGTGTGACCATGCCCATGTTCTAGAGAAAGAGAGAGAGAAGAGCAATGATAATCCAAAGGTTACTTTCACGAAAGAAAATGAAATTCATACCGATAGAGGAGGTGCAGGTGGTGGAATTGGTGGCGGCGGGGGAGGGGGTGGCGGGCTAGTGGATGGTCTGGTAATTGCCTGTCTCATCATTGAATGATGTGAAATGTGATTGGATGGTTCGAATTGTGATAGTAATGGTGGTGGAGGTGGTGGCATTGGATTTTGCCAATTCATAGCCGATGAATGTGCGTTAAGTCGAGGTGATGGTTCGGTATTGTATCCATTTGGCATATGGGATGTAGATTCTGGAGTACTAGTATTAAAATTCATCATCATAGATGGTTGTTCACGTATGGACGATGAGTTTGATAGAGTCGGACTGCCATATTGAGCTGAATCAGGATGATAATTTAGGTGATTGTTATTTGAATATTGCATGAGTTGACGAGGAGGGTTTGGCGGTGAATATATTTGCTGTTGATGGATGTGTGATCGAATAGTTCCGCGACCATTTTGATCAAATTCAGTTCGATGACGACCTAGTTCTTGCGGACTTCGATATTGTTGCTCTTCAGATGTTTGCCGAATTAGACGAGCTTGGGACGATGATGTGGGATTTGTTGCATAAATCGATTCTTGTTGATGTCCTTTCTATAGAAGAAAAAGCACACTAATCTATTTGAACATATGATGTTGAAAATAACTCTACCGGTGATCGATTTCGTTCATGTTTGCCAGATCGATGATGATGGTTATTTTGCGGAAGTTGTATCATTGATTGCATCCATAGATTGAAAAAGAATGACGGATCTGTATAAAATTTCGTGGAATCGCGACCATCATCACTATATAGACAAAGATTTTCTGTGCAAAATATGACACATAACATTAAAAACGAAACAAACCGATATGGATTCAATAGATGCAGAGCTGGTGCTGGTTCAGCTTGTTCATAAAGCAATCGAAGCGACTGCGGCATCGTTGCTCGGTTTACTACTTGCTGATCGATACGAGTAACACTAACGAATGGCTTTCGATTGTTCACATCTTGAATAGTCACTAAAATAAACAGCAATTCGAGTCGAATGAAGAAAATACTAAACAACACCGACGAACCTTCTTCTACATTAGAGTCCAGTTGTGTCACTTGCTGTTTAAGCCTTTCAATTCGACCATGTAGGGCTTCTGCACGTTGAAATATATGTCCAGCATCATTGATTAACTCTTCGAAAAGATCCTGTGCATGAGCACTTAACGAGCTTAATTGTCGAATAACATTTGCACACGTATGGTTAGCAACACATTCGAGTTCATTCTGAATATCTTTTGGAATTTGTACCTGACTTAGATATATCGGTTCAACGGTCCTTTTGTTGAACGGCATGTCATTCAAAAACTAGATAACTATAAACAAACAAAAAACAACAGAAACTTCTCTCACATAGAGAAGTCAACTCTTGCTGCTAATAGTTGACCGATGGGCAGAAAAGAGAAGAAAAAGAATGGCTATCTTCATTCTCTGCTTCTATTGGTCTCCCTCTGTGCTCTCTTCGCATATAACTGGTACACATCAAGCCAATCAAATTAGCAAAATGTTCGTTCTTGAAATTCATTTAGTATAATGATGTTCCGTTTATTACAAAAAGCTCGATTATTTCCATCGTCGATTATTATTCGATTGAATTCAACTCAAAAAATTCCTGTACGAAATTTGCCGACTATTGAAGACGATGATGACGATGATGAGAGCGCAAAACAATTCACGACAGCCAAGGATTATATCTTCGCCGATTCGAAATCCGCTCGATTCAAAGAAAAGAACAAACGAAAACAAAAACAATGGCTAAAGGAACTTGAACAGCAACAAATTCGTCCCAATACACCTTTATCGTCGTTTGTAAAACAGGAAGAAAAGAAGGAGCACATCCCGGAGGATAAAATCATACGGTAGAACACATTCAATTAATCGCTAGAATTCGCTCAGCTGATCTTTTTATGTAGTGATACATATGTGACATCAGAAGGAATCGTTCGTCAAGACAATTTCCAATTGAATTTTGACGTCGACTTAGATGAAGATGAACAGGAGAAAGAGGCAGATGAACCAAAACCATTGGCTGTTGGTGGACGACAATATCCTGTGTGGTATTATGCAGGAAAACTGAAGCAGCTGGCAGCACAAAATAAGGTTAGAAAGTCTTCTCTTGAAAAATTGATAGATACGGTTATCTGTAGGTTCAAGAAACCCTTGACTACTTCTATAATGAAATGATGGACAAGGAACGCGTTGCTCCGAATCTATTTTGTTATCAAGTTGTCATTGGCATCTGTGCAAGAAATGGTTATTTAACACAAGCATTTGATCTATATCGTGAAGTAAATTATTTCGAACTGAGATGTTTGTAGTCTTGTACATCTTGTAGATGAAAGATCGAGGCTTTACAACTGTTGATTCACGAAAAATGTCGAAGATCTTTACATTACTTGCTAACGCTTGTTATCGCGCGTCGGATAGTCAACTGGCAATTGATCGTGCAACTCATCTTGTTGACGAAATGAAAACAAAAGGTTTGTCCAAAGACTTTCCTTCTTCGGACCTTTCTGATTGACTGATTTGAATATAATAGAGTTTCGTATTGAATATCGAACATACAATGCATTGATCGCTGCATTCGGTAAACACGATCAATTGAAAATGTCATTCCAAATAGCTGATGAGATGACCGAAGTGGGTTTTGTACCAAATGAAGATACTTATGCGTCGCTACTGATTGCCTGTCAATCAGAGAAGAATGCTGGCTTTAAATATGCTATCGAAGTAGATGGAGGAGTTCTTTATCGAGAAAAAAGTATACGATGTTTTGTATTTAGATTTGGCGACGAATGTTAGCTTTTGATATCCGGCCGACACCGTTCCATTTTGGCCTATTATTAAATATAGCATGCCATTGTGGATTAGGTTCATCGGAATCGATGCATGACTTACTCTTTCCACCTCAGCCGCTACAATTTCTTCTTCCTGAAAATGATCTTCAAGATAAAAAAGAGGAAACTAGACGTGGACCATCATTTCTCTCGTCGATCAATTCGTACAATCATGATCCATCGCAAATTACACCAAAATCGGATGATTCATTCGTTGAAGATCATGACACCGGAGAGATGATACCTTCAACTTCATCTGTCGTTATGGAGCACGACGATACTTTCTCATCGGCAGAATTAACTTCCGAATGGTGGCAAGATCCAGCAGATGTACAAAAAGGGCATTTACTACATAATCATCTACGTCCATTCAGTAATGCAAGTATTCTCAAACCAAACATGGCCTATGAAGAACCAAATCTCGTTGGTTTTCGAATGCCTAAATCGCCTTCGGAACGCTTAATGCTCTTGGGTGGTATTCCTGGTATATTGAAACATATGCAAGAATGCAATATTGTTCCTAATAATATTATTTTCAATACTCTTCTCAATGTAAATGAAAAACTCGTCTATTTCTAAATACTTGTCTTATGTTATTCTAATATTCTAGCTCATTCCACCACTAACAGAACATGAGCAAGCATTGATACATGTTTCCAATTTATGTGAAGTTAAACCTAACATCCAATTTTACAATGTACTTATCCTTCGGCGATTACGTCGTGGTGCTAAACAAGAAGCATTGGTAATATCAACAGTGATAAACGATGAACACTGTCTATAGAATAGTTTTTATTTTAGCAAGTGCTGGATCTCATGCGTGAACGATGTCTTTCGCCGGATGAATACACATTTGCAGCATTGGCTAAAGGGTGTCGGAATAGACAAGAAGCCGAACAATTGCTGAGTGAAATGAAGGTAAAATACTGCTAGAGTGTTCATCTAAATTGATCATGAATGTATGTTGAATAATCTATAGGATTTGAATATTAAACCAAATCAAAAAATTCTCGGAGCAATGTTAGGAAATGCATTTTATCGAACGAACTTCCCGTTCATTACATTGATCTGTGAAACCTATCGTGCATATAATTTACAAGCGAACAGAATCTTTTTGGAGCGATTGGAGAAGTTTCTGTTGGAAGTTCGTACAAAAATTCTCGCTATGGTATATGTCGAAATCAATATTGATTCTCTTTCAATACTTTAAATATTCTTAATTTACTTAGGAGCGTGCCAATATCGATGACGAACAATACCGGTTAATAAGTTCATCATATGATCGTTTTCAAAAATATTATAGCAAATGGCTGAATGAGATTTCCTACAGCAAACGTTTTGATCAGAAAATTTCTTTTCGCTTCAAAAAGCCCGATTTGAAAAAATAAAGATTGGTGTATCGAATATTTTCCTGACATTGAGATACACACACACACACATTCAATTTCAACAATTTAATCAAAAATTATTTAGAATTAGAAATGTCGATACACATGTGTTGTTTCCAACTCCAAAATAGTATGAATAGTTTCGCCTAGTTTTAAAATGGAATGAGCTAGTTGCGTTGTTGAGTAATACAGTGCGTAATAAGCGATAAAAACCGAATCGGCTTCGTTATTAGTAGCATAGGGTATGATCGAAGTGTAAGTTTCACCATCTGTTAAGCGATCAAGGTAATGTTGTAATAGCTGATTGAGTCTTTCCTGGTGTTGGTCTTGTAACTGATGAACTATTTGATATAGATCGACTAAACATTGCTGATCTTTCGTAAGATGGACTTCATCTAATTTTGCATTCGAATAAATGCTTTGACGGAATAACCGATGCAATCGTGTTTGTGTCGCAGCGAAATCGTATATCCATGCATGGAAACAGGTACCTAATTGTTTACTCAGGCCGGAGATTTCTCGATGAAGATTCGGAAGGAAATGACCGCCAGCAACATTTACTTGAAAATGGTGAATATTTTCTGAGTACTCATTGATTTTCATTAACTAAAATAAAGTGTATGTTACAGATTATTTCATTGTGTGAGACTTCTTACGGCTGCATCAACATTATGTAACATATTAAACGTATTCACTTGCTGTCGAACAAGTTCATTGTAATATTTGCTTGAAAATCCATGATTCATCCACCATAAAGCTGGCTCAAGTGATGCATGTTCAACAAGAGTCCGTTGTGCACTAATTAAACGATGAAACACACTACGTTGAGCACTGATAAACGATTCCACTTTTCTCTCCTCTAATTCCAGTTGAACCATCGATTCATGTGACTCCGTATGATGAAATAATTGATCATAAACGGAATGCATGGAAGCTATACTTTCTTCACATGTTTTCAGCGTTCCTGAAGGAGAAACCATCAAATTATTTAAGGCAAGTTGAACAGTGAAACGAGACTTACGTTGGATATTATCTTTCAATAAATCAATGGCAAAGATAGGAAAAATCAGAAGAGTTAGAACAACAGCAATAGTAATTCCTATGAAACTTTCCTCAATGCGGAGAAGAACTGCATTACTTTCAGATAACGGAATCTGATGACTTAGTTGAGCTAAATTAATAGCTACAGGTGTAAATGAAGCGACAGTAGCTGTATAACCCCAATTTGGTAATAGTTTTAAATAACTGAAGACAAATATCCATGGAGATAATATGCCTAAAGTTGGATATATTCTAGTATGAACTAGTAAATATGTAATGTAAGACCAGATGGCACCTAGAAAAGTAAGTTAAACATTTTTTAATCAATATTATCAGGCTATGTACCGATCAATGTTCCTATCAATCTCATCTTCATGGTTGTTAATGCTCCACCAACCGTATCACCTTGGGTTACACAAAGAGTAATTAATATCAAGTGTCCATTTTCGAATGCTTTTGATAAACTAGGTACCAATACAAAGAGCGATCCGACTCCGATAATAATAATACATTTTACTGATGACAATATGCGAGACCATTCTGGTTTGAAATTCATCTTCTTTTTTTCGTATCCGGATGAGTGTATATTCTTAGCTTTATCTTCATTGTTCAAGGCTAATTCGGTCAGAATTCGTATAATTACTTCGAGATGAAAGAGAAAATAAGCGTGGGAAAGACTATCTTCGGACTGTATTGTTTTAGCAGATTGTAATACGTGTTCAATGCGACGTAGGCGAACATCGATATAAGCCGAACGCAGTTTGGAAAATGCCTGTTGAAGATTAGATATTTGTTGAGAAAATTCATATTTTGATATTGATGAAGGAGCGATCAAACTGGTAATCACAGTCGATTGACGAGCACTAAGATCCAGTAAACTTGATTCAAGTTCCTTTGCAAAATCATGATGATACTCATTGAATGAACAGTTTTTAATCATAAGTTCTAACGAACTAATGTGACACATTAGTGAATTGATAAAGTTTTCTTGTTCTACCGAAAAATAACAGTTTATGTTAGTTCAGTTTTATGTCAAAAGGGGTCAAACCTTGCAACGTGAGATCAGTGATATGGCGATGTTTCCGATTGAATATTCGTTGTAGCCATCTGGACGGTTCGAAACGAGCTTCATCTAATCTTGTTTGAACGGGAATCAATGCTTTGTGTACCATATTTTCTATGATTGATACCCGAATAAGTGACATTTGAGCAACCATTTTATCATGACAAAGAAATGCTTGAATGATCAATGTATGCATTTGTTGGAGTTTTAATAGCGAATAATGAAAGCGATTTTCAACTTCAAAAGTAGCGAACAGCGGAAAGATAATCAATGAAACCAGTACCGCCATGACCATTCCTGACATATGAATTCCAAACAATTGAAAAGGAAACATCAGTGACATATCCGCATGAGAAAAGCACATAGCAAAATATATGACATTGTAGAGAAGAACAGTTCGCTTCGTGGATACCTAAAACCAAGATGTACATGTGACAGACGATTTCTGTTCAACTTACTTGAGTGCATCCGTATGTAATGAAAAATGATGTAAGTAGTAACAGAAGTTCAGTTACAACATAATTTTGATAGCAAAGATGAAATTTTCTCGTAACAAATAACGATACTGATAGAGGTGTCAGTACTATAGTATTGTGAACACAACATGATAACGTTGATCCGAAGGTTTGTTGTAAGCACAGAATACTTATGATTGGAACAAGATATTCTAACGAAAGATGGCTGGATATTCGAGTTTCGAACGCGAGAAAGCTGGCAGACAAAAAACAAATAACCACTTGAATGGCATATTGAACACGTCGTAGAAAAGTCGAGTGAATCCACGGGGAAGTTGATTTTGGATAATGATAATTGAAATAGAAATGTCGTGCAGTTTGAGATAGGGAAGAAATCGACATTTTTAAACGAATGTGATGGTCTTTTCTTTGGCAGTTATATCCTATATCTGTGTAGAGTCATCTTTGTCGATAGTGTATGTATAAACTAAGAAGAACGAATGAATAGTATGGGTCAAACTTATCGACGATCTAATAGGTAGATACCTACATATACACACATACGACCGGTCATGTGAAGATGTGAACCGTGCTATATGTCGATGTCAGTTGTTATTTGTATGGCGTAGAGAGCTATGTTCTAAAGGCTTTTTCCAACCTACTATGCGTTATTGAATGCAATCTAAATTATTTCTAATTAAACAGTTCATAAAAAGAGCTCGCATGATCCTATTTAATCTTGTAAAAGGCTTATTTCCTGTAGTCCGTAAACTGCTTAGGAAAAAGTTTATAAAGATTGATAGAAGCTCACTATATTATATAGGCCTGGCACGGCATCTTTTTTTCACATCGACTGTGATGTTTACCAATAAAAAGTGACACTTATTACAATGTATTAATCACGCATATTAGTTCTATAGTTTCTAATTAAGTTGTGTACGACAATGTCGTTTAGTTGCAGCTTTCAAGAACCGTACTAAATCCTTCGGATATAGAAATAAGTCGATCAGGTCACAAAGACGACATTTTGCCGACAGAAGAGACAACGTCTCAATAATAGATACACCAACTGAAATGAAAGAAACGACAATTGAAGAAGTACAGATGGGAGTTCAACCAATGACAAAGACAAGAAATATGATAATCATGTGTCGAAGTAATTGAATATCTCGAGAACTGAATCTCTATGGGCGTTCAGCAACGTTCATTGTTGTTGATACTTCAGATTGTGGTTGAAAGCGACGTGCCGAGGATTTCATATGTTGGAGGATGATCGTGTTAACAATGACAATGGTAGATATGGAAGCTAGAATAACAAGCATAAACACATAGCAGTTCATCCAAGCTGGTAGGAAACAATACTACGAAATAATTTAGAAAAATAGACATGAAACTACGAGTAGAGCTAACGGGTACTTGATGTGTGAAGATCGTTTCCGCATAGTACACAGGAGAACATGTGCTAGCTTGATAAAATCGGTGCGCATTCACTTTTGTCATAACAAAGTACAGAAGTCAATACGATGAACAAGGCAGTGTGGCCACACACACACACATTGATAGTGAACGCTTGGAAACGATTATGTAGATGAGGATTTGGGATAAGTCGAATGGAATATATGAATACCAATAGAATATCAATGCATAACACCACAAGCTGAATAATTGTCACTATAGTTAAAGCATCGGCTACAACTATTAAAAATTTGGAATGTGATATGATGATCGATAGATAACAATAATGCCAACTGGCGAGAAAACACATTCGAGTTATCTTTTGGGGAAAGTTCAATGTACTGGGAGAAGATTTCAGTGTTTTTCTCAAAGAATCAGACAGGAAGTAAAGTAAAACTTTCTGTGAGGTAACTCCATTTAGTCTTTTGTCTGCTAGTCTTGATGAAATGTAGAATATGATGAAATCGACTGGAAGAATTTGTATCTATTCTTCAGGAAATGTTAGAAAATTTCATTTCATAAACGATGCACAAGCAAGCATTCTTGAGCTACACTCGGAAGACACTCCTATTGCATTTGGTACACGAGGGACAAAGAAAGCAGCCTTGTTTTCATGCACTGCTCTACTGATTTCACTAATTTTGCTTTAAATTCACAGTCAAATGTAACACTGTTTTTTTTCTTGCTACGGAGAGCGAAATCTCCATATCAGAACATATAAAAGACTGATTGAAAAGCTGTTCCGAAACTTATATTCTTTGTTGAACATGAGAATCATTGTTTTAGTTATTTCGATGGGTCCTACTTGTTGCTGTCATGCAACATACCTACGCAATTGTTTGCTACAAAGAGAACTCTTAGGTAGGCATAGGCACAGAAGCAAAACCGATGGTCGTTTGGGAGTTGAATTACATTCAAGTGTGTGATGCCGGTTCCTCGTCGTGCTAGTTTCGCAGCAATAGATTCCATTGGTGATGAATTCTCCGTGTTCTTTCTGATTACGCCCAGCAAGAAGGAAGAAACTGGAAGAAAAAATTTTTGAGATGGTCATCATCAATTTATTTCTCGACTTAAAAAGATCTGTTAATTGTTTGTTTTCTTGTGTGCATAAAATGCATTGCGTTATCGTCGATTTACGTACATATGTGTAATATTAACTTTTACATTATCGAACTTTTTCGTTTCAATAATCAACAACTTTAAAGAATTGTCATTTTCTTTATCCTGTCAAGTATTTGATATTTTATTTATCGAAAAAAACAAAAAGAACAATTCGTTTTTCTCGTACACGTAGTTACGATCGACGACAGACAAACCTCATGGTCAAGTGCCTTTCTTAATAAATATATCTGCACCATCAGGCGATGAATCAGCTGATTTCTCATCTTTTGTGGCATTCGACTTTTGTTTGTGCAACAACAACAAGTGCTGATTTTGGGATTCTCGATTTGCCATCGATGTTGTAATGCTTTCTATTAACTTACACTCAGGTTATTATGACACGGTCGGTTCCGGCCGGAATCTGGTGGCAAGGAACTAGCTGGAATCGGCGAAAGCTGTACCGGAACCGACTCAGATTTTAACGGATCCAGTCGCCGGAATGATAGACCTGGGCAGATGTTTGCATTTGTAAAACGCTGTTCTTCGATCAGTTTGGAAAATATCTCATTTGTGGAAAGTTGTTCGGTGCCTGGCTTTTCAGCTTGTAAAACATCTTGTTTCTGTATTTGTGTCAACGCTTCTTGTTTTTGTCCCTGTGTATTACCCATTGGGACATAATCATGGCTTTCGATGCTCTAAAAAAGAAGGACTATGTGATAATTGAAAAACGAAATCCGAACTTCTTCGTCGTTCAAAAAAGGCGAGTGATTATACCATCTTAGTGTCAGCTATAATTGTCCACAAATCAATACTGTCGGCTAGAAATTCCATTCTATCAGAAACTGGTACTAAGAATAAAATGCTACGCTTGTTCATTTATATATAAATCACATGGACTAACACCGCGGGCGGCATAGTCGCTCGAAATGGTTGTAAGTTTAACTGTTTGTATGATTGTGATGCTATCAATGTATTTATGTGTACGAATATCCAACAATCCGAAGTTAATCAGCTATTCTGATTTGTTCTACATATTGCTGCTTCAAACGCTATCGCCTAAAAAAACTTCCTTGCAAAAAATCGTCCTATGTCTAAAATCGATCAACCCTTATTCGGTAATACAAGAACTAATCGTTAGCTAATTAACTAATCAGTATTTGCGAAAATTAACATCGGATTCGGGATGTTCGACCAGGATTACGTCATCAGTGGTCGATCTTGGATGACTATAGATGACTCTATAGCCCTTTCTTTCAGAAAAGGAAACAGTGAAATGTTTTATAACTGCTCACGATTGAGCAATATGATCGTTGTTTTCGATAATATCAAAACTTTTTTTAAGTAGAGCAATACAAGCTACGTGACTCTTAAACACAAAATAAACGCGTCCTAACACGTTTAGGGGTGTTTTCAATAGTTGATGTGTTAAAACGCCTCTGAAATAAGAAACCCTTTTCCATTCAGGATCGAGTCATTGACAATCATAAGAGGCAAAGCAAGACTTCATCTACTTCAATTAGTATTTGAAGTCTGAACTCTCGCTTTTCATCCCTTCAGTAGAATTCGCATAGACAAGCATATCGACCTCACCTTTCCAACAGCTCATTTCTTTCAATGTCAAGAGTACTTATAAAAGCTTAAACAAAGTTATTACTATAGAACGGCCTCTACGGCTTCAACATTAACTTCGGATACGATTTGTCAAACGTCGCCGACTTCAATCGTAAGATTTACCCTTCGTAACATAATTCATACTAGCAATGTCCATTATCTAAAGACATTCAATGTGTCAGTTTATCGTTACTTCTCTCATGGAAACAGTCTCGGCGTATTCTAATGGAAAGACAACGATAGAGTGCTTCTCTGAAAAGTTATATGATGACATGTGATTTTAAGATAAGGGATGATTTTATTTTATAGCACGAAAAGAAGAGTGCTGCAGTTTATTATCCACACGTTCCAGGTTTCTTTCGAGCGTTAAAAGGTGTGGATGATTTGGTGACATTGAATACTTAGCAATTTGAACAGCGCATTCACAATAGAAGTGAGCTTTTTGATAATCACCCATACTGTCATACACCGAGCCGATGTTGTTGTAGGATGTGGCTATACTAGGATGGTTTGCAGGAAGTGATTGTTGTTGAATTGAAACAGCTTTCTCATAATATTCGAGTGCTTTTCGATAATGACCTATACTGACATACGTCGAGCCAATGTTGTTGTAGGATATGGCTAAATCAGGATGGCTTGCAGGAAGTGAATGTTGATCAATTGAAAGAGCTTTCTCATAGCATTGGAGTGCTTTTCGATAATCACCCATACTGACATACACCGAGCCGATGTTGTTGTACGATGTGGCTATACTAGGATGGTTTGCAGAAAGCGAATATTGTTTAATTGAAAGAGTTTTCTCATAGTATTCGAGTGCTTTTCGATAATCACCCATACTGTCATACACTGAGCCGATGTTGTTGTAGGATGTGGCTAAATCAGGATGGTTTGCAGGAAGTGATTGTTGTCGAATCCAAAGAGCTTTCTCATAGTATTCGAGTGCTTTTCGATAATCACCCATACTGTCATACACCGAGCCGATGTTGTTGTAGGATGTGGCTATACTAGGATGGTTTGCAGGAAGTGATTGTTGTTGAATTGAAAGAGCTTTCTCATAGTATTTGAGTGCTTTTCGATAATCACCCATACTGTCATACACCGAGCCGATGTTGTTGTACGATGTGGCTAAATCAGGATGGTTTGCAGGAAGTGATTGTTGACGAATCGAAAGAGTTTTCTCATAGTATTCGAGTGCTTTTCGATAATCACCCATACTGACATACGCCAAGCCAATGTTGTTGTACGATGTGGCTATACTAAGATGGTTTGCGGGAAATGATTTTTCGAGAAGCACAAGTGATTTGGCATAGAATATTATGGCGTCCTGAAACAAGCCTTGTTCGTATCGGACACGACCAAGTTGATGATATATCAATCCTTCATCAGTGTCATCTGATGTTTGGTTGAGTAAAGTATCATAAATCGCCTTAGCTTTGTTATGTTGACCCAACTGAATCAGCAGGTGGCCTAGTCGTGTCCAGCCTTTACCATCGAGATGACTCTTGCGGCGAATATGATCAGTCAGTGTGCGTAACTCTTTGTCAGAATCAAGAGTCAGCGAGATATTCACTTCATAAAGTGACCGATCAGTGCCAATGACTTCGATGTGATGAATGCGAAACACGGTGTGCATGGAAAACAACACTTCGTTTTCTTGTAAGAAGCGACCATGATTCCCAACAAAGGCAAACGGTGTTGTTGACTGAGAAGGATCGACCTGTATTATGAAGAGGATGCCTACTAACTTGGGATTGTTTGCGTTACTTTCGGCGTAGAGAGACGAGATGTCACGTTTCGTACTGGTAGAGAAGAAGCTGTTGAATGACATCAACCCACCTATCGTGTTTCTTAGTTCTTCAAAATCTGTGTGAGATAGACCCTGTCCGCGATATACTGTAAACACAAGAGAACTCGAAGTTGTGTTAACAAGCTGTTCTTTGGGCAACTGTTCTATGTTGCGATGAAGATCAGTGACGAAGAATCCCATTCGAACAAGAACATCACCATCCATGACTCGTAGTGCATCGTTGAGCATGGAATGCAAGGAATTACCTCTTGTATACCACCAGATGGGGCTCTTTGCACGGTAATCGCGTACTGATTGCTTAAAATCATTAGAATGTGTACCATCGAGAGTGATTAGTCCAGGATGATGCCTGACAAACTCTTCGATGTGTTTGTCTTCGAATTCGATCGTTAACAAGATCTCTTTGAAGAGTTGTGTGTACATGAAAGATGGATTAAGCAGATCTAATCTTTTTCCAGATGGTACGAAACTGATTGGTGTGACAGTGGGCTCATCTTGGGGAAATGTGTTCTGAATGGCTTGGCATAGTGATGTTATATCAGTGAAAACGTCTTTAACCTTGTTCCAATGTCTAGTCCATTGTTCATGATACGATTTGTTTTGACAAAAGATGAAAATCGAGTGTAATGGAGGAATATCGTGGATACAACGCACAAGATATTGTCCAAGTGCACCAGACACGATTAGATAGACTTGATGGTCATTACAATTGAGTATATATTCGACACATTCATCATTATCCGTGAATGTAGTGACATTGTCAGTAATGTGTTCAAGTTGTGCAATTGTTAACTGGCAATCAGCATTATTATGATCAATCTGATTGTCGAGCCAGATCGCAACGACGTCTTGCATCTTTCGAAGATCGACCGATTGTCTACTGTGTTGAAAGTTCGGATTATTGTTCTCCTAGTTGTTATTGCCTGCACTCACTCTACTTTGATGTTTTGTCGGTAACTCACAATAAAAAGAGTAACTTCGTTGGTAAATTTTTGTGTTCTTTCTTCTTTCTACCGCATTCGCAGAGTTACCTTTTTTATGCATAACAACTGAAAAACGAGAAAAACATGCCTGTAGAGAATGCGATTGCTGCTATGCAAATATTGAAAAAGTGAAAAGAAAGTGTTTAGTAAAAGACGTAATTTAACTGAAAGAAATAAACCGAAACAGTTTCTATTTGCATAATGCGCTTCTGTCTGAAAGAAAAGTATCACATAGAGGTTAAACCTTACCTGCTCGAGATGCTAAAAGTCTATTCATCCTAGTGAATCTAAATGTGTTCGTAACCATTCAAAAAACGAATGATTATATGTTGTTGTAATCGGGAAACAAACGTTTGCTCATCTTTTCTTTCGCCTTGAATCAAATGTAATAAAATGAGCTTTCGTAAATGTATCGTTTGTTGTTAAATCTGATCGGAAAGCAATAGTAATGTTGAAAGAGGTCTACTTCGAAGAGATATAAGTCCGAAGTCGATTTTGGCCGCTGCATATAAGATCTTTCAATCGAGTTTTAGCAGAAATGGACAAAAAGGAAGCATATAATCACCATAGACATCGACTAAGTATGAATGAATTTGCTGATACACAAAGAATTGTTTTACTAGCACATGCTCACTGTGTAACAATTCATAGAATGCCAGTCTCTTGTTTCAGTTTTATTTTGAAATATTGTCGATAAACTGATCCACTCGACTCAAGACAATTTTTATCCAATCCTTTTGTTCAACAGTAACCTAATCTATTTGATTGACAAAACGAAAGACATCTATTTTATATGATATGATTGATCACTCTATCTTCATTTTATTCAAAGTAAAAATACAAATTTCTTCGTATTATTTCATTAATCATGTTATATATACATAGATGTATGATGCATGCCACTTATAAAGTCTGTTGGATACAAAACAGCAACAGTTGATTCAGTTGTCGAAGCAGGTGAGATTGGAGTAGCTGTTGTTGTTGTTAACTGTTCAGAATACGTTCACATGATATTGGATGAACATAGGTGAGAGAATCTTACGAGTGTGTTGATCAAGAGGAGAAAGCCAAAACTTGATCTATTTCAGATAGTATTTGAAGTTGAGCGAAGTAGTTGAAGTCTGAAGTCTCGCTTTTTCTCCCTTGGAAAATCCGTTTTTAGTAATTATTTCTTTTCAAAACTTACTTCATTTATTCTACTAAATATTATCTTTTTCTATGTCGAAACTGTTAGCCTACTCATTCGGCATTGCTTTCTGCCAATAGTTATGGTCATAATTCATGAAAAGGGTTGACAGGTTTTTAATTGGAGAGCATGGTGACACAGACTGAAGCTGTGGGTATAGGATGCTTTTTTCGGCAAAAAAAATCAGAAACGTGGTTCAATGCATCTGAAAGCCGCGTCTGGGTGCGTTTATGCCTGCGTTTCAAGCATGTCTATACTAAAAAAGAATTTCACATGGGGAGGACGATTTATGTAGCAGACAACGTCTTAACCTCACCCAACCCGATTAAATTTATATCTGATGAAACAGCTAGTTGAATAATAAATTTTCTACCCAATAATTCAACTCCGATGATGATAGCTATGCATGATCATATTGAAATGAAATAGTGGAAAAGCTTTATTCGAACAATTAGAGATATTTGTGACATTTCCTGGGCTCGTCCATGAGAAAATAATGGGATTATGTGTCATTGACTAATGTAGAATAATCTTTCCTCTCGTGTCATTCACTTTTCTTATCACGTAGAAGACTGATTATAGAGAATATCAAATACAAATAAAATATGCGAAAGAGGTTTGTTGTGTAAAATAGCATCTGATGATGAGTATATCGCATTTATCAATATTATTTTTCTTCAAATGAATTGTGCTTTTTCTATTCGGAACAATTCGACATGCTCTGAATCTGTTATGCTTTTATCTCAACAACTATTTCGTTTCAATTTCTGTGCCCTACTTTTCCTTTTTTCGTCGGTGACGAATTTTATTTCAATCGCATCTGGTCTTATTTGCCGTTTATTCGTTGGATGGTTTGTTGATTCAACCAATATACGGGTCGATGTCTCTACAAACTTCGTGCGTTTTTTCTCAACGTAGCACGACTAGCCGAATTTAGGTTTATTCTTTTGGCAATCATTGATCAATGGTTACTGCTAAACCGGAATATTTAGTATCGTCGAATGAGTACGGCAAAAAATGGCAAATGAAGTATGATTGTTGTTTTCATTCTCTCAGTCATTGTATTTCCTCATATTATATATCCTTATGAACCAAACCTAGTTTACGCACCTTTACGATGTTATGGAGTGACACTTACCCGTCGTTTTGTAACCGACACACTATTTATACTTGGAAGTATTTTCATTCGGCTGGTATTGATGCTCGTCTTCGGATTGTTGACTATTCGAAATATACGCCAATCACAAAAATCTGCTCAACCAAACACTATCGTTTCGATGGAAGAACGATCGCGCAAAGTTTTCAGTAGATCTGATTATAACATCTACTGATTATATTATTGGTGCAGGTTTTTCTTATATTCTTATCTGGTTTGTCATTGGGTCTACAGAAGCTCTATGCTACTTGTAACGGGATATATTGCTATATTCTGACCTGTATGCGACCTTGACTTGTCAACACTAGCATGACCGCTATACTTGGCTGATATCCATTGTTCTCTGTTGCCTATATAAGCGTGTATCTCATAACTAAACAGGAGGTTGTTACGTGAAGAAGCCAAATAAAGTGTGTGTCATCATATCACGGGCAATTCTCTTCTCAAGTTTGTTATACTCATCAGTGCCATATGTGCAGGCGTTTGTAGCCAATAGGATGATGTTATTGATAATAAATTAATTTAATGTGTTCCGGGATCTTGTTGTGCTTCATATCCCATCGAAGCAAATTGCTCTTGTCCAAAATTCTTTGGTAATTTCGTTACTGATGCATATTTTTCTACGTGTAACAGTAATTTAAACGAACTTGTACCAGTTTTGGCTAATCTTCTGAGAAGAACATTTTCTGAAACACCATTCTATGGAACTGTTTTAGCATGTGCAGCTGCTTCCATGAAAGCATTGACAGTTTGTTCGAATGAACATCTTATAATTAGTCCAATATCTTGTCGATTAACATCATGTTTTGTAATGATCATTAGACGTCCTTCGTTGGCCATAACACCGCATAACAAAGCTAAATGATGATAATTAACACGAGAGCCATCAAAATGAGGTGACATGGTCCATTTCGCGATCAACTCCTTTTCGTACAGCTTCAATAACGAGTATGTCGAAGATTTCGATAAGATCATTTGTAAATGCTCGACGTGAATCGATATCTTTTGCTGATAAGACTTTTTTCAACGCTTCATCATCGGTTTACAACATCTGATCAACGATAATTATATTGTTGGTTGAAAGCTCTTTTTTCGACATGATACTTCGTCAATATAGTTGAATATATATGTAAAATGTCATTGTTTATAACATGTACTTCACGGAGACAGGAATATTGTCATATTGACCTTCGTAATAAACTTTTAAATTCACTAACTAAAATGATTTACGGGCCAACTTAGTACCATGCAAGGACTAGAACTAAGCCTGAGATAAGTAAATACATTTCTGACTGCCGGTACAAGTCTAAAGCGGAAGCAAGTACTTTAAATTTCATGCTACTAATGTTTTCAAGAAAAACATATTTGACAATACATTTTGTCGACAAAGTTATGTTCACTGAATGCCGTTCAACCAAAAACATGATACTCGAGCGAATGCAATCAATGATTAATGAATATAGTTTCCCGCTTACATGATTCAAATAAAAGTTTGTACGAATATCATTTGGAAACATTCGACTTTTTGAAATCATATTCTAGCATGTTTCCACGGCAAACTGATTTGTCAGTGTATACTGTGTTCGAAGTGAAATATGATACCATTCTACACACTGCGTTCTACTTTCCATTTATCATCAAGTAAAAATAGGCCATTTCTGATTAGTTCATTTATAACAGTATCTCATAATCCTATTCACTCTCGCAAATTACGTATATCACTTGATTCATGCAGCCAAAATCACACAGATCCAAAAGCTCATTCAGAATAATTGTACTATCAACTTAGATCTTCGCCAGAGAAAACGATATTTATCACAGCATGAATATCAATTGTATAGTGAGTAATCGTGTCAAGCAGGACAACATGGTTTAGCTAGACCTTTCAAAAGACATTTTGCCGCCAGAAGAGACAACGTCTCAATAATAGATACACCAACTGAAATGAAAGAAACGACAATTGAAGAAGTACAGATGGGAGTTCAACCAATGACAAAGACAAGAAACATGATAATCATGTGTCGAAGTAATTGAATATCTCGAGAACTGAATCTCTATGGGTGTTCAGCAACGTTCACTGTTGTTGATAATTCAGATTGTGGTTGAAGGCGACGTGCCGAGGATTTCGCATGTTGGAGGATGATCGTATTAACAATGACAATGGTAGATATGGAAGCTAGAATAACAAGCACAAACACATAGCAGTTCATCCAAGCTGGTAGGAAACAATACTACGAAATAATTTAGAAAAATAGACATGAAACTACCAGTAGAGCTAACGGGTACTTGATGTATGAAGATAGTTTCTGCATAGTACACAGGAGAACATGTGCTAGCTTGATAAAATCGGTGCACATTCACTTTTGTCGTAACAAAATACAGAAGTCAATACGATGAACAAGACAATGTGGCCACACACACACACACTACACGGAATCATGAACTGAAGGAGCAAAGTAAAGCCCTTTAAGATATAGGTTTCATATAGTTAATTAATTTACCTTTTCGATGAAATATAGAATATGACAGAATAGACGGACAACATACCTATAGATTTTTGAGAGAGTCATGGAAGCTTTCATTTAGTAAATACCATGCAGATAAAGTTCTCGAGGTATTCTGAGAAAAGTACTAATTCATGGTCATATACTCTTGACAACATAGATAGTCAAATGAATAATGCCTTTCTCACACACGCCGTTATTCTAATTGTAATGAACCGATATGTTCTGATAAAATTGACTCTTTCCTACGAAATCTAACAGCTTCGATCTGAAAGCTCATTAGTCTTTTATGAGACAACTTTTAATAACTGAGACATGACTTCAAATTGATTTATTTAGCAACGAGATAGAGTAAACTATGTTTTATTCAATATGTCAAATAGTGCGAAATACATTTTTTGAGTTAAGCGTAATTAATCAGTCTTCATTAAGCAATGCACCAATAAATCGTTTTAAACTTCGATTGCGGTTTCGAAGAAGGGCCGCTTGTTTTTCTTGTTGTTCTTCGACTTCGGTAATACAGCAGATTTTCTTGCCACATATCTCGAGATGTGCTGCACACACCATGCGACGACCCATCACGGGACAACATTCACTATCCCCCCGGCATACTTCTGCTCGTTTTTTGCATGCATTCGATAAAAGACCGCTACAAGAAAATAATTATTTCTAATTAGAAACAATACAAACTTACGATGCGACGGAAAAGAATACAATACAAATTGCCAATGATCCGAATAGTAATCTCATTTTTGCTCCTTGTGAAATCTTCGGAGTATTATATCAATATGCCTGATGGTTGCTATTTCGTATCAGAAATATGTCATAATGATTAACATACAATGAGTCACCGAACTGATAGGTCTCTGTGCCAATAGTTTCAAACGATAAGAACAAAAAAAAATATCAACTTCGCAAATAATTTCTCTGACGAAGGGTTTCTTTCTAAACACAGCTCGATAAAAATGCCTTTTAAAAGAACGCAAACGATGATTCAGAGGAAAAAGTGCCACTCTCCCTGTACGAAAATATACAATATCGATAGACTCCAAGGACATTTGTCAATATCGTAATCGATACAAAGCGATACGAACTCAAACGATCGTTTTCTACTCCTTCATGTGTTAATCTCCAGATCAAATAAATATCTTTTTATTCGAAATAATGGCGAAATGATCGATATCATCTAAATAACACATAAAAATAACTTTCGCAACATCGCCTGTGTATTTCTACATGAAAGCAATGTGCAATGTGTAAAAAACCATTAATCTAACACGAAGTAAAACGTTCTTTTTTAAGAAGAGATTAAAACAAGGCAAGTGAAGATATGAATTGTTAATAACATTTTGTTTTTGTATTAATTATCACAAACACAAAACACACACACACGCACGCACACAATGGGTATCGTCATCGTCCATCTCATCTTGTCGCTATTAGTTTAGATCATTCGAACAGAGAGTTAATATAAAGAACGGAAAAATGCATAGAAAAATAAAGTGAGCAGAAGAAGGAAAACAATGTACAAAAAGAAAAAAAAAGAATGCATCACCGATTTAGGCTGGCGATTGTATTGTTCGAATTTTGTATACCACTATCATGACTATCGTGTTGATCATGTTCGATTGAGGATGGTGGAAGAGCAGCACCATTCGTATTGGCAAATTGAAATATTGGACATGTGTTGGCAACAACTTCGAATGCATCACGACGATCAATATCGAGTAGTTTTTGTAGAAAAGTTCGAATTGTCAATGACGAGTGTTTTCGTCCTAATTCTTCTAGTAACTGGTCAGTTTTCGATTGATAAATATCATCTTGATCAAGTTGAGGAATTAGATGTTGCTGTTGCAGTGCAATGGCCAGAAGACACCAATCTCGACCCATTTCGTCCTGTTTGTCAAATAGACGGCAAAGTAATTGGCGAGTTTTCAATGAAAATATGGAAATGGGTAAATCGATGCCCATGATTAAGTTTGAAAAGATTCCATCCGAACCACAACACAACAGTTCAATAAGATCTTCATCGAATTCAATGGTTGTAATGTTAGTTGATTCTTTAGATGACACAGTAGAATGGCAACTATTCAATGAATCACTTGAATGGTGTTGATCAATGATAGTTAAACGAGGATTATTGTTTCCATCAAGTACTGATGACTAAAAGATTTAAATATACGTGTGAACATCTAAAACTTTCGAAATACACGAACCTGATTCGCTGCATACTGCTTCATCAATGTTTGAACAATCAATTTCGGTGAATATGTTCGATAGTATGGTGATGTATTTGGCTTACTCTCAATTGCTGAAAATGAACGTATGGAAATTGGTGAACTAGGACTTAAGCTTGCAGAATCTCGATCATTGGCTGGCAGTGAAGTCATATAACCTAATGGACGTCGTGTTGTTGGTATCATCAATGTGTTTGATGTTAAGGTTTGATTTAAATACAAATGTTTACTTGCGATGTAATGATGTTCAATTTGTAACATTGGGCACATTTGATTGAAAACATGTTCAATTAATGAAAGCACATCATGAAATAAATAAAAAATCTGTTCGCGGTTTTGCATCTGTCCGCGAGCTTTCAATTCTATATGTGTCGGTGGATTCTTCGTTAATAACAGCTCGATCATGCCCACGACTAATTTCGATCCTTCTGTCCATTGGAATAGTTCCACGTCATCACCACCGCCATGCTGAACAAACTCATTCGACATAATTAAACGACGAAGTTGTACCTGAATACGAGGAAAAACTGACCAAAGTAACGACGGCAATGTCCGACTATGGATTTCACAACCAATGTAAATATAATGCACCCCGGAACGTTTTTCCCAAAGGCCAGGCATGATATCAATGAAGTTTAATTGAGGAAATTCGAATTCGTGCTCACCATTGATACTAATCTGTGTGCAAAGATCGTATGCATTGAATATTTGTAGAAGATCTAGCGGATTTGATATCTCAGGAAAGAGAGTTTGAACATCACTCAATGCAAATGTTTCATTCGATGACGATTGGCGTTTGCATATTCGTTGATGACTGAGCAAACGACCAAGAATATTCTGACAAAGCCAATTTGGATCGAAACAGATTAAATCTTCTTGAGGATCACCTTCCAGATACAGAACCTAAACAATTTCAAAATAACATATGGTCAAGACGAATCAGTCAGATCAATTTACTTCTCCCATTAATTGTAACTGTTGAATCAATTCTCTCATATGTTCATCACTTGCTAATGGATTGACTTCTTGTCGAACAGAATCCAGAAAACGTGACCAGGGCATAACTGGGAAGTTTGCGTACGTTTTTCGCCATTGCTGTTGAATATGATATGTGCATCGATCGAGAAAAACTGTTGTGCTTTTCAATTTTTGACAGATTCGGTCCTTGTAAGTGTTGAAACATGTTATTAGATTTTTTATCGATTGTGTCCAAGCAGCACGAGCATCCAAAAGGAAACTTTTCTCGTAAAAATCGAAATCGTTCATATAATGACTTTTAACCTTCGTCAGAAGACTTTGAATTCGTTCGCATGTATAATCTCCATCGTCAGATTTTGTACAATCAACAACGTGATCAGCATGAGTACCAATAAGAACTATTTTAGGTAATTGAGCACCTCGACCATTCAAGCCTAGAGATTAGTAAAGTAAATATCATCAAAGAACGATAGAAAATAATGATAAACCAACCAAATGGTTCTTGGACGGATATTCGAACACGAAGAAATTCAAGCCAGTATGAAAGGTGTTGTTCGATCTGTTGAGCATCATCAAGCATATTGAATAACAGGACATGAATACAATTGAAATCACCAATAAAATGATCATAAACGCAATGATACATTTCTATCCCAGCCTAAAATAACAGAAATCACTCGAACTTCTTGTTTAATCTATGAGATTACTTACAAAATCCCACACACTGTATTGTCCACCACCTGAATCGATATGGCAAAACTGTAATAATGAAAATACACGTCAAATGTTCGCTTTACCTGTACATGTTATCTGTTGAACGCCTACACCTTTTGAACTATTGGTATTGAGAAATTCGGATTCATCAAAAACTACCGATTTTCGATTTCCTAAAATAACAGGTTAGCTTTCATTGTCCATTTGCGTTTTCACCTTACCAGCCAATCTTCGCGTACTATTGAGACGATTTCGTCGGAAGAAACTGTTCAGAAATGAACATTTCAAACTATCGACCAATGTTGTTTTTCCTAGAAAATGATATTTACAAAATTATCATCCAGATTCTCAACTTATGTACTCACCAGAACCACAACTGCCAAACATTTTCAATTTGATCCTGCGCAATGGTTGTTTCGTTGGTGTTAATTGTTCCATGAAAACCGTTCGATTATCCTAAAAGAGATGATTTCTCATCAGTATATATTCAATGTTTCTATTTACCATGCTTAGTGATTTAAGTAACTGAACGATTTCTGCATTACCATTGATTTCAGCTAATTGACAAGCAGTTCGATCATCCTATAAGAAAGACAACGAAGAGATTACCATCAATGATGCTCACATAAGCTCTTAAAAACGAACTTTATCTAATATATTAATATTTAAACCAGCTAGACAAAGAAATCGAGTAATTTCAGTATGACCATGCCGAGCAGCTAAATGTAATGCAGTTGCTTCCGATTTATTTCGTACATCCAATCGACAACCAAATGCAACTAATGCTTCCACAATTGGTAAAACACCTTCTTTGCTAGCATAGTGCAACGGTGTTTCATTGTTCTACAAGAAATTTTCTATTTACAAAAAGTGACTTAATTTTCTCGGCTTACGGAATCGATAATGTTGATATTGCATCCAGCATTGACCAATGCTGTAGCTATCGGAATCTGTTGTCGCCGACAAGCATGATGTAATGCTGATAAACCTCTCTACAACGGTAGAAAAAAAAACACGCTTTTGTCATAGTCTGATGAGATTTTGTTTTGTACTTTATCCTGAAGATCTAAATTGGCTTTATTATCGATTAAAATTTGAACAATTTCCGCATTTCCGCGTTGGGCAGCACAAATTAAACCTGTTTCTCCTTCCTATGAAGACAAGCGGAATTGAAGTTGTTCGATGCTCAACATTCATTCATTCATTCTTACTTTATTTCGTATATTCAAATCTGCTCCAGCTCCACATAGAATCCGGCAAATTCGAGAATAATCATGCCAAGAAGCAAGAATTATTGGTGTTTCTTCCTCCTAAAGGGAATTTCAATCAAGTAATTCTTTTTTTCATTTCGTAAAACAACTTACATCATCTTGACAATCAACATTTCCACCTAATCGACAGATATGTTCCACTACATGTGCATGACCATATCGAGTAGCAACGTGTAAACTAGTTTCGCCATTCTTTGATTAGAAAGACAAAAAGAGCATTGAAATAATCGATCATCATTAGTCAAAGGTTAATCTACTCGATTTGATATGTTGATAGGCACGCCTTTTTCATGAAGAAAAGTAATTATTGGTACATGTCCTTGTCTTGCTGCCCAATAGACTGCATTGTTTCCAGACTAAACAAGCATTCTTCGTGTCTAACTACCTCATTAATCATTCTGTTCACTCACCCCATCAGTAATCAACAGATTAGCTTTGCGTTCAGATAATAATTTTACAATATCCACATGACCAGCGCCACAAGCAAAATGTAATGCCGTTTCGCCGTGCTATTCAATTACATGCACGCGCATATTCTTCAAGTTCCGGTTTCTTGATTTGATTTCTCTTACTTTATTTTCTTTATTCACATCAATACTAGCTAGATTGCATAGTTTTTTAATATTCGTTAAATCACCATCTTCGGCAGCACACAGGAGAGCAGTTAAGACGAAATCATCATTATCCTAGAATCGAGATTTATTAGTTTTCCTTCTAATGTTGTTTATACCTCAGCATATGATCGACCAGATGTATTGGTATCTAAATTGTCTAAACTAATAGCGGATGAGATGGACGACAGACGTAATTGTGACTAGAAGAATGCAGATTGATTACATCACTCTTGCATGGAAAGTGCTTACTTGTTTGAAGATTTTGTTACACAGGCTGATCGCTTTCACACACCTCTATTCGAATGAGAAAGAAAAACTTTGTTAGATATGCTTGTTCGAGAGAAATTGATAGAAATTAATCATGCTATTCTATAAATAGGATACACGGAACAAAAATAACATGCGAGGTAGGTCGGAATATAGAATAAATACACAGCAGATACGAGCTAAATACCCTTCTGTTTAGAAGAGGTCGTTGTTTTGACGATTTTTTTCAATTTCCGTGTTTTAGTGGTCACTTTTTTCAAAGTGCCTTCTTCGGTTTCTTCATATTGTATATTGTCCGACTTGGAGATTTTCAAATTTTCATCTGTATGAACTTTATTTTGTACGGTGGTTCGAACATTTTGTCCTGTAGCTTCGTCAACGGACTCGACCACTTTGGTATCACTTGTTTGTGAGCGTGAATGTTGATCAGATACAACTTGTTCATTTGGCAAAGGATTTTTCATTAAGGAAACACCTGTGTCTCCTCGACGACGTTGATGGTGTTTAGTCTCATCGTCATCGTCGCCTTCTTCATTTTCTTGAAATGTTTCGGCGAATTCGGTCGATTTGATTTGCTTCATTTCAATATTCGTTGGACAACAATGTACACGTTTACTTGGATTGACAACTTCACGATTTTCCGTCTGTTCGGAATCATTTTCCGAATCGTCAGTTTCGGAATATTGCCCTTCGTATATAGCTGTTTTACCCTTACGTTCACTATGCTTAGCAGACTTAACATTCCCGTCTCTATCTATCTTCTTGGTTGTCACAGTGCGAAGTATACGTGACTCGCAATGCATCTGTACCTTCCAACGACGACGCGCGATGAACGATTTAAATGATGGCATATTGATTTGAGCATTACGACGTTGTTCTTCATCTTTTCGTCGACGAGGCTACAAATCAACGAAACGATTTTCGATTACAATTCAATGAATGACTCATACTTTAATCCATGGATGGTTGAGACAATCAACAACGGTAGCACGTTGACTAAATAATCATATAAATATAAACCTGCATCGATTTCTATTCTTATATCAACTTACCGAGGATTTTTAACAAAAAGCTGCTGAATAAAATCTTTAGCTAGATCACTTGTATTGGCGAAAAATTCTTCGTCGAAACGATAATCAACTTGAGTAATATTAGTGAAAGTTTCTTGATTTGTATTGCCAAGAAATGGCGAAGCACCGCTTAATCTAAACAAAAGAAAGAGATATTCGATTACATAAACAATCATCTGACTTACAGAATATATGTAATGACACCGATACTCCACATATCTGTTGCTAGTGTAACCGGTTCGAAGGCGATCACTTCGGGAGCTAGGAAAGAGTTACTAGAACTGAAGACATGATCGTCTGAGATGACATACCAACGAATTCTGGTGTTCCGAATGTTTCTTTTGTTGGTTCGTTGGGTCGAAGTTTTCTCGAGATGCCAAAATCGATGATCTTTATTTGAGTCTTATTCTTCTCCAATAACATAATATTTTCCGGCTAAAAAGTAGGACAACGCGATGTTTTCCAAGCTTTATATGATTTCATGGCATACTTTCAAGTCTAAATGGACAATGTTCTTTTCGTGCATGTGGTGTACACCCTCAAGAATTTGCAGAATAAATTTCGCAGCTTCTTCTTCGTTTAAAGTGTCTTTTTCTGCAATGTAATGAAACAATTCACCACCACCGACTCTACAAATAGGAAATTTTAAGGACTGATCTTCAAACAAAGCTTCTCGTTTGATACGTACAATTCTAGCACTAAAATAATTTCATGTTTGTTTTCGAAAACATCGTGAAGTGTGATAACGTTGGGATGTGGAGCTAATTCATCGAGAATTTCCGCTTCACGGAGAATTTCTTCACGTTTGAGACCTCGTTTACCAGCAATACATTTTTTCTTGCGAATAAATTTGCCAGCAAATTCACGTCCTGTGCTCAATTCACGCACAAGTTTAACAACAGCAAATTGTCCGCTAAAATATACGAAGCACTTCTTATTCGTTCGAAACGACGTCAATAAGATGTAACTGTTATGTACTTCGCCTACATCGTGACATTTTCCCATGTTCGACTATCTTCATCAGACATCGAGAGTGATAGATGAGAATTATTCTGCCACCTAAGGCAACGATCGTCATGTACGTACATATGTCACCTAATTATTTTTTTATTTTTCCGATATGCAGATCTGTGTGTAAGATTTATGATTTGGTTCTAATTAGAAGTCGAATGGTAGACAGTCGATCTGACGAAAAAGGAAAATCAGAGGGTAACATCTATCAGTACTGTATCTAGTGCGATATCGAATAAATCTTTTCCCTTCCGTCCGGTTTTTTCTTGTCATGTTGTTATAATTTCTTTCGACGATGATGTGTGCATACAATGAATGTGGACCAACACAATGAAGCTTCGTGCAAATAGTAACATGAACATGTGAGTGTTTGTAGATCATAAACGATAAAAGTTCGTTTATGTGCAAATCGACAATTAGTATGCATACTTCATCACTGTCTCCTTCTCTCTATAACGATTCTATCTGTCTTTTTATGTCTCTTCCCTTCTCTAACAGATGTTCTTTGTTTAATAACTAAAGAAACATAAAGCCATTATCTTCTGGAAGATACAAAGATGCATATGTATGTATGCATTTCTGTTAATTGTTAGAAATATCAGAGATTGTTCTGTTTTGTATTTCACTATTGCATCATCTGACAATGCATAAAGAAAATAAACGACATTTATGTCTATTACTTATACTAATTCTTCTATCGTTATCTCTGGAAAATAAATAAAACAAGAGTGCAATAAAATCAATTCAATTCACTAACCTTCCGAGATCATCTTGAATATCATAGAAATTATCAAAATCGTCTGTGATAATATTTAGAACCATGGTCGATGAGTTTATCGAGGTGTATTTACATTAAGAATTAGTTGACCTCATGATCTAAAACATCGGAAAAATATGTCGAGAGATAAACAAAGCAAAACATGTATTTATTTAAAGAAGAAATACATATATATATATACAGTAACGAAAGATACGATCGAATATGTAGAGTAAGAAAAGAAATCATCAGAATGATAATCCTCGCTACGACTAGGAGAAACACGACCAACTGATTGAAAAGAATCAAGATGAGATGAAGAGAAAGAAAGCGACGAGGAGAGGATTTTTCTTTCTTCCTTTCTTTCTTTCTCCTAGTAGAACTGGCTCTCGTTGTTGTTTTTTTTGTTTCTCTTTTCTACTCAACTACTACTGTACAGTTTTTTTCTTAACTGCCGCATACATGTCGTTCTCGACCAAAAAGATAGTTATCACATTCCTCTTTGCTCTATCGATGTCTATTTTTATTCGTAACGTGACACATTCCGAACAAAATTGGTCACGAAGCAAATTGTTCAGTGAAGATTTAGGATATCTTATGTTAAATGATTGCTGATAAGCATAATTTATGCTTGTTCATTGTATGTGCCCTATTAAACGAAGAAAAGAGAAAGATAACAATAGGATGGGGAATATTTCTATGGCTTACTTCGATTTCGCCTATTCTAAGCACCACCTACGTCTTAATTATGTTGTTTTGCTTGTCTGATAGGAAAGAAGAATATCTAAGACCCAAAACAAAAGGAAAGCGTGAATAAACATACTTTAATTTAGTCGAACGAAAATCGAATGAATCCTGCTGGCGAAACATGAATTCAAGGTATCATCAGAAGAAAATAAATTACGTGCAATGATTCTGTAAGCAATTGTATTGAATTCCATTTCTAAACATGTGTCAAGACATTTCGTCAATATTGAAATCAAATCTGCTTTGAGAATCGTAAGACATACGAAGGTTTTTAGCATAACAACATCTTCTATTCGCTGATGAGGAAAAGATTTTAATTGTAAATCATTTCGAGCATATCGAAGCAGAACATACGGATATGTCAGTTACCATCTGTATCTCCGATGATGAATAATCTCGCTTGACTCCTACTGCTACTGTACATGAATAATAAAAGATACTTTTTATTAATGAAAAAAAAAAACTAATAGCATGTCGCAGAAACACTATCTTACGCATAGTGTTATTCTCAAAAGATTTCAATAAGAAATATTACTTTTCGGATTTTCTCGATCGATACTTTCTCAACTGATAAGCAGCTATATCGTTATAAATTACATTCCCAAAAATAGCACCCTTGGTACATGTGATATTTCTCCATGGGATACGTCGGCATGTATTAAAAATAAGAGCAAATCTCGCTGATAAGACTTTGAAAGAATTGAAAAGTCACTCAGTCGACACATGCCAACGTATTCATCAATGAACACTCTTACATCATCGATAGTCAACTTCGAAATGGAAATAAATGAAAAGATTACGTTATAGACCAGATAAGACATGTAAGAAAATGCTTTCATACAAATCATTTATCAGCGGAAATGCCCCGAGTGAAATTAGTTTCCGTTTGAAATTAATTGTTTTTTTTTCTGTTTGATCGATTTAGATATCGTTTAATTGTTTCATACCTCTGCAAATCAAGCGATTTGTCTTCCACATACGTCGAAATAATGATATTTCTTTTCAATGAGAAAATGTAAATTAACATGAAAATCGCTTACCTAACCATCCGTTTCCTATTCCATCGAGGTTCCACTTATCACATTATCTCTAATTGTAAAAGGTTGTTTCTTTCTTTCATTCGAAGGATATACTTTCGATTTCACCTTATCATCAATACCATCAGCATTTGCTTCCCAATCAGTACGAAGACAATCCAAGGTCGATATTTGAATATTAGTCGAATAATAGATGACTTTTACTTGCATAGAACCGATGAGTTTTGAATGATGTATTTTTGTCGATTTTATTGTGATGAAAGAAGCTGAAGGGCCGTCGTCAAGTTAAAACTAATTTTGTTTCTTCAGTTCTTCCGATGTATATTGAAAAGGTTTCAAACTTTTTTACATCTCAACTGCGCTCGATATAAAATCTAAATTTATCAAAAGAAAAAATAAACAAGAGATACTCACATTGATTATGACATTTATTTTCGTGTTTATCGATTGATATAGAAAAAGAAAAGGTAAAAGTTGATGTTGTACGTACTAAAGCTGTTCTGTTTGTTTAGAAAAGTGATATATACTTACGTATAGATATCGCTAGATGTCAGTGATAATTATAAGCATATGAAAGCGAGTGAAAAGGACGCGATAACATATATATACGTACACGAAATTCTGTTTTCTATTTATCAGGATAGAAGTATTAGGTCGAGAATAACAAAGATTTATCTCCGATGCATTTTGGTATCAATTGAATTATCTTTGTTTGTTTTAATATACTTGTGATAATCATCGCGAAGAGCATTGTTATCGCTCGGATAACGGCGACGGAAATGTCGAATTCATTGAAGATTGATTTGCTCATAAAAGTAATAATGATTATCAAGAATTCGTTTATATGTTACAGACAATTGATCTTTAACACGCGAACTCTATACAGATATGATCTTTTAACATGAAATCAAATATTCTCCTGTTATTAGCACTAGATTAAACTATAAGAAGGAGAATAACATCTACAAGATGCATGAGTTGCAGTTCGAATTCCTATTGTTGTGCTGAATGCGGCGCGTGTTGGTTGACGTTTTATCTCTAGAATGTGTTGTATAGATTAGTAATACACTGTAAGAATCGATGGACTTATTCGAAGTACTGCTACGTGCTAATTGCTGTGATTTATTCAAGGATAAAGATTGAAGAGGAAGCAGAGACAAACAAATATCAGCAGACATAACAGACTTTATGCGAATCATCTACTTGATGATTTCTTGAGGGTGAAGGTGTAGATGATTAGAGAATATCGCATTGTAATGTACCTATCAGTTTCTCCAAATCACACGTCATTGCTCTTTGAGATGCTGTTGCATTTTCACAGTATCTGTTGGGATTGATAATCTTTAACATTTCTCAAGATCTTTCCCATTTCAAAACTATTTCGAATGATTGCTTTAGTGATGTGACTACCTGATGCATGAAATGCTAAAACAAGCAAATCGATCGGTAGCAGCTCATACTCTCTTTGCAAATATTTATAGATTGAGTATCAAACGAAAATCAATTCAAGATGGTTTGAAGAGAACAGCAGTTTTTCCTCGAGGCGAATTAGATCTTTGAGGGTGAGATTTATACAGTAGTTAAACAAGGTCAAACTATGTTAGATTTGATGTTATGTGACTAAGACTTCGCATTGACAAGAGAACATTTAATTCTTCTTGTTTGTATTTAAGTAACGTCTTTTTTAGTTTTAACGTGATAGATCAACAACAAATATGGTGACGAACAACACTGCAAAATAAAGATTTAAAGAGATGAAATAAAATATTTGATGTTGAACGAGTTTTAATAGGCGCGATTTGTTCCTGATCGTTGAGATCGATCTATTCAATAGAAGACAAATATCATACGGAATGAATGAATTATTTCATTGCTTACTCCAGTTTTGTCCACCGCCACCGCTGTTGCCGCCTCCACTAGTTCCTTGATTGCGTTGTTGTCCTTGTTGTGCTTCTATAATAAAAGCAGAATATGAGATGATCTTTCGAATGAAGAAGAACGTACGTTGATTTGGTCTTGAATAAAAGTTTGGTTCACCACCACGTAGATTAACGATTTTTTCGTTTTGCTCATACAATTGGAAGATCTTCTCAACGAGTTGAAGCGAAAGTGCTTGTGTTCTCGAAGGATCTGTATGATGCATTATAACAGTTTGATTTGGTTCTTCAAGTGAAGCCTGAAAAACAAATTATTTTCATTCATCGATCTACGTTTCATTCAACAAATGCGATTTTACCATGAGTTCTTCGTTGATAATCATTTTACTAACAATACCATAGACTTGTTTAACCGGTAATTCAAACATATCAGCTAATGTCGGCATGGAAATAGCATCGTAAACCGTCGCATAAGTAAACAAATAGGTACGTAAAGATTCTTCTTTGATTTTATCAATAAGCATTTTGCGTACTTCTGCTGCTTGTGGCATTAAATTCCAGACCTAAAGACAAATGACATGGATTTGTGCTTAAAAGAGTTCGTCAACCAAATCGGTTGTTCATTACCTTTCCATTCATTTTTTCATTGATCAAGAAGTTAACACACGCACTCCAATCACCGGTTTTCATTGCTCGACTTGCAGCAACCACATGTTCACGCATGGATTCCGGTGGTCCGAAAACAGGTTGTTTTTCAGCTTGTCGCATTTGTGTATGAAAATGTTTACTAATTGGTCGCTTTCGTGCATAACATTCATGAGCTAGAGAAAAATCTTTCTATGAATCATTATACTTCTAAATGAACATATTCTTACAAGCCATAAATGGAATTTCGATTAACATGGCTGAAACTAGATAAACACATTCAATTAATTCTAAGTTGATGTGCATATGAAATGGTAGTAAACGTTGTCGTTCTTTCATTTCTTGATCACGTGTTCGTTCTTGATTACGAAGCATTTGAACACCTTGTGCTAACGATTCTTTGGCACGATTGCTCGATTGCATATCGACTAGTGCTTGATGGGCTTCACGAATCGAACCGAAACGGAATGCGCATAGACCTAATTGAACAATCGTTCGATTGTATAAGATTTGTGTTGAAACATCCGATGAATTAATTGTGTCTTGCATATGACACATCAACATTAAGTCACGTGCTTCGTAGTAATGGTCGTGCAATGCTAAATGATACACATGGCAAAGACTTGCACGAGCTCGTAAACGATTCAATGAATCTTTTGCATAGATATATTTGCAAAGACGATCCATTAAAGCTACAGATGGCTGACCGGATGTTTTATCATGTTTGTAATAGAGATGTTCAATAACACACATGTATGCTGTACATAAATGTTGTGGTTGAACAAGTTGTACTGCACTCGTGTGAGAATCACCAGTGATCATAACATTTTTCTCAGCTTTTGATTCGAGATACGTCTTCATGCGATCGATTATTGAACAAACGCGTAGTTCATCTTTTAAGCGTTCAACATAATCTTGACTATGAGCGTCAGTATTTTGTAAAATTTTCGTAAATTCTTCATCCATTTTGATTATTATGGTTATAATATCACCATGAATACGATAGTCTGGTTCTTTCTAAATAGGACACACACGCAAATTGACTGTTGTAGACTTCCTTTCTTTGTGCTTTAACACCTTACTTTGAGATTTTCAGCTTCTTCACTGATATTTTCACTAATTTGAACTTCTTCATGTTTGCTTAATAATGTTAACAATTCATCGATGTAATCAAGCGCACTGAAACAAAGCAACAAACGAAAATGTTTGGAGATTATAGACTATTTTCGTACCGTGCCCATGCTTCAGGTTTCAAACATTCATTACTCTTGTGATGATAATCGAAGCTGACAGCAATTTGTATTAATAAAATCCTGATGTCGAGTGCAACACCCAAAGCTAGTTTTTCGACGTATAAGCGAAGGACCTTCAAGCATTCTAATTGATCTCGACGATTAGTACCACGTTTACCACGCATGGCAATGATTTCGTTGAGTTTTTTTAGAATCGCATCATGTGTGATTTCTTCGTCTTTGGCGAACGAAACAAGTTTTAGGACCTAAGACAAAAAACGAACTCCTCTATCGATAGGCAACGAAGAGATGCTTACATCTTGTCGAGGTTGAGAGTCTTTTTGTCCATCTTCATCTTCATCGTCGGATTGTTGAATTGGTCGATCGGGGCGACGTACTTTAGGCGTACGTTTAGTACCAGAAGCATCTTTGTTTTTGTTCGATTTTTCCTTTTCTGGTTTATCAGATCTAAAATGAATTTCCTTCATTTTGATCTTTTCACTTGTAGAGAATGGAATTTTACTTCAAGAATTTCTTGTAAAGTTCTTCTTTGGGTGCATCGACATCGATTGAACTGTCACTCGATTCGTCTTCACTTTCATCCCAGGAGACATCGCTGGACTCGCTATCGTCATCCTGAAAAATGGGTATCTGTGTCAGTAAAGACCTTTCCCTCATAAAAATTGCTCGTTTACGTCTTGCGGTTTGCTTTTTGTTGGAGCGACTTCTTCTTGATCTTCTTCACTATCAGCACTTTGTTCTGCCGATGGAACTTCATCAATAGGTACTTCTTCATCGCCAACATCAGGTTTCTATAGAATAGAGAAGTTTGTATTTTTTGAACAAATCTTTATATGAGAACAAACTTCACGATAAGCGTTGATTTCTTTCTCCAATGGTTCCTGTTTGAGAAATCGACGGATTTTTTGACGTAAAGCACTTAAATTATTCGAATTGTTTTTATTCAATGTTTCACGCCAATCTCGATCGCCCCAACACTAAACAAAAAAGAAATTTGACAATGGAGAAAATACAATGAAGTCTTTGTCATACTTGATTAACGAAGTCATCGAGTTGGGCCAACATTTTGATCAATGATCGTGGTAAATTTTGATCTTTTTCCAAAACACGTTTAGCTTTTTCATATGCTTTGACTAAGTTCTCATAACCTAGAAATCCATTTGAAAAAGTATAAATGTGTCACTGGAGAAAAGCTCTCTTACATTCATAGACCAAACCAATATCGCGAATGCGCATTGCATGTTTTATTTTCTTGATAATCTCTTCGATTTCTTCGTATCTAAACACAATTTATTCAAATTTAGTATGAAAATGAGCGTTTCAATACCGTTTCACTTTTTCACTACGTACAACACGCTTAACATCTTCTTCATCATCACTCACGGCGATGTATGCTTTGGATGCGCTAGAATTCAAAGGATGAGTAGATCGAACATGAACAATTTAGAGAAACACATACCCTTTTGCTGCGGTTTTACTAGCACCCTTTTTCGCTGTTGTAACTTGAACTTGCTGTTGATCATCACTCGATTCTTCGCTTGAAGAGGAATCGTCTTTGAAAAAGAAACGGTTACTAGCCATGGTTTTCTGAAAAAAAATCTTGATTTCAAGAGAAGTTCGATCGAATCATTTCAATGAAGAGAAATAGATCTATACTTGTATCTCGTACAAAAGATTAAAAATAAACAATCGGTTGGTATTACTCAACTCGTTTCTGAATGGCCAATATGGAAAACAGAAATCCATGTTGCAATTCAAAATAATAATATTACATCAATAGAGGACACTAGTTAGCAATGTTTTATTATAATTAGAAAAGAATCAGTGGAATATAAAAAGATGTATGAGTACATATGAAATTAACCACGGCCTGTGATTTTCTTGATTAGACTGGGTCGTTTCGAGCCGTATCGAATTTTAGTTTTTGTCTTTATTTTGGTCTTCTTCTTCACTTTGTATCGAGCTGATGATCGATATCGGGGAGGAGAGACACGTTGACGCAATTTTATACCATGAATAACACCTCCTTCGGCAGTTGGGGCGCAATAAGTTATTATCAGAATAATGACAAAGAGAAATACACAGATCGTACGAAGTGTAAGTCGCATCGGAGAGTGTTTGATTGAATTAAATGAAGTTTCAAAGCAAAATTTCTGTATAAATAGGAGGAGTTATAACGGAGAAAAAGATAAGGTTTTACGTATTTAGAATCAAATCTAATCAAATAAAAGCGATTGAATTTCACGACCTTCGATTAACGTGATGTTTTTACTCGAGTGTTTCAATGTACAGAAATGTAGTTTAAGAACAACCGTTTAAGATTCGACATGCCACAGTTTTCAATGATTAACGCGAGACTTTATTTTAAAAAGTGAATCATTCTGATTAACTAGAAAAAAATGGTTTTTATCCGCAAATGTTAGCTGGTAGATCAAGATAAAGTAATAAATTATACTCGACGCCAATTATTATTTTATTTCTAAAACAACAAAGATTTCAATGTATATGAGTTCGAACACTAAGATATATTGAACCATCAGCTTCGGTATATACCTGAAAATGATATTGATTCATATCACCTATTACGACTGAGCTCATCGTCCAACTAGTGAAGCGGTGCGTTGACTTGATTACGGTTTTTCATTAACTTTTGCAACGATAGATTTAACAAACTTCATACTAATAATCCCGATTGGAACATTAGATAGAATAAATTAATTGCATCTGCGAAAATCAAACAGATAGACAATACCTTGGTGTACCATCGTACTAAACGTCAGTAGTATAGCTGCGCGAGTATATATGAGCTCACTCAATGACTCACAGTCACTGATTCTTCCGTACTCTGAGCTGATCTTAGATGAACTTGTAGAGTAGGAAAGAAGCGATGTACTTCTGTATATGGGTGTAAAACCTGTTACCGACTGCTTGCCATCGAGTAGAGCAAATGTAAGAAGAAAAGATCATTACTAGGTTCGGTACCATTACTAATTTTTTTCCGGCGGGAGAAAACCGCTGGAAAATGCGAAGAGCAATACATTCAGTATTAACAATTCATATCTTCTGGCAAATTGTCTTGTTAGTATCTGTATCATGATTTTCTTCGAGCTTTTCCACTTTTTCGTTCGTTTTTTTTCAACACGAAATGCATGGATATCGGTAGCGACCAATCAGAGATAACGCTAGTATCGCACAGATAAACTTTGGAGGTGATATTTTTGTGTCGGACACGGCTATATTTCTGTTACGTAAATAAAAGCTTGAGTAATACAACAAAATATTTTTAAAGAAACATTTGACTGAGATTAAAACATACATATACAAACAATACACACCAGATAGTTCCACTGACATCAATCGAAAAATACAATAGTCTGATGTATAATTGTGAAGACGATTTACATTTTGCTCGTATCCTAAGAGACATACTCCAAATAACCATCGTATAAGATGTCCGCCTTTGGGTGTGAACTAGCACCGACATTCTGCACTTGTTTAATAGTTACACGAAGTCTATCATCCTGATTGGGCTTAGGTGGAGAAGTGATCAACAGCTCTTTCTTTTTGACTTCAAATGCCTTCGAGTCTACGTTTCTGCCGTTCAATTCAATGCAAAAATCTAAACACACCGTGTAAATAAAAATCTGTTTCAAATCATTGACAACTATCCGTTTACTTTTCTTTGGACAACGCACACTCAATGGAAAACTTATTCTCTCTCCACCCGTCGCACGTAATGCCTTGGGTTCTATTTGATTTGGATCGATTGATAGGTCTCCATCCCCTATATGACATATTCTAGTTTTAAAAAAAACATCTTGTAAAGTGCAATCTTACCTTGCTCGATGATTGTTGTGTAACAGGGTTGAGACAATAGTTCAAATTTACCGGGATCTAGTCGCTTACACAGATAGACCTCAAGCCTACACCGTAGTGGATTTTCTTTTTCAGCACCTCCTGCAATATTAGCGCGAGCATGTTTCCATTTGAACAAATGAACTTGTATCCTAGTGATGTACAAAAGTAATTCGATTGTAAGAATAGCTGTGCACGTACAATTTTTTCCGTGTTTTTCGCTCTTTACTATTGATTGCAGAGTAAACAGATTCATCTTCAGAGTTAAACTTATCAGGATCGCATTGTAGACATCTCCGCTCACCATGTGTACTTTCCATTTGTAAATAAACTTGATGCTTCATGGGTGCGACACATTGCCACGGATGAGCATGTCCAGTTTCTGTTACCGCTCGAATGCGAATATGATCCGCCCGGTCACTTAAATCCTTCAACTAAAAAGAATCATTTATTTGTGGCGATTTTCATCAAAATACTTCTATTTACTTCTATTTCAGGATAAACTCTTTGTTTCTGGTCGCTGGCTTGCACGAGTGGACAGTCCAGTTCTGCCAAATCCGTTAACATACGAACACGTCGATATCGCGTTGGATGTACTTTTATTTTAAATGAATCACATTCATGTGGTAGGTCAGCGATTGTTTCCGGTTGCGGTTCAATTAGCGGCGCTGTCCCTTCGGTATTTTCAGATAAAGCAACTGGAGCAATCATATTTTTCTGTGTATTTTCGCGTCGCCGTCTTCGTTGTTTTCGTGGCATGAGAATGCCTTGTGGAATTGATTTTTTTTCGCCTGAATCGTTTTCTGCTGCTGACCGACACTCATCAGTTTCCATAGGTACACTTTCGGACACCGGTTGCACTAAAAATCGTAAAAATACTAGATAGACCACATGCAAATTAAATTGAGAAAGCGACTTACGATGATCTGGAAGCATTACCGTTAGGAGATTACAATGTGGAACAAATTCGTTGGGCGGTTTTAATGTTGCTATGTTGCGCTCATTCGCAGATGGCGAAGACAAAAATACATTTAGACTATCAGATCCTTCTAATTCTTGGCCATCTACTGTAGCATCATGATTTTCACTGGCATCTTCAACATGCATAGTTCTTCTTTGAGAAACTAAGAATAGACATAAAAAATTGTATACTTAATGAGAATCACAAAAACTTACTTTTGTTATTAATCTCATTTAGTAAATAGGCGACATGATTTAAACTATCCATGTCATCTGTCGTGAAGGTCGTTTTTCGGAGATCATCAGTAGCAGACACAGCATAGAATGGTGCAAATAACGATCTGTCAGGTTGATGCATTATATACGCAAGATCGCGGCGACGATGCTCCCTTTTCTCTCGGCTTGCAGTTCCACTATACGAAACAATATCCGATCGAAAAATAGGCATATCATCCTTGACAGTTATGACGTGGATCACAATTTTGTACAAATCAGCATATCCATTCATCAGATGGCGTAACTGTTCTGCTTTCGAAAACCATGATAGACGATTTAAAGTTTGTCGCATCCAGAGTTCTACAGGTTTCTTCTGCATTCTATACTTTGCCACGAATCCCATACATTGTGGTAAATTGGTCCATCGATCGCTTTGTACCGGAAGTGACCATGGACTAAAAGAATTGAAGATACTTTCTCTTTTGTGAAGAATAAGTTGTGTACTTTGAAGAAGAATCCGTTGATTCAATAGATAAGCCAACCTCATTCGAATAGGGTGACGGTGTTTTTCTCCCATCTCCGTCAAGTTGTCTTGTATCCGTGGACATCGAAGAACTTGTTTGATCCATTTAAATGGAGCTGTCGAATATATGTTACTTTAAAAAAATATCTGCAATGCGATGAGTAATAATAATAATAAGAATAGAATAAGAATAACAAGGTGGTGAGAAAAAAGTACTATTACGTAGACGTTATGCAATCTCTAATTTGGTTTTCACCAGCTGATTTGCTAGCTCTCAGTCAGTTGTGATTGTGAAGATATATTCGATACAAAGTCAGAGGAGAAAGTGATTTCGGCAACCAATACTATCATCAGATTTATTTCTGAATTTACTACGTTTCTCAACCTGCTCCAATTAAAGTGAATTCTTAGAATGACATCGAATCTCGAGCAAGTAAACGTTACGATCAACATTCGAAATAAAAACAAGTGTGTCCGTCTCTCGATGGATACGTATTGATGAATATTTCTGGATGATTTCTGTACATCTATTTACATGCTGAAGGCCATTTACACTGTTTTGCATGTAAGATAAGCCCCTCGTGTTTATATAATGCATTTCGTATTCGGTTTCTTTTTTCTTTCATTCGTATCCATGTACGTACATAAAATGAAGGTGAAGGCCTGCACAGTAAACAACATTCTCTAATCTATACATACCACAAGTCGACAATATCACCGTTTGAAAAGTATGTTTTGTAATTACAATCTTGAAGAATTTTTATACGAGAATTTCTCGACCAACCACTGAAACCCAATAAAACTTCATCAGCGACATTTTAGTAGGCGCATATTTTTACTGTATTCATGGGTTCTGTAGCCTGACTTCTTCTGAGATATTCTATACCTTCTGCAAGCAAACGAGGTTTACACGTTCGACCACAAAAATCTTATCTTGTACACACTCTGTTTTACATCAATGAAAATCTATAAGAACAGCTTTTCTCTCAGTCGGTGCACCAGGATATGCTGACGAGATTGGTTCGTATACCAAAATCCTCTGAATATTAGATCAGAAGGGTGAGAAGAACCAAACCGGGATCATAGCTCATCAAGCTTCTCTTCTTGATATGCTCGCTTTTTGAAGAAAATATCGTTACTATTTACCGACTCATTCGTTTTTTCATTGTATATTGTATTTGTAACACAATATATTATCTCTATCCCTGTACAGCTGTAGAATAACTTGTGAGATACAAAACAAAACACATGCACGTATTATATTCAAAGCAGTTTACCAAAAAAAACGACTTATAAGCCGACATATAAATCAGTAAAAAGGGATTTTCAAGTAGACATTAGCATTGTTCCATTGGACGTGCATGTAGCGAATAAGATTTATTTTGTGTTTTGAGACTTCGCTAAAAGAAGTAAAAAAGAAGCTGGCGAGTAGGGAAAAAGTTGAAAGATCTTACTTTCAACAATTGGTTCAGATAGTGATTCATGTGATACGCATGAATATACTTCGTTAACTTTTTCACAGATATAAAATGACAAACGACATTGGTTGAGTTTTTCTTCTTCAATTCGTTTTGTATTTAGCTGATTATCTTGATATTGATTGATCAGGTATACTGGGACCCTTTACGAAAATAAGCTATTAGAAGTAAGCAAACTATGATTAAAGCATACTGTTTCTCTTCTTTCCCGTGTTCGTCATCCGTAATCTTCATATAAATAATTTGTTCTTTTTCATCGAAAAATTGATTCGGATCGCAATTGCGGAAGTCAAGATAGCCAAGAATATTACTGTTTTTGGGAGCCTTCTCTATCCCTTGTGTCCCTTTTGGAAGGACAAGTTTTAATTCGTGTTTCTGGTTCTCCAACGTACGCACGGTACACGCAAGATACATGACTCCTCTTCCTTCTTCTTTTGCCGGAACCTTGAATAACACTTGAAAAATTAAATTTTATTGAGTCATTCAATCTTACTTTTACTGTCACTCGCGAACGTTGGCCACCCAAGCCTTGTAAAAGTCCAATGGAAATTTTTTTCTCACCCTTTGCTTTATGTTTAGGTATCAAATCACTTTGATAGCGAGGTTTCCAGCTTGGTTTAGGTGATACTATAATTGTTGGTCCCTCGTACAGTTTTTGAGACGCTTGACTTGAGCTTAATAATTGGATTGGTGCCAGTGCTGCATCATTGACAGGACTATCAATAGCTAAAATACACATAGAAAAAATATTTTAAAAAAGATTGATCTGTTTGATATTTACTTCTAGAGTCGCTGAGATCTTCTTCGTTGAAGTGGCCCACAGAGTAAGATTCACAATGGATATTTGAATTGGAGTTTCCAATAAGAAGATAAGAATTACCTGAAGCTTCACTCGGTAATTTTCTAGTTGTGCTCAATGGAAAAGTGTCATAAGCAAAAGTATTGAGCCCGTCTAAAATAGTTAAAAAGAGGTATTACAATGAATACTTTTGCATCAAATCGAGTTCACCTACTAGACAACATCAATGGAGATGAAAACAAATAGTCCAGGGACTGACTTTGATTGGATATTTCACAGCGATCATCTGCAGTTTGATCTCCATTCACGTTAGAATTTATACCTATTTTTAAATGAATCAGAACATAATCAATAATCATACTAGTAATTAACCATTTACTTTCGAGAATATCATTGCCGTCCGTAGGCTCCACGTCCATTTGTTCTTCTAAAAATGTTATCCTCCATCATACTGTTAAGTACAAACGAATAATTCACCTGTGCGTGCACTATCTGAGGCATCCAAACTGATACCTTCATTTGGCAGTTGATTTGAGCTTAGGTCTATTCATATATCGACATCACAACACATAATCTATCAAATAAAATCTACATACCTATTTTATTAATGCCTTCAACGTATTTATTCACCGATCTTTCAACGTTTTGGTCATTTGGTTCGAAGAGATAAGTTCGCCCTGTGTAAACGTTCCAAGTAAATAATCGGCCAAGCAGGGTACCATCACCATTAAGCACAATGTAGGCTACTTTAGTTTTGTTATCATTGTGTCCAAAACTATGATTGTTTTGGACTTGAAATATGCCGTTATGAAAAATAATATACCGCAAATAAATACGAAATAATCCATGAAAATTACCAATCGCTGAGGGCGACAATAAATCAGATCCATCTTTTTCGACATATGTGTTAAATCGTGTGGGTAGAGATTGTACATCATAAGCATTAATTGTCATATTATCGTCAGATATGCATTTCTCTAATATTAATCCATAAAGAGCAGTAGACACGTTATTTTCGACTTCAAGCTGGATCAAATAGTCGTCACTAGATTAAACGAGCTATTTAAAAAACATAGTAAGCATTTATAGTGACACATACCTTGCCATGCTGATAAATCTGTCGTAGTCGTCGACGATTTCAAATAGTCGAAATGAGGAGACGCACGATAAACACGAATATAGGAAGAGAAAGACACACGTTGATTCGATTTATAACGACCGTATATTTCAAACCGTGACGCGCTCGCTCCGACTCATGCAATTATTCATTTGAGTCGGAAAATGGGATGATTCACGACAATTGAGGACCCTCTATATTTTGCATATATTCACACGGAATGAATCGCCAAAAGATTTGGTTTGAGCACTACTGTGTTTTTTTTTCAAAGAAAGCATTAGGAATTGTACTGATTATCATTTACATGTTGAAGTGTGGAAATGAAACTGACTTTTTGTCGGTGGAAAAAGTATTTTCGCTGATGATATTGCCCTTTCCTTAGTTTCTTCCAATCAGAAATAGTCTCATCTACGCATAAAAACATGCAGTTTTACATGCAACCCCGTACAGGTAAAGAGTAAAGAAAGTGGATAAAACTGTATCGTCAAGATATCGCAAGAAAACCGGCCTCCAAAGCATGTATTTATGAAAATACAATCCATATAATTGGTAATCCTATGTGATACGCTTTTTATACATTATATTCGATGCATAGGCATAGCTGCGGTTCGATGAATCGACTATGTTCTTTGTTTTCTTTTTTACGAGTCACGTGCTGCACTGAATAAAATCTATCGATATCATAGAAAAATATCGCGTGTTCACTTTCTTCGTCTAAATCACTTGGTCGCGTAATGTCTTGCACTTATGACAGATTTCAAACGCAAAGATTCATAAAGGTAAGTTTACGCATCACATTGCGGAAGCAGCCAGTCCGACTGAGTATAAACTGCAGTAATTCGCACTTTTCTAAGTCGCTGTAAGTGTTATATTTCCGAGTTCCTGTTTATTGGCCCGAGCAACGATCGACGAGAAATCTCATGTTTTCAGCTTATAACAAGTTCGATGTATAGATGTAGGAACATGAGATGATTTTGATGCATGAAGGCAGTGCAGGTGACTAGGAAGATACCAACTGTAATATTACTTAAATGCATAATCAGTCGAAGTGTAATATTACATAGGTATATCGCGTGTCTAAATACGGGATGTAATATCTGACGTGGAAGCCTTCGCCGCACCATCTTATTAACTAACTGAATCCTTTCTTGAAAGGAGAATTTTTCATACCAGGAGCAGAAAAAGTGGAAACTTAAATACCTCTAAGAAGGTCCGTGTAATGTCACTATTGTGGCATACGTATTTATCGTTTTCTCTTTAATTTTTGTTGAGTAGGGGAAGACTTTTTGTGTGAAAATACATTTTGAGTATTTCAGCTCAATTGATCTATAGAGCGCAGAATACCTATGATATCAGATCTTTTCATATTATCAAGATGTGCCAAAAACTCCATTCAATATCACTCTTTACAAGAACAAATGTATGAATCAACTTAGAAGTTAGTAACATAGTTGAATAGAGTCGAATATCCTTACAAAGACTTTGTGTTGCATATTCTATCTAACAAAAGAAAACATTGCTTCCGGTAAAATCTATTTTAATACAGATTTTCAGTTTCCTTTCAGAAATCTTTGAAATGCATAGATACGGTCAAAGCAAGTAGACATTTAGTGTTTGAACAGATATTATTGATTAATAGACAAATGTCTATTTACAAAAAACTATAAAAACATACACAAAAATATCTTTGAACAGGTGACTATCGTAACGACTTGAATGTCGGACGAAGAAATTACTGGCTAACATCTTCATTGCTATCCACATCCATGCTACTGTCACCTTGATAAGATATATCGAATTGTGCATATGGTGACGGTATTCGCAATGGTCTTGTTGTTTGAGCAGATCGGGAAGGTCGAGACGACATTTTCTCTAAATAAACGAACAAATTGATATATGTAGAATTTCGAAACAGTTCGTCAGACTTACTCTCTTCGATAGTTATTGAATATGAGGGTTGAGAAATAGGTATATATCGTCCATTTTCTTGAATACAAAACCAAAAACACAATTTACATAGATGAAGTTGCTCGACTTCAATCAATTCTTTTGTTAATATTTGATTTTGGTATAAGTTGAACATATGAACACGGATGCTGAAATACCAAATTGATACAATACAGATCCTTTTTTCTCAGAAACAAAAGTAACTTACTCTTTTGATCGATTTCGATGTTCATCAGCACTGATTTTCGAATAAATACATCGAGTGTTTTTGTCGAAATAATCCGTAGAATTTTCATCAAAACTCAAACAATCGAGGTTATTATCATGCGTGAGAAGTTGTATATTCGCTGTTGTTCTAGCTGGCACTATCACTTTAGAAGGATGAAGTTGATTTTTCGTTGTTACTATAGTTAAAGCCAAATATAATTGTCTGTGAGATGCTGGAGGAACCTATATACGCAGAAAATTTCTGTATAACTATGCCTATGAATGGTGGAATACTTACAGAAACACGAATTGGCGTTCGTTGAGGACCGTTTCCAGCTAAGAATGGGAGATGTTGTTTTGCTAGATCTTTGGCGCTTCGATAATGCCATTCAGACTTTGGCTGTGTGATAATCATGGGAAAGTTATCTTCGTTTTCGATAGGGGTTTGTCTTTCATAGACAACGGAGCGTTTTATTGACAAATCAACAGGTGATGTCGATCGTTGTGTAAATGGAAATCGTTTGCTATGCATAGTTAGATCAAGTGGAGATGTAGGTGTTAGAGTTGGAGATGCGGAGACAGATGGTTGGTCACATTTGCATTCGGTATTAACATCTAAATGAAGTTGGTATTCAGATACAAACACATGTGAAAAGAAAACTCATGCTTACCATCACAGTCCATTGCTTTACCCATATTTACAAATAGCACTAAGGAGTTTTTGTTTAGGAAAAGAATGAAAATGGATAAATATAAATAAAGAATCTATCTGAAACAGAAAAAAAAGTCTTATCATGCGGGTGTCCTTGGACCGTTAATATAACTAAAAACAAAGTGATCATAAAAAAACATTAAAAGAAGCGCTGAAAAACTGTAATGAACCGTCTTGATTGTAAAACATTTTCCATGTCACACTATTAAGTATGTGAATCAATACAACAAGTTTAAATACGTTTTTATATGACGGCATGACATACGCAAAAAGTATTTGTACCTTTAAATCAAATACAAAACAACACACAACGCATGTCAGTTGCATGTGACTCATAGAATCCACATGGAAAAATTGTTTTGCGCTTCTAGAACGTGAGAAAAAAGCATCCGTGGTTACCTCACGCCCACACATTCCTGACGTCATGATGCTTTATTCATCCTGATTCATTATTAGTAAACGTGACAACAAGGGACAAACTTTAAATTCAGGGATAAATCATTAAATACGTGGTTATTTAACAGTAAAACAGATAATCACACTGACTCATATAATTAAATTTTAATTTATAAAGTATATATGCTCACTTACGCAAAACGAATATTTGTCTAGCTCTCATATTCCATCGAGATTTTTCTGATTTGCATTTATCTCTGAAAGCCTAGTAGTACCGACCTGTAATTTTCCGCGATCGATAGGTACGAGTATGTATTTGATCGATGGATGCAATTGAAACAGAAAGCTTGATTTGTTTTTTCGACATAAGAGAAGATTATAAGCATTTTCGTCGATTGACAAAGTTTGGATACCTAAGGGAAAAAGTTTAGTGAAATATTATATTTTAGAATTAAGAAGAGATTAGTGAAATTGCGAGGTTGGAAATGAATGTAGGATGAGATTCTATTGCAAGCTTTATATGCGAAGTTGGAAGGATACTCAAGACGTGGGATAGGGATGGGATGGAACGGCACGCGATAGATAAGACAAATATGTTGGAAATCTGTCTACATTAAGTTAACATTTATCTTTACTGATAAATAAGAAGGCAAAGAACGTGTTATCGAATACTCTACTATGAATAATTCGAAAGCTTGTTCGTGCTGGGAGAACGAAACTTCCTTTTGTAATTGATGCATGAGAAATAATCATCACTTTTATACATCGACACAATTGAATGATTCATTTCGATTTTTCCGACGCAAAAAATTGCCTAAATCATGACCTTAAACATGACAAATTTCAACTGTATTACTCAATATGTCGTATCAAGTGACAAAAGAAGCACTATGGATTTCTACATTCGCATTCGTCTGTAAAAAAATTAAAACTTTGAAGAATTTCAAAAAGTTTATAATTTTAAGCGGATTTGTCAACTGTAAAAAGTTATCATTACATATTCTACCAACTAATTGACAGCAGTAATTCTGTATTCTAGAACGTTCCTACAAAAGTGTTGATCATCTGTTTTCTTCGTACTCAATGGACCTTCTGTATAAATTTTCTCTTCGAACTGCTCTCTGCTTGGAATTTACACAATGTGTCTAACAAGCTGACATGTTTCTTACATTTTCATCTCAGCAGAATACAGCATGCACGCCGAAATACTCGGAATTATTTGTATCGACCTGTCTTTTATATCTATTTTCTCTTCTCTAACTGGCTCAGAGCACATGGAAAAAGCAAATGTTGTAATGCGACCGGAGTCATTCCATGATTCACTGATTGGTTCTATAATGGATAATTCCCTTACATACATGTAGCATCTAATGATTTCTCTCAGGTATTCTCAAATAAATATATATATAGCCGTGTCATATCGGTCTTACTAGCTCAGATAAAGAAAACTCTTGAACATCTGCATACAATTTTCACAAAAACAACGTCAGAAAGACAATAAGGATCAAAGGAATAAACAAGAAATTACACTTATCATCGTTGAAATTACAAATACACTTAGACGTTACCAGTGACATTAAGATTTCATCATATAATACTGACTCATGTTGCGACGCATTTAAGTGGTTGCTGGCTTTTTCCATATCACGGCTTCATAAGGTAATTAGTTTTAAATGAATCAAATCAAACACTAGAAAATAAACAAAAAGACACAATACCGTGACTTATGCAGCTCATTTATACAACTAAATGAACATGAATTATAAAAAATAAACATACTGATAGCAATCTGTCTATTTACATTAGCTCGTCTTTTACCAGCAATATTCGAAGCTGACTGATCATTTTATACTACAAGCTGTCATATTTCATATAGTCATGTAGTGTTGGCGGAAGTTAATACGAGTAATCATTGTCTACGAGTGAAGCAGCTGTTGACATTTTAGTGTAAATGAAGGCTTTTATACTGAATCGGAGCCCTTTATTTTTCCGACTACCTACCTATCTTCCCAACTTATGAAAATATCCAGTCATATGGCGAATTCCCACTACCGTTGGAAAAAATAATTGGACGTCAAAGGAAGTAAACGAGTGCGACGAAAAAATTTCATCAATTTTCTTTCAATTAATAAGAACAAACACTTGAGTGGGACAAAAAGTTGTAATCTCCTCTGCTGAATTTATTTTGCCGTTGGCTCAATACGTCAGCGATTTGCTAGAAAATCTTTCTTTTTTTTTATATATTCTTCTGTCCTGAACATTCAAGTGTATGAAATAGCAGAATATCACAAATCAGAGCAAGCTATATTTTACGCAAAGAAGAAAACAAGTTAGCAGCATCAAAGTAAACAATAACAGGATGTAATTGCGCCTTAAAAGTTTTGAAAAAGTATTGCAATGCAAAAAGGTCTCTCACACTTGAAAAATAAATAAAAAAGCATTGTATAACAGGTTTTTTCTTACGTACTACGAACTTGGTGCGATGGGTGCTAATCTTGGCTGCCGTAATTTGAAATATCGACGAGTATTCTTTCCATTCGACAAAACTTCTCGAATCATTGGGAACAGGTGAGTTTGTTGTTCTCTAATTGAAAACTATTGACAATCGATCAGCGAAGATCAGATCGTATTTTGTCAGTTGTTGTTGCAATTCCAGTACCTACAATGCGATATGAGTTCGTGATGATTCGTTATTGGGAAGTAAATTTTACGTTCTTTTATGACATTGGAATAGAGTATTCCGGAAACTCGTTGATAACTGTCTTCATGATGATCAGCAAATCAAAGAGCCACTTTCCGTCTTTTCAAGTTCTTCTCTCGAACTAGTTTTCTCGTGATCGAACGGCATAGATACAAATTGAAGACGCGGATTTGAATTCTATATAAAATGATGTAATTTAAAGTATACTAAATCATTCAACTTGCTCTTTGAATTGTTGTTCATGATCTTTTCACTGAATCGTCATATATAGTACTCGTAGGTTCGGATAGAACATCTAACTCGAATCACACTTGCCAAAACTTAATAGACTAGCAAGAGTTGCGCTAAGATACAACTCAGTATCGCCGAGCGGAACCTAATGGAAACATGCTATATATGTCTCTTACGATGATGCGCAGTGATTCGCGTTGGATACACCCATAGGATCTTAAAAGTACATTTCCGTCTTTTTGCGAACTCCTTCAGCGTTCGAGTTTTATATGGTGTTCGCAAGGATTGCATTGCTGGTGACTCACACGTTATGTCTACCTGACTCAGCGGTGGAATAAATTCACTGATTAAATCTGAAAGTGCAATGAATGGTTCGGTTAAATGATTTTGATCATTTTCACCTGTGAAAGAATGTTAACAATAGGAAACGAGCGTGGAGCTTAGAGCAACTGGCTCGATGTCTATAAAATATCAAATCTCAAAAAACCATATATACTTTTTGAAAAAACTATTTTACTGTTTGCAACAACATGTGGCTCAACTATTTAGATACTATTCGCTAAACAGCTGACGCCAGTCTTCAGTGCCCGGATAGTGTTGCGAGGGAATAATGGTCCAGATGTAGCTGTAGTAGACATTGAAAGAATATTTGTTTGAAAAACCATTTTGAAACTTCAACAGCTTACGGAATGGATCGAGAACTTGATGTAATACACCAGATTTCATTTGAAGATTGTCACATCATCGAAAGATTAAGCGACACATATTTTCCAATAAGTTGCTCGATTTCACTCGAGGGTTCTCTGAAATAGAAGAAGTGTGGAAAATAATGCGATAGGAATCGATTATTTATCACTTTGAGATGAATTTTTAGTGGAATTTGTAGGAATACAATCGATAGCTTGTTGCGATTCTTGTGAATCATATTTAGATGAGTCGTCTAAAAAGCAAATGAGAAATCTTCAGATCAAGTATTCGGTTCAAAGTATTACCAGTATCGTTCAATCGACAAAGGTACAAATGAACGCAAAATGAAAATCAAAGTCTTTGAGGATGTTGGAGAAAAAACAATCTTGATAGTACCATCCGGACAAACTTTGTAGAGTGAACCACAGATAGTTTGATCCTTATTAAAACATATATAGACTTTGCCTGTTTTTGTTACTGCTTTTCCAAGTCCAAGGTGAATTTGTCCTCATCAAAGGTAATAGTGTCTAAATCACGATTAAAAACTTCTATGAAGTTTTGTCGCAAATGTTGAAACATTTGTTTGGGGTTTGAATGAAGATCTTCGATTCTTTTGAAAGTTTCAACTGCATCGTTTGCTACTGGTTCATTGTTTCGATCTGTTTTACACAGATTACGAATGAACTTAATCGATTCTACTGTGTTTCGGCATTTGAAGACATTGGCATCCTGGGATATCTTAAATAAGCAAATAACTTGTATGTGAATTAATACAGATATTCACATCGTGTTATAGTTCGGTAAATCTTCAAAGTCACATTCATTAATGTCCATCAGTTCATAATTTGATGCCATGGCGGTTTGAAGATTTTTGTATATTCTCAAACTAAAAATAAATAGACTTCGAATGAAGCAACATCGCTACGTCAAGTACACTGTGATTGATATATATATAATGAAGAGAATCTCTCTATAAAATCTATACTGATACTACATTAACATATCATAAAATAAGACTAACTACTCTCTCGATTTCGAAACGAATGATATACTATTGACAATGTCATATGAGTCTAATAAAACCAGTGCGAAAACTCCTGCTCATTGCCATTAGTTATTCACGAAAACCATTTAATTTACGTTATATTTGTCGTGAGTTATTTTACAAAAACGATGTACATTTATTATCAATGCCATGCGAGTTTCAATGTTTGCATTTCAAAATGACATGCTCATTTTGGTCAGTGAAGAGTCGACATACAATCAACAGGCGTCATCTATGGGTTTGTTTTCTAAACGATTGGATCTGCAATCGCGTCAAATAAAAACTGAAATAACCGTAAATCGGTAAAATTTTCGAATCGATTTGTAATTTTCGACTATAAATGGAGATCTTACTTCCATTTCTGAATCGTTATGATTTATCACAGCATATTTCCCTATCCATATCGAATATTTTGGCATATGCGACCGAATTAGCTCAACAGGACAAAGAACTCGAAAAGTTAACGCGTCTTTTCGATGCTCTTCCATCGAATTTCCCTCTCGATCCAATACCTATTGCTTGTCAATTGTTTGATCATCTTCTACAAAATGCATCGACTATCCATCAACATCGTTTACTATCTTCTTGTTTGCATTTAATGAAGATGGAAGATCGTCTTCATAGAATTATGCGAATCTTTCTCATTATACTCGATCATGAACAATCAGTTGAATTGCGTGAACTTCTCTGCAAACTACTGAGCACCATCGACTCAAATATATTGACGGCATTGTCGATTGACTGGACACGTATAGAATCAGCTATACGTTCTCAACATGATCCCAAATATCTCACATATCTGTGGCGTTTTCTCCCTAAACATTATCAATCGAATCTTGAACAGATTCTCGTTCGCACCTTGCCACTGATCCAAAACAATGATGAATTATTACTCTTATTAACGATCGAACTGAGATCAGTTAGAATATTCATAAGCATGCCATCATTTTGGTATTTATTGCAACGCGCACTGGGCGATAGTTCGTCAAATAATGATCGTGTGCGTAAATGTGCTTTGTATTTGCTCAAACAGGTTCTAGCCGATGACGAGCATGAACAAGTACAATTAAATGATGAGAAAGTCAATCGTTTATTAGTGCTATTTAATGATAAATTCAAATCCTTTTGGATGGATTTTATCGTTGTATATGAAGCATTGGATGATGGTGTGGTTCATCTAATTAAGCCAGTGTTGACAAAATTCGATCGAATTTATAAACTATCTCTTGAATATGGTATGTTAAACTTTATTTGAAATCGAATTTAAATCTCGATATCGCAGGATTGTCTTTGACGTGGGTTTTCATTTTATTACAACGCTTGTTCACTACAACGAGTTCGCCATTAGCACGTTGGACAGTTCGGTGGTTTCTTCAATCAATGCAATTGCCTGATGCTCAAGTAGAAAGTGTAAGTCAGCAAAAATCGAATTACTCGAAAAGAACTTGGACTTATTTCTAGTTCTTCCTCGAGACTGTACTTGATTGGACATCAAACAATGTCATTTTTCTCAAGTAAGATCTCTTTCATTCTCGATCCGTCGCCCATCCTCATTATTTAATGTTAGAGGTGATGAACTGAATGAATGTCAAGCTATGGAACACTATATAGAATCATATCTTGAACGATGGTTGAATTCAACACCGAATCCAAGTAACACCATTCTGACCTTGTTTTCCAGAATACAAGCAACCAAATGGTCTCAAATCTCACTCGTACGTGTGCTATATTCATTTCGAGCATTTGCTGTTAGTAATCAGAATCGCGCGCTACTCAATGATGAACATATCAAAGTATTATCAACATTGATTTTAACACAATTTCATACGTTCGCACCGGTGTTACGCTTGTCAGCTTATAAATCGTTGCTTGACAGTGTGGTGGAACTTTTTAATTGGTCAACATGTTCAACATCATCGCATCTTCTGAAGTTTTTAGCGTTTTTCGATCGACCTGTGTTTCTATCAAAACATTTTTCGAACATATCAAGTCACTTGACATTTGACATTCGACAATTACAAAACCTAATTGCCAACTTTCTTTCATCCGATTCAACCACAACAGTATCCAACGCGCGACTGTTTTCTACCGATAACGATCTTTTACAAATTCGTCAAATTACATTCCTTTTGGATCTTCTCGAAATTCCCAATACGGACGTTCTGAAAACAGTATTTCACCCTATGATTGAAAATATTCGAACAGCTTATCAACGTCCATACATGTCGATAAACAACGTTCGAAGATCTATTGAATTATTCTCCGGTTTGATACAAGAAACCTATTTTCATTCATCGAATTTTGTTAAAGATGGATTTTCATCAAGTATGCGATCAATTACACGTGAAGGTTTAAGCTTCATCAAAACAAATTGCGTACGTAACATTGATTGATATTCTTCTTTGATGATTTTTCTTTATGTACAGTTTAAACAACCGATGGCATTTGCAAAACTACCGATTGCCTTTTTGATCGTAGGCAATCATGGAGATATTAGTCGATATTTACAAGAATTAATTCATCAAATCGATACGATGACGTCACAACAGGTACAGAGAGAAGTATTGACTAAATGGCATATCTACGACATTCTCTGATAGCTTTACCATTCTTACATATCGTAGAACTTTTTCTGATGCATATGTCAGCGACAACGTCGATAGATATAGAAACTTTCGCTTAACTAAACAGAAATATTACTCTCGTATTTCCCAAAACAGAACAAGCAATTACGGAGGAGACCTACTTTGTGCTAAATATCTTTGCTGGTAGAACTGATAGTATTATTTTTAGACTGGAAATACATGTCAGCCACTTGTAATCTTATTTGCGCACTCGACTGATTGGCTTTTAACAAATCGATTAGCTGATTTCAATGTCGAATGGAATACCAACTTTCGAACTCTACCGATTTTTTCCAAACTTTTGCCATTATTGAATCAACCCCAAGCGAAGTAATTGAATCACTGTTTACACATATAGGATTACATTCGTTGTTTTCTTTTTCTTCGGAAAGCGTGTCATATGCGGATCTATTGATCGCGAAATATCTACTTATTGCGAATAATATTTCAGCTATTGAAACATGCGAACATATCGTTGATGATTTATTCAAAGCATCACCCAAAGAACTTCCATATTTAATTCGTGCTATCGGTGCACTGTTGCGTCAAACACAAGTAACCAGAGATGAAGCCTTTGTCGGAATAATTCTCTTTATGTTGTCAGATTACGGATGAAGACAAGTGTAAACTGGTGGCATCGACAATTAATGTTATTCATGAAATTGATCATCGAATGCCAACGTATTGGCCATGTTTCACTATGTTTTGTCAAGCTATTTCTTCATCGGTTACTGATACGACTCTGTCCAGCCAATTAACTGATGTATATTTCAGACAAAAAATTGTTATTACTGACTCACTCTTCTGTTTTCACAGTGGTTCATTCAAATGTTTGAAAAATCCAAGCATGTTTGCGGCATTATAAATGTTATTCTTGACTCTGTTGTTCCAGTATGGACACGAGAGCGGCAAGTTCAATCGTGTTACTTATCTTTCATAGTCGAATGTCTTATCTTTGGACAAACGTATCAAAAAGATAAAAAGTAAGACAAAATGTGCAGTTTTAAAAACAAACATTATATTCCTTTTTCCAAGACAACAATGGCAGGCTGAACAACTTCTCGAACAGGATGAATCACTTCGTCTGCTTATCATTCAGGCGCACATCGTACCGTAAGCCGAAACTTCTGACAAAAACCATCAACAACTGTACTTTTTCAATCTTCTAGAGAATATCGTTACGATCGGAATGTTCGTATTTCTGTACAATTATTTCTTCTCCACATCTGGCCTTCACTACACAGCGTTCAACAAAATGATATTGTGATGCAAATAATCGACAAGCATCGTCAATTATCGTTGAAGGAGCGTCGACCGCGCTTTTGTACCAATTCACTAGAGCATCGGATTATGTTTCGTTCGCTTCAATGTCTTCTATGTTTAACATCCACTATTGAAGATCAAGTAGAAATGACGAAGTTTTCAATCAGAAGATTCATTTCCATTCTAGAGCCTTTTACAATTGATCTACGATTACATTGTTGAGTCGATTATGCGTGAGAATGAGCCATCACTTCGTTTGCTATCAGAATGGATTATCATTCGTTTGATCTCACACGATCAAGCGACACGTTTGAATGATTTGTATGAATACTTACGCGATGCTCCTCAGCATAAAACAGGAACTGTATGTGCTTGGATATCCATCGCTTCGCATATCGCAAACAGTCTAGGAAACAAAATGGAACAAGTAGGTGTCAATCATTTTCCTATCGAAAATTTCTATCATCTCTTTTATCTACTTCACGATCAGATCGAATATATTAATAAAATCTTTGGATACATTAGTCCGATGTTAATTCATTCGAATTTTCATATTCGAACATTTACTTGTTCGACTATCATTAAACTACTGGAATTTATCGAACAACATCGTTTACAACACGAAACACCATATGAAGCATATCGATGGTTTAAACAAACAGACGAGAAATCTGAGTAAATGATTTCTTTTTTGTTCACAGGAACCGTTCTTAATTCTATTCTATTGAAGACTCGGCCGATACACCGCTAAACTTCGACATCTGTTTCTATATAAATTTGATTCTACACGCGATTTCTCATTAGAAACGATTTTTTATACACTACCGAAATTATCTCTATTAGCCGAAGACGAGTATTTACCAGCCGATTGGTTTATTGAATTAAGCAAACAATTACATTTGAAATTTCTTCTATCGGTACATAATCTCTCTACCATTTTACAATCGTGTCAATCTGGAATATGGCGATTAACTGGTAAGAATACGTTTGAATGATGTACAAAATGAAATCTAATTGGATTATCATTTAGCTGGAGGAAAGAGTGACACAGGAGGAGGACAACAACAACAACAGCAAGATGATGAAGGGTCATCAACAATTCAACATAAAGCTAATCCATATCCAGTTGTTGAAGCATCGGATGATACAGAATTGAGAGGAACGATTAAACGAACAGAATTGATACTTGTTGCGTCATTGATTGATAAACAAACAAATTTAGGTGGTAAGTATGAAAATTGATTGTTGAAAATTAACTTCATATCGCAAGTGAATTCGAGGTCTTTGTCGAACTGGTGAAGTTTTTGGTATAAAAGAATTTGTCATTGGAAGCATTCGGATATTGGAAGATCAACAGTTTCTTAACCTTAGTATGACTGCTCATAAATGGCTACGAATCAAACAAGTATGACACAAGAATATTTCTGCTCGATTGTGTTTGCAACGATTATTTTAGGTACAAGAGAGAGAATTGAAAGATTATTTAATTGATATGCAAGCTCAGGGATACACTATTGTAGCAGTTGAACAAACAGTGAATAGTCAAAATTTATACGAGTTCCAGTTTCCCGAAAAAACTTTGCTTTTACTTGGGTAAAACAAGAAGAATATATTGATTTTTCTTTTGATTTCAACAAATGTTGTTTTAGAAATGAACGCGAAGGTATTCGAGCTGATCTTTTATCTCTAGTCGATGCCACTGTTGAGATCCCACAAGCCGGTGTCATTCGATCGTTAAACGTTCATGTCAGCGGTGCACTATGCGTATCTGAATACGCACGAAAATATCTAAATTTGTTGAAATAAAACCAAAAGATATAATTTTTTCCGTGATTGAAGAAGTACATTGTGGATTCTTCATGCTTTCCGTTGTTTTAGATCGAAAGTTTTCTCTCGCTTCCAACAATGCGCATTTATGACGAATTCAAATCAATGTTCATTACAATATGTTTTCTTTCTTACGTTTTTTTGATTAGTGGTCTGATCATCAATTTCTTGCAGTTATGCTCCTGTATCATATGGCCATTTAGCAAAGAATTGTATCGAAAAGTGAACTGCTTTCTGGCATTGAGCATATGGAGTCGTAAGTATTCCAACGCAACGAAAAAATGTTTCCAAAAAGTTGTTTTCTTTTGTATCAAATTCCAGAATTTACATTCTTCGCGCAATGGTGGTCAGGAAGTAATTGTGTACTATACATAAATCCAAGCGATCTAGAAAAAGTTCGTAATGAACATGCGATTGTGATGTAGGTCTTTGACATTTGTTGATTGTCTACAGTTTTCTACATGAGAAATTTAGAATGAATCATAAGTATGATATTGATTGGCTCGCAGGATGGGTCATTTGTCAACGTTTGGGTATCATGCAAGTGAGAATAGAAAAGAATTTCGATCATTTCATGTAATTTGCTATAATTCAGGGATCGAAGATAGTTGGTAAACAATCACTTAAGTTAGTTCCAATTGTTGGCTGGTGTTGGATATTTACGGAATCGATATTTCTGCGACGTGTCTGGGAAAGTGATCGTGAAACATTAGTAAAAGATTTACGCAAAGTGCTTGCTAATTATCCGGAAAACTATTACTTTAACGTAGGAGTATTTAGATTTACTTAATACGACACGTCGAAGTCTGACTTTTTCCTTTAGTTCTTACTTTTCTGTGAAGGAACACGATTCACTGAAAAGAAAAGAATAGCAAGCATGAAAATTGCTCGAGAAAAAGGTTTACCAGAACTCAAACATCACATCCTTCCACGTACAAAAGGAATTACTCTGTTATTACAAGGCGCAGAAAATCGAAGTTAGTCTTTCATATACGATCCTTACTCATCTTTTGACTTGTCTTTTTTTCATTACCATTCTCTAGTTGCTGCTGTATACGATCTAACAGTTGGATTTAAAAAAACCGGAGCTGTACCAACACTTCTCAGCATATTGAAAGGACAAGCATGTCAAGCAGAGATCTTCGTTCGGTAAATTTTCTCTTGTCCTATAAAGAAAAATCACACTCTTCTTGATTTTTTTTTCTAAAGACGTATTCCTGTGTCAGATATTCCACAAGATACTGAACAATGCAGTAACTGGGTGCATGAGTTATATCAAGAGAAAGATCAAATCTATAATTACTTTATTAAACATGATACTTTTGAAGGACAAGGATTACCTCGAACAGAAATTCAACGTAACTATTATGATTTGATTATTGAACTTAGTTGGATGTTAATCATTGGTTTACCATCACTATTCTATCTACTGAAATTCTTCTTCACAAGTTCATTCTTAGTCCAATTTATCACCATCGGTTTGATTTGCATTGGTATGACATGATTATTGTCAGAAAACAGAAAGATATGGAAATATTTTAGCCACAATCGGAGTTCGTGCAATGATTGCAGTAACAGAAACGGAACATGGTTCACATTACGGCGAGGCACGTAAAGAAGGTTAAATTACAACAAAACAGAACAAAGTTGTCTTTCAAAAATTGATCATCATCTATTTTTTGTTTTCGTTTTTCTTCTTCCATTCCATATTTTATATGAATCTCATGGCATTCTCGTATTATCCCTCTTTTTTAAAAAATCATATTTGTTTTTACTTTTTTGTTCATGTCTACACATACATGTGCAATTTAGACAATGAAAATTGATCGTTTTCTCCGCAATACAATTCAATCGTTAGTACCAGTTCAGATATTTCTGTGCTACTGCTTTTGCGCTAGTGGTCTTATTCTCAATTTTGCTCAATTTCTCTCATGGTTGACGATCTGGCCTTTCAATAAAAGACTATATCGTCGAATTAACTACTATCTTGGAACTTTACTATGGAGTCGTAAGTTCAAACGTGTTTTTCTCAACGATTTGCTCAAATATTCTTTGTTGAACATAGAATTAACTTTTCTCTACACCTGGTGGTCGGATTCAGATATTACTGTTTATGTTGATCCCGAAGACATCGAACATTTAAAACACGAATATGCGCTTAACCTTGTTAATCATCGCTATGAAATTGATTGGCTTGTTGGTATGACTACAGCTCAAAAACTTGGCTTACTCGGAGTAAATCGTCATTTTAATATTAAGAATGATTAACATTCGTTTTTTTCAGGGTTCGAAGATTGTTGGTAAACGTTCGCTTAGTTTGATACCAATTCTTGGTTGGTCATGGTTCTTTACTGAATCCATTTTCTTACGACGGGTGTGGGAAAGTGACAAAAAAGTTCTCGAACGTGACATCCAACAACTTGTCAGTGGTTATCCCGATGATTACTTTTTCAACGTAAGGCATAGTTATTCGTGAGAACGAAAGTTGATTTGTATGTTTTGGTAGTTTCTCATGGCTTGTGAAGGTACTCGATTTACAGAACGCAAGCGATTAGAAAGCATGAAATATGCTAAAGAGAAAGATCTCCCGGAATTGAAGTATCATATTTTACCACGAACACGAGGTTTTACCATGATTCTTCAAGGAGCAAAAGGCAAAAGTAAATTTTGTCTAATTAAATTCAGTTGTCTGAGTTTTTGATTAGTCCCGGGCGTTTATAACTTCATGTTGGCTTTCACAAAGGATAGCGCTTCGCCAAGATTTCGAACTCTATTGAACGGTCGTCGATGCAAGGCTCAACTTTATGTCAAGTAAGTTGGTAGAAAGCACGAACGAGAATATATTTGAAATCTATTTCAGACGCACTCCGATCACAGAAATCCCGCATGAAGACGAAAGCAAATGTGCTCAATGGTTGCATGAACTCTTCCAGGAAAAAGTCATTGATTCAATTTCGATCGTTCTCTAAAATTGCAGAGATATTTTTTCCTCTTCAGGATCGTATCTACGATCATTTCGTCCGTCATGATACATTTGATGGTCTCGACGTACCAAAAATATCTTTACCTCGCAATTACTCTGATATAGCCATTGAACTTTTCTGGCTTATTTTCATCGGTTTACCATCACTAAAATGGTTCATACAATTTCTTCTAGTCAGCACATGGTCAGCTAAGATTATCTTCGGATTGGTCATTTTAATTGGATACATCATTCTCCAAGGAATGATTAATATGTCGGTTATTAAACTCGACGCGAAGAATAAAAAAATGAAATGAACAACAAATCATTGACATCTCAACGTTAGATTTTGCTTCTAGTGTTTTATTTTATATGATATTCTATGAGAAGAAAAAAACGAACAAGTGCTTTTGTTTTTGTCATACACATCTAGATTTTTGTTATGATTTAGATTTAAAAATATGATAATAAACATAGAGTTATCACTCTGTCTTTTTGTTGCAAAAGATCTCTCGGTCAGCCATGACGAACAAATAATAATAAATAACACTACAGACCTATGCATGACCTAGAACTAATATCAGAAGAAGTCACCATTTCTTGACACTTATGACATCAGAAAACATGTTTGTACGTTATGCATGAACTGTATGTGTCAGAAATCGTTTATAAATGATCATTCTACACAACACTGTTCTACTATCCTGAAAAAATCGATGATGAAAATGTTTTTAAAGAATATCACGACGGAAAGTTTATGATTCTATTATGAGTGGTGTTTTATGATCATGCTTGTTCGTTAATGTGGACAACACATGTCGGAGGCGTTCCGTCTGTTCGCGTTCTTTTTTTTTGATGACAACACAACGTGTCATTGAGACAGAATATGATCTGCTTTTGAGCTGATGTAATCACTTCGATTCTGTCTGGCTCAATTAGATGAAGGTGTATCTGATGAAAGATTATTGAGCAGAAAAGAAAACTGAGATTCATTCCGTTCAATACCAGACGTATTCTCTCAGAGGATATCACTGAACACAAGCGAATCTTACCGGTTTTTNGAAGTGGACAGAACTATCTGCAAGGGATAAGTATGTCTGTATCATGCCGTTCAGCTCTATGTAATAGGCCGATAATAGAATAACTATCAATGAACTGTATTGTTCGAATTGCGTTTCAAATCAAATAGATTGTTGTTTAAGAAAGATAGAATAACAATACTCTGTTTGATTCAAAACGTTTACTCTAATGATAGCTTCATTGTTTCTCAGTTTTGGTCTTATGATGGTGGAATAAGATGTCGCAAAATTTATTGTATACATAGAAACAATTTACAACATGGATTAACAGACAGATCTGACATTTTGATTATCTAGACCAAAGACAAAACATTATGAGTAAATAATAGAGATTTTGATTGCCTAGTTTATCTCTAAAAGAACATGAACGAATGTTTTATCGAACAAGTTCAAAGATACTTACGATCGATTCGCGAATATGATCGGTATGTTCGATATCTTGAAATGCTTGTCGCCATGCTTCACGTTCCTAGAAGTTCGATATTCGAACAAACTAACAGATGTTTACAAACAGTACCTCTTCGTTCATACGATCATAACGTTCAAGTTCAGCGTGATATTTTGGTTTTGTAATGCCGAAAAACCAAGCAATTCTCTCTCCAGCTGAATTACATACTGAATAAGTTTTCTTCGCCGATAATTTCACATAGAACCACATTCGTGGAAACAATTTCAACTGATTCTAAGTAGGAATATCCAAATTTGAATATCATCGACACAAAATTGAAATCATTCTACATACCACATCACAATTTGGTGAATTGGGTTCATTTTCATTCAGACAATGATCTGTTTTTGACGTTGACATATCAATATCTACTTCTGATTTATTAGTACTTATGATATCTTAAACACCAATAAAAAGAACGAAATAATGAACCCTATTTCCCTTTTACATTCATTATTATTGTATATTTACACAAACAAAATGAAAAATTACTGTTAAATCGAAATTCATTCACGTGATTCAAGTTCAACAACGACAGAATTAGCAGCCATATCATAACTTGTTTGGCGATGTTGAGAAGTCATTAGAGCGACAATAACTGCTGGAAGGAGAAAGATTGACATAAGGCTTTTGAATGATGATCGAGTAAATGCTCTAAAAGTTATCTTCGAGACATCAATTCCATGTATTCTCAAAGATTATTCTTACGCTGTAGTGTTGAGCATCGTTCCTGGTTCAATAATTAAATCACCATTGTCTTGCATTTGTAAATGATCACATTTGAGTACACGTAGACGAAGAAGACGTTTACCTGGCGTAGCACCGTATCGTGTGAGACAAAAACTCTGAAAACAGAATAGATGAATTCTTCGATGGTGCAAACAAATCAAGATGATATTTACTTCAAAAGTAATACTGGCTACTATGTAAGTAAATTCAATACAAATTAGTTCCATTGGAAAGGAAAATGCTTCGTCGTAGAGTAAATTTGAGATGATATAAGTTAACGTAAGACGACTTTCGTCAATTATATCGAAATAAGTCGAAAGAAGGAAAATGACGAGGATCCTATACGATGAAAACAAAGATATCGAGTTAAGGAGAAGTCTCCATTTAACCAAATGGATTACTTCAAAATATGTAGAAGGACGAAATCAATCGTTTCAGCGATGAACCGACGCCATACAGGTGCTACTTTGAGGCGTGCTAAATCAATCAAGAAATACTTGGATGAATAGCCTCACTCGTAAATAGAGTACAAACCATTGCGTATTTCAGTCAGTGGATCCAATATGGTAAGTCGATTATTTTCTGTAATCATTGCTATTAGATTGGTACTGGTAAGTATAGGAATTTGTTGAAAAAATTGTTGAGAGGATCTTAACACCATCATACTACAGGATTCAAATACATGGATACTTTTTCGATATGAAAATAAATTTTACTTGTGATAGCTCATACAGTTGACATTCCAGGTATAATATGCTTGTTGCCACTTTGCAACAAGATCGGAATATTCTTCGACTGTGATTTCTTTTGGTTGAATCTGTGACGCATTCATTGATTGATTGTCGGTCGATTCTGTTGGATCACTACTCATCGTTTCAATTCTGAGAAACGTATTAGAACAAGAAAAGTATAATCAATTGAAGAGAAGTTAAAAAATACAAATATATGTATGCGTGTGTATGTATGTATGTAAAGCAGTCGATGATACGACTGGATTCTTCTCCATACAATCATAAAATATCAACGAGGACATCTATTGATCAAGTCATGTGTTGACGTCGCTCTAATACTTTCCTGTAAATCTTCGTTTTCAATTGTTTCGTTGAACTCTGAAAGTCAGCGGCAAAAATAATTATAATGTATTAATTTGTAGTCGTACTTTTCATCGCATATTTGAAGTATAAGAAGACGCAATAAATATCTACTACGTGAACTGTAATGTGAAAATAATATGAAACTATAAATTACTTTTTCTTTTAGTACTGTTCAATACATTGTTACATTCTCCTTATTAGCATCACTAGTAGGAGCATGTTGTGTCTATTGGTTTTGAGTATATGCAGAGTGCGAGCGTAGTCGGATTCAATTGCTTTGAAAGTTTATCGACAGCGAGTAGAACATGTGAGTTCTTCTACAATATCATTTCAACGTATCAGATTGTTCCGAATAATGATGGACAATTTTATTTCGTACAATTTTCACCAACTATTTCTCTAACAATGACGACTGAGACACTAACTACTCAACGGATTCGTGAGTTCATTAATCCATTTTGTTCTACGAATTAACTGAGTTCACCTTTTTTTTCTAGAAATGACTGAGCCTACTCAGCAAGCAGTTCAAGCTTTCTGACTATTTGATAATTCCACCAAAGACTTGTATGGGAATTATAATAGTCTTGGAACGAAGCCGGTTGAGTATTCTAACCTGAGTATAACTGGATACGGTTCTAGTCTATTGTGTTCAAGCAATTGTGCTGTGAATATGAATAGTCCACTCAACATGGTCAATTCAAGTTTTACTCTGGAATTATGGATAAATATAAAGTCATATACATCATCCTGGTGGCTCGGAATTATGGGACAATGCTGGAGTCAAGTAGACAATCAATGTCTTCACATCGCAACTCGTAACAAGGCGCCTTATTTCGGGTTTTTTAACAACAATTGTAGTGGTACTACACAATTAAAAGTGGCAACTTGGTATCATTTATCGTTTGTATATGATGCTGTGAATAATCAACAGTTGATTTATTTGAATGGTGTACTAGAATGTATGAGAAGTTCAGTTGATCCTTTACTGATAACTGCGCCTATTCTACCGGTTACACTTGGTATGATTACGTTAAATGCAAATTTTTACTTCAATGGGATGTTAGATCAAATTTCGTTTACTAATCAAGTTAAAAATAAACGAACAATTTTACGAGATGCGATGCTAATTACTCAATATTCATTCGATTATAATTCTTCAATTGATTTCGGATCTAATCAAATTAATGGTTCAACTTTGAACGTTTCCTATATTACAGACGGTCGAGTTAATGACGCGCTTTTCTTTGCACAAAACAACAACGGTTCCTGTTTTCTCGCCAGAGATTTAGTTCTTTTAGGCGTAAACCTAATAAACCCTTTTCTATATTCATGTGGCTTCGACCATCATCATCGAACAACACTGGAATCATAGTCTATCTTGACACTCAATCTGTTAGTAATTGGTGTATGCCAATATTAAGTTTTACAGTATCAGGTCAGTTGGTAGCCCAAAATATTTAGGCCGGAAGAATCATTAATGTCACTGGACTTATGCTTCCAGTCGGCGTATGGACACATGTTGTTTATGTTTATTCTACTGCCCGTCGACTGCTTCTCTACGTCAATGGTACATATACATCACCAACAGTAATTTTCTCATACAATACTCCAAATAGTCCGATTAACTTGTATATAGGCAATTGGCCATTAGGCAATCAATGTCATTGCTCAATGAGATCGATAGTTCCAAAGCAATATCATGGCGCAATAGATGAGTTTCAAGTTTATTCCCAACAATTGTCAGTAAATAACATTGAAAATATGAGTGATTTATCCAAAACCTAATGTTTGATCTTGATATTCCATCATCCAATTATCACTTTCAAATAAATTTAGTTTTTTTGAAATCCATAAACTAAACTATGGTCACATAAATCAAATGCGTCTAGTATAACACATTCCATCACATTTCTAATAAACAGGAATATTTCTCTTTTTCTTTCTACTCTCACATCTCTAAGCGAAGATGCTTCATGTTTGAGAGTACTTAAATCAAGTCTGTTTTTGTTATACTTTACCTGTTTCTGTTGTCATGCCCTTACACTTCATAGTTCATAAATAAACACTGAAGTACAAGACAAGAATACTCAATGAAATACTTCTATTCGATTCTCGCATTTCTATACCAAGATAAACATGAACATTTTCAGCGATATACAGAATATACTCGAGAGTTAATGTAATATGACTATATAGAATTGAATCATTTTTCTTAAAAATCATCTCTACAACTAAAATGAAAGAAAATGTCTTGACTAGGATTGTTCTTGTATTTGAAATACATAGATTTGATTGTTTGGTAATGGGAATCGAAGATTTTTATTTGCACGTAATTCGAATTTGAGCGTTCGATCAATAAATACTTCTTGCAAAATATAACTTTTCGTGATATCTAAACCAATTCGTGTCCAAACTTCATCTGGTATCGCTAATTCAATATCATACTGACACGTATAATCAAAATTTAATACGAATAGTAGCTGTTCGTCATGTTCATGATATCGAATAAAAGAGAAAATCTTTTTCGTATCGTAATGCGAATGGTTTGCATATTGTAAATCAGCTAATTTCGACGAAACACAATGTAAACATTTGTGATCATGAATAAGTTTGAAAAGACTTTCATAAAATGAACGAAGAGCTTTTTGAGATACAGCCAATTGGCCACCATCGCAGGCACCGTTGTTATACCATGCTTGATGTTCAGGAATGCCCTGGAGAAAAATGTCAGTACAACTTTGATTTCATGAGAACGTTTTACCCAATAATCGAAGATTGTCGTTCGTCCATCGTCTCCTTGAAAACCTTTGGGTCCGATACTATCAACGCCAATCTCTTGTCCAAAATAAATCATCACTGGACCAGAATGTAAAACAGCTGTACAAACAGCAGCTGGTAATGCTTTCCATGGATTTCCTGCAAATTGTTTCGCAGCAATACTATAGTAAATCGAACATGTTGTTTTCCATCGTTTCATAATAATTGGGTATTTTCGTTCTTACCGAACTTCGTCATGATTCTCTAGAAATCTTAACATATGTGTTTCGAGATGTTTTTGTTCGTTGTGAATACGGGTTATATCATTACAATTTCCCAGAGCTGATCCTTCTTCTAGTAACCAACGTAGACAATCGTATAATCCAACTTTGTCGTACAAATAATCAAAAAGGCCATGTTCAATGTATCGCTGATACAAATCCGGTCGGTAAATTTCAGCAATGAAGATAATTCGTCGGTTAGGATATGTTCTACGTATCGATGTAATTAACCAATGCCAGAAATCAGCAGCTACCATTTCAGCCTAAAGAATAGAAAATGAAATTCTTTTCCTGAGGAAAATCACGGACGAACCATATCACAACGAAAACCGTCAACACCTTTGTCAATCCAATAGCATAGGATTCGAAAGAGTTTATCCCAAAGTGGTGGACGTGGATCGAAATGATTTCTTCCGGCACTATAATCCGTACCATAATTCAGTTTAACTGTTTCGAACCAATCGGTAATCAGTGGTCGAGAGTGAAAGACATCGTTACCAGTTGCCCGTGCTGGTCTTTCGGTATATTTTGGAATTTTCGATATATCGATACATGGGGGTATATGTTCAACATTGGGCATCTGAAATTCTTCATTTTCAATGTAGTAGAAATCATTCTTTGCGCTGAACGACTTTGTTGGATCATCATTTTTACCGAAATCTTCATCAGGTCGAACATCAGAACCATATTCTCTTGCCACATGATTCGGAATAAAATCCATGATTACTTTTAAACCATGACCGTGTGTACGCTGAACTAATTGTTCGAATTCTTGTATACGATTCGGAATATCAACTGCTAGGTCTGGATCTATATCATAGTAATCTTTGACTGCATAAGGTGAACCAGCTAAACCTCTAGACGAAAAGAAAAAAAAAGAGAGACTATGAACATCATCGTTGGAATAGCCTTACTTGACAACATAAGGATTATCTTTACGTATTCCATATGCTGTATAATCAGTCATTGTTGCATGTTCAAGTACTCCGCAGTACCAAACATGTGTATAACCGAATTTCTTGATTTCTTCTAAGCATCTGTCATTAACATCATTCAGTTTGCCAACGCCATTCTGCTCGATTGTTCCGTGCACAATATTCGTTAGATTTCGATTACCGAACAATCGGACAAGAATCTGATAGATTAATAATTTATCGCGACGTGGCTCAACGGCTTGACAAGTACAAGCGGATTTCGAGAGATTTTCAGACATGGTTGAGACTATCGATAATAAACAAAGAATTTATTTTTACGCGAAAGAATTAACTTCTGAGATTCATACAAGCACGTAAGGGAAACTATCGTTGTATTGATGCAAAGATCAATCTCATAAGAAAGATCTAAAAATAATGAAATAGAATGCACTATTATCAGAATGTTTTCATTTATCTTGACGAATGTTCATAGACTATGATGTTTCCCATTAAGATACAAATTATTCCTGATAGATCCTTCTAAAGATCAAATCCAGATATTATTCTTTTGGAAATTCCTTCTGCTTTTTTTTACTGAAGAGTAGTTTCTTTTCTACTTCACTTGTATTACTAGGTTGGATGATTTGAAATATTTTTAAAACAGTCGACATGCCTTACAGCGAGTTTTCATTTGTGTCATTGACAACAACGTAGATACATAAACACTCACTCATTGCATTTTGTTTACATTGTTCAACGCAGACGGGGAGCAGAAGGAGAGAGAGAGTGCGCTGAAGAAGTACCGTTATGGCGTTTTTCCGCGCGGCAGAAAAATCAATCTCTTTCTCTATTTTTCTTTTCTTTTGTTTGATTATACATATGAAAGAGAGAATGAGAAAAGAGCACACTTGAATGTGACAATCTTTTCTCAGAGGTAAGAGAATTTCTGTTAAAAGTCTTCACATTACCTGTTTGTTCTCGCGTAGCTAGTTACAGTGAAAGTATTGTGTCTGTTTGTGCATAAATCGAGAGAGAAAAAAAGAGATCGTATAATTAGAAGAAAAAGAGAAAGCGACGGAGAGAGAGAGAAAGAGAGTTGAAATATTTTCACTTCAACAAGCACATATATAGCTCAGTCATTCATTCGGAAGGTATATGAGAACGAGTTGGACATGTACACACATATATTTATTCATGAAGGTAATTATCACTATAGTCTCCTTTGGTTGATCAAATAAGACTTCATCGTTTCTAATTGAGATGAGACAGTGTAAAAGCTAAATTACAGTTTGTTATTCGCATCGTCCTCCTATCGCTTTTTCTACTTCCTACACCTTGACTCTCGGCAAGGAAGAAAATATCTAAGTCATAAATATCTTAAGATGACTGAGGAATTGTGCATCTATACGCATACTTCGATAGATCGAGCGAGTAATACATACAGCTAGATGCATATGTCCATATTTTCTCCCTATCTGTTCTCTTTCTTCTGATTAATGTATGATCTCACAGGCAGAAAAAAGAAGAAAAAGAAAGATGAATTCTCGCTTTTTTTTCTTCTTTTGTTGTATGGAAGACAAGGAAGAGTTTTACATGAAGACCTTGCATGAGATTGCTATTGTTGTCATCGTCGCTACGACAATGAGTATATACATCAATATGTATATTTCATTTCGATTGTTGTTCTTGTCCATGCTCTTCTGATGATCGTATGTGTACGCGTGTACAGGTACGCTACTTTACTGCCGTTGTCGTTCTTTCATTCTCTTCTTTTCTTTGACTTTTTTCTACCGATTCGATTGACGTTCGAAGTGGTGAGTGCTCTATGCTGTCTCATTTTCTTTTTCGTACTCTATTCCAGTCCGCGTACTTCGCTGTCTTTCTTGCTCTACGCCTTTTATGTTCTATTACGATGCGTGCCATATGTATTTTTTGGGGCAATGTAAAAAAAAATGTAACTCATCACGTTATCCACATGCAGGTAAAAGATAGTCTTACTCCTTGTTTTTTCTTTGACACTGGTCGACTACATTCAATGAGAGGTGAAGGGAGACATATGTTCTTCACCTATCCTTATTAACCAGCCAATACGGCTAGGTCGATGTTACTGCAATTTGTCGAAATCTAAGAATCATATTGCACTACATTCGATCTCGTCGTGATTGCGTTCGATGTCGTCGTCAAGTAAAGGGTGATTTTCGACAATGAAACAAACAAGTAGACATGCATATAAATCGTTTATCTGTTTCACAAGGAACGAAATGCTTTAGTAATCAAAAACGAACCAAACAGTTGATGAAGGAAAAAAGAAAGATATTCATTTAGTCAGTGATTTTGATTTTTTGCTGGTCAGACAAACGTGTATGTGCACTAAACGCCAGTGAACTTTCGTATTAAATATATGACTAGACGAAACAGGAAATATGAAAAGTAAAGATAATCAAGAAGAAGAAGAGCAACGAAACGAAATAATTACATACAAAGCACTAAGAAATATGAAATCTGTCTCGATCTGTTTCAAGAACTACAATCACCAAATGTACGGTTCCATTGTATATACTTGTCTAGTGTTGATGTTGTTACACTTGCTCGAATTTTCCGTAAGGCTTGTACGAAATCTGGTCGCGAAACGGGTCGAATACGACTAACTGATAGTTTCTTCAATTCATCAACACGTAGTTCGCGTACTGGACCCATTGCAGCATCTTTCGCCAATGAGGTTAAATCACTTCCAGAATAACCATGTGTTTCTCTTCAAAAGATGATATTTTTTTTCATATTGAAAATAATCGACAGAAGAAATCTTACTGAGCTATCCAATCGAAATCGGCTGATGTTAAATTATGTTCTTGTTTGTTGAGTAAATGTTTCAAAAGGTGCCGGCGGGTTCTTGAATCTGGAAGTTGAATATAAATACGACGAGGGAAACGTCTAGAAATCATGTTTACACAAAGAACGGTGCTTTTCGCTTTGCTCGTTTACCGTAATGCAGCATCGTCCAATTCAAAAGGACGATTGGTTGCAGCAAGAACAAGAATACGATCATCACTATTTGTTTGAACCTAGAATTTGAATGAGCATAAAGAATGAATACTTTTGTTTACTCTTCTGTTTTAACTTACGCCATCGAATTGAATGAGAAATTCGGTCTTCAGTCGACGCATTGCATCATGTTCGGATTCTTTACGTTCAGTAAGTAATGAGTCAACTTCGTCTAGAACAGAATAGTCACATCTCGAAACCTTAGGAGTGAGCATGGTAAACAAACCAATAAAGATAATTGATGGTTGTAATTCACGAGCAGCGGCAAATAAAGCTCGTACAAGTTTTTCTCCTTCACCAACCTAATTATAAAGTGATATGAAACAGAAAAGAACAATTATGATACATACGTATTTCGATGTTAAACTAGATGCGCTGATATTAAAAAATCGAGCTTTCGCTTCAGAGGCAACAGCTTTTGCCTGGAAAGAATGCATTGACAAAATACAGAAAATATATTCGGACTCCTCATATATTACCAGCATTGTTTTACCGTTACCAGGCGGTCCAAATAGTAGAATACCTCGCACTGGTGCTCGCAGGCCAGTGAACATCTGAATGTAAAGAACAAAAGGATTTCGTTCATTATATTCGTTACTAGAAATAGTTAGTTTTACTTCAGGTCGAAGAACAGGAAGAATAACAGCTTCTTCTAATGCACGTTTGGCGCTCTCTTGACCGCCTATGTACGAAAATCAATCAATATTATTGACGAATCAAATGACTTACCAACGTCATCGAATTTAACGTTAGGTCGACTTTCAATAACCTCATCGAGGATATATGAAATGAGCTGTGGCTCAACGTTCGGCAACTTCAGGGCAGGTCGTTTACTTTGAGAAGAGGCACTGTCATGATCTGATCTAGTTGGAAGTTCTTTTTTTGCCGCCTAAATAAAATTTCATAAGTATCAAGTCTGAGTTTCTATAACTATTCAAACAAATCTCACATTAGCAACCTGTTTGGGTTTAATCACAGCATGATTCATTGGCGTAGCAGTAGCGGGAGATTGAAATTTAGATAAAGCAGACTATAAGCACAAGCATGCTCAATTCATGCAAAGCCGAGTGACTACTTACAGGGGGTGGAGAGAGAACACGACGTGGAGATGTCGGTCGCTGAGCTCGAGTTGGAATTGCGTTTTCTTTGCGAATTAAATCTTCTGAATTAGGGAAAACAGCTAGAGATGTATGAAAGGCATCGAAAGACAAACTTACGCAACACATTCACTCGATCGCGAGCCATAGTTAAATTTTTACGCATTTTTGCATTTAATTCGGCAGCACGACTATCTGTGAATAGAATTTGTGTTTTGAAGTAAACCTTTCATGGCTAAACACTTACTACTTGGATCAATATATATATTAACTGCTTTCTCAAGTTCACGAATACCTTTTTTGTATAGCAGAATAGCGGTTTCGGTATTATCTAAGAAATTCAACACGAAATACAGATGATTCACATAAGAATTGTATACTTGAACTTTCATCGCATTCAAGTGCTTGTTTTATATATCCAGTAGCTCGTTGATGGTATTCTTTCTGAAGTTCATATGCTTCGCCTTCCATATTGAGCAGATTTGTTTATTTGAAATACAAGCAAATCAATAACATTGACGAACAATCGAGGTATTCTGTTAGTATAGCGCAGGGTTAGCTATAGTGTGAATCATCTGAAAGAAGGAACGTGACTGTAGTGTCATACTCTTGTACTACAACAAATTTTACCATTTGTCTGACGTCATGAGGTCTGAAAGCCGAATCTTCTTTTTAGCAGGCAACCGGTCGGTTGAGGATGACGAGCAAAGATGATTCATATTTTTTTCTTTACTCTCTGACAAATGCGGAATCGACCAATCTGATCGATTTTTCCAGCAATGGAAAGAGATGTCAGAAGTATCTATGACTTGGAGAAAAAGTACCAGACGTGTAGAAATATTCGTAGTTGATATCATTTTCGGATAAACTAATCGAAAAGTACGTTGAGAAACAGAATATTTTTATCGAATTATTTAATTCTTAATTAAGAACTACTAAAAGGGACCAGAATTTTTTAATTAAAACATAACATTTGACAGGAGGAAAAGCACAGACGAAAAAAAGGATATGTTCAACGAAATAATCACATGACATATGTTCAGTAAGTAAGTTGACGTGATGGATATCGGCCAGGATATTTTCGAATGAAGAATTTTCTTGCCTCGTTAAATGCAAACAAATAGAAGAAAAATGGTATTGCTGGTAACCACCAAAGAAATCGATTTGGAGCAAGATTGAGTGCCCGATTGAGTGTTGGAACATAGAGAAGAAAGCAAGCCAGTGCGATAGTAAAAAATATAGCGAATATCATAAAGCGGTTACTAAATATTCCCTGTTGAAAGACCGATCGACGCGTTGTTTTATTTCCGTATAAATTAGCAAATTGGAGAATAACAACACCAATGAAATAAGCTGTTTGAGCAGCCAAATCAAGATTGTGTCTAAATGATACATGAAGAATAGTCTGTTAAAACTAGACGGGAAACAGATTTAAAATATTCACCGTTGTTCGTATGTCCATTCCTGTCCATAGCTATCGCGTAGATCATTGACAGATGTCGATTCCCACGCTTCACGTAAACCGAGCAGTCTCGACGGCCAAAAGCCATTCTCAGCCATGACAACCATATAGGCAAAGAAAGCACCACTCGCTTCAATCATAGCAATTTGTCCATAGCATAATGTAACCATTTGACTGGTAACCATCTTATCTGTTTTCTTACGCGGTGGACGTTTCTACAAATCAAACATGCGAAAAGTCTACCATTGATTCATTCCGATATTTATTTACCAAGATATCTGCTTCGATTCCTTCGTATGCATAAGAAATACTAGGTACGATATCAGTACCTAAGTCGATACATAGGATAGTGATTGTACTTAGAGCAAGTGGAACATCAGCAACAACATAGACAAGAAACGGTAGTAATTCGACTAAATTTTTGGTGAACGTATAAGCAATAACTTTTTTTAAATTATCGAAGATCAGGCGACCTTCTTCGATACCAGTAACAATAGTAGCGAAATTATCGTCGAGTAAGATCATATCAGCAACTTGTTTGCTTACATCAGAACCTGTGATACCTATTTGATGGGAAAACAAGCGAGACAGAGGTGTGTCTACAAGTCGTATTGAATAGCATACCCATAGATATACCAATATCGGCTTTTTTCAAAGCAGGTGAGTCATTGACACCATCACCTGTGACGCCAACAATCCAGCCTTGCCGTTGACAACCTAGACAAAATATTTTGCAGGATAAAAAACGACACAATTTCAAAGCTAACGACTCACCTTCGACAATAATTAACTTTTGTTGAGGCGATGTTCGAGCAAAGACTATTTCCGGATGGAATATCAAAACTTCATCTAACTGCTGAGATGATAACTCAGCTAATTCAGCACCAGATACAACAATAGCACGAACATCTCGTGGGTCCACATCGTCGGGAGATATATTAAGACGTTTCGCTAAATCTTGTGCTATGAAACAGCATAAAATCACCACAATGTATGTATCTTTAAGACTAAAAATATTCGTAATACCTGTGTCGGATGTAATTATACCAACGCCTAAATAAATACAGCTCACAATGAAAACAGAGTTTCCTAATATTTCTTAGTTACCTCGAGCGATTGCTTTAGCCGTGATTGGGTGATCACCAGTAACCATAATAACTTTGATACCTTTATTGGAGCAAATGGATAGAAATCTCTCGTACTGACCTTTTCGAATTGCTTACCTGCAGTACGACACTTAGCTACGGCATCAGCGACACCAGGTCGTGGTGGATCAATCATTGTAATGAAACCAAGAAAACGTAAACCTCTCAATGGAAAATTTACATTATCAGGATCAAAACTGAAACCTCGTGGAAAATTTCCTAATGGTAATCTTAAATCGCAAAAACCAAGCACACGCTCTCCTAAACCGCCTAATTCCATGTAAGCATCATTGAATTTCTGTTTCCATTCGTCGTTCAAATCTAGTTCTGTATTGTTGATGAAAATCTTTTGACATCGTTCAAGTATTCGTTCAGGTGCACCTTTCATCTTAGAACAAGAAAGAAAATAAGCTAAATAAAAAAGTTCTACACAACTCTCTTCTTACCACTACTAAATGTCTTTCATCGCCATCATTGGTTTCATGTACAGATACTTGATATTTATTGGCACTGTTGAATGGAATATCACAAACGCGCTTATTCTTCGCACGATACTCTTCAACTTGTCCGTGAACGATTTCACCGAACTGAAGAATAGCTGTTTCACTAGCATCACCTTGTACTGTACGTTGTAACGGTGGTTTACTCATGTTTTCTTCGTCAGGCTGAAATAGATCTTAGTTTGATTAGAACTATCTATCAAATAGAATACTCACTTTAAAAACAGCTTTTGCGCATAACATAGAACACCGTAGAAGTGCTTGATATCCTGGCCGATCTGGTTTGACTGTTTTGGTTTCTTCTCCTGTCTTCGGATCAACTAGTGGATTTTCGAAGGCTAATTCTGCATCATGCGTATGCGATAAGTTCACAGCTGCGATGGCTCCGTCAAGCCATAAATGTGCGACTGTCATACGATTCTGTGTCAATGTACCCGTTTTATCAGAACATATCGTTGAGACACTACCGAGAGCTTCTACAGCAGTTAAATTTTTTACTAGACACTTCTTTTTCGCCATACGTTGTGCTGTAAGAGCTAACATGACAGTAATAGTTGCCAGAAGACCTTCGGGAACGTTTGAGACGATAATACCAATGACGAAAACGATTGCGCGTAGAACACCTGTGCCAATGGCAAGTAGAATAATGAGAAAAATAATTCCAAAAGTTACAGCTACAGCAGTAACAATATGAACGAAATGGTTAATTTCAACATTCAGCGGTGACATATCAGTACCGAGACCGCTAGCTATTGAAAACAAGTATCAAAGAAGATCATGAAGATCAAGGAATGATTTACCTAATGCAGCGATACGACCCATAACAGTTTCATCACCAATTCGAATAACCATACCAGTGCATGCACCTAGAATTATTTGAACGTATGGATAACATAGGGAAAGAAATACCGTGTACCTTCAACAGCAAATGTACTGAAAAATGCAAGGTTTTTTGTTTCAAGGGGATTATCATGTGTACAATCAGGTGATCGAGCTAATGGTTCACTTTCACCAGTTAATGATGAGTTATCGACTTTGAAACTTTGTGATGATAATACTCGAATGTCTACGATCGATTGACAAGTTTCATTCGAAAACTAAGAATATAAGTAAAAGATTTTACCTGCTGGCGTTTTATCTCCGATTTTAACAAAAACAATATCTCCAACGACTAACTCCGCCGCAGATATTTCAATTTTATGACCGTCACGTAGTACAACAGCTTGTTGAGGAACCTAAAGATATAACAAGAAGACTAGCAAAGCTCTTTCAAACACAAGTTTCTACCATCTTTTTAAACGACTCCATAATTTTCCCAGCTTTCGATTCTTGATAATAAGCAAATACAGCTGTAATAAAGACGACGACTATCAGTGCAATGCCTAACCATAAGTTATCTTTGGGTGTTGTTGGATCTGTACCGACTTGCACACCATAAGCGATCAAACAGAGTATAGCAGCAACCTATTTGAATGCGACCGAATGTAAATCTAAAGAAGAGAAACCGTTGATTTTACTTACCCATAGCAAGCCAGAGAAGCCACCAAAAAGTAATTTTGCGAATTTCACCCATTCGGGTACTTCAGGCGGAGGTGTCAATGCATTCGGGCCATTCTTTTCCAACAACTGTCGAGCTTTTTCACTTGACAAGCCTTGTTCGATATTTGTTTCGTATCGTTGAACTAGTTCTTCTAATGTTATTTTATGATCATCAATTGTAACTTCTTTTTTCAAATTTTCAAAATCATCACCACTTTTTTGTTTTTTCTTCTTTTGTGCGCCACCTGTAGAAGAACACATTACTTGATTTTTCTCTCAAAATTGATCAATGAAACACTACCTGGTACTAGTGAACGAACAGTATCCGTTATTCGATCTATGATCGTCATCGTATGGACTTCAAAACACACACTTCAATTAGTACGCACCTTCTTTTTCTACTAAATCACCATAAAGCGTTTTTCAAGTAACAGTACCTTTTACAAAAACTAAATGTCAGGAGGTAGAGATATACAGTTGAATGCTTGTGCGTGTGTATCGTTTTAGTGCGCCTGTGGGTATCTATAAAATAGCAAGGTTGATCGATTTGCGTTCGATGAAACGAGTATGATTCACTACTGATCATTTTTCTTTTTTGTACATATATATGGGAGGGCTTTATTCATCTCCGTGAATAACGAGTTATATTGCCTCGAAAACAACCATTAACTCGTCGACGCAAGTAACAGAAAGAAAAAGAAAGCGATACGAAAGATTAGTTTAAAACACGAAGAATTCATCATGTCGTCCGTTCTTGTCGCCAAGGATGCTCGACCGATGTGCATCATTGACTTTAATATCGCCCCCAGCTCTACACGCGCATCGAGTATTCGCGTTTGAAACAGTGTTGTTGTTTTTTCTTTAAAATTAAGCTCTACATTTAGCAAAAAAGTGTACACACATGCACAGCAATTATGACAATTACATCAAGCATATCGAACTAGAACAGTGTCTAGATTATGGTGTATTCTAGAATGCAAATAACAAAACAATGTAAAACTGGATGTACCTATGCATAATGTCGACTTACAATAACAAGAATATCGAAGTTTGTTCGTTTTAAAGAAAATACAGGAGCTGAACGAATTTCGACTGGGCAATCCGATGAAGCAGCTAAAACGATTGATGATTCAAAATTTTTTTTTTTCGAAATCTTTATTTATCTCTTTACCTTCCCCAGAAAATCGTCGACAATATGTAAAGCTAAACAGAATTCAATCTCTGCTGAAGTTTTCATCACCTATCTTGCTTACTCTGTTTGAAATTTCAGAAATAGATCCGTATTTGACTTTCGTCCCATCGCCATAAATATTCGCGTGACTAGTTCACATGGATAATCTGTTAACATAAGCCAATCACCCTAATAACACCATACGATAAGCAAGACGATCGTCAAGTTTGACGTTGAATGTTTCTTACTCGATCACCGTGTGATTCTTTTGAATGAATGCAAACGAAACCATCTTTATATGGTGAACAAGTTATACCAAGAATTTGACGAAATAGCAACACTTCTTTAGGATATGGATTCTTTTTTGTGATGTAGTAGATACGCTCAGTGGTGACACAAAAGATTCGAAGGTGTAGCGAAGAGGATCGACGTTGTATTTTTTGTACCATGGTTGTGTACTTCATAGAACTAAGATATAGAGAAATAATTCAACTCATGTTACTTACAAGAGGCTTTTCGGTGTCGAAAAAACATTTCTTCTTAGCAATATCAAATACGGGCAGCATTTGATCGGCTAGAAAAGTGAAAGAAAATATTCACTGGAGGTTTTATAAGAAAAATCACCCTTTAGACGTACGTAAGCGAACTGATTTCATCGTAAGATGATCTGGATGGTATGCTGTTTTTTTTCCTTCGAATAAATACTGCATTAAGGGTTTGTCTGTCTGAGCGTTCGAGTGAGATGTCGATGGCTGTGCAACGACATAACTATCTTCAATAGTGGGTGGTGACGACGATTGATGTTCCAATACTTTATCTAATTCATTTAACACTTGATTTGCTTCTTCGTCATTCGACACTGGATTTGTTTCAATCAGTTCGGGGCTTTGTGCAGCTTCAGCTAAATCAGCTGATCTCTCTTCTGGTTCTGGTTCATCCGGTGGATGAATTTCTTCAGTTTGACATAATGCATCAGAGAATTCCGAACATTTCCGTTCTTCTACAATGGATTTAGCTGCTTGATTGTAGTGAAGATCATTCATAACGAAATTAGCGAATGTACGACCAAAATCTCGTGACAAAGATTGTGTTTGTCGATGTGATGATATTGTTTTTTTAAATAATTCTTCCTTCCTGGCAGCTGCTGGACTGTTTATTTCATTATCCAACGATTTTCCTCGCTGAACTGCTTGAACCGAGGACGTTGCTGGATGTTGTGTCATGAATATATCGTAGTTTTTCAAATGTTTTAATATCAATGTGTATTGTGTGATCATCTCATCTAATCGATTTCGTTCCATACAATCGACAGCGTCGGAGTTTGACCGTTTGATTTGTTTTGCTTGCTTTGGACGCGTTTCCTTCTCTTCTCGATCGCACGATAAATAATCGACGAGTTTTTCAAAGGGGTTCTCACTGTATGTACTCTCCGAGCTATCTGCACGTGACAAATGATTGGCACGATGTGTTCTAATCAGCAATGGAATAATGCTATCTGACGATCGCCTATTTAGATTTAAGGCTAGACCACTGCGAAAAACATGTCGAGTGATGTTCCATCGATGAAGACCAGTGATTTTTCGAACTTTTGCAAGAACGTTTTTCTTCTCCTCCGGTGTCATTTTCTTGATCGAGCCTTTGAGAGTAGTCACCATTTGCGCATGATGTCGAAACATGATCGGTGCTGGTGGTGGTGGTAGTGGTAACGATAGGAGAAAGTCGTCGCCAATCGATGGTAGTTCTGGCTCGAATGGAGAAATGACATAGTCTAGGAAAAAATGCCTCCTTTTTCACTTTGATCTTATGTCTCATGCTAAGAAGAAGATTTATTCAGATTAGAGTAATACCTGATGGTTCTTCTCTTGCCATGTCGTTCGTTATCTTCACAGTAGGCACATTTGCTTTCGAAGAACTTGTCTCCTTCTTCTCTTGCCTGCACCATGCACGAGATGGTTTGACTGCTGAACCTGATAGTTTATTCTGCTCTTGTGCTTTGAAACTCCACATGTTGCGAATCGTTTTAAAATCACCATCAACATTTGGCTTACAACTTGCCTCCATGGTATAGCTTTCAGAGAAACGGACTCTTTCACAATCGAGTATGAGCTATCTTAGTCTGGCTTGAAATGATTGAGTAGAGAAGTAAATGAAGACATCTGATGAAATGCACTTTCTTCATACATAAAGGTATTTATTAAAATTAGAAGAATAAAACAGTAGTTTGACATATTTGTCTTTGGTAAGTCTGTGAGACAATAGAAAGACTCGTGCTATGTAGACATATGAACCTCGATTTTTTTTTTCTACCTTGCAATATTAATTCTCTCAAACTCGACTTATGGAACACGAACGTCGGTGACGAAGAGGAGCCGATGTATCTCTGTAGATCAACGTAGAAACCTTTGAACATGAAAGAAGTATTAGAAATGCTTATAATCGTCACTCGTACTATACTAAGACAGAAATGTAAACATAGGTTTCGGAGCTTCCGTGATGAAGAAAGTATGTAATAAAAGCACGAAGAAATGTGAGAGAGCTACTGATTGGCCAGTAGAATCTCCATGTACTTCATAAAAATCGTCATTGATCTTTACTAAGTCTGTATTAATAGAAATAAATGAATATTTAACAAAGAATAAATCGCAAATATACATGACAAGTAATATTTAAGGATTTCATCCGTTCACATTTATTAAAAATTCTGTAAAACGTATAAAATAGATCAAAAGTAAATATGTATGATATTGTCAGATGCCGAGAGTCGGTTTTAATATTGAATTAACAAAATACTTGTTTGACGCTGATCGATCGAGATGATCTTAGTCTTTCAACAACAATTCTATGCGCACTCAAATAATATCTCTGTCATTCATATGAAAATCAAATAGTTCATACTAATAAATATGCAAGAGGGATCCAATCCTCGCGCTTGTCACTGATACTCAAACGATGATGAAACATCTCAATTCCTTATATTGTATTTTGGTATTATAGGTGCACATGTGCATTTGCACTGACATCCTCAAGAATGTTAACATTTAGTCGGAATTTTATTGTAATAGTTTGATCAAATCACCAAAGAAGTCATACGAAAAAAAAATAGGACGGAAATAAAAAATCAAATAGTACAGTCATATGAAACACCACGATTTGCTCTCAATATTAGGACGAAGAGGGCTGCAAGAGACTTAGTTTTGTAAAATACCGTAAGAAGAAGAAGGCAATGAAAGAAATTGAAAGCAGTAGAATACCAATAACAAGAGTGATTATTTCATGTGATTGGGTCGGAATGATAAATAATCGTAAACTAATCGTTGACCATCGACTTTCAGACCATGCTGGATATGTTGTATCTGCTAAATCATACTTATCAATGGCAAATGCCGGAGATGATGAGTAAGCAGATCGATAGTACGATCGCACACAATAACCCAAGAATTTCTCCTCCGTTGATATTGATGGTGGATATCCACCAACGAATCGATACAATCGAAAGCTATCGTTTTTACCTTGTTCTTTGCATGCCGTTTCAGTCAAATTTAGTGCATCATATGTGCGATCACGTAAGAAATAACTGAGAGTGTTTCGAACAAATGTAAATGTCGGTGTAGTGGCTGTCGGATAAGTATTGACGGAAAAAGGCAAAGATGTTTGATTGAATGCGTCGAATGAACTACCAGAAGTTTCGTTGCTGACATTATGAATCAGAGGACAGTTGATGTTTTTCAAAACACAATACACAAGGTTATTGATAATTTCTTGTTCGATAGTGATGTTTTTGTTCAGACCAGTTGTCGTTTCAATGAGAGTCTGAGCCAATGGTTCAACAAGAGATTTAATCCATTGACTAAAATCAGTTGTTGTGTTGTATTCTAATGATGAAATATTGATTGATAATGTTGATGGATCATCAAAGAATGAATGATAGTAACGATTTGACAATTGACTTTGATTAGTTGACGTCAAGATATACACAGGAAAGAATGATGACGATGTCTGTCGTAGAAAGATTTGTGAAGATGCCGGTGGAAGAGGAGCATCACGTGGCATTGGAACAATTGTTGACGTTCTATTTGTCAAACTATTAATAAACGTCTCGTTGGCCAGATTGGATGGATGTGCATAAAGATTACTTTCGGAAAGTTGGCTAGTAAAACTCAATGCTTGAAATTCAATAACCGAATGAATGTGTTCTTTTCTAATACGTTCTTCATCTTTACTATCAGTCGGAAAATAGTTATTTTCCATATCGTACATAAATCGGAATGAACCTGAATAATCCAGAGCATCGCCATCGAGCGTGACAAATATAATTTCTTTCTCGACCTTATTCAAATCTTCTTGTGCTTGTCCCATCAGATGGGCAAGTGACAGAAATGCGATAAGTGATGTGGCTGGTTGTTGGGCACCACCTGTTGCACCATTTGCCTTTAAGAACATTTGAAAACTATCCGTTGTTGCTAATATTAATATAACCGATTTCAGGGGTCGCTGTTTCGGCATAATGGTCAATGGTTCAGGTAGTTTACTGTATATATTCAAGCCGCCAACCGGATCACAAAGTGTTTCGGCCTCATCGATTAACGAATGTGAAATTTCACCTCGACGCATACATGTTTTCGATGTGTGTGCAGCATTTTGAAATGTTTTCAATTCTAAACCACAAGACGAAGTGGATTGACTACTATTAAACCGTTGATAATAGCTTAGTAACAATTTATAATCGTCTTCTTCATCAATCAACATTATTGGAAATGGAAACGAACGGAAAAATAGTCCGTTGCCTTTCGGATTCCAATTAACTGCTTGTGTTTGGTTTAGATAGTACGAATGACGATGATTGGGACATTGATCATCTGGAGAAAAGTCTCCAGGTCGAGTTAGGTTTGATTTTAAGTAGACTAAAAGACCATTTAATTTGGTATCAAGACGTGTCATTAACTCATCCATATGTTCAGAATCGAATAGATCAATATTGAGAGTAATAATGAATTTACCAATCGAATCGAGTGTCTTTTTATTTGTGAGAAACGAACGAAACTCATTTTCATCGTCAATCATATGCATTCGACCGGAATTTCCTCGGGAAGATGATTGACAGCCAATTTCATGAGTAGCATTGACACGACGTACACAATAACGTGCACGATTGAATGTTATGTACATCTCGTCCATGACACGCTTATTTTCGACATACGAAATTAAAAAAATTAACAAAACCAAAATAAATAAAGTACGCATATCGATCTAGAAAAAGAATTCGTTGAGTATAGAAGTAGACCTGTTATTTGTTTAGTGACTTTCAAAATACAAGAGATTGAAATATCCGAGAAGCAATAAATGAAAGTGAGTATCGGAGCACGGGAAAGAACTCTCAACTGCATGACTAGATCATCCAAGAACGATAGAAAAAGTGTGGCCTACACAGAGTTGAATCTATTTGTGAAAAAGATCATTTTCAAATTGAAATAAACGAAACTACTCAAACGAAATCGAAACCTACCTGATTACATTCAGCAATCTGTTTGGTACATCGAAATGAACCAATAGACAGTGCACTCCCAGCTATCATACTATTTTAAGAATATTTCTTGTATATAGTCACAAAAGCTGAACTGTAGACCAGACAGACTCTCATGATGAACGTAAGGAGATGTTATGAAGTAATGATCATTCAATGTACAGATGTCACCACTGAGCAAGCTGAGGGTGTGGGTGTGGGGGTGAGGGTGTGGGTGGGTTATGAAAAAGAAGTGTGAGTGCATCCGATCCTTCACATCATCGACGCTTCTTATTGAATGAAGAAAAAAATGAGTATAGAATATCATTGTCTGAGTAGCACGTCCCACAAGAACTTTTCTCATCTTCCTTTTACCAACTGTTCGTATTTGTATAATGAAGTCAGAAAAGTTAGATATTGGATGAATGATGATCAATCTGTCGAAATTGTTAAATGTGACCTAGTGAACACAGAATAAAGACGCCGTTTTATCAAGCGCGCATCACCGGTGTGTTTCAGACGTATACACTATAGTGGTACAAAATAGCAAGACGAATCACATAGCCAAATAGTTTGGAATAGAATTGATTTCAAACAAGATGCGCTAATCACAATTAATAGCCTGCAACTACTACCACAGTATCACATCGAATCTGGTAGAGTTAGTTCATCAATGGTTATGCATTCCACGCGTCATAAAAGTAAAAGATGAGAATAGATGGCGTATTATAGATAAGAATACATCAAGATTACTGAAGAGGTATCACTTTAACATTTCAAACTATTATGGTAGAATAAGTCGCTTAGATTTATCTTTTATCTATGCTGATTTATTATACGGTATCCACAGAACATACATTCTTCGCTCGTGCGTATATCATTTCAGTTTATTATTGGTGCTGATCATTATTCCTTTTGTCAGGAAAATTCTTATAACAAACTCTTTCTTTTAGAAACATGTTTCTTACTGTATCTGATCCATCGAGTACAGCTCTTCATATTCTTTTACATGCCAATATTGCCTATACGATCTTTTGGCTCCTGGCAGAAATCCTTCTGTTTGTTTTCAAATATTACAATCTATACAGTGTGCGCCATGCATTTGGCTTGGAATTATCATCTGTATTTATGTTGTGTCTCAATGATTTCATTCGTCTTTTTTTCGGAATTAAAGGCAATTTACTGTTGAATATTAAACTTCTCGTTCTTTTTATTGTTTATGGATTATTTTGTGCAATTGGTTTTGTTTTCTTCCTTCGCTTTCAATCCTTTGCTACGCGAACTGAAGTGTTTCTTTCAGGGATCAGTCTACTGTTAATTCTAATCGAAACTTTACTGGCCATTATCACACTTGTTCGCAATAGTCGTGCAATGCCTGTTCTAACAAAACAACAACAACTCCTACGATTGAATCGAGCGCAACAACGATTTCAACGCTCGATAAAATCTGATTAATATTGAAATAGTATAAAAAATCATTTTGTTCATGAAAATATGCAATAAATTGCTTGCAAAACTGACAGTAGTGCAATGTTGAAATAGTTGATCTACTAATAGAATATATTTTATGACTATGCACGCGACAATAGTAAACGCGCATGAATATAGAAAAAGAGAAGAGACGAAAAAAAACAAATTCGATTTGAAGAGCGCATATTGAACAAAAGATAATGTGTAACAAACGGAAATAAATGTACACAATAAACTTTATTTTCACAAATAGCTGAAACACTAAAACAAGAGGAGAAGAAGAAGAAGAAGAAGAAAGAGAAAAAGTCAATGAGGAGTAATTTTAAGTTGAATTCGAATCAGAGTCTATCGTTGGAATTGATTCATCATTTCGTTGCTGTTTATTGCGTTTACCGGATGGACCATGGGCTTCAGCAGCATGCTTCTTTCGCCATTTCGTTCGTCTAAAACAGAGATTAGAGTCACAAAAAGCAACAAAACAACGTATCTATACCTATTTTGAAACCAAACCTAAAAAAGAAACAGCACGAAATGTTTTTACTCATCAAACTACAGAAGAATCACGAGATCCCTTACTTTTACTTGTGCTTCACTCATTGATAATTGACAAGCAAGTCGTGATCTTTCTGTTCCTGCTAAATATTTCGTGTTCTCAAACATTTTCTCCAATGCAAAAATCTGATGTCCAGTAAATGTCGGTCGGCTGCTTTTTCGTTTCATATCTTTCGCTGATTCATTACCACTTATCATACTTGAATAATGTGTGACTTGTGCATTGTCCATCGGCACACCTAAAAACGACAGACACATATTTTCTTCCATAAAACTTCATTTGTTTATCAGAGAAAGCAATCAGAAGTAACGGCTTATTAATAACTATTCGTGTGCGTGCGTATTGTAAACACACTTGAGAGAGAGAGAGAGTGAAAAAAAGAGTCAAAACAAATGATTACAAAGATTGACGTGCTCCTTGATGATGCCATTGTTTATTGTGATCTTCTCATTTCTCTTCGTTTTTCTTTCCGAATGAATGCGCTTTTTCAATTGATCTCACGATGTTTGATGACAGTTTCACGAACGCACCGGCAAAATCACTTTGCAATCGATCATCGAATGTGTATAATTATCAATTAGATGATGCTCATCAGAGAAAATAATCTTTACGTCCAAAACTTATCCTCTTTGTCACTGATAGATTATTCATATTCAGGACTTTTAATGATCTACATTAAGATGCAAAGATCATTCATTTGTCGTTAGAATTTCAAATGTACGCACAACATCTTTTTTTCGAAATCGATAAAAATTAAAGAGAATGCTTCATTGACAATGAATGACATTATCGTATCGACGGAAGCGGCTTTCTCTGCCTTTCCTAATATCATTTCCATAGTTTATTGCTATCGTCATCCGTTGTTTTTTCTCATAAGATTGATTCGAATCATTACACTTCGAGATCTTGATAGGGGAAAATAAGACTTTTTCTTCCTTGTTTGCATAAGAACAGGATCTGAACGAGAGACGAAAAAAAAACAGAGGATCAACTGAACGACAATGGATGCTCTCGTCACGCCCTTTTGCTTTATGAATAGAAATCGAAGACATGACACGTGCAATTTTTTTTGCCTACTGCTGGTGCCATTAAGTGTGTTGATGCGGTTAAAAAACGATTAAAAAACAACAGACAAATTTCTAGTTGTGTGACAAATTGGCTCTCAATCATGCAACGTCTGGTGTTGATCGATCGACTGAAATGATGCGATCATATTCAGACAAATGTTGCCTGATAGATCAAACTCAACTGGCTCTTGATATTAAAACATAACGGTGTCATTTGATTTGACTTTATAGGTATATATATATACACGTATGCATACCAGCGAAATGTAGGCAAAGAGAAGAAAGAAAAAACGCACCGGAAATCTATTGTCAAATGCCGTTCTGTATTACATAAAAAACGAGCTAGCGAATGTAGAAAAATGTGCAGATGTAATGCGACGGCAACAAATATTATAAATCATCCTTCCAATCATTGAATAACCATTAAGAAAGGGAATGAATAGATGAATGAATAGAGAGATGTATATATGTATGTATATACCTATGAATGAGGTATCGAGCAAGCTCTTCTCTTCACAATGGGATGGTATAAATGAGTTTGAAGAAAAGTTTACCTTTTGTTGTATGTTGTGGATGCCATGCGGAGGTGTTTGATGTGGTTGTTTGTGCCATAGGTATTTGTGACCAATCATCTCTTGGAAGGAAATTATTCGATGGTGGTGTCAACACTGAGGGATGATGATGGTGATTTTGCTGGATATAATTAAATTGAGTTAGGTTCAATGTAGTGGTCGAGGAAGGATTCGAACGTGAAAGAAGGAAATCATTCGATAGAGGTGGAGAACTTCCCGAACTTGAACTACATGCACTGGAATCGAAAAGAACTTTGTTTGCTGCAGGTTGTTGAATGTAGGAAGCTTTCTCTATCCCTCCTCCGTTGGATGTTGCTGTCGATGATGCTGATGACGAGAAGAATGAAGGCAATGGACTACCAGAAAACCAGAAATTCGGCTGATGTTGATTTGATGTACTTGCCGTTGATAGCATTATCTCATCTAAGCAAGAGGAATTTTCAAGCGACGATGATGGTAATAACATACTAGAATAAAGAAATCAAGCGATAGATTTCGTTTTCAATCTCGAATATTAACTTACCACCAAATAAAAAACTTCAATATTGTCTCTTTGTTTCTTTTAAACGATTTGTTATTAGTTTTTAATATTTGAATAATGAGAGAGAAGGGAGAAAAAGAGAAATTTATTTATGATTGTATTTCCGTTCGAACAATTAATCAAGTGTTTCTTGTCGTCGCGTCTCTGTTGACGATGTGTGTGATGTGTGCTTGTATGTATATGTGTGAATCGCTTTTCAATAGATAATTTGATTTGCTCTCTCCTTCTCTCGCTCTATTTTACCTTCTTTCTCCCTTTTCTCTTAATGGATATCGATCTTTCTCTCCCTTCATCTCAATCGACAGAACGGATCGATTTCTTATTGGCTAGATCGTCGAATAATTCCCATTCGTTCGCCATCTCTCTTCCGTTTAAGGAAAAGAACGATGATAAGAAAAAGAGTGTTCCTCCTGTCTTCCTATGAGACTATTATTCAAATTATGCAAATGAGTAGAATATTCCATCTTTTCAAATGTTAATACCCATTCATCAATCATTGAGCATTTTATTTCGATCCCCATCTTCGTATCCTTTCAAGATAAAAAAAAAAGAACTCGAAAAGTTTTTCTCTCGATCTACTTAAGAAACATATATTGGACTACCATTAATACATACACATATTTCTCCCAAATATTCGTCCTATAAACACTCTCATATAGCATCCCATTTACATACTATACTGTGTATATGCTTACTAAACACAACCATCGAAGAAATCAAATTGCAATTATAGCCATTGCTCGTCGTTCTATCGCATAAACAAGGCGAACGCGCGAGAAGAGAGATGTGTCAAAAGAGAAAGCTTCGCAACTAACACATACAAAAGCAAATCGGACAATAGAAGAATGTTTGGAAAGATTTAATTAGAGAATATAACCATTTGCTTCAATTTTTCACACTAACAAGAAGAAATGATCAAAACAACTGAATAGAAATCCATAATTTATTAATCATAAATTATCAAATCATCACAAGAAAAATATCAATTAATATCGAATCAAGCTGTTTTGAAGAAAAAAAAACGAAGCAAAAGAGCGTTACTCAATTAAAGTTTCGATTTTTGATCTTTCAATATTGCCGTCCTCATGCGCATAGGCACTGCATGTGTCTCATCGAAATAAGGCTGAGTTTCGTTTTTCACTCGCTGCATCCAGTCCTGAACACGAGAAAATTTTTCTCGATCGAAATTATACCCTGCAGCAATCGGTTGCATCAATTCACAAATACCTAAATATAAACGTTAATTATATTGTCGAACATATCGTATTTGATTAATGTGATTTACCGAGTAAATCAGCGAAGGTTAAATGATCGCCACCGAGGTATGATGAACGAGCTAACCAAACATTTTCAAGATCACCGAGCGAATCTTCCAAACGTCCTTGCCATTTTTCTAATTCACGTTCATTTATTGGCTTGTTTGTCAAACGCGGCGTGATGATCTGTAAGGAACGAAAATTGATATTCGATGCAAATAAAATTAGTATAGGAAGACTTTTGTTCGAAAGTACATTGCACCATTGGAACGTAGATTTAGATGTTGCCAATTGGCATATTCGTTAACTCGAGCACGAGCTTTCACTTCTTTAGGATACCAGTCGAATTTTTCATATTTGTCACAAAGATACATGAAGATTGCCACACTGAAATATCGAAGGTGGCTTTTGGTAATGCGAGATTCCTTTGTCTTGCATATACAAACCTTTCTGTAAGGAGAAAACCTGAATCGCCGATAACTGGGACTTTTTTAAATGGATTGATTCGACTAAATTCATCGGTAGTATTTTCTAATTTTCGTAAGGCAATCTCCTTTGATTCAAATGGAATACCAGTCATTTTCAGAAAGATGTACAAAGCCCGACAAGGCTGCGACATTAAATCGTAGTAGAATATCAATGGCATCTGAAAGAAGAATACAACGAGATCTTCATTAAAACTGATGAGTACGAAAAGAGCGCGATGTTTGTGTTTTCTTATTCGTTATAATGCCATCTATGATAGATGTGACTCTGCCATTATTGACTTTGGTGACTTTGCTGAGCAGCTGTGTTCTTTTGAAGCGTATGGAAATGTTGAAATGTGACATCAAAGAAAAGAAATTCGACATTCAAACGACAGAAGAAAATCTCGGCCATTTGAATACGAATCTCAGTCGATCGATTCTGACGAAATTACGCCTCTTGGATCGTCTATCATCGTCCCAAGTCTAGAAACACAGGGTGTTATTTATCATAGAATTTCTTCATTTTGATTTCAAACAAAAAAAAATATACAGAAATTGAAATAAAACAAATGAATTTTGTATCAGCACGTTTGCGCATTAGTTCGCAAGGTGAAGCAAAAACTTGTGCGTACATGGGTTTGTGTTTTTTCGTTTCTGAAAAGATGAAACACTAATACTAGATAATGAAGAAAGGGAGAGAAAGAAACAAGCAAGCAAACAAACAACAAAAGCAGCAATATAAATAGGTAAACAGAATGATAATATTATTCGCATGAAATTACAAACTAAAAAAGTAAATGAGATCAAAAGATTGGAGAAGTTTTTTGTTCGAGAAATCTAAGGTGTCTGTGCAAGAGCGGACAAGGCAGAGAGTGGTGGTGCCCAAACTATACATGTACGATCAGCACTTGTTGTTACAAACGACATTTCATTCGGATGCCTAAAACATTTCCGAGTATATGAAAGGAGCAAAACGACATGTTTGACATACCATCGTGCTTGAATGATTTTATCTCCATGTGCAGCAACATTCGATAGAATTAATGGTTTAGTTAAATCACCTGAATGAATAGACAAACAAGAGAATTGATCTTATCGAGTTTCTTTTACTTTCTTACCGCTTAGACTTGTCATAACAACTTTCTTATCGTACGATGCGGTTAGTAAGTAATATGAATGTACAGAAAAACGAACACTTCGAATTTCATTCGTATGTGGTTGATAGGTTTGCACAACGCGTTTTCCACGTAAGTCGTATAATAAACATGAGGCGTCTTCATAACCGGCTGCCAACAATTGACCAGAACAATCAACTGCCACAGCAGCAACTGCACTATCTGTTCAACACAGAAATAAAATAAAATTCAAATTGAAGCTCAGAAGAAGTATCTATTATGTACTTGAAGGACGCGGCGAAATTACATTTACACATTCCGGTTGCCGAATATCCCATAAACGTGATGTACCATCTTGACTGCCCGATACAAAACTGCACGCATCCCAAGCAAATAATGAGTAAATATGACCTAAAAGAACCGAAAATCTCACGAGATATTCTTTGAATGACACTAATTGTTCTTCTCAGAAATAATCACAGAAGAAAGACTCATTCTTTCCTTCTCCACACGTCAATCATATGTCCCGGCGAGATGTCATCTAATAGCATCGTATAACACATCAACGGCTATGATGCTGTCAGTCTGCGCTGTTATCATCAATCAAGAATATTCCTCGATATCACTCAATTCGATGAAATAATTCATCTCCTATGAGATACAAATCAAAGTCTATCTACCTTGATGACCACTATAACTTTTGATTGTTGTCTGCCGTTTAACATCAGTCACATAAATTTTACAATCACCAGCACCACCACTCAACAAAATTGAGTCATCTTTCAGATTATCATGCATAAAAACCACGTCTCGAACTGTTCCATTATGATGTGTTAATTCGACTTCAACATCTAAATAACGGATTAAATTCAGTTGATTTGAACTGCAATTTCATCATCATATTTCTGACCTGATTCATCTTCCAATCGATCCATATTCAATCGAACGAGTTTGATTATTTTATCATTCGATCCTGTTGCAATTATTCGGCCACTTGGTGACCAAGCCATACAATAAATACTACCTAGATGATGCTTGTTTCTTTTATATAAAACTTTCGCCGACGTTGGTACAGCATCAGCGCGAATGTTTTTCATTTCGGGATAGGCACACACGCGAATCGTTTTCGAGTTTGAACCTACGGCATAATATTTTCCACTCGGGTGTATGTCAATAGCACGTATCGCTTGAACATCTTCAAGCGATGTTACAGGAATAAAAGCTGGTGAACGAGCAATATCCTAAGTCAACGGAAAAAAAAAACAAATCAATATTTTGATTTGATAGGAAAGATGTTTTGGTACCTCGAGAGAATCGTATTTTGTCACATCGATTATTGCACGAATCTTCGGATTAGTTGCATTTGATGCTAGAAAGTAAGGAGAATGTTTTCTTCTATGAATGAATAGCTCCGAGAGATAGTTACTTAATTGTTTTTGTAATTCATTACGACGGGTTTCATGTTCATCGAATTGTCGAATGATTTCTGCGCGGCTCTTTTGATACTCCTGGAAGAATTTACCAATGAGACGTTTTATTTGTAGAAAAGACTAAATAACTTCAATTTACTTTGAGTAATCGATCATTCGATGAATCTACTGAGGGTGTATTTGAATGCCTAGGAAGATTCATAAGGTTTCTTCCGATAATCACATAAAAAACAACAAGTTTTACTTTGATGACGGTGTATTGTTATTTGATGATTGATTACCATTTTCATTTGATACTGAACCATTTCCTTGTTTGTGTTTTCGACTGTGAGTCAATTGACTAGATCCACTAACCGATTTCGGTATCGAAACTTGTTGTTGTGCATTAGCATCGAAGGATGGTGTGTTATTTGTGAATTTGGGTTCAGTTACACTGCGTTTTGGTGATTGAGGACGATGAGTGGAAAGCGGTGAGATAACATTCGCTGCTGGTGATAATGTTCGTGGCGACGGTGTCGAACGTGGTGGCGTTTCTTCGTAGAGAACTTCTTCGACAGTTGGAAGACCAGTTGATGTAGCAGATATATTATTCATATTGTTTCCATTGTCTTTCAAATTACAAATAGCTAAGGATCGACTCATATCATTGACAAAATTTCGATTATAATCTCCGAAGATTTGAGATCGAATCAGGCCGTACGATAAACCATCATATTGTGGTGCCAATGATCGTGACATTAGTTCGGTTGAACGTGGTTTACCCGTTGGCGTTGCATTGAATGGAAACATTGTTTGAGGTTTAAATGGCGTACTCAACACATGTTCAGCCCATGTTGCTTCGAGGATTGGTTTTTGAAACTTCTCAATATTCAACGTTAATGTTTTTTGTTCGAATGGACACGAAAATGTTTCCGTAGGTAAAGCATGAAGCCATGAGAGCAACGATACATCAGTGTCCGATAAACGCGTACTGGCTAAGAGAGAATTCGTATCTGTAAGGTCAATTGTCTCATCAGTATTCGTTGCTCGTGCTTGACAATGTTCAACGCATGATTCATAAAGTAAACCTTTAACGAGTAATTGAACGAGACGATCACCTTGTGCAATCGGAATTGTTTGTTTATCCACCTAGATTGACAAAACAATGTCATTTACACTTCTTTTATATGTTGATAGACAAGATAACTTGATTTATCATCGGAAGACACACTTACTTGTAAGAATCGCTGAATAAGTGGAAAGATTTCTTGGAAGCATTGAACACGTCCAGCGCTCGGATTCCAATTATGATAATCTGTATGATCTTGCAAACGTTTGAGTGTTAATAAAAATGATAATTTCTTGTATTCTTGTTCGTTTGGTGCAAAAGGTCTGAGATCGTTGAGAAATCTAATACAAACAAATATTTCTATTGACCTATTCAATTAACTGACGATGATTACTTGACAATTTGTTCAACAGACAAATCATTTTCAATCTGCGCTTCAGTTTTTAAACATAGCAACTCCAAAAATTGATATTTAAGCACGACATAGATGAATTGTTTTGCATCGAAAGTTTCAATAGTTTTCAATGGTTGAACAAAGTCAATCACATCATCCCATTGACCATCGAGAATCAACTGACGAAGGAAGAGAATATCTTCGGAGAACGATCCATTGATAATGCCTAAAATGAAATCCAAATCATCAATACGAACAACGATCGATTTTCGTTCTCCGGTGTACCTGTTTCTCGTTCGATATCAAGCATACTGATATACAGTTCCCGTTCTTGAAGAAAATCAAGTACAAGTTTAACAACATCGCGTTCAAGTAAAGCAACGTTAACTCTTAAAGCACTTGTTCCGTTTATTGAAGACATCGTCGGCTAATGTAATATACACGACGAGTCGAAAATGAGATCTAAATAAAGTAAACCAGACTGTCGGTGTATTCGCATACAAATATTACAATTTGACGACTAATTCAGCGATAGAGAGAGAGGAGAAGAGGAGAAAGGTAGATGCAGAGACGTAGACGAAAGTTTGTTTGTTCAGTTAACGTGAACGAAAGAAGTGAATATGAAGGTAAGATGACTGACTATCGACGATGAGTTATTTCGAAGATGAAAAAAAAACGAGCGATGTTCGTTTCGAAAGGGAAAGAGAATAGAATTGATCATACAGAACAATTTCATCAATCTATATAGTACGTTCATTGAACGATTACAACATATTCAGTGAATGTAGACCTCTATATTTATTGAATAGATCACCAGATGGCGCTAAACGCGCAGCTTCTTTATTTATGTCGATCTGTCTGATTTCCCTGATGATTAAAATAACTTTATTAATCACTATAAAATGACAATTCGATTTCTGTTAGCTTTATATTCCGTATCAAAATGTTCGGTTGAAAAAAAAGTTGCCAGTTATAAAAAAAAAAACAAAAATTATTATAAATTTCACACAATTGTAGCACGCAAAGACGTGATATCACATAGTTTGAACTTGTTTACGCCAAATATCGATATTGATTTCTGTCCTTAGTGTCGCGTTCAAGATATTCCTTCTCAATGAGTATATCAATGCATTTCTAAATACAAAAGTATCAATTAGCTGAGTTCGCTGTGCAATTTCATCCATCATACTTTAATCAGTGGAATTTTAGGTATAAATCTTGAGACCAATTGCGAGATAGTTTCTTGAATAAGTATACTGTGTTGTAAATCTTTTCGAGCTTTCATTATTCGGACGATTGCAGCCTAGAAAAGTATTCAAGAATGTTCGAACGAATACACTTCATTGATATTTACCTGAATAACCATTTTGCGATCTTCCTCGATCGATTGAGTTGTTGCTTCTGCATCCGCTTGTTCGATTGATCGAATGGGTTGATGCAGACTAAATCTGATCATGTTACTAAACGGAAAATCGATTAAAATTTGCGAGTCATAAAACACTTTTGTGTCAAACTTTTTAAAACCCAGATCAATATCAATACAAAAATCATCTGCAATGTCCCTCTCTTTAATTTCGCCGTTGGATCTCAAATGTGGACATTTCAATACTTTGCTCTTCAGTAAAGTCACAAGAACTTGCAAAAACAATTGTTTCTCAATTTGAGTGGCGTCGAGCATGGCTTCCACAGTCATGCTGTCGACAGTATTAAACAAAAGTAAAATAGCCATTTGATATGTTGACACCTAACCGATGAAATGAGATTCTTCAAATCCAATCAAAGAATCGTTACCTGAACGGTATTTTTTGATGCTGTGTATAACATTTTCAACTCGCCTTTCGAAAAGTGATGTGCCCATTCTAGTTTTCGACCGGTGAATTTCTTTCCGTAGAAACTCGTAAAGCTTTCAAATGTTGGTATGAGCTAGACGATCAATTGAAGATTGAAATAGAAATATGTCAGAATAATGTCCATTTGACAATTACCTCAATAGGAAGATTAAATTTTGAAAGACCTTTAAGTGGCCATGTATTTGAAGCCAGAACCATAAACGAAAATTTCACTAAGAGAAAATTTATATCCACATGATTTGCTCATTATTTGAATATTACCTATATTATTACAATTTTTTTCTTCACAATAATTTTCGAATTCACTGATTAGATTTGTGCTCAAACGCATATCTTGAAACATTCGTTGAAATTTTAATGTATATTCAAAACCACAGACTTCCTAAAAAGAACACAATCATAGTAAACCTTCTTTCGATTAATATAAATATACTTTTAATTTTGTTATCATCAACTCTTCGTAATCGTCCGAGGCACTTAGTTGGCCAACTAGACGTTTAGCTAACAATTTGAAATAGAACTTCTGGAAAATATCTTTGTCTTCAATGTAGTTGAAAATAGCCTATGAAAACCAAAAGACGATCAGAAACAAGAATTAGTCAGTAAAGAAATACCATAATTTCATCAATCTTTTTGTCAACATCAATATTTCTTGCTTGATGTCTAAAATTGGATGTTTATCTCTAAGATATTTCTTTCCAACAACTCTTACCCTTTTCGAAGAATCGTATCACAGTAACGAGCTAATAGTTCAGCTGATATCGATGATTTGTTCGGTCGGTTTGTAACAGCGTTTCTATTGATAAATTCACCACATGCCTACGAATACAAAGCATTCACAACACTTCTAGGTAAGTTTTCTTCAAACTTTGTTAAGTGCAGTCCGATAACCAGCATTGCCACAAAATGCTGTTTCGACAATACTAGAAAAGCGTGTGTGAACTTCAATGAGTGCTTCGACATAACTCTTTGGATCCTATAATCAGAATAGTTCGTCAAAGTAAATAGAAAATATTCACATACTTTTTCTGCCTGATCGCTGACGCGTTCAACAGCGTCTAACCCAATTTTACGTATGTGTTCTTTTAGAGTCTCTTGAAGTGGCTTATGGGCGTCGGCTGCTCGATTTAAGAAAGTGTAGATGGCTTTTAGATCTACAAAATACGATACGATATTAAGAGAAACGATGATTAGGTAGAACCTGCCTGTAATGTTTTCTTGGGTAAGCAATGATATCATTTCGGGCAACATCGCTTCGAGCTTATCTTGAACGAGAATAGTTGTGAGATTTGCTTGCACCTTTGGTATACTTGTTTCGTGTAAACATTTCTTTGTTCGGTCTTCTTCTTCTGAGAATAGTTCATTAGCCTAGTGTGTGTAATGATAATTACCCAATTATATGAACACTTTTCTTACTTTTTTGACATAGTCGAGAGCAGAATTTCCTACGAGATATTCTTCTGATTTGATTTTGTAGAATAGATCTGTGTTCTCCAGAAATGGCTTTTCGATATAATTTTGATAAATTTCCAGTGATGTCACAACTCTCGTTCGGCTTTGTTTGTTCGCTCTGTCTTCTTCAGTGAATCCAGCAGATACTACATGAAAAATGTCATTTAGTCTCATTTCAACTATGATCCTAGAAACAAATCTACCATAGCTGTCTACGACCTCTTTAACTAAAGATAAATCCACCTGTTTTCCTTCACGGTGATCACGAATGAAATCCAAACAACTTCGTGCTAAATTTTGATTGTTTTTGAAGAAGATGTCCTGCCATATATGCATAGCTGTCTAAAACGGATTTTCATTTGATATGGTTTGAAAAAATAATCAATCGAACTATCGAGTACATACTGTATGAACACTATAAACATCGGCGGTCTTATCAGCAGCTTGACGTGAAATCCAATTCATATCCACTGGTTTAAGGATGTATTCGATGACTCGTGTCAAAAATTGATATTTTGTCCACGTTCTCACATAAAATCGAAGGAAATCATCACCACTTGAGCTGTGATCACTCTAAAGCAATTGCATTATGCAACGAACATCTAGCTCACTATCACTTACATCAGCTATTTCTTGGAGACGCTGGCGAAGATAATCTTTCGTATTATAGTACAGATCGCCACCGGGAACTCTCGTTTCAGCTGCAGGAACAGGTGGAGTAACCGCTGCAGCAGTAGCACCAGCGACGGCGGCATTATCTTGTTTGTCTTCTTTTTTCTTTGCCTCTTCCCTTATTCGTTCATGTCGTTCAGATAATTGTTTCAATAAGGCTTCAGTGCGTTCGTCACTCTTCATATAACTATAGATTTCACTGAAATAAAGATGAAAAACAGTTTCAGTTTGGTCAGTATTCTTGAAAATCATGAAACAACTAACTTATATAGTTGTTCCAGTCGACGTTTCGTCATAGGTTCGAGTGCGAACATTTGATCCATTGCCTGGGACACATTGGCCCATACTTGATTGAGAAGATCAGTATGTGGTGACATACTTGGCAGTTTATCTTCTAGAGAAAATATTCGAATAAACAGTTAACCATTACTATATATTGGCATAGAGAGTGTGCGAGTCATTTCATAAAAGGAATTTTCCTTGAAGGAATTTTCCTTGAAGTAAAACATGACGCAAGCAGTGATTTCATGGCTCAAAGACATAATCATGATAGATTTTTCAAGGGAATCGAGGATAAAACATTTGACAGTGAAAACAGCGAATAAATATACGAATAATAGCAGTAGGAAGTAGTATGCTCGTGTAATTTCACCATTCTGTTATAGCAGTCGAAATGATTTCTGTTTTAATGTTTAAAAGCCAAAAAGAAAAAACAAGATTAGTCACGAATGAGTCGAGAAGAATGTACTTCTTCAGGTTTCTCTCTCAAAAAATGTTTCCGTCTGAGGAAACAGTGGGTAAAACTGATGAATATTGTATTGGTGAAATCTTTGATGACTCAAGTTCACGATGTTTATTACACAAAATTTTACCTGTATCCCAGTGGCCTCTGTCGTTTCAACGGAAAGCATCTTTATCAAACCATCATTTGTGCTTCAATTAGAACAACAATCGATTGCAAGTTATTAACACAATTTTCTCCTGAGATTCTCTAATTCAAGCAAACAAGAGCTATATACTGTTTTGTCGAGATTCTTCTGGCATCAGCACCTTTCATCGAACAAATGCGATTTTTCACTCGAATTCAACAACGTCTGTTCTTTTTAATCCAAAAATATTCACGTAGTAAAAAGTCAAGTCGTATCTCACATCCACACTCTCAGGATTTCTATAAGTTAAATCAGAAGACGAAAATAGAAATATTACAAGCCAGGTAAGATAATAACTGCAAGAAACGAAAAGAACATCCATAGAACACATGTATTTGAGCGGATGGTGACAAATAAGAAGTATATTGTTCTACAGATAAGAAAAATCATGGACGGCTGTAACGAAAAAAAGTGTTTACAAGAGACATGTCATTGGGAAGATCAAGAAGCAAAGCAGGGGATAGTAGGAACTAACGAGAAAACGAACATCTAAAAAAAGAGAATGAGACAAAGCGTTTGTTGTTTGTCGTTGTCATGTCCGATTTGATCGTTTAGGGAAAAGGAAATCACAACGTACGAAGACAATTTTCTTGTTTATTGAAATTTTTCAGGAAAAAAAATAAATGTAAAGGATGATTTCTCAATATGTTTGTGTTCAAGCTAAGTAACGTAAAACATCTTTTTCATTGGTCTGTCGTTCGAGATATTCCTTCTCGATTAAAATATCGATACATTTCTAAACGACAAGAATAACAGTTCGATAACAAATCATCGGCAAAGAACATCCTCTTACTTTGATCACAGGTATTTTAGGTTTGAAGCGTGAACTTAGTTGTTGAATCACTTCTTGCATTAGTAAAGCGTGCTTCAATGTTTGACGAGCTTTCATTGTTCGGACGATTGCAGCTTGGATAACCATTTTACGATCTTCGTCGATGGTTCGATGCAAACCCTCGATATCTTTCTGTTCGACTGATTTCAAAGGAACGTTCAGATTAATTTTTATTTTTTTACTAAAACAACCAACATTATCTGATGATGCAACCGACAATGCAAAGCAATTTTACCTCTTGTACTCAGTAGCTACCTGAACTTGATAGTTCATTTTGATATCAGCTTCTTTAAAATCCTCATCCAACTCGTCCTCGTTTATTTGTGGACTTGTGATTACTTTACTCTTCAATAAAAGGCAAAGGACTTGTAAAAATAGATCACTCTTTATTTGAGTTTCATCTTGCATCTGCTCGACTGTCCAAGTTGGAAGTTTATTAAATAAAAGTAAAATGACCATTTGATATGCTGATACCTAATGAGATATGCATGAAGAAAGAGTTTCCTTCAATTCTAACAAGAATTCTTCTTACATGTAGAATATATTTAGGTTTTGTGTACAAAGTTTGTAGGTCGCCTTTCGAATGTTGGTGAAGCCATGTCAATTTGCGACCATTGTGTTGTTGAGTATAAAAATGCGTGAAACTATCAAATGTTCGTTTGAGCTAAAGAAGACGTTGAGTGACTCGAATGAGCGAGATGAAAGGAAAAGGATGAATACCTCATGGGGTAGGACAAATTGTGGTGGAGCAGAAAAAGGCCATGAGTTTGAACTGAGAACCATAACAGAGAAGTCCACTAGAAAAAAACAATGAACAGTCATTTCTATTGTCATCTGCGTAACATACCAATATCTTCTAGTCGTTTGCTTTCACAATGTGTACGATATTGATCGATTAAGTTTTTACTAACGCCAATGTCTTGAAACATTCGTTGTAGTTTAGATGTATATTCGAAACCACATGCTTGCTAGAACGAAATGAACAACTTGAGATAATTGTTCATGGCAAATGAAAATGTACTTTTAGTTTGGATATCATAGATTCTTCGTAATCATCGGATGCACTTAGTTGGCCAACTAAACGTTTGGCTAACATTTTACCATAGAATTTCTGAAAGACATCTTTATCTTCAACGTAATTGAAAACCACCTGAAAAGGCAAAGTTAATCAATAGCGTTGGAATTATCAAAATAATACCATGATTTGATTGAATTTTTCTTCAAGATCTGTTTCTTCGACGGCTTTACTTCTAGAACAATCGAATCAGAGTGCAAATTATTTCGTCATGCAAATACTGAGCACAAACCCTTTTCTTAACAGCGCATCACAGTATCGTGCTAATAATTCTGGCGATTTAGTTGTGTTACCAGCTGCTGTCGTGACTGCGTTATTGTTAATGAATTTACCACAAGCCTGAAATATCACATATAATCCAATGTCGTCAATGCCATATGAATTACTTTGTCAAGCGCAGCTGTGAAACCTTGTTCACTATTGAAAGCAACTTGTACGAGTTTGAAGAATTTCGTGTGAATGTCCAAAATAGTTTCGACATAAAGTTTGGGATCCTAAAGAACGCAGGTGACGATAGTGAACGAGAAGAATGAAAACTTACATTGATTGCTGTACTGCTAACACGTTCGATAGCATCAATACCCATTTGACGAATGTGATCTTCGACAATTCTTTTCAATTCAAGTGTGGCATTTGGTACTCGATTGACTAATTTATACAGAAGGGCCAAATCTATTGATTGGAAAGCAAGAGGCGTGATGAGTACGGTGGATGATGATTGATTCTAACAGTCTACCTGAATGTTTTTCATCACGTAGAAGTATTTTCGCTTCAGCATAAATTGCTTCGAGTTGATCGCGAATCAAGACTTCTTCAACCTTTTTGATTAATGCTGCTAATGTGGACGAGTGTAAATAGGATTGTACTCGATGAACTTCTTCGTCAAGACGTTGTGCAACCTAAACATGTACCAATGAAATCTATCTTTCATGCCACCAAATCCGACACTACTTTTTTCAAGTATTCAGTGACGGAATTATGAACAAGAAATGTGGCTGCTTCAAGACGATAGAATTGTTCTGTATCATGAAGAAACTGTGCTTCGAAGTACTCTTTATAAACAGTCAATGTTGGTGAAGTGATTTGATTAGGAGTATTTGTTCCACCGGAGTTTTCCGAAAAACCGAGTTCAACTAAAGTGATGCAATAGTTTATCTTTCTTTTCTATAAAAAAAAATAACCCTCACCATAACTCTGAATAACCCCACTTATCAATCGTGTGTTAATAACTTCATTATGACGTTCTGATTTGATTAGTTGAAGGCACGCTGATGTTACTTGTTTATTCAGTGGTTGAAAGAAAATCATTTGCCAAATTTCAATGGCCATCTGAATCAATGTCAAGAAAAACATTTCATTTCCACAAACGAACTTTCATTTAGACTTACGGTGAAAACTTCGTAAACATCTTTTTTACCTGAATCGTACTCTCGTCGAACCCAATGACGATTCAGATAATTGCAGAAGCCGTTCGTTACTTTACTCGAAAAGCGATACTGTTCCCAGTTCGTCGTGTAGAATCGAAGCACATCTTCTCCTTGTAAATCAAGTCCTTTCTAAAATATTCGATATAACACATTGGTGAATCCGTTGGTCAAGAACGAAATAATAAAAAAGCACTTGTTAGAAATTGTTTTCACGAAAATAATTATGACACAGCTTTTACACGAATTGATCTCCTTGAGATAGGCGATGATTATCAAAATCATACGAAAAAATACTCGCTCACCGAATGATTGCCGATGTCATCACCTTCATTCAAATCGAAACGATTCACTAACTCTCGCATGAGACAACTCAGCATAAATTATCTACCAGCGATGATTCACAGGGAAAAGACACATTAGTCATATATTCCAACTAGACAAACAGCTTTTATAGGAAGTAACAGACAGATTAGCTATCTCAAATATTACGACTTCGAAGTATGGAAAAATGAAAACTAATCAATAGTAGTAGCGTTTCGCATGAACATAACTACAAGAAAAAGGACACTAAGCATAATTATCTAAATTATCGATTTACATGTAAAATGGAATTTTCCAACTATGATTTGTGATCGTTGATAAATATGCTCATAATTGCTCAGTGAGTTAAAACTCATGAGAAAAATCAAAAACAATCAGTTTGTGATCTATTTTGAATGGAAGGAGCTTGAAATTTTTGAATTTTCTTACTTCACAGATTTTCTCCAAATAATTTTTCAAGTGATTCTTCAATCTTGCATATAATTCACCCCCAACGATATTTGCTCCATCAGCCATATTCGAACCCCGACTATTGCCATTGACAGCTCGCCCTGCTGGTCTCGTATTTGTATGATGTTGTGTAGCTGTACAGTAATTATACACATGACTAGAGCAAACAATTTGTATGTTTAAAGAATTCGTCAAAGTAATCAATCAGTTCATACTTACGTATAAAGCTCCATATAGGCTGTAGCTGACATATCTTGAATGCGATAGACGTGTTCAATACCCTCCGAAACTTTCGCCCACACATCGTTCAGATTTAGATTAGCTCCTTGAAGCGACATTCTGTGATCTGCACTAATAGAAACAAATGAGAATGTGCGATGTTATGAATGAGTAGACTTAGTCAGATATATATATAACAACTCATAAGCGCTTTCGAATTTTCCGTAGAATTGTGTAAGAGTTGTGAAATGAACTATTCAACATATTCGAAATGGTTACTAACCTTTTAAAAAATTAAATAATTTTGTCAATATGTTCAGTGAATTGATATCTCCACGAAAGAAAATTTGACTTTACTGTCTTTTATTTGTTCAGCACTGTTTTAACAACGTGTAGACAAATGACCAAAAGTATACAAACTGGAAAAGAAACAACGAGCGATAAACAAAACAATCAGCATAGAAGAGAAAGAATCGATAAAAAAATGGATTGGACAGTTTTTTTTACCAATCAGCTATGAAAATGTATCAGTAGCGAACCTATCGACATGGGATTTAATTGAAATCCAATAAACTAAAACGAACAAATGACAAATTTCATTTCTAAAACTAGATTCACTTATAGAAAATTACACACAAGAAGTACATACATAAGTTGGAATGTGATAGAACAGTTCACATTTTCTATATGTAGGAAAGCTTGTAAGATGCAAAGATTTCTGTGTGACTACCGTTGTTAACTGGTCAAATGAATTTATAATCAACTATTGAAAATGAAACGAATGTGTATTAGAAGAAATGGGATTCCTTTCCAATGGGATTCCTTTCCAATGGGCTTTGCTTTGCTGAAAGCGACTTGCTTCTCGGGGAGAAATGAAAATTTGGAAATCTAGATGCATACTTTGCGTGTACTAGTTCCGTACGTGATAAAAGTCTCCTCTTCGTAGCCATTCTGATAAGGAAACATCGAAACGAATAGTGTACTTCGTGACTCTTAGAGCACATGTCGTATTGATCTCTTTTCTTCTTTAGATAAAATTCGTTTTTCTTTTTTTTGAAAAAGAAAAACTTGTTGTTCACCACTTCAACAGGTAAGTGCGTTAGAATCATTTATTTCATTTCGATAAAATCTTTCTGCTTGAATGAACCTTCCTATTAATAATTGTCATGGCCACCAATCGATTGAGCATAACATGTCCGACAGCCGTATCATACAACTATTGATGAGAAAATAACGAGAGAGAGAGAGAGAGAGAAAAAGGAAACATATCATAGATGAACATTTGGAAAAAATGATTGCATGAAGGTCATTCGATGCACGTGTACGCAAAATGTCTTTTTCTTCGTCATCATCGACATTTCTCTTTCTTCTCATATTCCATTTATCATTTCTATCGATTACGTTGGATGATACTTCTCGAGCCTTGTTTTTCTTTTTCATTCAATTCTTAATATTTGTTTTTCAATGTTGGTTTCTTAGAACTATGAAATTTGCCGAGCATTTATCTGCACACGTCACACCAGAATGGAATTCGCAATACATTCGTTATGACGAAATGAAAGAACTACTTGCGCAAGCCGTTGCTAAAGCACAACCATTCGTCGATGAAACGGACAATGTCTTACGTGAGCAATTTTTTCTACGTGTCGATGAGCATTTCTTTCAAGTAAGACAACTTCGAACAAATCTTTTCTGTCAAATTTTCTTGTCTGTCGGCTAGTACTGCGAAAAAGAAGCGTCGAAAATCAACACTTTCTTTGCGGAAAAACTTGCTGAGTAAGTTCTATTATCGATAAACATTATTTGAGAAGTAGCAGAGGAACGTACTAATCATTATACAGAATATATCTTCTTGTGGAGTCATATAACATGATATATAAACAGCATTTATATACAAATACGCACTTATTTATTGATTTTCTTGATGATTACATCATTGAGCGTATAATGATGATTAACCTTCAATGATAATCAAGATCCTGGATGTTTGAGTGTTTTTAGAGCTATAAGACGATGGGAAACATTGAAGAATGAAGCTATCCTCGAAGAGCAAACTCGTCGACGCACATCTAATCGAGTGAATGTTACATCTGATACGAATCAACATCCCGTTGATACTACTACCGATTTGACAACGGATGGTGTCCAAGCTTCAGCAGTAAACCGACGTCGTTCTGCTCATAATGAAGAACATGATGTTCGAGTGCCGTTGACACGTGTATTGCAAGAACGTTTACTTGAGCGAACACGTGAAAAGCAAAGTCAACGGGTGCAATATCGCAAAAGAAATGATCTGAAATTAGCATTTAGCGAATTTTATTTAATGTTAGTTTTGTTACAGAATTATCAGACATTGAATTTTACAGGCTTTCGAAAAATTTTAAAAAAACATGATAAACTGTTTCAGACTACACGTGGGGAAGAATGGAGGTAACAAAATTGATCGATTCATCGTACTGAACCCTATTGAAATCTTTAGGAAGTTACATATCGATTCAGCACCCTTTCACACATCGAAGCGTGTCGATCAATTAATCAATGATGTCGAAACATTGTACACAGATACATTAGAATCCGGTGATCGTGCTCGTGCAATGAAACGTTTACGTGTTCCACCCCTCGAAGAAAAACAATCGCCAGCCGTGACCTTCCGTGTTGGAATTTTTGTCGGTAAAAGTTTACACACGATAACCTAAAGACATTTTGATAACACTTATTCTTTTCGTCAGGAATGCTATGCCTATTACTTCCCGCTGTCATTGCTCTTGGGGCTAATCTTCACGATAGTCAATCAACGAAACCTTTAGCTTGGCGACAAGCATTATTTTTATATCGTTCAACATTTCTTATTGTACTTCATATAGTTTTAGTGGGTATTAATGTCTATGGATGGTCATCGTCCGGTGTCAATCATGTACTGATATTTGAAATTGATCCGCGTCATCATTTAACCTATCAACAGTTTCTTGAAATTGGAACTTTTTTATTCGTTCTATGGTTTTTAAGTTTTACGGGATTTATTCTCTCGTCCTATTACGACTTCTATCCATTTGTCCATCCATTAAGTTTTGTTTCATTGATTCTTCTGTTTTTACTCAATCCAACTGGTACTCTGTACCATCGAGCGCGTTTTTGGTTTATAAAAACTTTAGGTCGAGTAATTTGTGCCCCATTTTATCGAGTTGGCTTCGCTGATTTTTGGCTCGGTGATCAACTAACTTCATTAGAATTGATCTTCTTCGATATGGAATATTTCTTCTGTTTCTACACCTACGATGTTAGTTGGTGGCCAATCTATTCGCACTCTCCAGGTCGAGGTTTGCTTTGCCAAGGTTGGTCACAAATTGCTGTACAAACTATTTTAATGATCTTACCATCGTGGTTTCGTTTTGCTCAGTGTTTACGACGATATCGTGATACGAAACAATTATTTCCTCATTTAGTCAATGCTGGAAAGTATGCCAGTGGATTTCTGGTCATTTGTACGAATTCTTTACGTCGTGTAACAGCTATTAATTATTTGGATGATCCGACTTACAATCCGTTTTTATATTTATGGATCGGTGCATCACTTGTCGGTTCAACGTATAAATTAGTTTGGGATTTGAGAATGGATTGGGGCTTTTTCGATTTGAACGCTGGAGAGAATAAATTTCTGCGCGACCAAATTGTTTACCCATCGAAATTTTATTATTATTTAGCAATTTTGGAAAATATTGTCTTTCGATACATTTGGATTATTAATGTTTTTATGCATTTTCGCACACGTTCAGCTGAATATGCCGATGTTATTGGATTCATTTTCGGTCTACTGGAAATCTTCCGACGTTTCATTTGGAATTATTTCCGTCTGGAAAATGAACATCTAAACAACTGTGGAGAGTTTCGTGCTGTGCGAGATATCTCAGTCGCGCCCATATCTACTGTCTTTGATCACGGAACATTAGAAGATATGATGGATAAACCAAACGGCATTCGTAATCGACGCAATGCCAAACGACATAACCTCATTCGAGAAGAAATGAAGAAAAGTCAAAGTTTGATTACACATGAAGGAAGTGACCATGAAACTGTTGTCATCAGAACACCATTGCCATCAGCAACATATTCCAATCCAATAACAGATGAGTTGAATACAACGCTAACGATCATATCCTCACCGAGTAGTCATGATCAATCTCCTGATCCTGTTCTTGAATGAAATAAATTAACAAATGGAGTCACATTCCATTGAAGCTAATCGCATCTGATGTTTTCTAGTCGTTTGTTTTTCATGCCAATCAAATTCATGATCTAGACAGTGTGTTTTTAGGAAATGTTCATATGCGTTTTCTTATCTTCTTTTATTGTATAAATGTATTTTTCGATATAAAAACGAAGCAATGATCAGATCTTTGTTTTTCTTTCAAGATGTTGAATCGAGTCGAAGCAAGGTATTTTGGCATAGGACTGATCTTACGGATATTTTTCGTGTTCTTTCAATCTACAACGCGGCATTATTTCGAAAATAGTGGAGAATTCGTTACGCCATTGAATTCTTGGAAACGAAGTGAGACCTTTTGTTTGATATGTTCATACTGTTTGCTTTTTCGTCTAGTAATTGAAGGAATTTACTTACGTCAACTGAATGTTTCACCCTTCCTTGGATCAATTGTACATGAAGTATGCGAGAATAGTGAAAAATTGATGTCAGTTACATACTCTCGTCATTTAGACACCGCTCTCCTTGCTTCTCTTTACAAAATTATATATATTCAAAGATGAATATATCGAAGTGCTATTTATCGTAAGATACGAAGGCACTTATTTCTTGTTTCTCTCGAGTGTTCCTTAGATTCTCGACCTTCTAAGTGCATTTTTCACCTACAAAGCTGCGCATCATATTCTAACTCATCTTGTAAGTACAAATCTTCATTAGACATAAGCTCGAATGTCTTTGAATTAGTATGATCGACAAACAGAAAACAAATCAGCGTATAAAGAAGATAGCAAAGTCCTATGGTTAACCAAAGATCACGTACAAAAAAGTGCTCATACAGTGTTACTTTGGTAAAAGAAAATCTAGCATTGCAAGTTTCTGTTTCCAATACTTACTTCTCATTGACTAGTGCAATGGTTAATCCGCTATCGATTGGCACGTGTGTGGCAAAGTCGAGCTTGGTCATTCATAACTTATTATTGACAATGACTTTTTATTTCTTCATGACATGTAGGAGAAGACGTGTGATTTAAATGCGAATTTGTGAATATTTTCATCGAAATCTAGATCGATTGATTCCATTTATTTTCACATTATGCTTGGCGAGTTCGATTTCGATGTATCCGATCGTGTTAATCGTACCAGGTTTACTTCAATTTTCATCCAATGCTAATGTAAGTATAAGTTTTCGAAATACCTGTAAATGTTGAATGATTTTTAGAACAAAAGATCAATCGTTCGAATGTTTCTGGTGTTTGCTTTGTTTGTTTGTACAAATGTTACATTATTATTTGTAAATTTTCATATTAATCATCAATCATGGTCATTTATTGACGCGATTTATCATTTTATGTAACTAGCAGCGATTTTTTCTCTTCGTCGGAATATCCTCAAGATTTATTTAGATTTTATGTACCGGATTATACACCCAACACTGGCATATTCTGGTACTTTTTTACGGAAATGTTCGAGCATTTTCGTTCGTTATTCGTTTGGACATTCCAGATGCATGTTTTACTATTGTACTTATTTCCTTTCACTATACGTTTGAGGTATATCGTATGGCTGCGGCGACAAAGATATGATCGAACATTCTTTTTTTTTTCTAGAAACGAGCCAGCATTCTTATTTTGGTTGTTATGTGCGATATTTTGTATATTTAAATCGTATCCAGCCTATGGTGATGTCGCATTTTACATCAATTATTTACCAATCTGGTGCTTTCTCTTTCGTTGTAAGTATCTTTTGAAAATCAAGTTCGCCAAGTAAATGATCTTTGTAGATGTTCGCAATGGTCTTGTCATTGTTTGTATGATACTCGTTGCAATGTTAATGACACCTATCACATGGTATTTGTGGATCTATGCTGGTAGCGCGAATGCAAATTTCTATTTCGCTATGACATTGGTGTTCAATGTAGCTCAGGTTTGTAGAACGAACTCAGATCTATTGGAGAACGCCAGTGGCACATTTCATTTATTTGCAGACATTTCTCCTTTCTGACTTACTTTACGCATATTTAAAACGACAATTCTTCCTGAAAAATGGTTTAAACATTCCAAATATCAACGGCAAGGAAGGCCAAGTCGAATTTCTGTAAAACATGTTCAGATTTATGACGTTCATCTTTTATTCCAAACAAACAAAAGAAAAGACATGGATAAAACTTACACACCTATCTAATTTGTTTATTATTTGCAAACACATAGAAAAATAAACGAAAAGACAATTCTTCTTAAGAATATTGTTCATTGTCCGAACCGAATGTTGTAGAATGAGAAAGTGCATCGTGAAATTCGACCAATGGGATAGAATCTGTAGCGGCTTGCCGTTTTATTCGTTGTCGACTTGCCTTTCCTGAAGGATTTTCGATAGACGCACTACTGTATTCATTGTCTTCGATGAGTGTTTCCGGATTCGTACAGAGCTCTATGAAAACTGATTTGCAACAATACTCTCGGCGAACAAAGATTCTTACCAGTTCGATTTTTGGATGATTGCGTCGGTGCTGACGATGATTTTGTTGAAAAGAATCGTCGTTTATTCAGAAACGAAGGCAAATGGAAAGGAAATCGACCTTTTGATCGTGATCGTTTGTTCATATTTCCCAATGAATCGGCATCGATTTGTCGCAATGGTATTTGACACAAATCTTTTGGAAGTAATGGGATATATCGTGAACTCGTTTTCATTTCTTGTTCAGTTTTTTGAGCGAAGAGCGACAAATCAATTTCACGTTGACGAAGGTATGGATTACTAACATATTCTGCAAGTTTTTGTAATAACTGATTGAACAGTCGAACTCCCTCCTTTGTATCATCGAGTGTAAATGGCTGAAACGAAAGAGAAAATGCATATCGAGATGACTGATTCTTTGAGAGAAGGACGATAAACATACGACTAGATCAACTTCTGCGCGTATTTTCAATTTTCGAAACAGATGAATCGTTTCATTCAATGCTGGATAATTGTTAATTATATAAGATTCAAAAGATGCACCAGTATCCAGATCAGAGAACGTTTCGCGACAAGTGTATTCTATAGCAAAAAGAACTATAAATTTCATACAGATCATATTCAACTGCCTTACGTAAGACAGTGTAAAGATCGACCAGAAACATTCGAGCAATGTATTGCGGACACTCTAAATATCGAACAAGAAATGCTCTTGTTAGAACAAGAGAAACAAAGTTTGAATATACCATCTTTTGTGTAGTAGTGAGCAGGTAGTTCATGATGACCAACAAGAAGCCATTGTGGTCGAACCTTAGCAGATATTTTTCCATCTTTAGGTAATCTTGCATCGTTGTACTGATGAAAAATGAAAAAATGACGTATGAACTAATATTTGTCACAGAGTAAACTAACTTTTTTGAAAAAATTACAATGCCAAAAATGCCCATCACGTTTGGATTTTACATCCCCACGGCGAATTTCCCGTTTAATTAATACCGCAATAACAAGAAGAAGCTGAAACAGCACGAAGTTACACAAAGCATCTCGCAGATAACACACTTACTGTCAAACCGACAAGACTGAGTATAAGAGCAGCTGAAATACCTAGAGATTCTTTTTTAGTAGGTTCAATGGTAGTTGTTGTAGACATCTTATAGTTTGTTCCTAGAGAACGTCCATTGAAAAGAGTAATTAACACTCTGTCTCTTTCAGACAGAAAATTTACCTTAAAAAAGATCGATGAAGCTTCCTATTGATGAAATTAATCAGCTGTCATCTTATCAATGAGAGTTTGTTCAAAGTATTTTAATCTATAATAGATGAATGAAAACCAATTATTCGAAATATTCAAATTTATCGGCAAGTTTTGTTTGCCGTAGAGAAAAAGAGAACAACACAAGAGAATAAATTATTGTAAATTAAAGAACGATGAACCAAAATAAACTTTCAAATCGTTTAATGTCGTTTGTATAAGTTTCGCACGAATCGTTGGTAAATTCAAACGTTTATGAGCTCTAAACAATATTCGAATCGTTAGAAAATAAACTAAATTTTTTTTTCGCAGAAAAAAACATACTCCCAACGATGACAACCACCCATCGCAAAGTAATAATTGTTTCCTGAGTTTGGTGCTTCGTACCATAGAACATCAATCGGTGGTAATCGATCTGAATTCATCGTCTAAATTCGATGTTTTATATATCAATACAAAACGATGTAATCATTTTACTTGAATCGTTTCGATTATTGATTCCACTTTTGTTTCGTCGAGAGTTGATGGTAATGGTCGGCTGATGTCCTTCATTGGAATATCATGAATTTCTTCAATTAAAGCTGAATGGATGGACGTTGGCTCGGATGTGAAGTGATGATCACCACAAGCTGGACTGCCGTTGCTTGTACTAATCAAACTCGAACTCATTATGCGATGATGAGTTGGAGAAAGGAAAAAAAACTAACGATTAACTAAACGTGCCAGAGTAGTGGAGCGTTTATAATATCTCCATACTCAAGAGATGAGAGAAAAAATAGTTTTTCCTTGACCGAGACAGAACAATGAGTCATCGTGAAAAACATGCAACGACATCTATACGAAACTATAATAAGTTTGAGTATTTGTCAAAATTGTTTTCAATTTCGTAAATAAAATGAAAATATTTTTATTTCGATAGAATAAGAGACAAAATAGAGTTCGATTACAATGAGGAGGATGATAAATCCCGGGCGGGTTGAACATCTCTCGAAAATTAACGCTAAGCTCATTAATAACAATAAATGTCTTCGTCTCCAGTCGATCGAATGTCTGGTGCATCAACACCGACACTTCTCGCCATGTCTTCATCGGTAACGAATCGATTACATGAAGAACTGAACGGTTTAAAACGTTGGCGGCAAATGTATGATTCTGCTATGAATGAAAAAGTCAGTTCAGAACATCAGTCTCTATCCGATTCTCTAATAAAGTCGTTTAGAACGAAGAAGTGCAAAAACTTCAGTTGATTAATCAACGACAATCACAAGCATTAAATGATTCCATTGTAAATGATATATTCCGAAACGAACAGATGATTTACTGAAGAATTTAGGTACAAATTGAACAGCAAACTATGACAATCAATTCAATGAAACAAAACGAAGTTTTATTAGAGAAAAAGTATCTACTGAGATTCGTATTTCATTAAACAAATGCTCTTTAGAGTTACCAAATTGGAAGAGTTCCATTATATATTGAAAAAGAATGTTGCTAAATTGGAGAAAAATGTTTCACAATGTAAGTACAGAGGAAATATTACTTACACCCATCAATTGGACGGAAATATGATTTCTTCATTGTAACTAAAGGGCGAAATGTAATTTAATGAATTTCCGAGAGCGACAAAAGAAAGTCTACGGACAAAATATTCATATATATATCTAGGTGAATTTGTTCGTGTTGATCTTGAACGAATGTACGAAAACCAGGATCGAAATGTCAAACTACTTGCTGATCGTGTCGACTCGACAATCGAAATGAAATTACAAAATTGTATAGAAAATGCTTGGATATTTCCCTTGTGATGATTTTCATTGTTTTCGATAGTGCAATCCCAATTGAAATTAGTTGAACAGCTTTATCAACAAGCGCGTCAGGAACTTGACAAACACATTCATGAACGAACACAAGAAAAGTCACAAGCAACAACTCAGATTGTTGAATTAACTTCGAAAATCGTAAACACCTACATTACATCTCTTTTTTCGAAATCAAGTTTTGTATTTCGTAGTCCACGACTGAAACTGAAATCAATCGATTACAAATTTCAAATGCAGATGCACAATCGAAATGCTTTGAGCTAACAGAAGAAATCGTTGCGTGACTTTTTTATTGATCTTGTCTCGAAGCATTGTTATTATTGATTTAGAACAAATATCAACAGATGTTCGAAACATTAACATTCGAGAATGACGCTAAACTTGCGTCGAAAGATGAACAAATTGAAAATTTACAAAAACGAATTGATACGTTAGTACTAAAGATTGTTCGTATTGAATTTTTTTCTCTCTCTGCATATCTATGATTTTCTGTTGTCTTCTCTAGGACGATAGCAAAGAAGAGATTTTTAATCTACAAGAATCGAATAAAAATTTACAGAATCGACTAGATGAAATGAAACAAAAAACCGTATGATGAGGAGTTGGTTTCGCGCTGATTTCTTTTGCACTGACAATTTCAGGTCGAACATACGGAATATCATGAAACTCAAGTTCAAGCACGACAAGCTGAAATAACCATTCGAGAGCGTGAAAATGAACAATTACAATTGAAAAATGATCTTTTGGTCGAACAATTAGTAAGACGATAGGAAATTCTTCAGTTACGAAAACCAATTTCTCTTCCCGATCTCAAGGTCTATGGCGAAAAACAAATCGAAGAGCTTAAAGAGAAGAACCAATCATTACAAAAGCAAATTGATGAAATGAACCAGAACTTGAAGAAACAGTTGATCGAAACACATGAGCAACTAGAAAAACAAATTGGAGATTATGCTCAACAATCGGTAGGCATATTCGTGAAATGAAAGATTGTGTCCGAAATGGATTTGTTCGTTACAGTTGGAATATGATAATCGATTGGAAGAAAAGATCAATGAAATTAACGCGAAGAACAAACTTTATGATGAATTATCGATGAAATATCAAGAATTATTAGCAAAAACAGTGATGTTTTTATGTGAATAATTATTCGAATATATCTGAAATATTGTTTTAGGAAGAGACAGAAGAAGAAATAACACAATTGACAAAAGAAAATGAAGAATTACGAGCACAGAATCATGTTTTACTTCAAGAAACCGTATGTTTCGTATCCATTTAATGTCAGAGTCAGTAGAATTTGTGTAAAGGATGAACACGCGGAGCAAATCAAACGAAAAGATGTTATTGTCGAAGCTACCAATATCGAAATAGGTGAAAAAGAAAAAGAAATTGAAGAAATAAAAGCAAAACTAGTATGTGAAACCTCCTCCGTCGCACCTTAAAACACTTCACTTTCTGCTCTCTACAAAGGCTTTAGTCGAAGAACGTCTTTCAAAAAATCAAAATTTACTAACATCATTACGTTCATCCATGGGTGAAAAAGTAAAATTAACTTTTTTCCTCGGTCTTTTTCTAATCTGATCTATCACTATTGTTCAGGATGCAAAAATTAAACGTCTTGAACAAAGTACTGTCGCTTCTCAACCATCACGAGCGACAGCTGTACGTCGAACTGGTATCAATCATCCTCTGGCAACACAACTCAAACCAACAACAGCAGCAGCAGCTCCTATTCGACCACCTCTACCGCCGCTCCCGACAACAGTCAATCAACAAACAAAAGCGAATTCCCGGTAAATTTCCATCAAACATGGGGTTCGGATTATCGATGTGATTCGTTTGTAGAGAAAAACGAATGTTGCCACCACCAGCAGCGAATGAGTTGACATCAACGCCCAAGAAAATGCGTCGACTTAGTCAAACAAAAGCAGCCATTGACCAAGCTCATGTTCTTGAACAATCAGTTTCACCTGTACTTGATGATGATCGAGATGAAATCGCCTCAAATACCAGTGTAGCGGTAAACAAACAAGTCTCCCCTCAAATCTCACTTATTCACTTGTTTCTCCTTCTGCTTTTCAGAGTTTATTCGAATACTTGAAGAAAATCTAACCAAACAATCTCTTATTTTATGCATTTATTTATTTAATATATTTTTCTCTTTGTTTTGTATAAATCTTTCTCGAATTGTACAATTTTCATTCAGATCCTAGAATAAAATTTAGTTGATTTAGTAAATCATCTTCTCGAATTTCCTTTTCGTCTGCTATGAACTCACTAGGTATGCATCGATCGACTATCAGCGTCATCTGTCGAATCGAATATCCTTGGTTCTTGTATGAGGAAGAAGGAAGAAATATTTTTTGTTTGTTCTCATTCAATCTCTTTTGCCTTACACCTCCATTACGTGAACTTTTTCAACATCGGGTTCAATGACTAAATCTTCTCATTTCTAAACAGTTTCTTCTTCACCCAAAAGTAACCATGAGTGGAAACGAAGACGATAGCGATGCAATCGGTAAGTTCACATGTTTATCTTTTCTCATCGATCCATAAAATAACATTGATCTCACCCGCGATAGATGACGATTGCTATGATACATTCTTCGATGATACAGATCCATTTCAAGATGATAATAATAATAATTATACGACTAATGTCAATACCAATGATCCTGAACAGTTCGAATATACTGTGAGCACGTTGAAAGAAGTACAAGCGCGCTTTGAACCATCGATTTTCTCCAATTCATACATTCATATGTCATCGGCTCAAGCGACATGTTTGATATGTTTTAAAAGTCAAACTAATTTTCAATCGCTGATATGTAATCATGCTTTTTGCCATGATTGCTGGTCGCAGTACATCGACACAAAATTCCAATCGAACCATTGTTTAAGTAAAGCTCGTCTTAGTTTGATAGGAAATTCGATCAGCTTTGTGGATGTTTCTCTTTTTAGATATTGAGTGTATGAAGTGCGATGTTCGAATTCCGCAAAAGTAAATCGAATTCGATTGTTGAAATGTTTTTCGAACCAACTTGTCGTTTAGTTTCGTGCTGGAACATCTATCGTCAGATAATTTAAAAGAACTGTATAAAAAACTGACTATTAAATCGATGATTCAAGTAAAATTTGAACACAATTTGAATGATTTCTTAATTAATCGTTACTATTGTAGAAAAATCCACAAATGACACTGTGTTCTGGTTCATGCGAACGAGTATTCGAAGCCATTGACAAACCTATACCAGGCAAAGTCGAGTGTGAATTGTGCCATCTAAAGTTTTGGTAAATAAACACTTGTTAATCATCAACGTTAATGAAAATGTTCATTTCTTTAGTTTTCAATGTTCTTTAAACTACCACGCACCTGCCAGTTGTGATATCATGAGAAATTGGTTAAATAAATGTCGAGACGTATGTGTGGAAAATATCACTAATAAAACTGACGAAGTTTTGTTGAATTTTTCAGGATTCCGAAACAGCGAATTACATATCAGCAAACACAAAAGATTGCCCGAAATGCAAAGTGTGTATTGAAAAGAACGGTGGATGTAATCATATGGTAACTGAACCGAAAATGAATATTTAATATATGTCGAAATGTTTTAGTCATGTTCCTCATGTAATCATCACTTTTGTTGGATGTGTCTTGGAGGTAAGAGAAGAGAAGTGAAAGCGTTTGATGCGGAAACTGACACTGAAATTGTTTGATTAGATTGGAAAACTCATGAGAATAATTACTATGAATGTTCAAAATACCGTGGACAACCTCAATCTCAATTGGAAACCAAACAAAGCCGAGCGCGTGAAGCTTTAAAAAAATATTTACATTATTTCGAACGAGTACAGCTGATGAAATGTTTTGCTTTGTTGATTTCAATATTTCGTATGCATTTCAGTGGGACAATCATCAGCGAAGTTTAAAGTTAGAAGAACAAACAAGAGCGAGACTACTCGACAAAGTTGAACAGAATATCAACGCGCAAAATGGAACATATATCGATTGGCAATACTTAGAAAAAGCAGCTGATTCGCTTGCAAAAGTGAGTTCAATCTTTAACATTTCGATCTCAATCGAAATCGTTTTTTCATAGGCTCGATATACCCTCATGTACACTTACCCCTATGCTTACTATCAAGAAGATACTGTCGACCGGAATCTTGTAAGTGTATTGATTAAAGATACTTGACGAGTGTAACGAATCGTTGTAGTTTGAGAACATTCAAGCACAATTGGAAGTCGAAATCGAAAATTTATCCTATCAAATCGAACGTTCAACGAATCATAATCGAGGTGTAAGTACATTTGAGATTTGATTTGACTTTGTAATTCTCATTATGAATTCTATAGGATATTGAAAATCAACGACATATTGTCGAACGACGACGACAAACATTACTTTTTAAATATTTTCCTAAATCAAACTCGTAGTCATCAACATCATCATTTTTGTCTTCTTCTTTTTTTTTAATTTTATTGTTTTTTTAAAACACTTTCTTTCGTCTTTGAAATTAATATACTTATAAATATGCAATCATCATCTTTGAGCATTTACATTCGATTGACTTTGTTTTTAGATTGAGATCTGAATTGAGAGGAAACTATCTGATGACTTAGTTCGTGACGCATTCACGAAATGTAAGCGAGATTTGATGTAACAACGTCTCTTGAAGGTATTCACACGAAATGACATAACAGTGATCTTCTACTGAGTTTTCGATTTCGATCGGAAACAATGATTGTAGTTTGCATTAGTCTTTCAGCTCGCTCATACAACTATGAAAGATATGATAGTTAAAATGGATAAGAAACTTGAAAATTTAACTCTGATTGAGAAAATTACTTTTGTTTTGTTTATCCTGGACTGATAAAGAGGTCAGATAAAAAGATTTGCTAAAGTACACACTTATTATTTTGTTGCAAGACTAGTGATAAGAAGGTCTCAGTGGCTTGCAGATTCAATTTATCTCCCTAAAAACAAACAGGCACACCCGTTTCTTTTCCATTGTCTTTACAATCCGATTCATCATTAATATTTTTTCGAACATCTTGGTTTTAGATAATTGAATAACATCGTAGAAATGAAGAAACTATCGAATTATCTTTTGGTATATCTTATCACTGTTCAGCTGTGTTTTCGTTGTGGTCAAACAAAAACAACAGATAATGGTCTATCAGATCCGTTAGGAATGGATCAGGCAATCATAGTCCTTAGAAATAAAAACTGTCCAGATCCAATTTCTTTCATGTACAATCTTGTCGTGTGCGAACAATGTGATTTCGAGCGTTTAAGTGATCCTGTTCCCATGGATTCTAATGAAACTTTATCGATAGATACAAGATTTCCATATGATTTTCAGCTTTTCTCAGGTACTAAGAATGCCACCATTCAATGTCATATAGAATCCTATCGATTTTCTGAGCATGGCACATATTTATTTGAAGTTAGACAGATCCATCCAAATGTCACTTCCTGTACGATAACTCAAACCCAAGAATCAAGCTATTACTGGACACCTATCATCATAGTGATTCTACTACTACTGCTATTGGTTTTTCTGATTCAATTGTTTCGATTTATTCAACGAAAACAGTATTTTAATCGTATTCTAACAAATAGAAACTATCAAGAGTTAGTTGGTAATCAACCGAGTCCTGCACCACGGCCGAGTTTATTTGCTCATCGACTATCCTTGCCTGTTATACCGGAAGAAACCCATACTAACGATGTGCATCCAGTCATCAATACTACGAATGATTCCCCATTGATTGGCTCAACACGTTTATCAGATAATTCAGTTAAAATTACCAAAGGTTTACCGAAACGACTTCAATCATTGGATACATTCCGAGGATTTTCCTTGATGGTAATGATCTTCGTCAATTACGGTGGTGAGAATGACCAATTCATGTTCTTTCAATTTGTCGTTCATTTTGTTTTAGGTGGTGGTTATTGGTTCTTTGATCATTCAGGTAACAAGATCTTTTCTGCTCATGATAAAACACCACTTGAATCTTCATTTTCAGTTTGGAATGGTTTGACTCTTGCTGACTTGGTATTTCCATGGTTCGTTTGGATGATGGGGGTTTCCATTGTGCTTTCGCAGCGATCACTTTTGAAAAAGAAAGTTTCGAAATTGAATATTCTATTGAAAATATGTCGACGTACCGTGATTCTATTTCTCTTGGGTAAATAATAAAACGTGGTTGTTGCTAGTGAAATGTTTCATGGGAACAATTGTAGGTTTAATCTTACAAGGTGGGTACGGAAAACCAAAAAACCTTCGAATTCTGGGTGTCTTACAACGTTTGGCATTATGTTACTTTTTCACAGCAGTGATTATACTTATTTTTGATGAAGAAGATCAGTCTCATTCATCGACATGGCCCATCGGTAAGAACACACTTCGAAAATGATTTTCAATTCTATTTCGACATATAGGCGATGACGTTTATCAACCCATCAGCCAAGAATTGAGAAATACGGTATTTCAGTTTTGGCCAGAGTGGATTTGCGTGACGGGAATTGTCATTGCATGGATTATGATTACGTTCACTCCGAAGATAGACGGGTGTCCGAGAGGCTATATAGGACCCGGTGGAAAACACATGCATGGAATGTATAGGAATTGCACTGGAGGTACAATTTGCTTTTCGATTTCGGAGATATCATTTGTCTAACTGTAGGTATGGCGGGGTATTTCGACCGACTAATTTTAGGAAGTGCCCATCTATATGGCTATCCGACATGTAGAGAAATCTATCACACCGAGATACCGTATGATCCAGAAGGTAAAAACTAAAGCATTGATAAGAAATGAGTTCTATGATTGTTCTCAAGGTATTCTGGGAGTTTTCACTGGTATATTTTTGTGTTATCTTGGTGCCCATGCTGGCCATTGTTTTGCATATTCTACTCGTGTATTTCGAACTTGTACATTATGGGTAACATCTGGTTTGATATGTGGATTCTTTGGTCTTCTCTTATCGAAAGGTGGTCAATCAGAGAGTTGGATACCAATCAACAAGAACCTTTGGTCATTAAGTTTCATATTCGTGTTAGCTGGTCTTGCATTTATCATCTTAACCGTACTTTATCTCCTTGTGGATGTCAAACAATGGTTTACAGGAGAACCGTGGCTTTGGTTAGGAATGAATTCGATTGTACTGTACGTTGGTCATGAAATTTGCTCGCGAGGCTTCCCGATACAATTTCAGGTCGATAACACACACAAAGAGTTATTAGCTGTACATGCGTATGGTGTTCTCTGTTGGATAATTATAGCTGGTATTCTGTATTATAAAAAGATTTTTATAGCAATTTAAAATTGATGTGATATGTTTTATTGTATATGCGGTAAATCAAATAAATATAGACATTAATTTATGAGAACAAAAGAATATCTTCAATTTCGTTTGATTGATAGAAAAAATATATGTGGATGATGCTTGAGAGAAACACTCCCTCCCTCTATCCGAACATTTGATTAGTCACCTAATAGAACCAATGGCTGTGTTTCCTGTCAACTCACATGTTTTCATTGTCTTGCACCATCGTTTGAAATAACATCTCTTTAACTTTTGTTTACTGTATATAATATAAAATATGATGGTTGGAAAAGTAGAACTCATTCCAATTGACGAGGGAAATCGTATAATTGTCAAACAAGATGAAAAAGTTATTATTGGGCGTGGTTCATCATTAGGCGTATGTTGAACATTTTGATTTACTAGATTGTTCTGATTCATGTTTGTTCTAGTGTAACGACAAGAAGATCTCACGACATCATGCTGAATTGTTACTGAAAGACGATAACACACTTTGGATCAAACCCACTCATGCAAATCCTGTTTTTTTTCGACCACCTTATGGCAAAACAATACAGTTACCGAAGAATATCGAACGAGAATTAAAAGATGGTGACCAAATTGGTTTACTTCCATCAACGTTTTATTTTCGTGTAAGCTTTTCGACTGATCACAACAATAATAATGGCGATTCAGATACCGACTCAGTATATGAATTCAAAAAAGAAGCGGAGGAATTATCTCCTATTCACCAAAAACCATCTGATGATTGGTCACCGACACCCAGTTATCGCCGTTCGACAAGCAATCAAGATATATCAGTGTTTGATTTTGATGATGATATCAATACGCAACCAGCAACACGAATACCGTGTAGACGCGTTTCTCTGGAAAAGAAATTGACATTGGATGTTGAACCGAAGGCTAAACTCAAATCGCCTACGAAAACGCCACCGCCATCGTCACCGTCACCAACAACAACGACAACAACATGTAGTCCTTCGATTACGATTCCAAGAGTCTCGATAACTCATCCACCTGCCGAAGCTCAGGTTTGTCGATCTTTTTTTTACAATAGTAATGTACATTTTATATCTTAGGATGAATCTGATTCATGTAATGCGAACATCAAAGCACGCAAATTACCGAAATGGATGTTAGCACCTTCGTCGTCACCAATAGTAAAGCCGACAACAACGCCAAAGTCTTCCTATTCACGAAATTCATCGTATACAGCTCCGACGAGTGCCAAACGACACTGTAAATAAGAAATATCTCTACGATTCGTATGGTTTTTGAACTTTTTTTTCTCTTTCCAGTAAGTTTTGAAGGCGAAAGCAATGACGATATGAATGAACTCTCCAATATGTCAGGTATATTCTCTACTTCATTTGTGATTTCCTTTATTCTATCTGTTCAATTATTAGATACTCGATCATCTACTGAAGGAAAATCTTCAGGCAAGGTATTAAGTAAAATACAAGCAAGAAAAAGCTGCGACAGTGACAGTGCGGATGGTCTTGATTCTGTAACGATTCCAACGACGCCACCAACGCCGAAACGAAGTATTTATATACATTTTGTATCAAAATTTTATTGATAACTAATTTCAATTGATATTTAGTTAGATCATGTGGCAAACGTCGTCCAGCGTGTCAATTCGGTGCTTCGTGTTATCGAAAAAATCCTGCTCATCGTGCTGAACTATCGCACCCAGGCGATAGTGATTACGATGATTCAAAACAGTCAATTGATACTGATGATAACGATCCTGATAGACCTGACTGTCCTTTTGGCAAATCATGTTATCGACAAAATCCTCAACATAAACGAGATTTTCGACATTAGGTTTTGCATGTTTTTCTTTTCTTTGCAAGCAGATCAGATAGGTCGCCGGTGATATATTCATATTCTTTCGTATAGTCTAGCTAATTATCTTTAGATTATCTATGTGTACCAGTCAGATATATATTCAATATTATAAACATATTTGTGAATTAATAGAATGACTACAAACTTGAATCTTTTGTAGATGTCGAAGAAGGAAAGTGCTTTTGTCGATCTATTGAAAAAACGATTGAATTTGTTGACTTATACATCGTTGGATGAAAACGAATATAATCAAAGTTATTTTAAAAATGCTGGTCTAACCAATGTTGATATTCGATCCTATCAATTGCATGGGATTCGATGGCTTATCGAACGATTCGAAGCAGGACATGGAGCAAGTGAGAGAGTCTAGATATGTTTCAAAACCGCATTCGAGTATTTCTCTAGTTCTCAGTGATGAAATGGGTCTGGGAAAAACACTACAGGTAAATCTAATAAAAAGAAAAGAAAGCTGTTGATCAGGATAAAATGCTTATCTTTAGACAATTGCCTTTTTAACATATGTATGCAAAGTAAAAAAGCAAACTCCGTGTATTGTTATTAGTCCATTATCAGTATTGCAAAACTGGACGAGAGAAATCTCAAAGTAGAGATAGACCTTTTTATGAGACTCAAATTCAAATACATGTGATGTTATTAGATTTGCTTCGGGCTTGACCATTCAAACATTCACCGGAGTAAAAGACGAACGGGCTGAATTGGCTGAAACAATAAAGAAATCCAAATTTGATATTTTGCTAACAACATACGAATACATTCTCAAAGACACAACATTTTTTCAGTCATTCAAATGGAAAGTTTTAGTTATCGATGAGGCACATCGAATAAAAAATTCTCAATCTCAATTACATGTCTCCTTGAAAACGGTTTGTGCTTTTATTTGGCCTTCTGAGGTACACTATAGAAAGACTTGCTTTTAGTTGGATGTACCATGCCGAATACTGCTTACAGGTACGCCGATTCAAAACAATTTAACAGAACTTTACTCGTTATTGTCATTCTGTGCACCAAATGTCTTTCGCGTAAAACAACTTGATGATTTTGTGGAATACTTTCGAATTATCAATACGGACGAAGGTATTTACAATATGAAGATCTTTGAAATGTCATGCTTGAGTCATTTTTGTGTAGATCGTAAGAAAATTCTGATCGATCTTTTAAAACCATTCGTTCTTCGAAGACTAAAACGTGATGTTCTTACTGATTTGCCGAATAAAACTGAAGTGATGATCTTCCATGATTTATCCAAAGTTCAGAAAGAACTTTACAAAGCAATTTTAACCAAAAACCGCTGTACGTCTCTTTATCATTCATTAAACCAATCGAAATATTTATTTTTCTACCTTGTAGCAATTTTTGGCACAAGCGAATCAGCGAGTAAAACAAGTTTAGTCAATATCATGATGCAATTAAGAAAAGCTATTGCACATCCGTATCTGTTTCCTGGCATTGAACCTGAACCATTTGAAATGGGCGAACATTTGAGTAAATATTTCATCCGGTTTCAGAATCTCAACCTCATTCTGATTGATTAGTTGAAGCAAGTGGTAAACTTCATATACTTGATCATCTACTTGCACATTTACATGCGAAGAAACACAAAGTGCTTCTATTCTCTCAATTTACTACGGTTTTGGATATTATACAAGATTATTTAACATACAGAGAAACTTATAAATATGAACGTAAGGAAATGTTTTGCATAAAAACGAGTATTATTGTTGTCTTTGTTCTTCAGGTCTTGATGGATCAGTGCGGAGTGAAGAACGATTTTTAGCGATTAATAACTTTAATGCTCATGACGATACATTCATATTTTTATTGAGTACAAAGGCAGGTATGTGTTTTGAAAGAAATGCTAGACAGAGTATGGATTTTGAATATTGAATAGGTGGTGTTGGATTGAATCTTGTCGCTGCTGACACGGTTATCTTCTATGATTCGGATTTCAATCCACAAAATGATCTGCAAGCTGCTGATCGATGCCATCGTATTGGACAGAAAAGGTATGTCATTGTTAATGAATGAAATTTCTTTAAGTAGCTGATGACATTTAGACCAGTACGAATTATTCGTCTTGTTTGTCAGAACTCATTCGAAGGTGAACTTAATTTTGTGTTATTTCTGACATGACTTAGATTTGCCATTGCAGAAGTGATTCTTCGTCGAGCAGAAGCAAAGCTAAAACTATCGAAATCAATTATGGAAAATAGCGAATTAGCATCTGGTTTGAATACAGCTATAGAGTCAAAAACGCAGGTCGGTTGAAGAATTTGTACATGAAGGCATTGGGGAATCTGTGAATGAGTTTAGTTACAAGATGTTCTGAAAATTGGTATTGATAAGTTATTGAACGAAATCGAAGAAATGGATTACACGAAAATTGACTTTAATACAATCTTGGGTAAAACAGATGCGAAAGGATGTTGGCTTGATATCGAAGATCATCAAATCAGTCAAAATGAAGAACAAGAAGAAGTAGAAGAAACAGCAGTTCAGTCGGCAACTACTGATGATAACAATATGTATCTGTTCGAGGGTGTTAATTACCGAAACACTGCACAGAAAGCTGACGTTGATCTATTCGATCGATTAATTTTAAATGACGAAGACATGAGTAGTAAACCGAGCGGTTCATCCAAGCAGCATGCGAGCGAACGGCCACAACGCCGACAAATGACTGAAGAAGAAAAGGCTACACGAGCGGCGAAAGCTCGTGAAACTAAAGAACGACGAAAACAAGAAATGGTAAGTAACGTGAATAACACATTCAACTTCGTTCAAGAAAAACGTGTTGATATGTTTAGGAGGAAGCAGAGCGAAGACGTGAAGAAAAACGTAAAGCAAAATTACAGCAATTGTGGGCATCGAAAAACTACCGTTCATCGCTTGTATCTGCATCCGATGACGAGCAAGAAGAAATTGAAGATACTACACTAGACAGTTATGAGGGTAAACTATGCTGAAAATGGTTGGTATCGATTCGCAATTCTTTTCATTTTATCTAGATGAAAATACTGGTGAAACAAAATTACATTACGTATTCGGAGATGTCATGAAACCTCAGTTACATGATGAAAAATGTGCTATTCTAGTTCATTGTGTCGGTAAGTCAATAGGATACTTTGAAGACATGTTCTTACGATTACTACTAGATGATTCTGGTCGATGGCCATCGAAAGGTGTATTTGCATCCATTTCTCAACGTTCCAAAGAACCCGGAAAACAGTAAAGATTTCTGCCGTTTAAATTTCAATCTATCCTTTTATCTTAGATATACACTTGCTCATGAGATGCAAGATATTCACATGGGTGATACTCATCTAATTGCTATTAATGATTGTGGCGTTGACGATGACGAACCGCCGTGTGAGCAATACGTTGCTTTGATTGTTGCTCAGCATCGAAATAAATTCGATTTTACCGCACTCGATTCTGGTAACTTAAATTCATTGACACAGACGATTAAATGTATATATTGCACTTTTTAAAAAAATATAAATTAGCACTTCGTAGTTTGGGCAAAGCAGCAAAACAAATGAAAGCTTCTGTGCATTTGCCTCGTATTGGCGTTGGTTCTCAAGGTATTGATAATCATTTGTCGAAATTTATGTCTAGTATTTCCTAACTCAATAGAAGGTTTCAATTGGTATGGTACTGAAAAGCTTATAAAGAAATACTTAGCATCAAACAATATACCCACTTATATTTATTATTTCAAACGTGATGGTGCAACCACTAGCAACAAACGAATGCATGAACAATCACATGGAGACCATGATCGACTGTCGCATAAAAGTAAATGATAGCTGTGAATGTTTAACAGTAATCGCATATCTTTATTTGTATCGTAGGAAAACCGAGCAAAATCAATCAATTAAAAGTTCACTTGCCCAACTATCTATCCGGTATTCACGTATTCTTTCACGATATTGATGAGGATACGAAAAATAGATTACAACGTTTTGTTTATACGTATGTGTACAATATCTTCTAAAGTTTACTTGCGCATAATATTCTAAAATATTCGTTTTTCTTCTTAGTTTCAATGGTGAAATTGACGAAATAACTGATGTAAATACAACAACCCATATTTTAACTACAGGTGACTGTCGAGATGTACTTGCATTGCAAGATTGTTGTCCAGACGCTCATGTAGTCAATATTGAATGGCTTGATGCATGTATAACTCGTGGAGAAAAACTCAATATAGATACTTACAAACTGTGATATTTTATTTTCATAAATGATGAGGAATAATCACGAATTAGTTCGTTTTTTTTTGTTTACTAAGAATTTGTATATTCTAACATTTATTTGTGGATACTGTGATCCTTACTCACACTCTATTTCTTCAGTTTGAAAGTTCAATTCATTGGTCTATGCATATAAAATCTTTATATGCTATGAGCTTTATTTATTGGTTAAACTACTAGCAGGGCAAATGGTAAGGAAAGAAACACGAAAATGATACAGATGTAAAGTATCTTGTGAACACGTTTGAAATTTTTCGAATGGTCTCATTCGAGGTTTGCTCATGCACAAATGATTTTCCCATTGGCTAGTGTGATCACGCCGTTACCGCAGACTGTAGCTAGAAAATGTATTAGCATAACGAGAATTGAAGAAAATTTTCGAAAGTAATCGTATGAGGACTTACTTTTAACTTTTCCCCAACGTCGTTGTCGTTTGTGAACTGAAATGTAATGAAACATGAGCAAATAAATTGTTACTTGAAAAAGAGTGTGAAAGACAACATTCATTTCTCTTCGCTTCTTATCACGGCTTATACTAAGGAATAACTCAACTTAAACATATGGTAATAGTAGACTTACCAGCACTATCGTTGGTGGGCGCAGGTTCTGCCGAAGCTGACGCATTGGTCAGATTTCCACTCGCTTGATGCACAGCAAGAATGAGCATTGCGCATAACAACAAACCGTATAGGTGGGATGAACGCATTATAATAGATACACGAAGTCGAACGAACGATAAAGAATGATGAATTCAGTCAAATTATCAGCTCTATTTATAGATCCCAACGACCAGTCAATGACCTTCCATTATTCAATAGATATTCAAAAGAAAGCAAAGATAATGAGTGTTCTTTGTTACGTTTAAATCGATCTATCATCAGAGGGAAATATTGATTTTTCGTTTTCCACATTCACTGACGTCATTTTTCTCCCACTTCATACGTCTTCGTTTTCTCCCTTTTCCCTTCTTCTTTTGTTCATGAATAGATAAACATATAACTGACGTGGTCAATGACCAACGCATATTGATCATGAGTTATGCAGCTTGTCATTATCGATTGTTTCATTCAACAAAATCTTTATTCTACACCTCCATTTATATGTTAGACTACTAAAAGTAATATATATATATCTCCAATTTGAGCATTCAACTATACAAAACAAAGTGTTAATTCACGCGTGTCCATACTCTTTTAAAACATGTAAGGAAAAAGCCAATCATTGACGTGTAGTTGGCCGATGAGTTGTTTGCATAGGTGGGTAGGCAGACGATGCCGATGCAACACTACCAGCATTTGATTTTACCGACGAAGACGGTGATGCTGGCCGTTGCGCAGTGTATAGTTCACTGCGTTCGTCAATAGAAGCTCGAGCTGAACGACGATGTTCTTCTTGGTCATGTAACTGCAATGTACGAGGCGACAAAGCTGATGACTCTTTGCGTGTTGCAAACGAATGCCGACGTATGGAAGGTTGAGCAAAACGATTTTGTGAAAGTCTTGGTGTGACCGGTGGACTTGGTTGTAGTCGCAAGCGACGTTCTTGTGCTTTGACCATATCGGACGGATCTTCAGGATGATGGCGTTCTAGTTGAGCTTCGCGACGCAGTTGCATCTGTAATTTCAAACGATTAGTAAAAAACACATGACGCCAACCACGTCTCTCAGTTAAATGGATCAGATCTTTGTTTTCCAATGCATGTCGTCCGTAGTGACGGACATAGAATATTCTCCACAGATCATTATTTCGGCAAAGTTCTCTCATGGACTTCGAGACTAATGACAATTGTGGAATGTCATCGAGATTGACTTCTGAGAAGATATGTATAAGAACTTTTGCGGGAAGTAAAGATAACCAATCAAATCTGCCGCGAATAAGGTTCAAACAGTAGTCAAGTGTATCTTGACCAAATATGCGTGATATTTCTCGTTGAGCGACTTCGTCATGATAGAAATCTTCGTACGAATCTTTGATTTCTCCTGGATACATGGCACCTTCAATATTTCGAAGCGTTATTTTCCACCAACGAAGAATAACCTACAATAGGAGAAATATTCAAATATGAAAACGAACAGTTGCTCATATAAGAGACCTTGTCCATTGTAATTTGCAACTGACCGTAATCTTTCGATGGTGAAGGTGCTTGACTATCACATTCAAACAGAACACCATCTTTACGAAAGAGTGCCGATAGAAATGGATGTTCTTTTCTAAACTGTTGTACATCACACGTTTCATGACGATGTGCAATATCATGCTGAGTCTGATTATGGTGACCAGATATAGTCGCTAAGTGGACGCGACCATGATCATCACTTTGCTTTCTATTATTTGCCATGTTTCTCTAGAAAATGAAGTATACTACAATGCTCTAAACTACTTCTCTATTTATATATATGTATTCATCTGCAAGGTCGCAATTTAAAACTAAACGGCGCAGAAAAATCGTCACATGCACATGCACTTGCCATGGTCGCCATTGATTTAATGTTGATCTTTGCTGTTCAAACAGAACAATCGGAGGCATTCGAGAATTCAGTTGTTGAAAAAGTCTTTCTTTTCTCTCTTTCGTTCCAGTGGTTTTTGACGCGTTTGAATTTAAACCAATAAAATTTCAGACACAAAGACAACGAGAGGAGAATTTCTATGTCGCCAGAGTCATTATCATCAACAGATACGAAATTCTCTTCGCTCACGGAAACAGTTAAAATGACGACAACGAAAAAAATGTCGATTTTTGTTTTACAACCGAATGGATCTCATTCTCAATGGCAAGGAGAGAAATTGAATAACGTCTATCAAGTAAGTTGATCAGTCAGTCGAGAGAAGAGTCTATTTGTTTGCGGCTAGTTACTTGAATCAAGTAATTTCAAACCAAATATGATCGACGAAGAAACAATGATGAATATGAAGAATTTGAAAGGCAAAATGTTCGTTATCGAACCGTTTGCCGGTCAACTGTTTCAATATTTGAAAAACAACAAAGCTTGGTAACATTCCACTATCAGTTTTTCCTCAATTTAATATATTCCTATTCTCATATTCAAAAGGGTACTTGGCCCACAATTGATTACAACATGTGTCGATCATAATATAACTATTCCATGTAGTTCGTATCCTCTCTACTCACTTGCTATGCAATCGTTAACTATTTGCTGCACAAATCTTCCCCATGCTGATCGAGTATGTATCATAATTTCATTTTTAATCGTTTATTTCAGTACATACTATTGAATAGGAGACAATTCGTCGATCAGTTGCATATATGGGTGGTAAATTTCAAACAAATCTCAATGCTAATGTCACTCATCTTGTTTGCGGAACATGTGCTGCATCGGAAAAATACTTCGTATGTTGAAGAAATAAGTGTTCTTAATCGTGTTTGTTGATTTTTATGTAGGTTGCGGTTGAGAACGGAATTCAAGTGATGATGCCAGATTGGGTACAAAATGTACTTGCACTTTCCGGACAAAAGTGATTGAAACGAGTGGTATCGGTGTTTGATCTCTGTTGTTTTGTTATTGTAGGACTGTAAAAGCAACTGATTCAACATTTGATCGTTTTAAATGTCCATTATTCTATAAATTTATCATTTCATTATCGGGCTTTGCCGAAAGAGATCGAAATACGATTAAACAATATGTCGAACGAGAAGGTGCAACATATTCACCAAGTTTAATTAAAGATCAATGTACACATCTAATTTGTAAAGAGCCAAGAGGTTCGTCTCCCGATAGATTTACGAAATAGTACTTTCTTTTATGATTAGGCTCGAAATTCGAACACGCAATCAAATGGCGGATACCAACATTAAAGCCAGAGTGGATTTTTGATAGCAGCGAAAAAGGTTCATGTTTACGTTTAACTAACTTCCTGTGGTCCGCACCAACTATCGATTCAAATAGTAGCAAAGGTTTTTGATTTCTGTGAGATTCGTAGTTCCTAATGGAAATGATCATTCTCTAGAAAACGAGAAGCCTATGGCAAAAGATGTGGCCGATTCGTTACCATCATCATCAAAATCAACTCCGGCTGATCAACCACGTAAATCGACATCGTTATTGACAACAGAGGAATTGACTGAACTTGAAGAACGACTTGATAAATGGATGAATGATCGATCAAAGAAAATTATCGACGATTTGTTCGATGGTCTTAAAGTTCGTTTAATAAATAGAAACTATTATTCAACACGGAAGAGAAAGTTTAGGTGTACTTAGGTCAATTTCCTGCAAATTTGCGAATGCGTATGCAAAAAATTCTCGATGGTGGATGTGCTATTCGGTAGAATGCATTCTATTGCATCTTCAACACAAATTTTGCTTTCCTAGATTTGATACATTGAATTCGTCTGTCACACATATCATTCGTGGAAGTGAGCCTGCTATAAATTATTCCCAAATGTCTACACTTGCTTCAAAGTAATTTTCTTCTCGAACCGATTTTCAAACTCTTCTTTTTAGTGCTCATATTGTTCATCCACAATGGTTGCTAGATTGTTGTGAAAAAAGTGAACTTCTGCCTGAGATTACTTACTTAGCTTCATCTGATCGAGACGAAAAGTAAATTCAGTCGTTTTAAACACGAAAATTTTTATTTAAATTGTAGACAAGACTCTAGTTCAAACCTGACCAACGATAACAAGAGAAGTAGTAGCTCGAATCTGTCCACGCCATCGATGATATCATTCACACGGCAAACAACGGGCAGTTTCAATGTTGATCAAACAGTACTTGTATGTTATTTATTGATTCACTCTCCAATATGCAATTGATCCTTATAGCAAGATGATACACCTCGTCTTCGTCGAACACCAGGCTCTAGTGTATCAACACCAACAATCATTCCTGAATACGCACTTTCGCCATTTTCCTTACTTAAACGTTACTCTAATGTTCCTCGTCCACCTGTCTTCGAAGAATCGTTAACTGACACACAAATCGATAAAATAAGTGCCCAACTACCTCCAACAGAGTCTCAAATCAATGTCGATCGATTGATGTCTGATATCGATTACTTAATGCCAACATTATTGAACCAAAAATCAGCATCAACAAATCTTGTTTCCAATGCAGCATCGAAAACGAATAAGATGCCCACGCATTCATTCTTTCTTGCTCAACAAGCTAAATTAGCGATGAAAACGGATGAAGCATCCTCGGGTGTCAAAGTATCATGGGTGGATGATTCGACGGAAGCAGAACGTCTACGCCAATACCAATTACATAATTTAGATGAAATGACTCAACTCGATGAGGACTACTAAGTCAGATTTTATCTCGTATTCATCGATGCTTTCTTTCCTCTTGTACAAATAAAGTCTTATGCAATTTTCTGTTGATTTAATTCTAGATCGAATCCCTACCATGAATGGTGACGTTCAGAAACAAATCAAAACGTTTGGTAATCGTTGTTGTTGAGCTTTTGTTCAATTAACACACACTATGTTGTCATTTTAGAGAAACTTAATGAAATCAATCAGAAATTTACAACAAGTGCAATTGTCAATGTTTCAAATGATCCTCAATTGATGGGTTTACATGAACAACACGACTGGCAGCGTTATGAATTATTTCGAAAATATGAACAATTTATGCCGAATAAGATCATCTCTCCAATCATGCCTCAATCGTCGTGTTCATCTGCAACGTCATTCGAACCGAATAATACGCCAATCGATCATCCGTAAGTCTCATGAGAGGAAAATGTTTTTGATATTCCGTATATTCTCCAGTGATAGCCAAGAAAACCAAGTCGAATCGCCAATAAACGATATTAGTGAAGATCTACGACTACTGACTGAACAACGCATACCGGATTTATGCATTCTTGACGACGAACCGATGGAATTTCGAAATAGTTTGATTTACATAATCATTCAAAGAGATTCTACCTTGCGTTTCTCATTTAGAAACAAAATTCTATTGTACAATAAATGACATTCTAACAAGCGACGGCGAATTTTGGGCCGAACGAGAATTATCATCTGAAAACGAGCGAAAATTCCATCAATTTATTGAAATTCTTGCCCTGTTTGCAAATAACTATGAATCATTACGAGAGGTTTACATCGGTCAACTAGTTGCATTACAATACGAATCGGCATGGCATCGAGCATTAGTCGTATCGAAGAGCGATGAAATAACAATCACAAAACAACCCAGTGCACGTGTCCGATTAGTTGATTATGGTGCATCGTTGTACGTGAATGTTTCACAATTGAAATGGTTGCCTGAACAATTTTACTTGTTTCCTTTCAAAGTATACACATGAATTTTCTTGTCGAATAGAACATCGTTTTTTTTTATTGTTGACTTTAGGCCGTGGAATGTGTTTTTAGTGAAGCAATTAAACCAACGTTTTCCGATACAGTCCGTTTGACATTTAAACAACTTGTCATGCATAAACGTTTACGAGCTACTGTGGTAAGTTTTCAATTGAATCAGTCGAGATTATCTCCGATGTATCGAACAGTATGATAGAGATGGTACTCGTATATGTGTTTTGTTAAAATGTAAAACCGACGAAGGAATCATCAATGTTTATCGTTATCTACGTGCTCATGAACATAAATCAAAACGTGGTCGAATGCTTGATGATGGTGATATTGTTCAATGTTTGCATAATACTATTTTTAACAATAGTAATGTATTTGAACAGACGACAGTATCGAATCGATCAATGAATACGACAATGAATTTGACACTGCCAATCTTATCACCCCCGTCGCCAATTCAATTAACACGTGATCAAGTGGAATTACGACGTGAAGAAATCAAAAAGATTCTTCGCGATTCTCCAGATGAAATCAATGATATTACAACTAACATTCCAGATAACAAGAAGATATTCATCTCATCCTCACAGAGTACACCCTACTCTGCTGCGACGATTATTACTCCATTGTCTCGTTTATCCTTCACTCAACAATGAAATCAACTTCATTGGTGGTTTATTTGATTTTTAACCAAACAGTTTTTTGTTTTATTTGTTTTTTATTGACGAAATAGAACGAGGCAACAAGAAACCGAATAATAAATATACGTTTATATATAAGTACGGCTTTTATAACGCGTTATTTTGTTCACAACATAGATTAACAACAGCGAGAAAATCGAGACGAATATTATGTATCATGAAATGCTGTATTTGTTTGTTTCTTATCTTTGCCATTCTTATTGATTGTTTTCAATGGAAAATTTTCTTGTCTCAGCTGATTCACAACAAGCAAATCATCTTCTTCATCTTCGTCATCATCGTCATTGCTTAAAAGCAAAGCTTGTTTTCCATTTGATGATGAGGATAATAATGGTTTACGATCGTGTTCTCTTGTTTCACGTTCATCATGTGGTTTTAATGACGTTTTTCGAACAAGTAATGGTTTAACATAGAATTCATTGAATTTTTCTAAGCCTTTCATTGTATTTGGATTAGCAAAGTGGATTTCATAGTTATCAATGTCATCATCGTTGGTGATGTGTTTTCTCTGATTCATATAATTTTCATCTTCGTTGAGTAATTCATCGAATTGAATCGTTTTACTCATCATTGTGCGTAGATTGGGTTCGTCATCGGATTCCATGGATCGTTCTTGAGAAATAGATGAATGTCGTCGAAGATATTTGACAACAGGTATGGTTAGACCACCTAGAGCAACGATTGTAAATAAAACGGTAACTAATGTCGTTGTCACAAGCGTTCGTTTCAATTCTTCTTCGTTTTCGCCATAATATTGACCAACATGGACAGACAATGCGTAGGAAATCGCACCTGAACATAGAATATGATTTTTGGTTTGATTTTTTAAACAGTTTCTTTACCTCTCAGTCCGGCGAACCACATGACTAGTTGCATGGGAAATGTGATTCGATGTTTTTTCGACCGAAAGCAATTCATCATGAATGAAAGAGGAAAAACATGTGCTGCACGTCCGATAATTGTCAATACGATTGTCCAAAAGATCAATTTCGGATGAAATGCATGCTGATATTCGAATATTCCCACGCCCAAATACACAAAAACGCATGTTTCAGCAAGAAATGCAATAGTACGAAAGAGTACAGTTATTGATTGTCGGCCAACACTGGAAAGGTTTTCATGCGTATAATGCGACATGGTTAATCCACAGACAAGTATTGACATAATACCAGATAGATGAAATATTTCAGCGAACATGTACGACGCGTAAGCAGTGAGAAGTAGAAGTGAGATTTCTAATGATAATGAACTTTTATCGAATGCGAGATACTTGGTTAACAACGCACTGGCCAGCCCGAAAACAAGACCGAGAAAACCGGACGAATAGAACATTAGAGAGAACCTTGTCGATGTATTCATTAAAACTTTAATCGATGAAATGACTTGTGCGGACCAAGGTGTTGTCGTACTATTAATCCGAACTGCTCGTTTCAATGTTGTTGATACTAAAATGAATATTGCACAAATAAATATGTTTATATTCGAAGGAGAGTGTGTTTACTTTCTCGTTTTTTCTTCTTAGCTGGAATAGTATCTCCACTTCGGAATGTATTGATTATTGAACCGTCGCTATTGTCTATATCTTCGATATCATCATTATTTCGAGAAGGAAATCGATCATTATTATCCAGAAAACTATCGGTCAGTTCTCCTTTTGGTTCATAGAGAGGTGATTGATCACCCTGTGGTATTAAAGCGTTATGACTTCGATGTCGTGCTGTTGTAACCGATGGTACCGTAGTCAAATTCGAACTGGCTAATAATCCAATCATCGAATAAGCTGTTAATTTTGTTCCATTGATATTTTCAATTTGTCGTTTCGATTCGACGATAACATTAGTTAAAACGATGGCGACGGCATCATTCAATATCGATTCGCCAAAAACCAACATGTACAATAACTGATCAACATTAAGTACTTGAAATATGGAAAGAATAGCAACAGGATCGATGGCTAAAGACATTACACGATGAATTCGAATAGATTGAGTAAAGAAAATTTTTACCTGAATTTAATGATCCTATAACGAAACATTCTCTCCATGGTAATTTATATGATAAATTGAGTATTCCCAGTACATACAGACCAGCACCTGTCACAAGTGCATTTATCGTGGTGCCAAATATGGCAAATGTTGATATTGTACCAAGGTTTCGAAAAAAGTTTCCTTTATGCAAATGGTAACCTTGTTCAAATATAATTGGTGGAAGAAAAAGCATGAAAAATACATTGGAATTCAGCAATGGCGTAGATGCTTGTGCTATCGTCGCAGTCGACTCTTCACTTTTGTTCGTCCATTGATTGTACACTTTTAAAACTAAACCAAATATTCCACCAATGTAGATAATTGCCACGCTTTCGGGTATGTAGTTGAAACGCTTGCGAATCAATAAATGAATAATCAAAACACAAAGAATTAACAATACTAATAGAAGAAATATTTGAGCGGACGATGATAACTCAGACATGTTGTTCAAAATGCGTGACGAACGAAAATGCAGAACGAGTTACCTTTTTTTTCTTCTTGTTTTTTCAAATGTCACTATTTATGTGCCCAGTATACCGAATAGAAAAAGAAAAATAAACCTCTTTACCATTGCCTCTACCACTACTACTACTCGCGCTTTCAGCGTTCAGTCGCATTGCTCCGCCCACACAGTCGCTTTTTTTCCTGTTCTTTCCTTCTTTTTTTACTGATAGAGAAAAAAAATTATTAGAACACACGATCATTTTTGCTGAAAACGGCACGACGTTGCGGAAAAAAAAAGAAAAAGAGGAGAAACAGAGATGGCAACTATTGTCGATTGACGATGAGAGAAATGCGAGTCGGATCATCAGCGACAATGCTTACACTATAGTATTTGTGCATACATTTTTTTTCCTTCTTCGTTCTTTCTTGTCGTCTAGAACAATAAATACGCAACATTACTAGTTAGTAATTAGACGAAGGAAAAGACGAAAGTATTTCTATTAGATCTGTGAAAATAGAGACTTCGAAATAGGTAGCATTATTTGTATTCATGATGAAATTATATAGGTTGCTTTCGATAGGAATTTACGGAGTAAATCAATGTTCAAGTGCAACTTCCAAAGAACAAGATTCCGTATCAAATTTGCTTATGAGTTCATCATTATCGCTATTGTCGGAATTTTCATCACAATGTTTGATATATTGAGGCGTAGATGGAAGATGTCTCTGCGAATGGGATTCTTTTTTCTCGTCATCTAATTTACGCATAGCTTCAATAATAAACGGACGTCGTTTTGGAAAAACCCTGCTAGAGAGTTCAGCCGAGTCGACAAGTTTATTAGCAGTAGCATTGTCATTCATATTTGCTGTAGAAGATACAGACGCTCTTCGAGATTTTCTGTCTTGTGAATCAATTGAGTAAGTTTGTGTGTCGAAGGATGTAGCTTGAAACGTGTTAGTTTTCGAATTTTCAGTGCAAGTTTTACTTGCTGCAGAAAGCATCGAATTCACTGATGTTGTTTATATACAAAAAGGTTTCATACCTATCTTCGGTACTTTCGAATCATTACTGAGCGATAGAGTAGTTCTGGACAACTTTGATTTTCTCGTCGATGGCCACTGTTGTTCTCGAACAAATGTGTCTTGATCTAATCGGAAACCTTGTTTGCCATTAGTAGCACTGAAGAAATAATTTTAAAAAAGAACACGAAAATCTACTGTTTGCTTCCTGAACGAGCTGTACATTCGACTATCGAATTTGTTTTGCTGATATCTGTTGCTATTCTGAGACGAATGCTGTGGATTTGATGTTTCTCGTTCGGATACACCCCGAATTGCATGTACATTTCGCTCTTCATTCGTTCCACGTTGATTACGAAGTATATCTTCAATAATTAACGAAGCTGCTTCATCAACATCAATTGCCGGCTAGAATATCCAATGAATTGTTTTGAATAGTTCATTGATTTTCATCACAAACTATTGCTTGTAATAACTGTTTGGCGGAACAGGTTGTAAATTCACAAATATTTTCGATCTAAAACTACTCGAACATCAATCATGACAATCATACGGAATATTTCGAATTACCATATCTAATGTGATCTTCGTACCGATACGATTGAATATTTCACGTATCACTTCCTTAACAAAATCTCTCGTTGTTAATGGCTATTAATATTTATGAAAAGCGAACGTTATCTCCGAATACAATTGTATTACTTTCACTCGTTTTAAGTACGGATACTTCTTTGCACCAATTTGTTGGATTTGACTTATGGCTTCTTCCAGCGTGATCATTCGCTAGAGCTTTCGATGTCATGAATGAACGTGTCACATCGTGAATATATCTTACATTGTTTCGAATTAAAGTCTCGGCTTCACAATGCAGTGTTCGAATTACATCAGGTAACTTAAACGAGAGAAAACTTCGATGTATGAATGCAATGAATTCATTGTATGTAAATTCATCGAACTTCAGATAGCACAATATTATGTTTCGCTTGTTCGATAATAGTATTGACAATATATCGAATGAATTCTAAATCTCGAGAATTCCTTGCTTGAATTTGATCCTACAAGGTATTGAAAGACAATCTTTTCAAACTGAACCTTTCATCTAGTAGAACTTTGAATAAGGATTGCCAGTTCTGCTGATTGTTTTCAAAGCGTTGTTTCAATCGTTCACATATAGACACTGTAAACAGTGAAAGCATGACAAGTTCTCTTGAAAAAACATACTCATAGCGACCAAATCGACGCACTTGGAAAGAACAAAACTGAATGGACGAAAAATTTCAAATAAAGTGAAAGATATATTATTGTCTTGTGTTTTTAGCGGCAAGTCAAGTTTAGAATATTATTATATACAACAAAAACAAACAAACGACAAGAAAAAGGTTTATATTTAAAATAAACATCTAGTCTATATGATCAGGATACATTGGTAAGTTTCAGGCCATCTTCAATAATTGTTACCAAGCGCTGACCTTCAGCTGATTCTGGGACTTCATTTTCGTAGATATTACCGAATACGACTAGACGAAGTAAACTGACCGCTTCTACAAGAAAAAGAAACTAGTACATGAATGTAAATGAAAGATTCGTTTCGTACCGTAATAATCTTCGGGTACATCGACCATATATACTTCAAAAGTGACCAGAAAAAGAAGTAAAGCTTGTTTTAACATTCCTTGACCTGTCGCTAATTCACAAAGAGGCTTTCGCCCATAAAAAAGAAAGTAGGATGATGTTCCGTTCACAAAATCCATAACAGTTAAACGCAAATGACTGCTATCATCGGTTTCTTTATCGGTTCCTTTGGGTCCGTCAGCCTAGAAGATTGGAATAAATAAAACACATACAAAATTCACTCTGCACAACTGACTTGCTTATTTTGGATGATAAAACTACAATTCAATGTACGACACAATTGTGTTAAACATAAACGATAGGTTAAATCCATATTCTCTCGTTTTCTTATCGCAAAGTGTTTGGTTAATATATCGAGTACGAGACCGATGGTTTTACTAAACGATGAAATGTGTCTTCCACGTAAAAGACCGTATTCACCAGTCAACTAGACAAAAGTTTTTCGTCAATTTACGAACTTCTCCGACAAAGAAGAATACGCTTACGAATTCTTTTCCAGCCATGAACGGCAATTCCTGTAAAATTCCGTAGAGATTTAGATCAGCATTGTTACTTAACCATTCTCGTCGACGAGTATGCGTCTTGGACAAATATTGCTTGTAGAGAGTAGAAAATTGAACTTGTCCTTGAATCTGACGAAGTTTAGCAGTAATTGCATCGTAATAGGCATCGTCTAATTTAACGGGAAATGATCAGTTTTTGTTTGAATTCATGGCTATGGCGATAGACTTACTGTTTTGATGAATTCGATTATCGTTTTTTTCAACTCGACCGGATTTCGCACGGATTTTTTGACGCATGTTACGCATCTTGATCGACAATTTACGGCATAGTAAAGCCTAGAGAAGACCAATGCTTCGAAATTGAAAGAAAAGGTAAACTTGATGTCGTACTTCAGGTTTAAGATGATTGCCTTTTTCAGCCAGACAAGGATACTTTTTAATTAACGCTAGACCAATTTTACGATACTCTCGACCAGTTTTCAACTGTGGATATGTTTTCATAAAGAATTCCGCTGTTTCATTGATAAACTCTTGCAAGACTTGGGCAGCTTGTCCTAAGAGAAATCGAATTCGATCGTTTGCATTGAAATTTTACAGAGTACAAACCATTCTCTAGACATGTTTGGACGCGCTCTGAAAGTTCGGGTAGTTGAGGCGGGTGTGGAATTGGCGCGTAACAACGAACTCGTCCACCGGACCGAGAAACAGGTGTTATTGCACTTCCACTCTCTTCATCTTCACCCATCAAACTCATGTTTGGTGTATACAATGTGCCACGCTAAATGCCGTAAAAGTTTTATTCATAGAGAGTAGAATAAGTAGGAAAATATATACTCGTTCGGGAACGGGAATCCATTCTGGATCTTCAAATTGAATCTACAACAATAAATGCTTGAAATCGTGCGAAATTCAAATATTTATTCGATCTTACGTCAACAAACTCATCTTCGCTTTTCATCGAATATTCCATGGAATCATTAGGTTCCATTTTTGCCATTCGACTCACTGTTCCAAAACGTTTCTTTCCCTCCAACTTCGGCCGCTTAAGATAACTATTTCGTCGATGAGTATCTTCCTCGTCATCCGTCGACGCTTCATCAATTTCGTTATTGGTTCGAATAGTGGTGACATTCGATGACGAAAGCAGGCCACTAGAAGCTGTTGCACTTTTATTGCTTGTGGGGGTCGAATGAATCTTTCGAATATGAATTTTAAATCGAGCAACAGATAGAAATGTCTCTTCACAACCATCCACTGGACACGCTACTTCGACTTCTTCGTCGCGATGCCGAATATCCAAATGTTCAACGTAAGCCTGAAGACTTCGCGGATAGATATTGCATATTGTACAATGAAGTACACGTTGACTCGATGCGGAAGATGTTGGACTATGGTAATCAACAAGACTAACACGATTTAATGACATCTAAAAACGTGAAACTATAATTCGCGCATTTGAAACAAACTTTTCTTTTGACCACATTAATGGTTTCAGTATAAGATCGTTTTTTTATGTAAAATGGAAAAAACTAAGCATCTATGCTTCAGAATAGAGGATGCATAAGTGCGCATACAATGGATGCACTACTATGACCGATAAAAGAATCAACCAATAGGATATAATGATTTTCGCATTGGTGACATCTGACGTAAACATTCATCATTGAATATTAGCACCCCTAACGACATGTTGTGAAGATGAGTCACTCTTTCGGGGCTTACGATGATGAGATATTTCTTCATAATATTATCAGAAGAATAGACAATTGTTCATTCTACGAGAGAACAAACTTATATTTTGAAAAACTATTGAGTTTTTATTGATGAAATGTCAACCTACAGAGCAATTCTCTCCTCCCAAAGACATCGTTTAAATCTTGCTTCACTATTTTAGATATGTCAAACGAAGCAGAACCGACACTAGCCGCTAGCACGACAATAACGGCAGCGACTGACATCGATAAACCATCATCTCTCTCTAAAAACCAGCAGCGTAAACAGAAACGGTATGAATTGATGCTCGAACGACGTAAATCTAAACGAAAGGAAGAAAAAGCTAAACAGAAGCAACGTCGTCTGGAAAAATTAAAGAATGCTCCTGAACAATCCTTGATCACTCGTCACAGTCTCAAAAACAATCGGATGGAAAATTCTTCGTGCCGCATTCGAATCTGTATTGATTGTCGATACGATTCCTTGATGAGTGATAAAGATGTTGGTAGTCTGCAAAAACAAATCTCCTTTAGTTATTCATCCAATCGTCGTCTGTCAGCGCCATGTCAATTCTATCTGACGAATGTCGACGGTCAATTAGAAAGACGTCTTACAGCAAATAGTGTCAAAAATTGGGACATACATATGCGAAATGAACCCATCGAACAAGTCTTTCCACACGAGGACATACTCTATTTAACAAGCGAATCAGAAAATGTATTAAGTAGTACTGAACCACTCGATGAACGGACAGTATATGTGATTGGTGGTATTGTGGATCACAATTCAAGAAAAGGTCTCTGTTATCAATTAGCACTGGCAAACAAATGGCGACATGCGCGTTTACCAATCGATGAATTTATCAAAATGAATACACGTCGTGTACTTGCTTGTAATCATGTTCTGGAAATACTTTTGAATTATATTCAATTAGGAGATTGGAAGAAAGCATTCGAACAGAACATACCGAAAAGAAAACAAGTTACAGAAGAGATAGATGCGAGTAGTAATGGCGATGATGATGATGATGTGCCGAAAACTGTCTCGCCAACTCATCCGCAAGATCCGAAACCTTGTGCTGAAATTCATGAAAGACGAGGAGAAGTTGATGAAGGAGAAGATCCACCGCAGCTTCCTTCATGATTCTGTTCAGTGTTGATTTCTTGCGTTTTTTTTGTTATTCTAGATATAAATGGCATCATCATCGTCATCGATGAAACGTCAGCCACCTCTTCGACCTTCATCTACGACGAATCGAGCAGTTCGAGGGATTGAAAAACGTGTCAACAATCTTGCTTTATCTAATGAGCAAAACGATGATGAACACGCAATTGCAAGTGGTAAACAAGTCCCACGTAGTTATCTACTCAAATTAATCAAAGGATCGCGTACAAATGGGGTACTTAACTTAGCATCACGTGGTTTGACCGAAGGTAAGTTTGAAATCGGTATATTGACGTAGAATTCAACTGGGATTTATTTAGTTCCAAGAGAAATCTTCCAAGATGACATTGTAGAAGATGAAAATCAACAACAACCAAAAGCAAAAACACCAGATTTTTCTCAAAGCGCTTCGGAAGGCTGGTGGACGCGTGAACCACTCAAAACACTCGATTTATCATCAAACTCGTTGGCTACACTTCCAAATGAAATCGAATTATTAGATTACTTGATCGTCCTTAACGTATGTCATGCGCCTTTGTATCTCATCCGATTATTCCCAACGTTTTCCCTTTCCTTACAGATTCATAATAATCAACTATCAACAATACCTGACTCGATACGACGTTTGAGATTATTGGAGAAACTCGTTCTCAGTCAAAATGAGTTAACTACATTACCAGATGGACTCTTCTACTGCTCATCACTTCTCTACTTGAATCTATCGCGTAATCATCTAACTAAAGTATCCAATAAAATTGGCGATCTCTCCTATCTTCAAGAACTGGTATGACTTTATCGATCCTGTTAACATTTATTTCCGATTTCATGTTTGTTCAGGATTTATCGGAGAATGACTTCGAAGTCTTTCCCAAACAACTTGGATACTTGACGAAATTAACTAAATTAACAATTGCAAAGAACCGTCTTCGTGCACTTCCAAATGAATTCGGCGCTCTCTATAGTATAATTATCCACTTCGAAATTCTAAATAACCTTCTTGTCCTGTAGATCTTCGATCATTCGACATGAGTCATAACCAAGTGACACAGTTACCTGAAAGTTTCGGAGATTTAATCAATCTCGAAGAAGTCTATGCGAATGCCAATCGATTAGCAGTTTTTCCATGTTTTAATCAATGTGCAAGATTAAAAGTACATTGAAACCGTTTGTATAAATCATCTATACTCAGTTCATCTTCCAGGAAATTCATCTGGCTGATAACCAATTGACTGAGATAGCCGATAGTCAACTTGAACCGCTTTTATCCTTGATTTCGCTCAACGTTCGTGGCAATAAAATACGAGTTCTTCCGGAACAAGTTGCACTCTTGCCAAATTTAGAAAGACTCGATGTGACAAACAATGAACTTGCTGAGTGAGTTACACCAATGTTCTTTCAATGAAGATTTCGCTCTGATGTTTTTAGTTTACCCTCGAAAATCGCTTTGAACAAGAAAATGAAGAGCATCAGCATTATTGGAAATCCTCTAGGAAAGATTCGTAAAGATGTTATTCGTGTAAGTGATACGAGAATTGCGTAACTGATCATCTATTATCTGTCTGTAGCTTGGAACAGAAGCGATAATGAAGTATCTTCGTAATCGCTTGACAATTGATGATGGAAATGGTGGTGGTGATAGTGATGAAAAGAAAACATTTGACATTCCCAAATCAGCAGAAACTGAAGACGAAAGAAAACGTCGTTTATATACCGAACATCATGTGGTACGAAGCACAGGAACATTTGATTTGAGGTAAGAAGAAAGAATACTCTTGTGATTGCATGTGTTTCAACGCTTATTTTAGTCATAAAAATGTATCAAGTCTATCGGATGAATCAATTGAACTTATTTCGAAGGAGAAACCGTCTCATGTAAATTTATCGAAAAATAAATTCACCGGAATGCCTGTTGCGTAAGTTATTCTCCCAATTCATCTAATAATAGTCCGTGTATTTTTCAAGTTAGTCGAAAAAAGTGTAAGAAGGTGAGATAATGTAGTTCAACTTAACCAGAAATAAAGGTGACGGATGTTTTTTAACAATGTGGTGACGGAGAAAGACGAATTGCTGTAGAATGATATTCTACTTTTGAATCCATCTAGATTGGTGAACTTGTCTGAATATCTACTTCATTTGGATATGTCAGCAAATGGATTATTGCAACTGAATTCTGAAGTTGGTCGATTGAAAGAATTACGCTTTTTGGATTTGAGGTAGGAAAACAAGAACTTCATCGAGATAATTCATCATTTCGTTGATCTTAGTACAAATCGTCTGACAGATCTTCCAGTGGAACTCAGTTCACTTGATAAATTACAAATTATAAACTTATCAATGAATAAGTACGTTCATCTTATCAATTGTAAAACAAATACTAGAAATATTTTCATTAGATTTGTTCGATTACCATCGGTTCTCTATGACCTAAAGCATATTCAAGAAATTCTTGCCAACGATAATCAATTAGTCGAACTTGATCCCCATGGAATCGTTAAAATTTCAGCAACATTATGTACATTCAATGTGCGAAACAATAATATTCAACGATTACCAGCGGAATTGAGTAAATGTACCGCATTGAAATCACTTGATGTCGCAGGTCAGTAGTCTTGAGATGTGCAAAGAAAGAACGAAAGTAATGCTGCGTTTCTTTCTATAGGCAATCCATTTAAATTACCACGACCAGCAACGATAGCCAAAGGTACACAAGCTATACTGGAACATTTACGAAATCAATTGATTGAATAATCGCACGAAACTGTAATTTGTTTTTAACATGTGTGTGTGGTAGTTTATTGACTTTTCTTTTATGTAAAAAAAAATAAATCACATATTTGTTTTTTTTACATAAATAACGCGGAGATATGATGTAACGGTCTGTTCAATTGATTTCCTTTGTTGATAAGCAAGTTTTGCTGGCCGTAGAGAAAGATCTGGAAATTTATAGATTTGATCCATTTATGAACGTTGTTTTCTCACGTTGAGATTTCTTTTCTTCTGATTTGTGTCAACGAACACACATCATAAAATCGAGCATCGACGTCATAAACTAGGTTAATTATCGAAGAGAAAGAGATGAAGTTCGAAAAATTTCTTCAACATACTAACGAAATATTTCACTGATACAATATCTCAAGTGAGTTCAATGTGGCAAACAAACTATTGACTTTTTCGTACATTTCACAGCATGATCGCTGATGAGCTTTATTTATCCGTTCAATGTTGTTGATGATGTCTCTCTCATAGATAGCGCGTCGTGTTTGTTATTATTGTGCAAGCAATTTGCGTGTGTAGACATACATTAACATATCAAGCTGAACATTCCATCGCTTTGCATACAGGTCATTTTTGTCTTAATCGAAATTTTGAGAACAAGTGTTAATGTAATAGAGCAGATCGAAAAGAAAAAGAGAAAGATTTGATATCTCAAATGATGAATGTAGTCGGCAATGACTGATGTTAGGTGACAAACCCATGATCGCTCTCTTCCTGTCATCACCTGAAGCCCTGCCGTGTCGATGTTTGATCTTTCTTTTTCAATTACAGTTTTGTGCNCGATCAAAGTTTTACATTGATGAATAATTCAAGTTTGGAAAAATCTTCTTTCTTTCTTATTTCATAAATTTTACCACCCATTGATCTTTGCCATTTTTGACAACTAATTGATCAGTAGTTTCTTCTCTCTTCTTTCGGTTTGATACGAAAAGTCGTCATGAAGACCAGAATAGTTGTCTTATCCAATGACCGATAGTTAATCCGAGATAACTCTCTCTCCTTCTCTCTTACGCTCTCTTGAACAACGGTCAAGAAATGACGCAAACACACCAATCGATTTCTTGAAAGAAATTATGTCGATGTTTAACGATATCGGGTTGGTTGAATTTCGTAATCGAAAAGAGGAAAGCGGGCGGCGGCGAGACGATGAACACGTAATCTCAAGGTCAAGGTGGAACGAGAGAGAGAATAAATTCTCGTTCTCTCTCTCTATTTCTCTCTCTCTCGTTCTCTTTCGCTAACAATTGATATCAGCAAAACTTTTAAGTTTAACGCAACACAATTGTTCAAGCACGCGCACATTGAGCAACAACAACAACAATAACAAAAATCGCGTAATTCTAAGCCAAAGTCTGACGTAAGATACAAACTTTAAAGATTATTTGTTTCATAAGTAAACGAAAGAAGCAAATATAAAGTAAGTACAAATCACATATTCCCTTAATCTATCTCTTCAATATCGTCGATAGCAAAGATCAATGGGTGGTAAAATTTATGAAATAGAAAAAAGAAGATTTTTCCAAACTTAAACTATTCATCCATGTAAATCTCTGATCATTTTCTAGGTTAGTTATCAATGATGCATCCTTCCATTTATCCTCATCACTCAAATGGTTATCCCTCATTCTTATCCTATGCCCCATCAGGCCAACGAAAATCTGATTACGGAATGTCTCTTCATCATCCACATCATTATTTGAATGATTCCATTGGTGCAAATACTTCATCAAGTAGTCCATCATCAAACAACAGCTCGGCACATTTATTATCCTATAGTGGTTACAGCACTGGACTTGATTTATCTTCACATACGAACAATCTCAAACGACCACGAAGTGATATTGACGATGAGGAGAATATGAATCCCAATGAAGAAAGTCAAACATCTCCTTCACCCTCAACATCGATTTTAGGTGATATTACATCGTCGACCAATGGACAAAAGATGCTTCATCATTTCAAACAAGATTACGGACAAAATGAACTTTGCCCGTCATTACCATTTAAAAAACGTGCTCGTGCAGTTCCACCAGAACAAAAAGACGGTGCATATTACGAAAAACGAGCACGGAATAATGAATCTGCTAAACGTTCACGTGATGCACGTCGTCAGAAAGAACAATTAACTCAAGAACGTTTGGCTTGTCTAGAACAAGAAAACGCCCGCTTGATCATGGAGAACCAAGCACTACGCTACCAACTTTCTCAACTTCATGCGTTGTGCGGTGTTTCCAAAACCCTCCAATGAGACTTTCATACCCAAGCCCTTTCTTCTATTTTTTTTTCGTTTTTGTGTGTTTGAAATTCTTAAATAAATATATAGTTTGTTACGTTATTCATTGAAAAGAAAACGGATTTTTCCTTCTCTCTTTTTTTTTCGTATCGCCTGCAGGTAGTAATGAGCTCAAGTGGACAGTGCTCAGATGGCCTACTGCGTTTTCGAGTGCTTGAGACAAACAATACAACTACATGACTTCCCGTCGTGTTCAGTCATCCATCATCAGAAGTGTGTGACATTTTTTTTTCTTCTTCTCTTTATTAACCAACAACGAATAGAGAGAGAAAAACAAAACAAAATGACATTTTATGATCGATGTTTCAATTCTTCCAATGCCGTCATATCATTTTCTAAACGAAGATGAATATATCGATCAATCAAATGAAGAATTTCGTTCTCTTACTTCGTCTTGATGCTAATTGATCAGGATCACCAAATAGAAGTGGATATGAACGACTTACACTTAACGCTGATGTGTATTTCAATGATTGTTTTAATAATGAATCAAGTTCCTGACGTAATTGCATTTCTTTCTTCTGTATATCCTTTGTATTTGCTCGTTTTGCTACTTCAATGTCTCTATAATTTATTCCAATATGTCAATTCAAAGAAGCTAAAGTTCATGTTAATTATCTTACTGGATATTGTCATCTAATTCGATGTCTAATTCCTTCGCTGCTTTATGATACCAATTGGTTTCATTGGCCACTTTAGCTGCTTGATGATGCAGTTTAGAAATCTCTGTTGCGAGACGTACGCGTCGTTTTAGATTTGTTAAATATGTATTATCGACAGGAAATGTCTGAAGATCTTCATCTGAAAAGAAACTCAAACTCTTCGGTAATGAAATTCAAATTGACTTGTTCGTCTTACCGCGATTCAGTGTTTTGATTATTTTTCGATAGAGAAACAGTTCTTCGGGACAGATGAACATGACACTCAAACCTTCACGTTCAGCACGCGCTGTTCGACCACTACGATGAATGTATAACTAAATACAACTCTTATGTCATTGAAATTTTTATTTTTTTCGAATCCAACTTACTTCAGTCGATCTTGGCACTTGATAATGAATAATATGGTTGATATTCGGAATATCCAAACCACGTGCAGCAACATCGGTTGCGATTAACAAACCATTCGGGGATTCTATTGATTAGAAAAAGAAAGCGAACTTGTTGCGATTCGTGTCTTTCGAAACTGATTTACTTGAGAATTTTTCTAAATTAGTCAATCGTTGTTTTTGTTCCATTTGAGCATGTAATGGCAATGGATTTCTCTTTAGTATTGTTAAAATCGATTGTAGCCGTTTGATACAATCAATACTATTGGTGAAAATCAATGTTCGACCGGGATATAATGTTAGAAAATAATACAAATATAAATCCTACGAAGTCAAGGCGTTTTTGTTTTCGAGTTTTTTGCTTTTTTATTCCACAAACCTTTTCTTCCAAGGCACAATTGACTCGCGCTTCAGTTAATTTTTCAGCTGTTCCAAACTTTTTCGTTAAATCAATTATCTTCGGCTTAGCGCTCATACCAACAGCGGATATTAATGTTGCTAAAATCGAACACATGTCAAATATAATAAAAGATTAAATTGATTGTAAACAAACCCAGTTTATCTTGATTATCTCCTTTTTTCTTTTGTTTTTTCTTCTCGTTATCATCCGTCGGTTGTAACATAAGTGTAGCCGAGAAAACAAATTTCTGACGTGATTGATTATTATCATCACTAATAAAATCAAAGATTAGAATGATGAAACGATCAACAGACGAACTTACTTGTTGATTAAGCTCAGAATTTTTTCGAGCTCTTCGAAGTGACCTTTTTCAATCATTCGATCAGTTTCATCAATCGCCAAAAATCGAAGATTGGACATATCAGTAATATGTGAATTATTCTAAAATCCCGAGAAATATTCCAAATTAGGAGTTTCACGAGATGCAACTTTATACCTCTTCTAATAGTTCCCAAAATCGACCAGGTGTAGCAACGATGATTTCAGGCTTTTGCGATAGTAAACGTTCTTGTTTTTGTGTGGACATGCCACCGACAAGAACTGCAGTCTAGATTGATTGAATTATAGGAAAAACAAAGGAATTTTGATTTGTTTTACTTTTAGTTTTGTGTAACGAGATGCAATCTGTATATGAGATTTGATTTGAACGGCCAATTCACGTGTCGGTGTGAGAATTAAAGCGATAAATTGTCCATAAGATATCTGAAGAGCAATATTGTTTGATGTATCCAATAGAAAAAAATGAATTTACTTCATTATCTTCTAGTAATTGATTCATATGCGTCAAAATGGGAATGGCAAATGCCAATGTTTTTCCACTTCCCTAGATTTCACAAGAAAATGAATTTACAATTCGAAAAACAGATATTCGATTTACTGTTTCTGCAGCACCGATTATATCTTGCTTGTCACGAATAGCAGCTGGTAGAGTCGAGCGTTGTATTGGCGTGGCATCGAAGAATTTTTGTTCGACTAATGAACGAACGATATTGTCGGGAACATGAAGATCAAACCAGAGTTTTTTCGCTGTTTCTATTCGTATATATCAATACAAATCGATTGATGAAATCGAATCTTAGCTTACCAATATCATCTGTCGGAGAAGTTGCTTCTACTTCTCGTGGTTCTCGCTCCTTGTTTTCATTAGTTATTTGAAGTGCTGATGTTGCATTTGTTTCGTTTGATCGTTTCTTCTTCTTGCTCTTCTTTTTCTTCTTTGCTTTCACTTCTGAAATGAAATATATCCTTCGATGAAATCTTATTCGAAATGCAAATTAGAATATCACTTTTGATAGGCGTTTCAATCTCCTGTTCAGCTTCAACGGCATCAACTTTTCGTTTCTTCTTATTCTTTGTCTTCACTTCAGCATCATCAGTATTCTAAATAAAGAAACTCATAGAGATATCGTATCCTTGTGCAATGAGAATTCTGCATACATCATCATGATCATCGTTCGTTCCAGGTATTTCACGCCAGCATATGAAACCCATACCACGCATCTTTTCATAATTAGGCGCTACATCAAACTCATCATCATCATCGTGGTCAGACATCTGCAAAATTCAAATCAATTAGTACACAATCACCCCGATTGATTCACTTCTCGAAGGAAATTTTCAACACAACAAAAAAAGAAATCAGTTTATGAAACAATCATTTCAACATTCTGCTAATGTCCTAATTGATTATGAACTAAACATACTATGACATACCTGTAGTTTATGTTCACTGAATGGTGTTTAGATGAATATCTACAGAAAACAAAGTCAATCATGTTATTGTTGTTCGCATGATTACGAGATGAAAACGAGAGAATCAAATATATGTATATAATTATGTGCTCTGTGTTTAGTGTTGTTGAAGAATTTTTGTTTTATACATAATAACAAATTATGGAATTTGAAGTAATAATAAATAAATGAATGAATGAATGAACGAATAAGAACAAAGACAGAAAAATGCCAAGAAAGAGCATATCATTTCGAAAATGAGATTTCGAACAACAAAAGAAGAGAAACAGATCAAGAAGATAAGTAGTACAAACAACTTGCGACAATCATAGACATACAGAAAATAAAATTTGATGAGTCAAGTTTAGAAGAATAAAACCGGGTCGATGGTTATTGTGTAGCAATCTTATCGAACTGATGGTGGTGGTGTTAAAAGTGAAAAATATTGATGAAGTGTATCTTTAATTGCGTTACAGATTTGTTGCGAGGGTGATGTTGTACATTCTACTAAACATGGATATAATGCAATTAACTGATGCCAGATTGCAATTTCCACTAGAATAGAAAAAGAACTGAATTGTGTTTTTTGTTTTTGATGAAGAGATACGTACCGGAATCTTTGGGTGCTCGTTTCAATGCACCGATCAATGTACTTAGTGCTTTGAGTACAGAAATCATTTCAGCTGTGCGTGGTCTAAAGAAAATTAGGAATCGTAAGTGAAAATTGACTTAATAACAAAGCGATACATCTCATATTCGCAAGAATTAATACAACTAAGCACCCACGTGGAGCAGATGTAAGAAAGAACTTTGACAATCGACCGATTAACATGCATTAGATAGCCTTCTAGGTTCGTGATTAATATTCTATCTGCTAGATGAACACTTTTTTCAAACAAATTTTTATTGAAATCAAAGAAATTCTTGCATGAGATTTCAGACATGTGTGTATGGTTTCAAACATGCATGTAAAAGTGCTACAGAGAGTCATATGCAGCTGGGGATGTTTTAGAAGCTATGCACATGTTCGCTAGGGAGAAAAATGAACTTACGAAAAAGGAGTTAAGCTGTTGTGATTGTGGTTGACTGCTCCAACGACGGGTTCGAGATTATCACTACTGCAAAAAAGTCAACAACAAGCCTGACTCGATTATTCGTACGTGTACTAATTGACTTCTCCGGGGAAAAGCATTGTCTCATATTATTTCAAGAAGAAAACAAGAATTTGTATCACCTACCGTGGCAATGGACATTTGCCATGCAAGCGTTCGTCATGGGCATATTTCTGTAAGATTTCTTTGCAACGATTCAACATCGAACTTAAAGCAAGACGTGTGATGACCACATTGTCACTTGTTGATGATGGTTCGTTTATAAAGGAATATTTGAGTAAAGTTTCGAAACAGATCTTCGAAAATTCTTCTCGTAATCGACGAGCAGAATCGATATCTAAATGGAGATGAAAGAACAACAGTCTTAAGAAGATTGATCTGATTGGAATTGTATACCGATGAAGTTATCTGTAGCACATGAATAGATTGAACCTCGATTGAGTATATTCAAGATTTTTGTTATGAATGATTCTGGTAAAACATTAGTGTAAGGTAAAATATCATCGCGAATTAATTCAATTGTCTATGAAAGAGAATTTTCATCGTTATCATTGATGATAAATTGCACTTACTTGACAATCGATCGCTTCGTCTCGTTGAATTTCTTCTATTGGGATGTCTGCTGGAGGAACACTAAAAATGTAAAAATAGAGAATGAGTTTTACTAATTACTAACAATATACCTTTTTGAGAACAGGAAATCATCAAATGTTTTCGCCAGCTCTGTCCACATGCTTTCGAATGCATTGCCTTTGGAAATAAATCGATAGAATTCAGAATGAATATATTCAGATAATTCTTACGATGTTTTCGCGCGACAACAAGTCCAACCTTTAATACACGAAAGAAGCATTCAATCGCTAATTTCCAAGTTGATGAACTTGGACAATTATATTTCATCGATAATGGTATTTGTAATGTCTAGAAGAAGCAAAATGTATATTGAAAAAGAACTACAATTCATCCCACTTGAATAATGGTTTGTAAAGTGCCATTTTCAATGACTGCTGGATTATCAGCAAGATCTTCATAAAAATTCACCGTCATCCGAAGGATTTTCTCACTAAACGGCACGAAATTCACATTGGAGTCGCTCGTTTTGCCATTGGATTGTTGTTTATTAATTGAAATCTTCTTAATTTGTTCTGTACAATCAAATACTGGTGGATTGATTGCATAAAGGACCAAGACGAGCAAACGTTTGAATACAATAGGTAAAAGTGCAGACGCATTTGACGATTTCGTTAATTCAACTTTGAGATTTCTATAAACAAATTCCATTGCTTTGTATGCTGATTCTTGTAGTAAAGTTAGATTGACATCTGTTGGAATCAAAAATAAAGCCATATCTGAATGTATTGGAACAGCGAGTACGCGTTCGATAATCGTTGCAAATTGTTCGAAATGCTTTTCATTCTGAATAAAATCACATGACCAAATATGAGTGATTAAATTTGGAAAGATGTCAATATAGAATGTCAGGAAATTTTGTGAGGGAATATTGGAATCATAACGATCGATGATTATAATACGTTCGGGTGGACAGCGACTGCATCCGTTGCCAATGTTCAACCAAACTTGCCAAGCTTGCTGCCAAAGTTGTTGATCATGTGACGACAAGGGTTTCTTCGGTGATTGCGATGATGAGGAGGAACTAGCCGGAACATTGACAAGATCATTGAAACTTTTCAATGCAGCAAGAGCTATTTCAGGATTTTTGGCCAACGCCGATTTTTCAATGTTAGTTAGAAGAACGTTCCAGACTCGAGGAAAGTCATCTGTGAAAAACAAAGAAGAAGTTTAGATATATAATCAAATCCGTTGAGAATATTTACCCAATTTAGCAAGGAAGTCTTTTTTTACTTGAACTGTTCGAGTCACACCTGCTAAGATCATCACATACGTTTCAGCCCACTGTTTTTCTGGTGTATCTCGCGAATGATGCATTAGTATTTCTTGGCCACCCGTTGACGATTTCGACATTTGTTGTTGTTGTTGTTCTCTTTCTTTCGATGCCGTGTAAAAGAACTGTTCCACTTGTTCAAATAGAGGAAATAGAACTTGCCAGATGAGAATACTCCAAGCACCTGTGCTCAGCAACTGCCCGTGAGATGTTATCATTGTGAATAACGTGGATGAAGCAGATTTACGTATTGCTGGACGTTGATCGATAGTTAATTCGCTTAGTTTCCGATATAGAATCATCCATAATTCTTCGATCGCTGTTAAATTATCATAGATTTCATTAGGATCCAGATAATCATTCACGTTTTTTAATTGATGTTCTTGTTCTTTCATACGAAACAGATAATCGGTCATATTCCAAAGTAGACCGATAGCTGACAGAGCAATGTTTAAATCTTGCTCTTGAAAACCGAATTTGGCTACGACTTTAATGAGAATACCCAAATAACAAATTGGAATCGTCGATAGAAAATCAGTAACGACCAATTGTAAACATTGTTGAGCTTGACGTATCAATGAATCATTATGTTCACGTGTTATCGATCCGATGATATTCAATCTAAAATCAGATTTCAACTTATTCTTTGGTTTTCACAATAAGAAAAAATAGTCTTTTACATGATCGGCCAGCCTGTCTGTAATGTTGGCCCGTTATTCGTTAGAATGGATAATGTTGCTTCGAGTTGTTTTTGTCGGACATCGAAATGTTGAATTAATGATAGTTCATGTAGTGACAGAATAATCATATGTAATAAACGTTCATTATCAAAGAGACTTTGTTCATATTTATATTCCAAAGCATTGCGAACCAGTGAGGTCAATGCTTCTGTACCCCATTCACGCATACGAGGATTGGTATGTTGACAAACCTTTAACAGACAAGGAGAAAAGATGAATAATTTCAAAGACATGTAAGATTGTGTGGAAATTTTACATCAAGTAAATGTGAGGAAATTGGTTTCCACCAAACACCAATACGATTTAGATTAGCTCGGCCGGTTTCAAGAATTTTTGCAATTGCAAATAGAGATGGTTCACGAACGATGATCGCCACTTCCATTGACTCAATACTTAAACGTATAAGTGCATCAATTAAATGATGTAGTGCTACATCATCTAGATAAACACTGGACTCGAATAAGCGCGAAAGCATCGACGATAGAATCGGCAAATCCGCCATAGCTGCTGTTGTCACCACAGCCGATGAATTAGCCATCGGTGCCGCGTCAGTATTAGCAATTGTTCCAACGTGTTTAAGGGTGCCACCAGTAGAGGGTTTAAACCCAATAATCCAAACAAGATGTTGAAGAGTTGTGAGAATTAAATGCCACGATGTACCAAGTATACCTCCGTAGCAGTGTGCAACTGACAGAAGTGTTCGCATACAATGAATATTTTTCGATGTCAACTAAATGATGAAGCAAAATGCAATTGAATTCATCTGTTTTCAGATCATCATCGACATACCATGACAGCAGTTTGATTTGTTGCTGGAGTTGAGTTTAGAAGTGGTAAAGGTGTTCCAATGATAACCACTTGTTGCCTTTCAAAATCACCACCGCCAGATCCATCTGCACTTGTTCGCGCTGTTAATTTTTGTAATAAACTTTGTTGCTGCTGCTGTTCACTATTTTGTTGCTTGCTTAACAGATGAATATTGTACTGTGGTGGTAATGCCATTTTACAGAGACAAGTCACAAATGCATCACGTTGGACATTCATTCCAAGCATACCACATAGGGAGATATAAGTTTGAAATCCTCGTAAAAGCAGTTCGCATGTTGTATCATCATAACATACGTCATACAAAAGTGTAAACGTTACTAGAACACTTGACCATGTACAATTAACAACTTCGACACATTCATGTCGTTCAGCATCTGTTAAACTGTCTAATGGACGTAATTGTCCTGATGTACGCAATTGTGTTCCGGCAATTGTATCACCACGCATACCTGAACCTTCAATGATCGATTGCACAGCTCGAACCAATTCAAGCATACAGGCATAAGCAACAACGATTCCATACGAATCGGGAATGAGTGGACAATCGAACTTCTCCCAGTTTTCGACATACACAGCTTTTGCTTGACCTTGTGTATAGGTGACATACTGTGGTACCACAGAATTTCTGTACGCGAAAAGAACAGTATTTGATGAACCTGCAGCACCATTGGCAAGATTGGATGCGTTGGAATTGTCTAATTTGGATCCAGTGCTAGTTCCGGAAGCTAGAATAAAGAAAAATATATATGTATGTGGTTATTCATAGATCGGTTGATCTTGCTAAAGGATAGTGTACATTTCTTATCTGAACTAGCAGCATTAGTGGCATTTGCTTGTCCACTCGTTGTTGAAGAATTCGAGGAAATGGGTATACTATTGAAATACGACTGCACATAAGAACTAAAGTCGCCAAAAGAAATAAAATTATTTATTTTATACAAAAGCGTGATGCTCTCAAACCTGATGGCATTTGTCAAATCTCGTAAAATCTTGCTGGCGTGTGGCTGCATATCATACGATAAACAGAATAATTCTATTAAATTCTGTTGAATGATGATTTTGTGAATACATTCAATCGCCAATGATCTCTGCCAAACAGGTTTATCAGGTTCGAGTAATTTAATCAATAGAGATAAGAAGATTTCACATTCTGTTATTAATAACGTAAAATAGAATCGAATTAGGATACAAACAACACGTAGAAGACGTGCTATCAATGGAAAGTAAGCGTTATCATAAGTTGTATTGGAATTCGATCCACTTGAAAGATTGGAATTTGGATTTGAATGTTTGGCGCCCGGAGAAAACAGTTTAATAATCAATGGTGACACTCGTTCTTTCAATAGATAACGAAATTCATTATGACGATGAAAGATGGGCGCATAACCAGTTAATATCGTCTCGATTAATTCCAGTATCAAAGTACGGGTGATTTCTGTTAAACCCACTAACCATATCGGCTGTTCACCGTTAATCAAATAGCAAAGATCTTGAAATAGAAGATAAGCATCTCGAGCATACGGACGTAATGTATCAGCATTGTATTGTAACTGTTGTTGCTGTTTTGAAAGATCAGCTTCTTGATTGAATTGATCTAAAGAAAGAAACCGGATGATGAAATCATTTGTGTGTATGTGTGTGTGTCTTACCACCGGATGATGCATATTGAGCATCTTCTTCTTTAACACGATCGTACACAGCTGTGACGAGTTGTCGGACAGCAGCTGTTGAAGTATTTACAATAGTTGGATCTTTGCTGAAGCATAATCGAAATGTAATGACGAATAACTATTAAAATAGTAAAAAAAAATGCAACGTGTATGTGATTTTAAATCAGTTGTTGTTTTACTGTAGCCAGTGTATTATGGACAACGACGGATGTTGTATTCACAAGTAGAAGAACTGTTTGTAAAATTTTCAATTCTTCCGTTTGCAATTCACACAGAGCACTCAAAACGTTAACAATCGTTGCTGCCGATGCCTACAAAAGTTGCATATCGAACAAAATTCTCGTTCATTGTCAGTATTTACTTGATTAACAATATGATGTTGAAGTAATTTTTGTATTGAAGTCAAACATAATTGAACGATCTTAACTTGTTTCGTATCACAGCCCAAGACAAATGGTTGTAATAGATCAACACTAGCATCGCGCATGACTACAACATGACTTTCAAGTATTTCGTAATGTTCTGAAGTTGTTATCTGATTATACCTGTGCTCAAATTGTCCTTCATCGTACTATATTCTCGTAGTTTCATGTTACATGCTTCCGCTGCCTAAAAACTCAAGTGTCTTGATGAATTCGAATAATTAGCAGAAGCTTACCTCTTTTATAGGTGGATATTTTTTCTTCGTTTCAGTTGATAGTTGACGAAGATCACCAGATAAGTTATTGATAAGTTTTTGGAGGATACTATGGCTATCACTCGCCGAGCTAGCCATGACTAAGATTCTAGAATAGGTACATATTTAATCTTTCAGCTTGCGGGTGTATTCAAAAGAAATTAGAGCGATTCCTCGTCAAAATCAAAAGTCATTATCCATGTTTTGCGCTCTCAGCCACATCACACTCGTTCCATCGAATGAGTGAGTCAATTAACCACGGATTGGACGACACTTTCGACACAGTTGTCAGCAGATGGAGTGAGATACTGTTGTCATTGAATTAAGGTACAATCTCACATAAGTGTTCAACTACGATATTTTTATATCCAAAAAATATGTTTGACATGACTAAACAAAACAAAACAAAACATTTTGAACGAAAACAAAAACGCCTTATAATTACAAACAAAAAACAGTTGTGACATTTCACATCTCTACCTATCTGACATCTTATACAATAACATTGAATGAAACTATAGAAATTACAATGTTTTTAAACCCGACTCGATTTCTTTCAATGCCGAAAGAAGAACTGCTCGTTTATGCAAAGTTAACGCAGATGTTGGTGAATTCTCATTACTATTCCGTGGTCCAAAATATGGCCGAACAAATTGAACTTCATCATGCATAACAAATATTGGCGTTGAATTCATATTGGCTTTTGTTGGCGACGTTGTCGATAGATTATCTTTTTGCAAGACGAATGACGATAATGGCACGGTTGTTCGACCACGACCGATGCTTACGTTCGGTCGACAATCAGTTGGTAATGTAGTATTACCATGTTCTATTCCTGTCGACGTCGACGAACTCTTGGCAATTGGCACATAAGTTCGATTGGAAAATTGAAAACGCACTTCGGATGGCGATGATGGTTTCGCAATTGCAGGTTTCATTTGTTCATTTAATAGAGAAATGTCTTTGGCTCGTTGAGAGAAAAATCTCGTATCTACATTCTCTTTCGGTCGTGCTGATGTCATCATTGATGCTGTTACATTCATCTACAAGCATTGAAAATTTCATCATAAAATGCTTATATATTCATATAAAGAGATTCGTTGAACTTTTTTAACTGATGACGACACACGTATTGGAAAAAAAAGACAAAAAGAAAAACTGATTATCACGGTTAAACAATGGATGAAACAAAATAAAACAACTTTTCACAATTAGATCATGTAGAAAAAAGAAATGTTGCGCATCTATGGTATTTTTGTCGATGATCATCGTACCATTTGCACCAATAAGTACCTTTCGGATAATATTTCGCGATGGTGTCTTGAACGTTTTCTTGCAATTCAATGCCTGCATAGTATTCATGAGGTTTTTTTACGTGTTCCAATTTGAGACTAACTAATTTCGGCATTGACCGAAGAAGATCATCGAGGAATGGCAGTTTCGTTCGATAGATTTGCATTTTATATGTCGTGAAAATCAATGCAAATATCTTTATCTGACAAAAGTATGAGAAAAAAGATTCCAGAAGACGTTCATCAAACTGACGAACGGTTACACGTTGAAGTTGAGCAAATGTTGCTAAAATCCGATGGTGAGTCTGTTGGCTAACCATTGAAAGGATTTGCATTAAATAGAAATGATCTATATCAAGTTCGCGAAGGTTCAAAGTCAAAAGAAAAAGCGGTTGAGGCACGTGACAACCATGTTTAACACTATCACGAATAATTAACTTCTTGACTGAATCTAAATGAAAATCAAGTTGAACTTTTTCACTGAAAGACAAATTCTATTTACTTAGTCGGATATGATATTCATGTAGTTCATCGTCTTCTGGTGTTAGACTGAAATGTGGAACTTGATAATCGATTGAACGTAGTTTCACGAAGGTTTCTTGGATTGATTTTAAAAAGATGGGATTGTAAATATTCACATGTAATGTCAAATGATGTACACGATGCCAATAGTTGAAACGAGAATGTTCGTGATCTGCATATTGAATTTCGTCAAAAAATGTCTTTTCAAAGATTTCAAAATGATCGAATGCGAATGGTAGAGAAAAGATTTGTCCGATATCTTTGGATAATACACATGCGATATTTTGACAAAAATTTCTCTCTATTAAAAACTTTGTTTTATCAAAATATGTTGTTGGATTACCAAAACTATCCGAAGTGATTAGACGAATATAAAAATGAAATGTTTGCAGATCGCGAAGACAACCGAAAAATTCTGATGAGAATGTATCTGATGCATAGAATGGCCATTGGTAATCCTGAGTATAGATCAATAAATGTTGAATATGCTGATTAATTTCTAAAACTAAACGTCGTAAATGAATCGACGGCATAAGTCCATCGTATTTGAATTGTTTTAAACATGAGAGTGGCTCGAGCAATGATAAATCATTGGATATATCTCGACCACGATCATCAACTTGAACATTGCATTCGATGAGATTTGGTAAATAGTAAAGAAGTGGAAGAAGATCTACGAGACATGTGAAATCAAAGATAACAAGGTTTTCAGAGAACGATGTTTACCATGATCGAATTTTAAATGAATTGTTAGATGAGTTATCGAATAACAACCACTCATTAGATGTTGAGCAAAGACGTATGGAGCTTTACCTTGAAACAATAATGATGTATTGAACGAAAATGTTCGTGTTGCGTACCTGTGATTTGTAGCTTTTGAACGGGAATATTCTGTACACAGAAGGGCATTTCTTCGTCCCATCCTCTTATGTGTTCGTCGATTATTAAGTTGATTCTGTCGAACCATTGTAAACGATTATAAGCGAGAAACATCTGTAGGATATCAACGATAGTCTTCGAATCAATCAAATGCACCGTCAACGAATCGAGACGTAGTAATTGAAATTGATTCAAAATATCGACTTGTCCATAGTGATAATCGCTTCCGACTTTGAATGATGTGATAGTTGATTTAAATTTTGGTAAGATATCTTTTAAAAAAAGTTTATAAGTTGAATAGCCCGTGTGATTGAGATCGAGTTGAGTTAAACGACAACCTGGTTGAAGATAATAATAAATGATCAAAGAAAAACGTTGATTTAAGTTACAAAACGCTACTAGGATCTCGATCGATGTTAAATAATCAAATATCGACATTAACAATTCCGTGCTAAGATCTTCTAAACATGTGGTCAGTTGCGAACTTTTCGTTTCACTCATATTGTTGTATTCAATAAGAATATCAGTTCACATTACATACGAAATATCTATCTATTAACAAAGTATCTTGATTGGGGATCGAAACGCGCGAAGTTTATTTTGAGATGTCATCAGTGTATGGTACAAATCTAAGTACAGTTATACGTATAAATATGATGAAAGAATATGTCTGACATGTAATAGCGTGTGAGAATGAGTTATTTTTAGATTAAAAAAAAACCACGGAGACACAGTAAAAAACGTTTGCTTTTCTTATTATCAACATTGCTGTTTATTTCATTGTATCGAAAAAAAAGTCACCTGTAGCGTAAAGTACACACATATTTAGTTCAAGAATCTTGAGAATGAATTGCTGTGACTCGGCTATGGGGAAGAGAACGTGAGGAATCTGTTTGTCGATGTTATCGAAATACGCAGTTCGTTGTGTTTCATTTTCGTCTTTCGCAAGATAAGGAATATTGAAAGGCGATGATATTTTTACTTTTGAGTAAAAGCTATTCAAAGTATTATACGGTCTATTAGTCTAAAGTCCAATACTCGAAAGCGGAGCATTACATCGATGACAGATCATCATATACTCGGCTTTTTGGTGAAAATATCGCTATCTTTCAAATTGCATGCATTAAAGACGTGTTCGATGAATAATAATTAAACGTTTTTCCACCTACCAGATAAAAGTTATACAATTAATCAGAATAAACGTATCGTTATCGATGTTTTCTTCACAGGATATTTTTAGCACTGACATAAATCATCAACGTTGGTATATGTACGCTGAGAGGGTTTTGTTCTTGGTAATTACATTCGACAACGGAAATTTTGTATAGTGAGTTAACGCGTACCTTTTACTTTTGCTAGTACCTACATTCGGTGATATGCTAAATATAAAGATGTATATTGGTTCTAAAGTCTGTCCATTTCGTGATAGCGTTCGGTATCAAAGGGCGATTTCCCTGCTCTACCTTTTTTCTCCCATGTTTGCTCTATGGGTACGATACAATGAATCAATCGTTGATTTTAGTTACTTGCTGTGCCATCGTTCTTTTCATGTTTTTTCTCTATAATTTTTTTTTCTATTACTCGTAACTGTAAATCTGTACTGATCATAAGCTGACTGCATGTTTTGCCTCTTTCTCTTTCATACACACCTCTATCAATGGGGGTGTGTTCTGTTCTGTTCTGTCGAAGGGTGGGGCATGGTCCAATGCATGTTTCTTTCTTTTCTATATACGCCTCCTGCGCGTGATCACCGACTGACACTGTGTATGATCACGCGTTGAATGAATGCAATGCTTGAGTTTCTTTCTCTTATATGCTTATTTGCACAGTTCAGACATAGACATTAGTTAGCTATACTCGATATATATATATATATATATATATAAATATATGATTCAGCTCTCATCATCTATTTCGTCACTTAGTTTCAAAAGAAATATAAAACAAAGCGAAGAGGTCTTACTACCTGAAATTACATCAGTTTTACTTTCAACACAAACTAATTCTAATACGACATTTGATAACACAATGAATACATCAGAAAGAGGCATTGTAAGTATTGGAAATGGAATTGTAATCTATGAGTTGCTATTTCTTCTTACGATTTCTTAGTCGCCTACTGTCACCGTTCAAGATGCTGAACTGTTGCTATCGCTCAGTTCAAATATACCGAAACCGCGAAAACTACATCCAAAATTTCGACCGGTAATTGACAAAACTTTCTAATTTTCATAGATTCTTAGAAAAACAACTTTCTTTGTGAATTTTAGTACTCACACGATCCAACAGCAACTTCGTTTCCTTCAATCACTAATTTGACATTATCAAATAATTTAGAGCCTATGCCACGATCAAGTTCATTATCTTCTACATCGTCAGATGAATCATTTTCGGATATCTCATCTACATCATGTACTTCACCATTTCCATCATCCAATGATGACAGTCAATCATCTATAAATTCCTCAACCACAACCAAACGCTCGACTCCGTCGTATATTGATAACAATTCAAATTCTGAATACCATATCCTCTACGTGAATCTCAATGGTGAATATGTTCCCGTGGCAAAAACATCTTTTGCAATCGAAACTTCACAGGAATTACCCAATTCACTTGCATCACAACCTAAATCAGTATCACCATTAACAGTAACTACAGATAAAACATTGTTACCAACCGATCGCAAGAAGAATTATACTTGTGCCTACTCTGGCTGTGGTAAATCCTATTTCAAATCTTCTCATCTTAAAGCCCACGTTCGTCTTCATACTGGTAAGTTTCATTTTCATCGTGTAGAATCATTATTTTTTTTTAATAAACGAAAGCTGTTTCGTTTTGTTGCTTCGTCATATTTTTCCAATGAAAGAGAATCCCTCTTAAAAGCTGCCCTTTTCGATTGAAAATGCCAACTAGCTTTGACTTATTTCATGTCATTAAATGACGTCAAGCGAAAAGGAAGATAACTGTACCCATCATTTTCTCTCCGTTGCTTTTAAATGCGAGAAAATAACGCACTTGGAAGTACGACAGTTGGAAAAAGAGAAAAGAATAGAAGAGAACGACGTATATAACTAAAAATAACATTTGTTGATTTTATTTCGTCTATCTAATTTTTCCTTTTATTTAGGCGAAAAACCATTTTCATGTTCGTGGCCAAATTGCGAAAAAACATTCGCTCGATCGGATGAATTAAGTCGACATCGTCGTACACATACTGGTGAAAAAAAACATGTTTGTGCTGTATGTCAAAAAGCCTTTATGAGAAGTGATCATCTGGCCAAGCATCAAAAACGCCATACTAAAACATCGACATCATCATGATAACAGCGACAACAACAAAAAAAGAAGATAACATATCATTGCCAACACAGGAACTTGTTCTTTGCTATCTTTCGAACTAGTCAATCAAAACATACGATGCTTTTTTTTCTATACACATAATACGTTATATAGACTAGAGAAAATTCTTATTGTTTTTCACTGTTTTACCATTGTATGCGTGTGATTATGTATATATTTTGTTTATATACCAGATCGACATAAACAGTTGTTTTTGTTATACATATAAATCTCTCGATCGGTAGAAAAAACCGGGCCAAAANTTTCTATGCAAAGTCGAAAACGAATACAAACAATGATATGCATTTGGTCTTATGAGTCGTACCGATTTTGGAAATGAGATTGCTCTGTAAATAGAGAATACGTAATTCTCGACACCATTTGTCTAAATGTTCGATTCTGCAAAGAGGCAGTAGGGTGTGTACATTGTTTGCAAAGTAAAATAGTCATATGTTTTACCGTTCAATATCTTGTTGATGAAGTGACACTTCTTCAAGTGTCGATAACTCGCCTTCGTTGTGTTCCGCTCGTTTTCGTATAAGACTTTCGGTAACTACGAAAATCGGGGTAAGTCAGATGTTTGAGATTGGTGTGAAATAAACGATGACTTACTGAACACCATGGTTGACTTTGTTTTCTTTGGAAAGTAAAGCACGTGAAGATGACAGACACAGAATGAAATACTGAATAGGGCTGAAGCAACGTGTCACTTAGCATTTACCTCTGTTGTTACGAGAAACCGAAGAAAGTAGATGTCGCAAATCGATGTGGTCAAGCCACATGCCACTATATAGCGTCAGTTATGTGCTAATTGGAAATATTTACAAGAATAGTTCGTCTCGTGGCCGAGAGTGTGACTTTGAGTGAGATAGAACAAACAAATTGAGATGTAGGGGAGTAAACGCTACTTTCGACTGTTGCTGAAGAAACTCGCAGTTAACGTGCGCCAAAACAACACGCGTCTATACCGCACATTGTTTTTCTCTCGAGCTCCTTGAATTTCGAGTCTCACTTTCGAAGGTAAAGCTTCCAAAGTTCTGGTGCCAATTTTGTCTACCAACATTTTGATATAGGAAAGAAATGAATAGATATGAGTCAATGTTCGTTGGAAGAAATTCGCTAAAATTAAAATGTTTGATGTTGATTTGAGTCGATGAATTTTCCTGGCAGTAACTTCTCTTCGCATAGATTTAAGGTTTCATTTTTATCTTATGGAACGTTTGTTTGTGGCAGCTTAACCAACTTTACATATGCAGGTTTATCTTTATCCACGAATATTGAAACTGTAGTTTATATAACTATAACTTTTTGCTGAAATGTAATACTTTTTATAGAGAAAACAGTGAATAATTATTTTAGAATCGCTGTCTCTTTACCCTTTTGATGTACTATCAAACATAGGTGTATGAAAAATTATATCAATAGGCAGTTATAAGTTACTTGCCTGACTGAAAACATCCAATTCATTTTTCTATGCAATGTTCCAAAGTGTTCGGAAATGTTCAACAAGGTTTTAAACATAGTTCACCATTATTTAAATAATTTCTTTTGTATTTATCTTTCTTTTTCTTTCAAACACAAATTATTTCGTCTATTTGGACTGATTTTCTTCAGTTGTCTATAATTCGAAAAAACTTTGCAAAAACTCGATTCTTATATGGTTGGATAGTACATTGACTACTGTATCAAATTATGTAGTTTATCGATGAGAACCTAGCATGACAAAACGATGTGTTAGCTTCACAGCGATCGCTAATTATGGCTTTAAGCGCATCTACCAGATCCAGCTGACGGAACACATAAACATCGATATTGTATCCAACTGAATCCAAATATGGAATTGGTGAGCATATAGGATAAAACATATTAACAATAATATTGCATGTTTAATTGTTTTATCTTAAGTTACTATTTTTGCCCTTCGTCGTGACTGCTCGCATTTGTATATCACAGTTATTATATTGTAAGAAACTAATCGGAAGTTAGCTGATAGCAGGGCTATGGATGTTTTAAAGTAAGTCACTGCAGCGTTCTTGTAGATTTCATAATTATCGTTAAAACCATCTGTTTAGGGATATTGAAAAGCGGTTTAACTTTTCCAATAAGCTAAACGTCTTGTTTCCTAAGAGAATCGATAACATTTAGTGTTTCGAAGGTTTTCCACGTTTTCTTATTTATTAAAATACCATGGGGTAATCAATTCATCAAAATGAATTGACAGCAAATTGTTAGAGCACCTCGATGACGGAGTTGTCATTGTATTTATATGAAAGATGGTGAATGTTCTAACTCATCCTTCAACACAAAAACCGGATACGCAGCTTAGGGATAGCAATTTAACTTAACTTTAAAGGTTCTAGTTAACGTCACCTCTGCAGTAAACCGTAGCTGAATTTTCATAGTTTTTGGCTTTAAAAAGAAATAAAAGATCATGTAACTGTTTTTTTCGGGTTGAGAAACGATCATTTTTGTTTTTGTTTTATCTATCATCGAATAAGATTTGAAAAAATGAAACAAACACACCGACGTGAGGAATGCTGCATGAAGCTCTATCAGCAAACTATATCGTCGAACTTATTAAAATCATCTGTTCTTTTTAACTAAAAAGCGTCAAATGTTGCAAAACGATCAGTGAAAACTGACTGGGTAACATTTAGTGTTCTCGAAGACAAAACATACATAATCAAAATGGATCTCTAATCTAACCTGCAGAGTTTTTCATATTCCATTACAATTTTTAGTTAAAAAAATTAATTTAGAGATGTTAATTCCTTTTCATGAAAATAGAATCGGTTTCCAAAGGAGCCCAAGCCATAAAAGATGTCCTGTTTTCAATTTTTTAATTTACCATTGTAACTGTGAAAACAGAATTCACTGCGCATACGTATTCTAATGCCATCTATCTGTGCACGCCAACAATTCATATCAGTTGAAATGATTACACGTCATTTGTTTTCGTCAAAAACATATATAACTACATCATCACCATGAATTACTACTCATAACGAACGAAAACCAAATATTTTTTCATCGCTTCCAGTCTCTACGGTACGGTCTGCTCCACGATTGAAATACAACATGCACACATTTTCCACATTACCTGTCGAACTAGTTTATCGAATTATGGATCACCAAAATGGCCGGACGCTATTTTGTTCAATGCAAAATATCTGTCGACGGCTCAATCAGATCCTGAGTACTTACCAGCGATATCAAGTAAGTTTACTTGGTATTTTAACATTCTCGTCGACTGTGCTATACATAAGCTTAATGGTATTTGATGTCGTAGATTCCCTCATAGGAAAACCCAAACTAATTTCATAATTCACAAACGATTTCCTAGGATGAGACAATCACAGCCAGATGTCATATGAAATCAAGCATTCCTTCACTCTCTCCCTTTTGTTCTATGTACATTGAGGATGCATTCGACCGATACGCGACCATGAACGAGCAAAGCGCCTACTTATGCGTTACCGCTCCTGCCTTGCACTACTCGCCACAAAAATTGCATCAATCACAACTTTTGAGGGAACATTTCTACTGAAGCAAACAACACTGTACAGTTGCTTCACCTATGCCAATATGCATTCACAACACGGGTACATCAAATTCCGCTCCTATATTTCAGAAGAGTAGGACTTAGATTTCACTGGACCGCGTCTTCAAAAGAGACTTCTCATTACCACCAATACATATTGAAACTTATGTCCTACTCTTTCCGATTCCATCCTATCACAGTAATCTCCAGTCTAGATTCTCGACTCAGCACTTCTTTCCCGAACAACAGCTAGCATCATCATCCACCCGAAGAATACACATCTACACACAACTCATCCTTAAAAATATTCCCCACAGATAACTATTTCGAATCGCATACATACCATGCGAAGTGCCATCTCTAACCGCAAACTGGTTGAGTACCATACCGCCTCTTATGGTATAGATGTTTATTAACTACTCTACATGACCAGACTGAGTTTACTTCACACTAAGTCACACACTTATATGGAGAAGAGAGAAGGAAAGACATGCCCCGCAGATAGTATGATATAGAGGTGAGAGAATAAACAACAGAAAGAGATGAAGGATATCATTATCGTTACACCATCAAAGGTTTTCCTTACAACTTCCGCTTTTCACTACATAATAATTCAATTCAGACACTCACTACACTTAACCTCGAAGGGAACCAAATCGGTGCTCAAGGAGCACAACACATTGCGGATGCGTTGCGAACGAATACGGTAATATTGATTTCATTTCATAGAAGATGAAGTACTCAGTCTATATCACACCTACAGACACTCACTACACTTAACCTCCAAGGGAACGGAATTGGTGCTCAAGGAGCACAACACATTGCGGATGCGTTGCGAACGAATACGGTAATATTGATCTCATTTCATAGAAGATGAAGTACTCAGTCTATCTCACACCGACAGACACTCACTACACTTAACGTCGATAGGAACCAAATCGGTGATGGTGGAGCACAACACATTGCGGATGCGTTGCGAACGAATACGGTAATATTGATCTCATTTCATAGAACATGAAGTACTCAGTCTATATCACACCCACAGACACTCACCACGCTTGATCTCCATTGGAACCGAATCGGTGCTCAAGGAGCACAACACATTGCGGATGGGTTGCGAACGAATGCGGTAATATTGATTTCATTTCATAGAAGATGAAGTACTCAGTCTATATCACACCTACAGACACTCACTACACTTAACCTCGAAGGGAACGGAATCAGTGCTCAAGGAGCACAACACATTGCGGATGCGTTGCGAACGAATACGGTAATATTGATCTCATTTCATAGAAGATGAAGTACTCAGTCTATATCACACCTACAGACACTCACCACGCTTGATCTCCATTGGAACCGAATCGGTGATGGTGGAGCACAACACATTGCGGATGGGTTGCGAACGAATGCGGTAATATTGATTTCATTTCATAGAAGATGAAGTACTCAGTCTATATCACACCGACAGACACTCACTACACTTAACGTCGATAGGAACCAAATCGGTGATGGTGGAGCACAACACATTGCGGATGCGTTGCGAACGAATACGGTAATATTGATCTCATTTCATAGAAGATGAAGTACACAGTCTATATCACACCCACAGACACTCACCACGCTTGATCTCCATTGGAACCGAATCGGTGCTCAAGGAGCACAACACATTGCGGATGCGTTGCGAACGAATACGGTAATATTGATCTCATTTCATTGAAGATGGAGCACTCAGTCTATATCACACCTACAGACACTCACTACACTTCACCTCTGGTGCAACGAAATCGGTGCTGAAGGAGCACAACACATTGCGGATGCGTTGCGAACGAATACGGTAATATTGATCTCATTTCATAGAAGATGAAGTACTCAGTCTATATCACACCGACAGACACTCACTACACTTAACGTCGATGGGAACCAAATCGGTGATGGTGGAGCACAACACATTGCGGATGCGTTGCGAACGAATACGGTAATATTGATTTCATTTCATAGAAGATGAAGTACTCAGTCTATCTCACACCCACAGACACTCACTACACTTAGCCTCGAAAAGAACGGAATTGGTGATGGTGGAGCACAACACATTGCGGATGCGTTGCGAACGAATACGGTAATATTGATCTCATTTCATTGAAGATGAAGTACTCAGTGTATCTCACACCCACAGACACTCACTACACTTAGCCTCGAAGAGAACGGAATCGGTGATGGTGGAGCACAACACATTGCGGATGCGTTGCGAACGAATACGGTAATATTGATCTCATGTCATAGAAGACGAAGCACTCAGTCTATCTCATACATACAGACACTCACGACACTTACTCTCGGGGTGAACCAAATCGGTGATGAAATAGCTGAAAATATTGCTGATGCATTGGGAAGGAATAGAGTAAGATTGATGCTGTGGTCGAATAAGTTTGTAATTTCTGTTTTGTCTGATTCTTAGAGCGCCTAGATGGTATAGATCCGGCTTTAAATTCAATCGGAGAACAGGTGATGGTGGATCTGATGACTCTTTGTGTTGATCAGATCTTTTTTGATTGAGAACCTAGGAGATATCATTTGTTGTGTGGTAATCGTGACATTGATGAGTAATAAAGGTATAGAAAACGAATGTTGTTGTGAGAAGTGAATGTTACCTGAATGTTAATGCTTTTTGTTCCATGAGAAATTCATGTGCATCGGTGAAAATGAATGGTTTAGCTACGAAGGTATAACGGAGCAGTGTTTGGTAGAAGAGACGCCATAGTGCGGTGCGTTTATGAATGATCCTCTCGGTTTAGAGTTTGTTTCTGACAGGGTGTGATGGACAAGACAACATTACTGTAGACAGCCCGAGTATATTGGAGATGTAGAAGAATGGGATCGATGATAGTAGAGCACGTGTGCAGTTCGTATGTTATTTGTACTGATGGCAAAGTGATCAGAGCGTGGTACACTGAATGGCAGCGATTCTTCATTATAAGAAAGCTGTTGCATGTTTTATTCCAGCGCCTAAATGTATTGTTTGTTTGATGAGGAGGTTTTATTTCTTTTTGTGGTTCATTTTTGGAGACAGTAGTATTCATCCGTTATGTATGAGTTCTACGGTGCTTCTGAAAGAAACACTGTTATAAACTGACTAGAATGACATAGTGAAGAGAGAATAATTAAAAAATATCACACCCGATCGTTCTGTTAGATTAATCATTTCCCACTATGAGCGTAGTCTGAAAATAAGTTATTTTGTCGAATATGATCAGCACTATTCACTCTTGGTGCTTATCCATGTTAAAATATCAGGAAAGTGTTTTTGCAGTACTTTATCGTGGAAAGAGCTTTGCAATATATTTTCGAGCTCGTTTGTATATCATTCTGATAACAGGACTTTGTGTTTATGGTTTGCTTACATCGAACATCTCGACACTGTTTGAAACGCTCAGAAGTTTGAAGTCGTATGAAATTTAATAATAGGGAGCTATTGTACCCTTGTTCTGAGATCTATCTTTTGAATGGTGACAAAGCTGAAACCGCTCAGCTGTGCATAATTCAACATGATAGTCTGTGCGCTAAGATATTACATATATATTCGTAGTGTTCTTTATCATTACACTGTAAGAGAACGTACATTTCATTTGGTTTAGATACTTGTCTTTGAGTTCTCTGCACGTATCAGTGATTGAAAACTCGCACGAGATGATGATCATTGAACAGAAGTGGATTTTGGCTATCTGGAGCCACCCCAGACTGAATTTATACATGTAGTATCACTACGTTTAGAGGTGTATCTGAAATGGTATGTATATAGCCCGCCTGTTTGCAAGGAGAAAACAGCACTTGGTCAAAATACACTCGTATAAATCAAGTGGACTAAGAGTTTGCAAAGGATCATCATCTAAGTACAGATATTCTTGCTTTTAATCACGGCATTTGCGCACATTTAGTCTCTGTTTGTTTACAAATGAGTACCAACAACGAATACAACCGTGTAGTAATAGTCTGTATGTGTTGTAGATAAACAATAGAATTTGCAACAACCAGCAATATTATTCACGAAGTCTGATATAATGCTATCGACAGGATTTGTATATATGAATATATAAAGCAGTCGAAGATGAGCGTGCCCGTGGTCAAAGAAAGAAAATATGTGCATTTTGTTTTCAGTAAATAAAATCGCCCCGTGCGATACTGAAACTTTTTAGCTGAGTATACAGTCACTTCTTATTACCACTAAAAATAGCGAGAAGAAATTGTCATTGTTAAAGTCAGGTAAACATGCTTGGATTAATTCATGTTCTTCTCAGTAGTTGCAGAAACCTATCCTAACACATGAAAAATATCCTCCCATATTTGTTCCGATTAAAGAGCTCTCGCTCAAAAGTATCATCTTCTGATGGTAAATATTGTTAAGTTTTCAGTTTAGATCTAATATTTCCAACAATAGCCACGGCCGAGTTCAAGATAACGAATGCGTGCACAATGTGACTTATTTCAGTATACATATGTAATTTATAAGTAATACCCGCCCATTGAACTCGCCGGTCTGGTACTAAAATGTTAGAACTATATCGTTCAGCATACTTGAAACACCATAGAGACTTGTTTCACCTCATAAACCAAACCACTTGTCTCTTTGTAAGAAAAAAGTCGTTTTTGCCTAGTCGATTATCATGACCTATCCATAATATCCTGTTTTTCTATTTCTATTCCAATTCAATGAACATGTTTTATTTTATACCATGTTTAAAACCAATGACATCCTACTGTACGTCACATGATGTTCTGTTTTTCAGCGCAGAAAAGCAACAGGTTCACGCATACTTATAATGAATCGGAAAGATCTCATTTCAAATAGGCCATATATCGAATAAGATTCGAAAAAAAAGATGCACAAGAAGAAGGTAATGTAAAGTTTGAGGTTCCCAATCTTAATTACGCTTTAAAGGATGGTTGCTCAGAGCGAGTAAACTCCAGCGGATGCGATGGGAATACGCCGAAAGTCCAAGATTCTTAGCATTTCTGGCATCCGACAAAATGCGATCTTTTTCCTAACGGATTTCTGCAGATTCTGAAAGCTCGATTACTCGTTGTTTATTTTTAATTCGTTTCTAATTCTCTTTTCTGCAAGAAAGAGTTATAGCGTATAAAATACGGTCGTTAAAATGCTAAAAGTTTGTTTGCATAATCCAATCAGATTGC